AAATAAGCGACACATGATCTTGTTCTGGACACATCAGGCTGGACTCTGATGCCAGACCTTTTCTAGATAGAAACCAGACTCCTTCTGGACCATGACATCATTCTGACATCATAGGTAGGAGCTAGGCTCAGGCACTAGGCCATAGGCCGGTCAATTCTGGACCCTAGGCCCAGGGCAGGGCAGGGCCAGACTATGACATCATATATGACATCATAGAGCACATGATACTTAGTAATCCTTACCCAGCTAGGTACCAGGGGTCCATTACCGGTCCCTGGGGGGTTTTCCCTCATGTATATAAGGCAGCATCCTGGGGCACCCTGTCCCCCAGTTCTATTCACTTTCGTTGTTGCGCTTAACAGCATTACCTCCCCATACTTAAGTGCTATTATCTCCCCCCCTCAATATCAAGCTATAAGGTGGGTTTGTAGGTTTTGTGATAGAAGATGAGTGTTTTTTGTTTTGGAACGCCGGCAGCATTGGGGAGTTTCGACCTAATGTCGTGACTTGAGGTCAAGCGACAGGGAAAACCTAAAGAGCTGGGGGCGTTCGACTAGATCTCACCAAAGCGATGGTGAGCAACGCTCAAACCTAAGGCTAGGGACAAGAAAATGTATTAGTTAGTAGGGTAAGAGAGAATACAACTGAGGGCTTACTGACCTAGGGACAAGAGGTCGAAACTAAGGTCCCTAGGGCAGCAGAGGCCGGCTTATATACAGGGGAGGTTAAGGGCAGGCTGTGCGCACTGGTCCATGCGCAGCTGGTCCGTGCACAGCATGCCGACGCGGCCCCGGGGGCCGGTGAGTCAGAGCGGCTGTGTCAGCGGAGCCCGAGCTGTGCCGTGCCCTGCCGTCCTATCTAATCTTATCGTACAGTAGATAACGACGTGTCCATATCAGGCAGGTAGTACAGAGGTCGCGGGTTCGAGCCCGCGAAAAGGAAAAAATTAAAAAACGGCTAGACGCCGTACCAACTCGTGACAATGGTGGACCTCGATATTGTCACTGACCGGTATATCAGAGAAGTCCCATCTCATCGCTGTAAGGAGAACATGAATTGTGGTCGAGAGAAAACTAGTATACTATTAAATTAGAGATAACTTGCATTATGTCATACAGCTAATCATCCATTTGCATTCCATAATATACAAGCCATGCAGGAAAATATCAGTTTGACTTGACAGTACCCCAAGCATCGGTAGGGAAAGGATGTCTGAGATTTGGAATTGAAGATTGCGCATCTACAATTTCTGATATACCAAGAGGCAGGATTATGGTGTTTCCTTACCGGATCCTTACTGCAAGCACTCGGAGAATTTGAACGAAGTCACAGAGACTTCACCGTACCGATACATCATGTTGGATCTGAACTAGTGGCGATACCATGGATTCCACACTTCATTTTGCTATGAGCTGGCGGAATTAATATTCAATCTGCTCAACACGCAACACGAGTGCAGCAGGTACTATTGATATTTTGAGGGGCGTCTCACGACATATCACCGCCCTCAAGTGAAAAGCATCTTCACATCGACCTGTGCAGTGAGGTTGGATTTAAAAGTCTTCAGCAACAATACGGACAAACGTACCTCAGCAATGACCTGGGCTACGACCTTCTTAAACCGATTATGAATTGCAAAGATCTCGTTCGCTCGCTCCTGACACCTTGTACACTCACCTACTTTCTGTCCTAGCGCGTATAGGAGTGATTCGTCTTGAAGGACCTCCGTCAAAGAATTTGTCCTCAGTTTTGCAGTAATGCTTTGGACATAAGGTGGAGCCCAATTGGCTTCCCGATCGCACCCATAATTTCCTTTGCAACCGCTACATATCAACGGCCTCCGCATAGATGACGAAAGCCATTGAATTCGGTGGACACGAGCGCAGAACCCTTTTCGGCACACATCTTGTGATATTGTAGCAACCGGAAGTAGGGGCCCGCAGATGTAGTCTCCATGTCACAGATGTAGTCAGCCTCCAATGATGTGTCGTCTTGCTGCAGTAACAACTTCGCAGCGGCTTCGGCCTCGTCTCGCCATTCAACAGATACCGCCAACAAAAACGCGCGCAGTGGGGACGACTCTAAAGTGGTTGACCAAAGTTCGCGCAAGAATTCAATGACTCTGTTCATCTTGTATTTCTCGGCGGCACGAAGTACGGGCCGTAAAATATCGATTTTGGGTTTGACAAGACGACTGAAGGGATAACATGGTAGGAGGAGCTCGGTCAATGTTGCACTGTCTTCATCGATGCGAATAGTAGTCGCCCTGTGAGGATCGGATCCCGGTTCATCGCCGACACGGGAACGCATGCTTGAGTGTTGTAGCATGTCCTTTAGCACCGGAGAAGCCAGTGCAACGATACCCCCGTGGACATGGAAGTGGAGATCGTCTGACGTCACAATCATGGTATCGGCATCGACATCGTCGAAGGGATGGGGTGCGCTGTGTTCGGGTGTAAGCGAGCTGGCCACTGATTGCTCTCTAGCTGTTCCAGAAAGCTCTGTTGGTATGCGTGGAGGGGACGTAAACCGGATGCCGGTGAGACTTTGGTGACGCTGGTATTGTAGAAGTCGATGATAGCAGCCCGCGGGGAGTTCTTCCAGTTCGGCGATGTAATTTCCGCTTACAGCACCTTGTGAGACAGCCTCGATAGCAGCTTTTCTAGCCCCTGTCTCTGTTCCTAGCAGACACGCGATTGCGTACACTCGCAAAGGCTCGGCCGGGATGAACCCTTGCAGAGCGCGCTTGCAGAAGACGATCGCCGCTTGCATGTCATACTTGAGTGCCGCCTGAAGTGAAGAACGCGCTAGCCCAAGCGTGTTGATCTCTGGGTCCAGAACGGGGTAACAAATGCGCAGGATAGTATCCAATGTACGGCTGTCCTCCGTGATTTCGACCGCATCGAGATTATCTGTCGAGACACACGGCTGTGGGAGACTAAACATGCTCTCAAAGAAGGGAGAATCTATAACCAAAATGTTGCGATGTACACGGAAGTCCACTGCGTTGGACGAACGGATGATGACGTCCGCGTCTGCTCTGTTAAAAGGCGACTCAGCACAGATCGGTTCCGGCTTTGGCAAAAGATCGGGTGTGACGATAGACTCGGCATCTGAATCGGAGGACATAGCACGAAGCTGCAGTGTTGGCTCAAGAATACTAGAGACTTGGGGGCGGCCAGTGAGCCCGAGGAAGGTTCATTAGTGAAACTAAAGTGACCAGACCTAATGATCGACGAGAAACTGAGAATATGACTATGACAGTATGGTGTATGATGACGAGCGAGTCGCTGTTCGTTCGGGGATTGTAACATGCAGTATGTGGCTGCAGTACGTTCAGCTGAATTCGAATGTGGCGGCCCTAACGTACTCTCGATCACGTGCCTTTGTCGCGTCGCGTCTCGGAGTTGGTCCGGTTCAGTGGTCAGTGTCGCCCCTCTTGCTTTTGTTTGTCTGACCTGGTCTGTCGCCTTCATACTGCAAACTGCCGTCCTTGCGCACAGGCACTTCTGGCCACTCAAACTAGGCCTCACATTCCAGAAATTTAGCCAGACAAGACACCGCGTACCAGCAAAGATGGCCGGAATGCTCGAGACACCATCGCGAGTCTGGCGGAGGATAGAAGCTGGTGAAGGGCAAGACATGCCCTCACTGCCCTCCCTTCCTGCGTTTGAGGATTCTGCAGATCAAGTATCAGAATTAAATGATGAATCCAACGTTCTTCAAGAACCCTTGCCATTACATTCCACCCCTGCTGCTCTGTCCTCGCATACAATGTCAACCGTTCGACCCCCATCAAGTGCTGCCAGTACGGCCCGCTTCGCCAACTCGCTCGCGTCTCGCTCAAGCAAGACTGCGTCGATTTCCCGAGGAAGCCTGGCTAAACAACCGCAGGAGCGGGAGGATACTTTCGATATCAGCTCCATTCCTAGCTTGCCCGATATGAACCCAGGCATTGATATGGACATCCGAAGTAGTGACCAGGACAGCACGGGTAGCTCCGTCTCGGAAGCATATGTCTCGGCGTTCGCAGCGCGCATTGGCGAGGAAGTGGATGTGGATTTGGATATCTCTGAGGCTCTTCGCTCTGTGAGTCGTCCTGGCTCTCCCGAAAGCTTGGGGGCGCCCACGCCTCAGAAGAGGTATGACTATTCAGTAAGCCTACGATCGGAGAAGAAGGCAAGTGCTAAATTGCATGCCACATCCCGGGCCCTCCTTCACATCACTATTCCAGCCGTCGCCATTCGACAAATTGCGCAATGTCTCCCTCAGGCGCCCCTTATCCCGCACCCGAACTCCTTCTTTGACCCGCACTACCCCCTCTCCTTCCTCATCGTCTTCACATTCGACTCCTCATAGTAGTAGGTCTTTTGGGTATCCACGATCGGCGACAGCGTCACCCCTCGCAGCGCTCTCTGTTCCACTGCCCCCTTCAGCTGCAGCGTCCCCTGCAGGTGTCGAAGTAACCCAGGACAACTCCGCCGCTCAGGTAGACGAAGCTGAGATGACTCAAAGCGAGGAGGGTCAATCGCGCGACGAGATGGATCTCACGGACACGCTTTCTCGTGGCATCGAGATCAGCGATCCAGGTGAAGAGGGACGCAAGGAACCCACCTTCTCGTCTGACGCACCAACACAATCTGAACACGAGGAGGAGACCCGCGATCCCATAGCGCTATCCACCGTATTCTCTTCTCCTGCCCCCTCGGCGATGTTCACACCTACACCCGCATTCCACTCACGTCCCAGGGCTCGCTTCGCAACTGCACTGCCACTATATACGCCCGAGCCGCAGCAGCTGCCACATGCAGAGAAATATCATGAAGAGTATGAAACCGAGGCTGGACAAGACCAGGACGGCTCTGACCCGACGACGCCATATGCACACAAACGTTCGTTTCTCTTGTCCGTCATCAATTCGACGGCCCGTCCACGGTTGAAGTATCCCACTCCACATCCTCACCGCGGCGGCGATGTGTCTCAGGTGCGTGCGCCGACCACGCCCGGTATGAACCTGCAGGCGGCGTTTGCAGGCGTGACTCCCCGCCCTCAACCTCGACCGAGGCTGTCTCATCCGCTGACCCAAGCGTGGCCAGCTGCCTCCCAGGCGGAGTCTGTGTCCAGCTCGGAGGCAACCTCGGAGTCTATGTCGCCAGCGCCGCCACACTCTCCCATTCCGTCAGGAGCTCAGTCACCATACGATGCGACGATGGACCGCGCCTCGTTCGTATCGACTGCATCCTCTCATGACTTGACGACACACGTGCGTGCCAACGCCTCGTTTGACCCTGTAATGGGCCTCGGTGAAAGGGGTCACGGCGTCGGGCGGTTCAATGCAGGCAAGCTGAACAGTTATCTGCATGGCCTCAACAGGCGTTTGCAAGAGGAGAACGAGACCCTCGTGTCCCGCTTGAGGACCTATGAGGAGAAATATGGCAAAAACGCGAATGCAGAGCCGAGCACAACACCGGAGACGTCTCAGCATAACCAGCAGTCTCGCAGGAGGTCAAGCGGAAGACGCGTCAGCGCGGGCCCTGGGATCGGCCTGAACGATGTCGCAGAAGAAGGCTGGGTGGAGGAGAAAGCAGCACTCGAGGAAATGATCGAGGAGTTGAAGCAAGATTTGCAGCAGCGCACAGAGGATAAGGAGAAGGCTGAAGAGGCTCTATCCCGGGAAAAGCATGAGAGAACTCGCGACAAGGACAGGTGGCGGGAACGCATGACCGAGGTGGAGAAGGGCGTCTCCGGGATCATACAAGATTTAGAGGAGAAGCTAGTGAAGGCGGAAGGTGCAGCAATAGCCGCAGAGCAGCACAAGAACGCGGCTATCAGGGATGCGGAAAGGCACCTCGCAACCACTCTAGCGGAGAAGGATATGTTTGAGGAGAGAGCGAAGAAGGCGGAAGCCGCTCTCCAAAGCAGCGGGCAAGAGCTGGCCTCGGAGCTGAATGCGATGAGCGAGCGCGTCGCCCAGATGACAGGGGAACTCAGGAATGCGACTGGCCAGATCCAAGAGCTCGAGCAGGAAGTGATGAGAGCCGACGAAAAGATTGACGATCTCGACAAACAACTTCACCAGGAGAAGAATCTGAAGGCTGAGCTCGAGGAGGAGGTCCACGCGAAGAACGCCGAGCTCGAGGAGGTGTTCCAGCATGTGCGAAAGTCAGATGAGGACCTACGGAAGGCCAGCCAGGAATTGCAGCATTCGAAGGCGCATGCGGCACAGATGGAAGCAAACGCGGCTCAGGCGGTCCGACAAATCGAGAGCCTGGAATCTCAACTCTCTGCTGCCGACGACAAACTCATGGCTGCAACTGACGCACTCGATAGGGAGAGACAAGAGGTCGAGCATCACGCTGAAGAGGCGAACAGGGCATCTGAATTAGCCAGACAAATGGAGGAGGCGCTGGAGGCCGCTGAGACACGGATGATTGCTGACGAACAAGACATCGCGTCCCTGAAAACCAAAATCACAGCGCTAGAGCGTGCGGTTGAACGGGAGCGGGAGCAATCGCGATCTAAGGATGATACCCATCGGGACGAAGCCGTCGCCGAGCTGCAAGCTGATATCGAAGCATTGGAGACGGAGCTTGACCAAGCGCACAAAGAGATCGCTCGGTTAAACGTTTTCGTCAACCAATCGCCTGTACGCAAGGCCGTTGACAAAGCCAAGGATGCCAAAATCGAGATGCTGGAGAAGGAGAGAGAGGATCTGCTGGATAGAGTCAGATCGTTGAAGACTCAAAACAGCATGTTTGCTACTCCTAATAAGACAGCCAACGGGAGTGGCATCTCACCCATGCATCGGCATCTTCTGTCTATGAGAAGTCCCAAGACTCCTGGCGGGCCTCTGCGAGATGTGAGTATCATCATGACCTATGATATAGGATAATCACTCACATGTCGCGATAGCTTTCTTGGCTGCAGAGTACGATGAACGATCCCACTGTGTCTCCCCTGGTTGTAGAGATAGCTAGGCTCCAGCAAGAACTGGACCGCGCGAACGAGAGCATAGACGACAAGCTCGACCAGCTTGAAGACGCAGGGCTGGGTGTCGTAGAACTTACTAAACGCCTCGAAGATGCGCGAGATCACATTGCCGCCCTTGAAGACGAGATAGCCAGGCTCATGAGGAGAGATGAGAGGCGCTATCACCGACTGCAGAGAGTACGCTGTCTCAAGTGCCGTGCTAAGGTGGACTTGCGTGGATTGCAGCGAACGGACATTGGCGACGAGAGGTAATATTCAATCGCATTCCAGCGTCATCAATTTGCTGACCATATTCTATAGTTCCATCTTGGAGGAAGGCGACTCAAGCCTGCCTACAGAGCCTCCTACGCCTCCGACGAGAACGAGCGAAGCTCTACGAGCTGATCTCCAAAAGGTCAATGCTCAACTGTCATCCATGAAGAAGGCGTGGGAGGAGGAAACACGCCGTCTGCTCGGAGAAAACGTTGTTCTTCAGGATGCTGCAACCCGACTGAATGCGCAGGTTCGCGACGCACAGAACGAGGCAAGGAGACTAGCTGAGACGGAGCGCGCTGGGGAAAAGGCTCGAGTAGGAATCCAAGGGGTATGCACACGTGCATTGTATAAAAGCCGCTACAACTTAACCTGTCTGAACAGGAACTCGATCAAGCGAAGCGAAACATTGATGAACTGGAGGCTGAATTAAAAGCCGAGCGCATGCAGCTCCGGACACTCTCAGCCACACAAAATCGTGCGCAGCGAGAGAAGGAGGAAGTCATCCTGCAGCTGCACCGTGCCGAGTCTGCAAGTATACCAAATTGTAATACCGGTAATTGTGTCGCTGAATGTCTGTTGTAGGATATGGCCGATGTGAGAGAGCATTTGCAACGTCTCAAGCAGGAGAACCACGAGCTTGAGAGCGAACTCCGCTGTAAGTGACACCATCTCGTCAACGTATGCACTTATAGATGCTGTTCTAGCCAATACCACGGCCGAGCAGAAAGCTCGTCGTCTCGAGAGCAAGGTCGCCGAGAATGCTCAGACCATGGAGCAACTGCGGCAAGAGCGCTCCGTGCTTGCCGCAGACTTCAAGCAGTTACAAACTCGCTATGCAGAAGTCTCTAAGGTAAGTGTCGGTTCGAAATGCTATAGTGGATACTCCCTGACAGGCCGGATCGACAGCATGTCAGCAAACTGCGCGACGAGCATGCTGCCTCTCAAACGTCTCACGATGAGCGCCGGCATCAGCTGGATTTGCGCCTTCTCGAGATCGAGGACCTGCGACGCGCGCTGTCGGAGAAAGCGGACGAACTGCACCGCGTCGAGTCCGAGAAGACGCGGGCGACGGCGGAGAAAACCGACATCGCCCGAACTGTGGAGACACTGGAGGCGGACCTGCGGCGCGTGCGCAAGGACGCGGATACATTTGGCCGCGACCTCAAGCTGCTGCGTGCGCAGAAAGACCGGCTCGAGGAGGAGCGCAAACACGACAACGTCAAGGCGGAACGCGCGCAGAAGCAGTCGCAGTCGCAGATCCGCCTGTTGAAGGAACAGCTTGAGAGTCAGAGGGAGCAGGCGAAGACAACGGCGGAGCGACATAAGAGCCAAGTTTATGCTGTGTAAGCTGACCCGGTGTGGCTGTACGTTACTCAGAGCTGATCCCGTCTGTTTGAATTCTAGGAACGAGGAGCTGCTCGCCGACATCAAACTGCAGCATAAGAAGGAATGCAAGGGCCTGATGGTACAAATCCGCTTCTTGAAAGCCAGATTCACGCGCGAAGAGGGCTTGCGCACCTGTCTTGTCGAACAGAAACGCTATCTGCTTGTCCTGCTTGCTCGGTCTGAGAGAAAGTGCGTGCGCCAAACCTGCGAATATCCTCTTTTCTGACAAGCTCTCACGTATACATAGAGAACAGAAGATCCTTGCTGCGATAGCACAAATCGGGTTCCCAAGCGCCGAGCCACCGTCCCCACCCAAGCGACACAGTCTGAAGAGCGTCGCCTTATCCGTGGTATTTACGCTGCGAGCCAAGTAGGTCTGCTTTATGAAGATTGCGGATCAAACCTGACATTGTACACAGACATGTCAGCGACGCATGGCGAGTTCAAAGTGCAGTGAAAGCAGATATCGCAGCGGCCTACCAAGAAGCCAGGCGGAAAAAATTAAACGACGGTGGCAAAAACGGACAACAATAAATTGTGGTGTATACTGCATTGTTTTTGGCGATTTCTGCGTGCGACGACCTCTGTAGTAGTCTTGATGTAGCTGTATTCAACAATGACCTCTAATTAGCGACCGAATAGAATACTTCTGGATTTCCCTCTTTCTCAGAATACTGACACTCGAGTCATGCGATTATGTAGGTGGCTTCCGTCCTGCAGACACGATACGCACGGCATCTTTGGTGAAGATATAAGAAGCGCCACTCCAAAGTGTTGTGCTTGCGACGATCCATCTAAAATAGCCGTGAAGCGTTGGCGCTACGAAAGTCCCAAGCTACTTACTGAAATGCTTCTAGCGCTGGAGTGACGCTGAACGGAAGAAGAGGCCCGAGCACAGGGCTGACTGTGGTTGTAGCCATGAGGAGCAGCTGTAACAGCGTGTTGACCTGCCAAAATGAGTGCATGGACCGTCTCGTCAGGTAATGAGCTTACCTTGCTGATGCGTGTGGGGTGCACTTCAGCGGACGGTATGGACATATCCCAATATCGGCTGAAGGTTTTCTGAGCACTGGTCGGCTAAAGAGGCTGTCTCATATCTCTTTGAGGACATACTGGTGCAGGAAGCGTTTTGTAGCGGATGTAGAACGCTGACAGGCTCAGCAGGACGTCTCGGCCGAGAATGATGATGGCAAGGGGTACTGTAGAGGCAACAGTTCAACAATACCATTGCAAACGTGGGAAGGATAATTACCCGGAATCATCGCTTTCATAGCCAGGGTGACGGTCAGCGTGGTCATGAGGGTCTTGTCTGCGGCAGGATCGAGGACGGTCCCGAGAACAGACGTCATCTTGAACCGGCGAGCAATCCAACCATCAACCTTCAGAGAGAGAGCTCAAGTCATGGACGCCTGTGGAAACAAGAGATACAAGCAGACCGTGTCTGTGAGGCCAGCATACACAAGGAGAGCTGTTGCAACAGGGAAGTTGTCGTGGATGATGGCATAGCCGATAGCGGGGCATGCGAGGATGCGAGACGCGGTCAAGATATTGGGAATGGTGTAAATGTTCTCTCTGAGCTCCTTAAACCTAAGCTTCTTGTCGTTCGAGGCGCGTGCCGGTGAATGCACCGAGAACTGTCGAGCCAGATTCAGAGGGTTCCACGCAGGCTGTGCGGAGAGCGTGTGAGGCGAGACATGCCTATGAGCCGCACATCGCAGGACTGTAGCCGAAGGGCGCAGAGGGTTATAACGGTAGGTGGCAAAAACAAGGGCGGACATGGCGAAGGGAGTTCAGGCCTGCCAGAAATGGCAGGACACTACTGCAAGGGCCTCGGCGCTTCCGGAGAGCGCGAGACGTCACCGCGCGGCACGCACGTGGAGAAAAACGCGTGTCACATGACCGTGAATTTCGCGACGCGGGCCTCAACTTAGGTGAAGGTTACATGGAATCTCTAGCCTCATGCACATAGAGGCTGCGCGTACGTTTGTTCCCTATGTTGGCAGGATACATGAGCAAATACGTCCTTTGGGGCTCAGTAAGCAGTCGTGAATTCTAATTCGAGTGTCACTGAATTACCGAATCTGACCTCCTCATGCCGCGTCTGGCGATGTCATGCTGGATCGGTGTCATAAGTACTCTCGATCGTTCTTACACTGGCTACGTTCACTGACGTCATGTCTGTGCTCTTGCATGGTGATGCTACCTTGACTAGCGGCTGGTTAACTAGCTGCGTAGCCTTATAATCCAACCTCGACGCTGAGGAAAACAGAATCTTCCCTTGTCCTCGTAAGCACGTTCGAACAGACGACGCGAACGTCAGTCTGTTCAATAATTTTCTCGTGTTCTTTGCTGTGATCGGAGCTCGATTCTTGGGCATCCCTGATTTCGCATCTCTACGCGCATACACCGACGGATGCATTTCCTGACGCATACAAGTGATCCAGTTTCGTCAGACCGTCGGCACAGTCAGTCTCATGTCGTCTTTGCCTTGTGCTCACACAAATACTCGGCGCACTCTTTCCACAATCAGCCCGAAGGTGCAAGACTTCTTCCGAGACGCCTTTTCTGCGACACTCGCTACAGATGCCGTTACTATGGCAGAGCAACCCCGATGAGTGGATTTACCTGAGAGCCGTTCTAGCGAGAACAGCTTGCCGCAAGATGATCCGAATGCGAATGAACACTAGCGCATCTATAGACAACGCAGCGATCCCCAGCCGGCCTTTTGCCCCATATCATCTTCTTATATCCCGCTGCATGCAAGCTGCTAGTCCGCTGTCGCCCTTCTGACTATATACAAATGGCGCACATTGGCGCGCACGGGCCCGCCACCAACAGGAAGCAAAACTCGGTGTGGCCGCGCTGCCGCCATCTGCGACGTGCGCCACTAACAGCGGGCGCCCCGAGCTGCGACGGGCCATCACCGAGCTGCGAGGAACGCGGGAAAAGAGAATAACGGACGGATCTCGATGCATATGACGCAGTCGTCAGCAGGTCTGGGTTCCGTTACGTATTCCAAGAATATCAAAGATGGGTCAGGGCATACCAGCGGCTGCACCAAATTGACCCACTGAAGGGTGGGTGGGCCTTGCATGGTCGGCTCGGGGGAACATCTGAGTTTGACAGATCTAGTCGGTGTTATGCAAACTCGCTTCCATTGACCGAGAATATGCCACTGCTGCGAGTGGAGGCGGGCGCATGCAGACGCGGTGCTATGTTTGTCAAGTTACGGACGACACGGTGTCATGATGGTAACGGCGCAGTGCCACCCCCGGAACCCAGATACCCACGGGGAATGATTCTGGGGTAATGCGGGGGGCGCTGCGGCGGCAGTCCTGAGAATATGTCACGGTGACACCAGTCGAGCAGTCAGTCAACAGCAACCACCGACCAGATCCACCCGTCAGATGCCGGGCCGTCGTGACACTGGACAACTCTCGCGATAGGAGGGCGCGAAACTATAGCGACACCGCGGCCAATCCCGCTGCATGCGTTGCGCTCAGACCTGCGAGGGGCGCAGGTCAGCTGTCCGAGTCGCGGTGGCAATGATGGCGACGGGCGGCCGCCACGACTTACGGCGGGGGGAGTCACGCGGGGGCGGGTTTACGAGGCTGCAGCTGGCCCGAGGAGTCAGGCGGGGCGTGGTGAAGACCCGAAGCGGCGGTGTCCCGCGCACATGAATCTGCGGTGACACGACGCTGGGCCGCTTCGCCCGCAACGGGCACAAGCTCGAGAAGATAGCTGGCGAGAAAGGCCCCGATCGAGTCACGCTGACAGAATCCTGCTTGGTCTGCCATACCGAAGAGGCGCCGCTGTACATAGACTATGCATTGATGAAACGGCAGTGGGTGCATTCACACGCACAGCTGTGCGATATATCTCAGTTCTCGGCATGGTGCTGAGCTTGTTGGATGGCCAATGACCGTGGTAGAGTTTTTGCAGAACGCGCGTAATTTACCTAAAGAAGCAGACACATACCTAGCAACGAGTCGGGAAGCCCCGACTGGGGAATGAGAAGTATGGTCGAGAATAGGATCTGGGGTGCGGGGTCATGGGAGGTGAAGCAGCGAAGCTGGAGGCCGAAGGGTCGAACCCCCCCGGAGGCTCGCGGGGGTGTATGGCTGTGGAGAAGGCGCTCAGACGAGGATCAGCGGGAAGGCGTGTGTCCACTGGGATTGGTCGCTGGGCAGTATGCTGCGATGTCACTCGATGCACGGACGGAGAGCTGCCAATCCATGGGACAAGATCCGGGGAAGTTTGGGTGCGCATGGACTGCGGCCGAGTCAGATGATGGTTCCGAGACATGGACCGTGGGCGGTGTGGTCGCTGATGCATCGAGAATCAAATCCCCATCCTGTCCATGGGGCGTTGGTGGGATTAGCGTGATACTCTGAATGGGCGTTGTGTGGTCACAGCCGGGCGGTGCCCCTGGCGGCCACGAATGTTGTGCGAGGGGGCATTCCCGACATCTGGTGCATGTTGCAGACGGCCCAGGGCGGCCTGCAGACGAGGATGGCAAGGAAGGAGAGTTTATGATCCGTGACCATCGATGTTCTGCTCCTGAGACGCACTGCCGCCCATTTCAACCCAATGCGCGTCGGCAGAATGGCAGGCCCGTGCCGTGTTCTGCCGGAGTGTGAGATCGCGCCCGCATTGTCCCCCGGGCCAACGTCGCGGCTGTGAAAAATACAGGGGCAGACGCGGGTCGTCCGGGACGCATCGATGGGGAGACAGCGCAGAAACAGCGGGCGCTGCACGCAAACAGGAGGCGTTTTTGTCGTCGATTTGCGCGAAAACACTCGCCCGGCGGTGTCGATGGGCGGGCCACGTGCGCACCCGGATCCCGGGCGTGTGTCGTGCCTCGGGAGAGACCGTCACAAGCGCCGTCACACGCGCCGTCACACGCACGACAGTGTTGTCCATATCCGCCCCACCTCTCCTCCATGTCGCTTTTTTCCTCGTCTTAGCCATCGTTCTCCCCAACCACCACAACCACCAACGCCGCCCTCGCGTCGTCTGCCACCGCGCACGACGCTCACAAGGGTCTCTGTACTCCCGCAGCACCTGCTGTCTCTGTTGTACCCTTACAAGGCCCTCTCTCCTTCCCGGACACTCGCAGGCCTTTCTCATTCCAGGCCCGCAGCCGGCCTTTTCTGTCTCCGTATATCTCTCGCGTCCCTGCAGGCTTCTCTCCTGCTTAATTTCCTGCCAGTACAGTGAGTATGCCGGTGCCTGCCACTCTCACCAGCTACCTGCCCGTCCTGCTCGTCTCCGTCACCCACTCCACCGCTCCCGACGACACCTCCTTCTCCACGCTCCCCGCGGGCCAGGTCGACTACCTCTCGCACGAATGGCGTGAAGAAGACGTATGGAGCTCCTGGCGCAGCATGACCCGCCAAAAGAATGCGATCGCGAATGGCATGCGTCTGGAGAACGCTAGTTGGCGCACTTGGTGGAAGCAGAGGAACAAACTGAAGACTATAAGTCCTGAGACGCTGAATTGGTGCGTATCTCCGTCATAGCACTGCTTTTCATCTCCATTATCTTCTCCACGTTGGCTGCGGTGTTCGGTGTTGTGCGAGCGATTCGTCGGACGGTGATGCGTCTCGCTACGGTCGTCCCTCTTGGCCATGCGGCTTGGGGGCCCGGTTTATGACATAAAGCTGGCGAGGCGCGAGGACAGCATGAGTAGTGCTTACCCGATATTGCGCACGCCGGGTGGCATCTGGGTATGCCGCCTTTTGGTGGGTTTCCACGTGGACTACATCGTGCATTCCCAACGGTGTCAGCTTGCAGACGACGTCAATGCATATGCATGCTTGCCGTGTCTCACTGACGTCGTGTAGCCCGCCCTTGTTCGCCTTGCCAACTAGCTTTGGAAACCCTGTTTCGGCTGACCCTTTGCCCTCGCTTCTTCTCGAACTTTGCATTATAAGATCCGTGCTAATACTCTCGTGTTCAGGCTCAAGGATTCGGATGTGACGTGGCTCTACGGGCCACTACACATCGGGTCCGATTGGTCGCCGCCGCCTCGCGGCACGGACTCACTACTCAAATCGCAACGCCAAAACAGCACCGATGCCATACCTAGTAGAAACACCGCGGCTACCAGCCGCCTGCCCACGAAGCCCATCCTTAAGCGCAGGAGTATTACCCAGCTGCTGTCGCTGCCTTCAAGCCACTGGTATGATCAGTATGGCAGCGACGAGGAGCACGATGACAACGACGGCCGTGGAGGTGAGGATGCGAAATCCCAGCGGCCGCCATTACTTCACACGAAGAGCGACACCCACATCAGTTGGCGTGGGCGGGCTCACCGCAAGGACTCACCGCCGCGGATCATCGCGGAAGAGATGCCAGCTCCCAGCAGTCAGCCGCCTGTCGTCGCAGTGGGCGTATTAACGTCAAGCGATGCCTCACATGCGACAAGTGAGCATGAACTCAGTGCCAGCACAAGTGCGAGTGGAGAGAGCTCAGCTAGCGGCGCGTCCAGCGACTCGGGCCTGAAGAAGAAGCACATCAGCTTCAATACCTTTGTGGAGCAGTGCATCGCGATCGAGAAACCCAAGTCTAAGCGCCCGCCGGTTGGGCGGCGCGGATCGCCCGTGTTTTCGTACGACGACGGGTCAGTGATTTTTATCTTTCTGGAAGCTGAGCTACACTGAAATTGGCTGGGATGTTAGGTACGAGGAGGACTCGGAGGCTACATACGAGGACGAATCGTACGATTCGCCATCGGGTTTCTACGCCGGCAGTCGTTCCGACAACTCAGACTCGGATGACGACGACGACGACGTGATCGAGATGCGGTCGTCGCGCTCGCGCGCGTCGTCTGTTTCAAGTATGCATGGTGCGCCCAAGCCGGTCTCTTCTGGTAACGCCTCGTCGCACTCCCCGCACCTGAATCCGCATTACCGCCCGCCGCTCATGCGCAAGGCGTCCACCGGCGGGGACCGCGTCACCATTGCACCGATTGCGCCGACGATATTGAAGTCTACGGGTGTGGGCAACAATCTGCGGTTTATCGGCGCAGGCCGCGAGACATCTACCTCAAAGGAGGTCGATCTTGTGTACGCGCCGCCAACACACAGTAACTACAGCCGTCCTGGCACGCCTGATGTTCGTAGCCCAGCGGCGGAGGACGTGTATCATCATCGCGAGTCCTACTTCACCATCGGGACGAGCCCCTCCCCCCAAGGGCGGTCACCGCAGACATCTCCACAAATATATACCGTCGCCGCGCTTCCTCCTCCGTCATTATCATCATCGCCGCCGAAGTATGAACACGCACGGACGTTCTACCCCCGCCCATCTGATCTTGAGGATGCTACAATGGAGGACACATTTGATTTCTTCGATGGCCCGACGGAAGACGTCTCGTCAGCTTGGCCGGCGGGGGATTCACATACGCGCAGGACTCGAGGCCGCGATAATCTGCAGGACGACTTTGACGGCAGGCCCAGCGGCGTCGTGCGCTACGCGGAAGGTGGCGCGTCGAGTGTACAGACGGGACGGAGTAGAGACGACATCCCAATGAGCTATTCCCCAGGGCAGAGCCCGCCAGATGCTCCGATGGTCGTCGTGAACGAAGTCAGCGGTGCTACAGAGGAGCGCACTGAGCGTTCGCGGGAAGGCAGTCCATCATTCCCCGATTCCGACAGCCCTACCAGTCCGCCCACGTATGTCCACACGCTCCCTCCTGCTGTGCCCGTGCCCCGCATCGGCACGACGCACCCGTACATCTCGTTTTCGCCACAACTCGCCGACACCGTACACTTGTCCCCGAGCGACATCACGTGTCGGGGGCGGTCTCTCGTGGGCGCGGCCTCAGGCTCTTCCGTGAGCGGATCGACGACGTCGGGCTCGACGAACTACACGCGCTCGACGGACTCGCGGTCGGAGTCGCGCGGACGCTCCGTAACGCGCAATGGATCGTATTCCGATCGCGAGCGGTCGGGGTCGCGCTCGAGCCGCGGGACGAACTCGCCGATGGGCAGCCTTTCGCCGACCGGCTCTGCGCTCGGGCTTGGTGCTGCGCACGTACGTGGACGCGATCGCGACCGGGAAAGCAGAGGCATGAGGATGGGGAGTGATGAAGAGCGTGGGCGAGAACGCACGGGCAGGCCGCTCACTGCGAGCGTCAGCCCGCCGAACCCATTGGGCTCGCCCAGAGCACAAGCGGCTGAGGTCGAGTCGCCGTCACGCTCGTCAAGCCTAGTGGATGTGCAGCCGGATAGGTCGGATGTACCGTCCCCGCCTTCATCCGTGTCTGGCTCGTCCACGTCAACGGCCAGCATCGCCACATTGCGACAGCCCCTGTACGAGAACCAGATTACGGTGCCCCGCACGCGTGTGTCGCTGAACACCGCTGAGCTGCCGTCTCCCATCCCCGAAGAAGACGAACAGCGCTCGCGGCACCCCACACCTGCCAACTCACCTGTGACTGCGTTCAATCCGATCGTGCCATCCTCAGGCGACGCGGCTTCCTCGTCTGTTCCAGAAGGCAGGCTTCCATCGCCTCCTGTGTCGCTCGAACGCGCGGCGAAGACGGGCAGCACAAGCCCCGTGCCGATTCCACGGTTCAGAGATCGTGTCCCGCGTTCGGCTGCAGAAGACCAGCCAGGCTTTGTCGGCCGGGCGGTCGACATAGTATCCTCTGCGAGGGGCTTTCTAGGCTCAATATGGAACTCAAGTACCTCATAAGAAATGAACCTCTCCATCTCGCCATGTCCGTTCCTCTCATGGAGATTGCCAGCCATGTATAGTACCGTCAACAATGGGTGTCCCCCCTGGCGTCCCTTACTCCGTTCTATCCCAATCACCTCCACATTTCCCCCACCTACTCATCATCCGTTCGTCTGTCACGTCAACTTATTTGCATATGCATTATTCACCCATACGCTATATCCCAAATCTTGTTCAATCCCGATCTGCCGTTGCATGGACGCGCATCCTTACGCTTACATATTGGCCTGAACATAATACGACATCCGTCTCTCCACCCTTCGTGCCTCTGACTTCTGGTACCATTTTCACCCGCTTGCTTACTTACTCTTATTATGGTTCTGACATTCGTGTTCATGGTTTGTTGTGCGCCTTGCGTGCGGTCGACCGCCAGAGCGCCGGCGGGAGTGCGCATGACCGTTGACTTCGGCTTCTGCTCTTAGTTTCGGTTGGACTTTTACGATGTGTGGGGCGCCGGGCGGTATCCCATTCTAATACGATCAGCAGCGTACCGTACATAGTGTATGTTATGTGCTCGTATGTCGTGCGTATGGGCATGTATCTTTTTAGGTGTTTTGTTTCATAGATGTAATATTGTCAAACTCGCTCCGTCGCATCGAGATTCGAGGCACCCATGTGCAGGCGCTCAATATGTGCGTACTCCTGCCTATTCTGGATGTCCAGTCCGCACTCGTATTGCACACCGGAGGTAATCCATTAACAAGCGTGGGTCACCATTAACTATTACTATTCTGCTCGTGAGTTCATGCTCTTCTCATACCGGAGACGGCTGACCCTTGGAAGACTCGGCGCCATGTCGAGCGATTCAGAGTCGGACACCGATTCAGTCAGAAACCACAGTCCGCCACCAACATCAGGAATCGTAACAGCGACCTCTCCCTTCGACGCCTCGGATGCAGACTTGATCCTGTGTTCATCAAACAGGGTCGATTTTCGCGTGCACCGCGCCATCATGGCAGTGGCATCCCGAGTGTTCAATGACATGCTCACTTTACCCCAGCCTGCGAATGCCGTGGACGATCATCTTGCTGTAGTTGATCTGACTGAAGACGGCAGCACGCTCGATACACTCCTTCGCATTTGCTACCCCGTCCTCGATCCGACCATCGATTCAATCGATCTCGCGCGCCCGGTCCTGGATGCTGCTTTAAAGTATGACATCAAAGTAGCGATCGTGTACTGCAAGCGAGCTCTCCGCCGTCTTGCAAAGGTACAGCCACTGAGGGTGTATGCCATTGCCTGCCTGCTTGGTGCAGAACATACGGCCAGGCTGGCTGCTCAACAAGCTATATCGCGATGGGATCAATTCAAGGACCAATATGTCCCGGAATTCGAGGAATTATCAGCAGGCTGCTATCACAGACTCCTGAGCTATCAGCGTCACGGCAGTGACGTCGGCCATCCCTTCTCCTTCTCCAAAGGAGAGTCTTCGACGTATCATGCCGTTTCGCCGTCCTCTCCGGAACAGTTGCATCCCGTACGCCACGCACCATTCCCGTTTGACGACCTTGATGCGGAAGTTATCATGGTATCTTCGGACAAGGTCCACTTCCGTGTGTTCAAGTCTATCCTCACTCTGGCGTCCCAAGTCTTTAAGGCGATGCTGCAGGCCACCACGCCGTGCGAGTCGGGATCTGACGGGTCGAAGAAATACATTCTCGATATCGATGAGGACAGCAACATTTTGAATACTCTCTTGCAGTTTTGTTACCCCATCGGCACTCCTCCAGCAATCAGTCCCGATGCTCTGCCAACGTTGCGTGCCGCCTTGAAGTACAAGCTCGATAGAGCCATCTGGTATCTCCGTTCCCAATGGCAAACCCTTTCCGCATTTGACCCATTATGCGCATATCTGCTTGCGGCTTCAGCCGGCTGGACAGAGGAGGCAAGCGCGACAGCTAAATCACTTCTCTTAGTAAACATCACCGTGCTGCAGGGTAGCACCGTTGCTGAACTGGAGACCACGTCCGCGGGTATCTACTACCGTCTGCTACAATACCACAAGAAATGTGCACAGATGACCAGCCAGCGTGTAGAGATGGCCTGCAACTATACCGGTCTATGGTCTAAGGGTCGTAACATACATGTGGAATGGTGTATCTCGTGCAAAGTCAGCTCTGGCCGCAGCGATTCGCTCTGGCTCAGAAAGTACGCACATGAAGCCTCGATGGAATTGAGAAGGCGACCTTCACCAGCGATATTTCGAGACAGTTACTTTATCACCGCTATGACCCGCAGCATCGGAGTACAGTCATGGTGTGACATGCACGCGCAAGACCTAACACATGTTCATGCTGGCTTCGCTAACGAAATAGAAAGCGTGCTTGCTGAGGTGAGTAAATGGAAACCTTTGCAAGGTAGGGCCAAAGGTGACGTGTTCTCTAGATCGGAACCGCGATGCTTTTCGAAGTGAATAAATGGATGAGATAAACAGTCTTTGCGAATACCCATGCATGTTACTAGTTTGTACGTGTTCGAGAAAGAGGCTGCATACGTGAAGAAGTGCTGGTGTCGGCAGCACCTACGAGCGTGGATTCAGTGTTAGCTGGAAATGAGTATTACGTAAGTGTACAGGCAGTCAGTACTCCTCAAATTGCGAGCACCAAGAGGACATCACATACCCGAGATGTTACTTCGTCGACTTTTTCAGCAAACAACCGATTGAACTCTCGCAATTCACTCACGACCAACGGTCTGCAAACACTACAACTTGCCGTATCCCTGATAGCATCGGCCATATCTGCACCCAGTACGGCTTTCCCGATGGGCGTGTCGGCGGTTATCTGCTGTAGGGTCTTCAAGTGATTCATCCACCACTTCCTCGTTTCCCAAGACCTCTCAACACCTCCTGAACTCATAGCGCAGATTACAGTGCTGGGCGCGCAAGAATCATGGTGCGGGCCGGCGCCACGCTGAGGTCCTCGCCCATCGGTCCTTTTAAGGAATATCCAGTTGTTCGCAGTCGGCAGCCAATGGAAGAAAACTCCTGTAGTAAGACCCCTCACGGCATCGCTGCATGCTTTGTGATACTGAAGAAGACGATAATATTCACCACCAGTGATGTCTTCCAGTTCAGGAGCGTATACGCCCTGAAGTGGAATGGCCAAGGAGCATCTGGCCGCGAACCTCGCCTCGTCCATCAAATCAAAGCGTAGAGCCAGGGCGTAGATATTTAGAGGTTTTTCCTCGGCAATACTGCGCATGCGATCCTTGACGATGTCCACGATCCCGCCGTCGGTCGCGCCGCCTGCGTATCTCAGCGCCGCCTTCAAGACGAGACGTAACGAATCGACGTCGCGAATTTCTGGGTGCCGCATCGGGTAGCACATACGCAGCAGTATGTCCAGCGTTTGATTATCTTCTTCCATCTCGACGATCGGCAGGCCGTCTTTGAACGGGCCGGAGCAGCTGTCGCTTTCCGACCCGGCTCCTGAGACTGCCTCACGCTGAGGCAAGGCAAACATGTTTTCGAAGGTTATAAACGCCTCCGCCAAGATCGCCTTGTGGACGCGGAAATCCATCAGATCGGATGAGCGTAGTATCACGTCTGCATTTTGCTTGTTGAATGGAAATGGTGCGTCGCGGATCTCGGCAATGGGAGTCTCAGAGAGTGCCATGTCGGCAACAGCGGCGGTGCTGGAAACGTCCATTTAATAGTCGTCTGCGAGCTGAGATGTCACGGTTCGTGAGGTACAACTCCACGCATGTGAATCGATTTGGCGGGGACATGATCCCGAGCTACGTACCGTTTGTATTTTGCGAGGTTACTGTGCAGGAGTGACGTCCACAGGCGGATTCGAGAGTCCTGTTATCAAGCTGCTGGCTGCGACCGTGGTCTATTGTGGGTCCAGGGTCCCATGACTGACTTAAACGTTTCTGAAGGTTTACGTGAGCCTCAAATCTCCAATCCAATCAGATGACAGCTATACGGCGCTATCAAGTAATCATTACCGACAGTACTATTACTTCAGATAATATAGCTCGGGACGATACTCTTTTGTCGACGCTCAATTGAAGTGGTGACTGGCAAAAAAAAGTCCTGCGAACGAGTTGGGAATAGTCATCACTGCGGCGGATCTTACTGTGTTCGCATGTGTCGTGTACGAGCAAATGGGGTCCTCGCAGCTCATACGTCTGAATTGTTTTACAACACAAAGGACATCGATACTGAAGAGCTGCACTTTGGCCCTGGCCGTCAGGCACTGCCACTGAGCAGCTCATCAGTCGTACATTCACTATAGAGCCCAAATCAACGAATCTCTCGTTCCACCTGTCGAATTTCCAGTTTCACCTGTCGCATGAATGTCGGTCAGTGATTCCGCCGCGACCGTGTGCATCACTAAAGGGAACATGTACCTCTGAAGTGACTCTGTCCACCTCTGCGGCATATAGCTCAGTGAACCTGCGCATATCTGCTGCCGCCCTCGGTTTGCACACAGGGCATTGCGTCGCCCCCGCTTCCACCAGAGCTTCGTCAGCCCCCGCATCAAGCACAGCCTTTCCGCAAGGTGTCTCGTCGGTAACTTGAGAGATCCCTCGACATATAATTCCACCACCACACTCTTGGTGTCGCCCGAAAGTACGTGTTGATGACAACGCTTTGTTGAGCCACCGCACAAGACCGACCATGTACCACGAGGAAACACCAATCGTCTACAGGTTTGGTGCAAGAGACCCACTTGAAGTCGGAGCTCGCAATGCGCCGAGCGGCGTCGCAGCACTTCTCGTGATAGTTAAGGATGCGGTAGTAGTCGCCCCCGTTGGTGACCTCAAGCTCTGCCGCATAGGCGCCTTGAATGGGCTTGACAGGATATGCTAGGAAGCACTTGGCCGCGAATCGCGCCTCGTCCAAGAGGTTGTGGCGCAGAGCGATGAAATAGACGCGAAGGGGGTGCGCGACAGCGAGCGTCTTCATCTGCATCTTGATCGCCTCCGTCACGCCGTCCATGGCATACTTGAGCGCGGCCCCCAGGACCGCCGACAGGTCTGCGATGGCGATCTCGGGCGGAGGCAGGGGGTAACACATGCGTAGCAGGGTATCGAGCGTCCTGCTGGATTCCTCTACCTCGACGACGCGCACATCACCATTGTACAAGGAGTCATCGTCATCGGCGTCTTCCGGAGGCAGGCTGAACGCGTCTTCGAAAAACGCACATGCCTCCGCGAGGATGGCCTTGCGGACGTAGAAGTCCACGCTGTCTGATGAGCGCAGTATGACGTCCGCTGTCGATTTGTCGAACGGGGCGCGTGCGTCAAAAATTTCGGGTGTAGTCGAGCGACAGTCGTCAGACATTTGAAGAGGTGGGTGGGGGGAGGGGCGACGTACGGCTTCCTTCAGCGTCAGTACAGCACACTATATGTACTTTGCACATAGCGGAGACGCGGGCGGTGCCCTCATGATACATATCGTCAATTTCATACCAGCTTGCTCGTCCAGATAAGACTGGATACAGGAATCACACATCCTCTTCAAGATCTGCGACATCACGACAGAGCTCCACAGTCAGGCACCACCCATGTCGGCCTTGAATGCAATCCAGTAAACCCATATACATGAATAAAATACACCCACAGCCGTCATCCCGCGCCATGCGCCGTGCATCGTGCAGCACCCATCCATGTCGTCATAGCTTCGCCTTCACCGTGACCCGAGTCGCACCCTCCTGCAGCTGGCGCGCCGCGTCGTTGACCATGTTGTCCACGATGACCTGCGCGGGCAGCACGTCGTGGATGAGCCCCGCGACCTGGCCCGTCAGGAACGTGATCGCCTTCGCGTGCTTCTCGGGGTGCTTGCGGACCTCCTCCTCGTGCGGGATGATCCCGCGCGCCGTGAGCTCGTCAATCTCCTTCTGGCGGTTCTTGTTCCTGCACACCAGAGTTCGTCTTAGCATCCCGCGACACACAAGCACACACAAACACGCACCAGTCGTCCACATACTCGTTCCGCACGACGCGCAGCGGGCGCCCGGTGAAGATGACCGTGCGCGCGGTGTCGTCGATGCCCGCGCGCACGACCGCGTCCTTGTGCGCCTTGGGCGCGCCCGCCTCGACGCTCGCGACGAAGCGCGTGCCGACCCAGACGCCCTGCGCGCCCCACATGAGGTTCGCGGCGAGCCCGCGCCCGTCGTACACCGCGCCCGCGCCGACGACGTACACCGGGCGGCCCGTGAGCGGCGACGTGTGCCCGCGCACCGCGTCGACGCACGCGGGGATGAGGAGCGAGCAGGGCACGTCGCCCGTGTGGCCGCCGCCCTCGCCGCCCTGCGCGCAGATCAGGTCCACGCCCGCGTCGAGCGCGCGGGGGACGTGCTTCGGGTGGCCGACCATCTGGCGGGACGGGGTCAGCGCGGGGGGGAGGGCAGGGAGCGGGGTGGCGCGCGTACGTTCATGACGGGGATGCCCGCCGCATGCATCTTCTCCACGGCCCACTTGGGCGGGATGCCGACTGCGCAGACGAACAGCGCCGCCTTCTCTTCGATGATGATGTCGATCAGCTCGGGCAGCTTGCCGTTCTGGTAGTCTTTCTGCAAGCGAGCGTGTGAGTTCGAGTATGGAGCGGTGCGCAGATCAGCGACGCACATTTGTCTTGCGCGCGTTCCCGCCAACCTGGGGGATCAGAAGGTCCACACCAAAGGGCGCGTTCTTGTCCTTGAGGTCCGCTTTGACAGCACGTATCTATACATGAGGGGTTGTCATTGCGCACCACCGAGATGTGGGGAGTGAACATACCTGCTGTCGCAGAAACTTGGGTGTATAACCATGTCCTCCAATCACTCCCAGACCACCAGCGTTGGTGACTGCCGCTGCAAGCTCGGGGCCGGCAGCGACATTCATACCTGAGGTGAAGAATGAATAAGGTCACCCACCAGCGAGCGTTCGCGTCACGGACATACCAGCGAGGAGGATGGGGTGCTTGATCTTGAAAAGCTCTGTGATAGGGGTGCTGATGACGGACATGGCGGTAGGGGTTCAGGGAATGTGGATCGTGCGACGCTGTATTATACCGACCCGAGCGTCGGAGTGATGGCGAATATTTGAGTTGGGGCCGATCGTGGTATATACGGGTTGCTGGGTGAATCCTGTGCCATGTGATAGCGTGAGCACGGCGTCGCAAATGTGACCCGGAAATCAGCTGCTAGAATGCTTGTAGGACGTGCTGACGCACGACTAACCTTGGCAGCGGGAGCAGTGGCTAGCGTGATGAACGACCAGAACAGAGAACAGATTGGTGTGAGCCTGCGACTGGCAACTCCTTCAATCATATTTGATCCCTGCTAAAAATGGCAATTTTCTCAAGTTGTGCGCGTCAAGCTTTTGACGGTTCGACCCTTGTGCCGTTCGGATTCATTGATGTTGTTGTGTGCTTACCTACGTCATACTATCCGTCGTCTGTCTCTCTACTCATTCCACACGGGATACCTCTCCCCCCTACATATAGTTCGTGTTTCCCCCCTCCCTTCGCTCCTTTCCTCAGTCGTTGTATCACTACGACTGAGGTGCGTTCGTCTTCGCTTTGTAGCCTCTACTCGAACTAACCTGCAGTAGAATGCATACTTACAGGTTGTTCAGCTTCTATAGTTGCTAATGCACCAACTCGGCGCCTATTCTGAATTCACGTGTCGGCGCCACAAGCGCGTCAGGCGCTGGCAGGTCGACGCGTCGAGAAGCGCTCGCCATCATTCACCGGAGCATAGAACTATGCAGTAGACCGTCTCCAGCCCTCAATCCAACGAATCGCCTAGACATGAGAGCGCACTGCAGCATCTGTCAAGACAGCCACCTCCTCCAGGACTTCCGCTTCCTTCCCTGCGGTGCGTCGACTCGGCCGGTTCTGCGGCTTCCCCTACACTCATATTTACACGCCAGGGCATGGCTTCTGCCTTCCATCCTTGGAACACTACGTTCAACAGCATACACGAAAACCCTGTCCCATCTGTCGTGTATCCTTCAGATTATCCGACGTCCTCGCCGTCTTCATCGAAGGAGATCCAGACGCGCCTCGCAGCCAGGCAGCTCCTGCTAGCGACGCGGCCAATGACCAGCCATACCCCTCAGCGGTGCTCAGGCAAGCCGCGTTTGCCAGCGAGAGGATAAATATGATGAGCTCTGACTGCACCCCGGAGACCGTGCAGCGCGCCGCGCGCGAGATCCAAAAGGTCATTGACGGTCTGAGCCGGCCACCAGGCAACATGGAGGTGCGTCTCGCCCAGTTTCTCCGTAAATTATGTGCAAAATGCAGTACGAAACTCTCCGTCCCTCCCGCAGACCCTCCTCGCCGCCATCGCGGCGTTCTGGAAGCGCATCGTGCCCGTGTTCGAGGCCGCCGCCAACCAAAAGGAGCAGCTCACGGCCCTGCAGAGCGATCTGCGCGCCGCGGGCACGGAGAAGGACGCGCTGCGCCAGGACGCGGAGCACGCACGGTGTCTCGCGAGCAGCGCGGTCGACACCGCAGACAAAGCGCGGCACGAGCTCGTCGGCGCGCGCGAGGAGGCGGAGCGTCTGCGCCTGCGCCTCGAGGCGCAGGGAAGGCAGCACGGCGAGCAGCTCGCGGCGAAGGCGAAGGAGGCGCGCGGGCTGTGGGACACGGTCCTCGCGCACAAGGACAAGGTGCTGTCTCTCGTCTGCCATCTCCTGGGGCCGCCGGGGACTGACGGGCGGTGTGTGCGTCAGGAAGCGAAGCAGAAGGCGAAGATCGCCGCGTTGAGGCAGCAGGTTGGGGAGCATGAGGCCACGATCGACCTGCTGCGCTCGCGGGCCATACCCCCTGCAAGACGGGCGCGCTGGCGGGGCTCGGAACGAGCTACCCCAACGCCTGCCTTCAACCCTGACGAGGTGCGTCCGTGGACCATAGCTTCTGTCCCGTGCACATGCTCACGAGCCTGCAGGATCTCGACGTCCTCGACGCATACCCGACCCATGATAACACCCCCCTTACTGATACCACCGCGAATTCCGATCTTGGCTTCCTGGACCCCGAGTCGTCTCAGCCTCTACCTCCCCTCTTCCCCACTCCACGTTCGCAGCCATCGTTTCCCGCGCCCGCGACGCTGCAGCGCCCCATCTTCGGCACGGACTGGAACCTGAAGCCGCCTGAGAAGCGCAGGCGTGTCGTGTCGGTAGACACACGCCCATCGACGTCGTTCCCGATTGCGGTGGACGAGAAGGGGCGGCCAAAGGGCGCGGTGCAGCTGGGCTCGCGGCAGAAGCTCAAATCTGGATGACGGAATGCACCTCTTGTGTCTGATTTTCTTAGTGCCGTCTTCACGAAAGGTGTCGCGCGCGTCGAACACAAACAAATTCTCGCTGAACGGCCTCCCACTGAGAATACGAATATCTCGACTCGACAAATACTAAGTGTATCGTCTTCATTTTTGCTATGCTAGACTCGCCTCGTCGTCGTGCATGTCCTGGTACTGAAAACATCGTGAATTTTCAACGTTGAAATTTCGACATCTTCGGCACCCCTCTGAAACAGAATCGTTCCTGCTCGCGAACACGACATCGGAGACTCGTAGGATGGATATTCATGGAGCTAGATGAGTGCTATGGAGGGTGTGGTATGCTAGTGGTATGTCATACACAGTTGCTCCACCTTGTATCGTTCACATTTTCGGGCGCGATTGTCGTGTCTGTCCTTCCTTCTTTGCACATCTCAAACAACATCCCTTCGTTTCTTTCTATGGGCTATATCTTGCCTTTGTGCCCCTACTGAACCTCTACCATCCACTCCATCACTGGTTGCGACACCTGACATTAGCAGTTGATATTGTCTTTAAAATGATATTGAGAATGAACTCTTGGTGTGACAGAATGCATTTCGTGTGTCTTACGTTCTTCGCTTAGGTTGGCGTCTGCTATATGTTGGGGTGTAATACCATGCCTCGCGGGGTTCCGCCTCCATGCCTCAAGATATGCAGTCATTCCCAGCTAGATGCCATCATACTATTGCAGTAGATTATGTCCGGTGATTGCGATGGAAGAGATAGCATGCCGACGGGGTATCATATGGGGCGTGGAACATACACATGACAACGAAGCAAGCTTTATGGATGCAGATAGATTAGTGAAAGATTATGAATGAGTCCACATACCACGTCATCACGAGGAAGCATCGGCCGCAGCGGCCTCCGACGCAGCATTCGCAGCGCCTTCTGCGCGCATAAGGCGGCGAAGACGAGCCAGCTCTTCCGAGAGGGACCTGTCGAGCGTCACGTCCGTCAGCACACACAGAACGCAGACTTGCGCAGACACAACACGCACTTTGCCGTCCGCCACGCCTCCTCGTTGTCCTTACCCACCTTCTCCACCTGCGTGCGCAGCGCGCCAATGTCCTCGCGGAAGCTCTGCTCGACCTCGTGGCGTATGCGGTCGTTCTCCTCCTTGAGCCGCTTCACCTCGCCCGCGCCGCTCTCCTCGCGCTCGCGCCGCACCTCCGCGACGAGCCGCGTATACCGCCGCCCGACCTCCTCCGCCTCGCGCAGCACCTTCTCCTCCCGCCGGTGCATCTCCTCGCGCAGCGCGGTCGCGTCCGCCTGGAACGACGCCGTAAGGCCCTTGAGCGAGTCCCGCAGCACGGCGTACTCGCGCTCCGCCTTCTGCGAGCGCGCAGTCACTTCCGCGAGCGACGAGTCCATCTCGCGGATCGACTTCTTCGAGCTGGTCGACTCGAGCTTGAGCTGCGACTTCAGCGAGATGGCTTCCGCTTCGGCCTTCCGCGCGCGGTCCAGCACCTGGCGCGGAGGGGCACGGTCGGAGACCGGACGTGGAGAGGACAGGCACCGGGACGCACCTCCTGTAGCAGCCGCTCCTTGCGCGCAACCACGTTGTTCAGCCCCTCGTTCTCCAGCCGCAGCCGCTCGCGCACCTCCTTCAGGTCTTCCGTCTGGCGCGTCAGCTGGCTGACCTGGCGCTGGCTGACCCTGAGTTGCGCCTTCGTGTTCTCGAGCGCGTTCTTCGCGTTGAGCACGCCCGCCTGCAGGTCTGCAAGCACCTTGGTCGTGTTTCCGGGCGCGAAGGAGCTGCGGCGGCTGGGCGACGTGGGGGAGTACGACGACGTCGACGCGCCAAAGTTAGGCGACAGCCGGGCTGAGGCGGCGTGCGAGCTGTCTTGCTGGCCTTCCTCAGCTAATGCTCGTGCGTTGCCTTGCAGGCGAGGGTCAACACGCGGCGCGCTGCTAGCAGTGCGATCACTTACCCACAGATGACACGGGTATTCCTTCGGTCCATCAGTCAGGAAACCTCGATCAGTGGAGAATGATGTGACGTACGACTCAATGTTCGTGTAGGGCTATATGATCGTATACCAGACATGGTTGGGATACCCTCCCGTATCCCATTTTCCTCTCCAAACGACAATCTCCTCTCGTCGCGTCTTGGTAGCGGTAGATTTGAATCGGGCCCAGCGAGCCCGTGGAGCACTTCGAAGCTGTTGCGCTTCTGCAGTCTTGGATTGTACGTGGCGGGCTGCCCCGATGCCAAGTCGAGCTCCATGGGTGAATGTGGTGGTGAGCCCATGATGCCTGGGGGTAATGGCCGCGGGCCGCGCAATAGCGTGTTCTCCAGCGACTGAAGCTGTGCCTGCTGGTGCCGGATGGAGTGTCGGAGCGTGGACATCTGTGTCCGGATGGTAACTGATATGCACAGCCCGGTCAGCGTCGACTCTGGAGTGTTCAAGAATCAAAGCACCTGTGTCATCTGGGAGCGATACGGAAGGACTTGCAGGCCGCCCGTTCGAACGGACAGAGTTGCGGGAGGATGGACGGGAAAGAGGACGAGGAGGAGAGAAGGGAGATGGCAAGTATCCCGACATAGACATTTACTCAAGTTCTACGGTTCTGACTGCAAGAACGGGAAAGTTACGAGCGATAAACCTCATAAAGTCGAGTGCCCCGTGTATGTGGTGGTAGGCGGAGACGGCAACTGTTAGAACACTTTCACCTGGCCTCTCCCAGTACTTCTAGTTGGTTGCCTGGCAGGATGTTACGGGGTGGGTATGCAAATGTTCCACGCGTGCTACGCCGTAATCTGTGAACGACAGGATGGCCGAGGGTAACCAGCACGGTAAAATGACCGCGTACAGTAAATACGGAATACCATTTCACAAGTAGCTGTCAGTGTGAGGCGCCTTCCCACGGTCTGAGGTAACAAATCTGAAGCTATGGCAGTAGTGAATGTGTTACAATCTGCGACCCTGTGGGTCCGTGCCTCAATTCTGCATATATCATATCGCAGAGTAAGTGAATGAGTACTAGATTATTCCACTGTCGAGGTCTCGGCATAATACTTACTCTGCCGTAGTGGCTGACGTCGAGATCGCAGATGCTGACCCGGAGGCGACTCAGAAAGAGTTGCGAGAAGCAGCCGCGCCATTCAACAGGTTGAGCGCGGATGTTATTCTACGCTCCTCCGACAGAGTGAATTTCCGTGTCTGGAAGAATATACTTGCAGAGGCATCCCCCTTCTTCCACGATCTGTTCAGTCTACCCCAGCCCGTGACCGCTGCGTCGGGGAAGCAGCAGGACGAAGACGATTCAGTGTCGGTCGTGCCAATGACAGAAGACAGTGTTGTCCTAGACAAGCTGCTTCGCTTCTGTTATCCCATCCGCGACCCTGAGTTCGCGAGTTTGGACGAGTTGCGACCAGTCATAGATGCCGCCAAAAAGTACCTCATGGACGAGGCACTGCAGCTTCTCAGAACACGTCTGCTTGCATTCGCGAGCGTGTCGCCTATTTCCACATATGCCGTCGCTATACGCTACGGGCTAGAAGAAGAAGCTCGTCACGCAGCAAAATGCTTCCTCGGACATGCTTGGGAATGGGACAAAATCTATGTTCCAGAACTCGAAGATATCAGTGCAGGGGCATACCATCGGCTTCTCGAGTACCATAGACGATGCGGCGAGCTTGCGACTGGTCTCGTCAAGATATTCAGGTGGATTGACTCTGCGAATGCTTGGGTGTTTCTCGAATGCTCCAACTGCGCAGGCGACCAGCAGCAATGGTATATGCTAGGTGATGTCCTACGGACTCCCAGGACTTGGTGGATGCAGCATATGGAACGTTCTGGCAAGCTTTTGGAGAACAGGCCAAGCGCAGAAACAATAAGATCCACTGGTTGGACAGATCAAGCAGTATTGGATGCTATGAACTGCGCGGTATGCAAGCAGAAGGTGGTGGAGCACATGCGACGATTCAATGAGAAATTTGCGGCCGAGTTGGACAGAGTTGTCTCTGAGGTGCGTCCCAAAATCCAGAGACGTGCGATCTTGAGTCGAGCCTGATAATGACGACACCTCGTCTCTAGGTCAAGTTGGAAATCAGGATGTAGAGTCATCAAAGAATGACAATGGACGTGGTCCGCGCAACGTGTTCTCCGGTGATGGTGATGATACCTGTAGCTGATGGGGCACATGGAGTGTCACAGCATGGGCATTTGCGTCCGGCTTATGTCGCTAATGAAGCTCTCGAAGAAAGTGGGCATCTATGTCATCTGTTTATCGGCGGCGCTGGCCGTCGTAATAGCACAGCACAGCCAGCATCACTAATTGGTTGCGTCCATCGCATTCGCAACTCGTCCTGTGCGATACCTGCCTATGCTCGGCGAGTTTCTCTCTGCCCCTCAAACACTTCCTAGAACTTGTGACATTTATTCCTGAGTCTACTTGCTTTCAGTAGCACCACTGGGTCCTCTGTAAGGAGACTCTCGAAAGGTCAGGTTCACCACTGTGGTAGGCCCAGATTGTCCGCTGGCCGAATCCGCGGAAACGTACGGGTCAGACGTAGCCTGCCCCATGATCAGGCATTTTCTGACACTTCATTCTGTTCTCAAATTGGTTCGTAGGCTGCGAGACACCCCGGCCGTGCTGTACGCCCGGATCGAAAGCGACTCGCAGTCAGACCTTATCAGGCGTGCAGAAAGGATTCGTACGCGTTCTTGCCGTCCATCCCCCCTTTGCAGGAGCCCAGGACGACGCCGATATGGCTCCTCCGCTTGCTATTAGGCGGGTCAACGCGTTTGTAAATAGAGTTGAGCATAATCGACTATGGCTTCCTGGGACGTTGCCTGTAGCGCGACACTCAGCGACGGCGTGTGCCTTCCGAAATCCTGCATCTGGTACGCATATGCTGTGTCAGTCCTGAGGAACGATCGCTGCCCTGTACTCCCCCCCAGTCTCTTGCACCTAACTTAATGTGTCCTGTGTTCTATGGACTATATCTTCGACAGGCCTGCAGTCATTTGTCATGACACAACCTTTAACACTACCGTTAGCGCGGTGGGTCCTTCTCGTTTCATCCACCATATCCCGCTTCGTGCGAGGTTCACTGATCTCCCGTTCATACACCGAGGAACAGCCCACCACTGACCAGCATGAAATTGCTACTTCTACACCGCAACGATTATGAATTGCCTAAAGGCTCATATCGTTGGAACTGTCAAAGCGTGGGCTCTCATTTGGGACATATATATCAGCAATCTCGGGGTAGATGCAACCGATTCGAGCCCCAACACTCATATACACGACTATGTTAATCACCGGTGGATACATCGGTCAACACGCTCATATTTCTACTTTCAGCTCGATCTATAGAGCAATTGATGTCAGTTAGTGTCTACAGTACTCTGATAATAATATTCGCCGTGCAGACACACCTGCGCAGTGACTCTATCCACTTCAGCGGCAAGTTTCTTGCTGAACGCTGCCATTTGGCGATGTATTTTTCCCTTGCAAGTTTTACATGTCATAGCTTCTATCTCCGGCTTGTCGTCTATCGGCCAAGTTTGGCTCGCTTTGATAAATGTCGCTCCGCTCGGCCCAGATCCCAACCAGACTCCAAACATCCCCATGTATATTGTCCACCATCCTCGTGGAGTGCGCCTGACATTGTCCTTGAAAATTTGCTGCCCCTGCGTGGCTATGCATATCCCACATTCGAGGAACGCCCATTGCTCCTGTGTGTCTATCCATTGGTAAGAGTCACTACAGAGATCCTTCGCTGCAGCACTGCACTGTCGATGGTAGTCGAGAATGCGATGGTATGCCACTCCGTTTATCTCGTGCAGCTCTGGTATGTCACTCTCGTTCCAATCAATGGAGTAGTTGAGGCAGCATCTTGCTGCTTTGCGGGCTTCCTCCTCCCATCCGCATTTGATCGCGATGGCGTACACCCTGATTGGCGATTCCACTGCAAATATGAGCAAACGTTCCTTAAGACGTCGCAACGGCTCCTCCATCAAGAACTTCATTGCGGCCTCCATAACCGGGCGCAACTTCTCGAGGGACTCGAACTCGGGATCGCGGGTAGGATAACACAAGCGCAGGAGGCTGTCGAGGACGGCGCTATCCTCCGACATCGGGACATCAGCAAAACCAGATTTTTCTTGTAAGGCTTCTATAAGGCCCTTATAATGCACCACAATCGATGTGATCGCTTGTTATTATTGCAGTGGTCTGATAAGACATTATAGCGCTCACGCAAAATGCCAATGCTCGCAATCGACGCCATAGGCGCAATTCTGATGATGTCTGGCCAATGGACGCCATGTTGCTGTCGCCTTGTAATGTAGTACAAGTCATCACAATATATATATGAATCTCCCACCTATGGCATTTATTGACTGGCTGTAACAACATATATGAGGTCACCAGGATTGCTGTACAGTACTGAGCGACTATTTCCTTTATAGCATCACATCGCTCGGGTACATCTTGGTGGTCCAGACAGCTCGCAGACATCAGGTCAAGAAGGAGATGCATTTGATGTACAGAAACACAAGTACTACTACGAGCACTATGACTATTACTACTTCATCATGTCTCCGAGCATGTACAGCGCCGTGGGGATGCGCTTAAGCATTTACAGTTGTTGGCGACCAAACACGTCCGAACGCTTTGCATGTGCGCGCACACATGGTGTCGCGTTATCGCATCGGGATTGGCGCGATGTTGATGCACCCCTGGCGTACCTGTACCTGCAACCTCGTTCCTTACTCTTGGAACCTCACTCGAGATGCCGATACTCACATTGTGGCTGACAACTGGCCTGTTTATAGAATTAATTGGTGTTACAATAGATAGCACATGTACTCACCTAGTCCACCACCGCCGGAGCATGCTCCGCTGCATTGGCAGTCCAGTCAAAGTCTGTATTGCTTCAGACAAATGATGGTGAGTAACGTACCTGGATTGCTTGTTTTCCGATTGCATAGTGTATGCAGTGGTGGCCACTAGATCGACACAATGTAGTTGAAATGACAAAGGAAGCTAAAAGTTGGGTATGAGAGGCCACACTTAGCGGACACATGGTCTTATATATGCTAAGGGGGTAGCCAGACGTTGAGAATTCCGCACCATTAGTGGGGCGGCGGGGAATTCAGGGAGTCACATTCACCCTAACCTAGACCGTGCATAGCTCTAATTATTTGATATGGCAGTGAGTTCATCCACAATCAACTCCCAGCAGATCTCAGCAGATGTATCAAAACAGTAGCCCGCACTCACGACATGTCCGTGCTGGCCGGTAGCCATGCGATCCAGTGTTCCGTGGGGCCCTACTGGGCTTTATGTGTGAGAATCGTATGGCTGGCCAGATCGAGAACTGTAGTCTTTGTCAGGACATCGACTTGCAATAGTTATTCCCCAGCAGCTCGTTCGAGACACCGTGCATGGTAGCGGGGGTGGCGCGCCAGTTGCGGGGGCCAGCGGCAGAGAGCACGAGTGGCGGTGGAAGTAGTTGACAATCTGGGAGCCGTCATGTAGCTCCTGGAGGATGGCGCCGGGCTGCTGTACATACTTAGGTTTCTTTTAAGGAATTGAAGTAGCTCATTATACAAGAGTAACATTCGTATCTGACACAAGGGGCCAATACCAGGTGCGCACTTTGTCCGTCAGAAACCTCTAAGGCAAAGGCAGTATGTAAATTGTGCTTTGATGTATATCTCCGTACAAATATGTGAAACCCGGCTGTTGGAGGCTCGGACGCACTCTACACGTACCCATGCTGTATGGAGTAAAAGTAAATTCGCGTAATTACTTTTTGACAAATAAATCGTCTGGACTCGCATAAAAAGCGCCTCGAAAGGGTACCCCTAACCCATACACGAGTAATTTGGATGTAATACCAGATCCTGCTGCACGTTCGCAATCACTCAGCATACGGCCGGCCTTCTTGCAAGCCCCATACAAGCCCTGTCAGGCCAGTAAAATTATGCTTGCAAATCACAATAGCCCTCCAATTCTGTTGAGTGTCTCTCGAATATCACCATCATTGTACCTACGTTATAAATATATCATCAGGGGTTTATCGCGGGCAGTTATACTGGTGTGTATTGGTCACTGGCATAATGCATTGGCATTTTTCAAAGGTTTCGTTGATGGATGATCGGGAGGCCATCGTCGCTCGGCTGCTGCCCTGAATCTTGCGCATCCGGCTGGGGAAGGCTGAAGTGGTCCTCAAAGAACGGTGAGGCCTCCGTCAGGATGGCTTTCCAGACGCGAAAGTCAACGCTATCGCAGGAGCGCAAGATCACATCGACATTACGCCTGTTGAAGGGTGCCGCAGCTTCCTTGATCTCGCTCTGGCCATCAGGCTCAGCTACTTCAGACTTGATATCGGTCACTGTGAAAGTATTCAACTAGCATGTCCAGGAAGATAGATTCACGCTCCGCTTACTGGTATGAACGTATGTGGTAAGAGATGATAATCGGGCGACTGCACATTTGACGCCGTACAGGCTTCTTGCAACGAGGTTGACCAAACGAGAACAACCAGGAGACAACGCTGGACTTTCTAGATTGCGAGGATATATGGCTCGAGGGCTCATCTCTTTATTCACGTAGGCCGAGCGTCAGAGAACTTACGGACAGAGTACTCGGACTGCTATACAACGCACCATCCCCGTCACATTGGAAATTTTCGACCTACTGCTCTGCAGGCTACAAGGAGCTCCTTGAAGTAATCACATGTATCGACGTGTACTTAGCGGCGGCAAGTACTACGAGGGGAGCTGAAACAACTGATTCCATACCCATCTACATCTCCCCCCTTCACGCTATGCCTTGATCTCTAACTCAACCTGTTGTGATTTCCTCAATCGGTAAGGTCTAGCCCAAGATGTTTCCGACTCACCTCTGAAGTGACTTTCTCCACCTCGGCAGCAAACCTTTCAGTGAATCGCCTCATATCTACGAGGACATTCCGTTTGCACTCCGAACATCCCATTGCGACTTTTATCGCCTGATCCGTCCAGCCAGGGGAAGCAATGGCTTTCCCACTTGGCGTGGCCTTGAGCAGTGCGCCAGAACGCTCCATATGCTCTATCCACCATTTCCGTGGATTGCGTCTCGTATTTGGCCAATTATAAGTCACAAGTGAGCTGGGACAGAGAATATGGTCGAGAAGGTACGATTGCGAGTCGTCCGGGCTCAACCACAGGAATTCTTTTGTCAGTCCGGCCACTGCTTGGCTGCATCGTTGATGATAGTCAAGAAGCCTGTGATACGCTCCACCAGAGATCCCGTCAAGTTCCATTGCGCAGATGGTGCTAAAGTCCAGCGGGTAGTTAAGGAAGCACTTCGCTGCCACTCGGGCTTCCTCGTCCCAGCCGTGGTATATAGCGATGGCGTATACCTTGACAGGCGATGTCTCAGCAAGAGCGTGCAGGCGTGTCCTGAGATCACGCAAGGGGGCGTCCACCATGTACTTCTTCACGGCCTCTAAGACCGGACATAGCTTCTCCAAGCTCTCTAGCTCGGGATCGGCTGTCGGATAACACAGACGAAGAAGGCTGTCGAGGACAATACTGTCTTCCGTCACCTGTATGACGGGCACGCCATCTTTGTTGACGATCTGGCCTTGCTGCATCAGCGCGCCGGTCCCGGGCTGGGGTAAGCTGAAGAGATCGTGAAAGAACGGTGATGCCTCGGCGAGGATGTTCTTCCACACATGAAAGTACACCGAATCGCAGGAACACAGAATGACATCGGCATCGCACTTGTCGAACGGCGCGGCCGCTTTCTTGCCCTGATGGACCGAGTGATCCGACTCTGTACCTCCAGACTTGACGTCAGCCACTACAAGTAGCAAGTCAGTGTCACTAAGACGTTCACCACACGCTCTACTTACTGCCGCAGACACGTAGTAGAGGCCAGAGTCGTCTGACGCCGTGGACGCGTTACATATCGAGGATAATCAAATCACTACGTTGGACTTTTTAGGAAAGACGACGATAGTTGAGCAAACCCCCTCGTATGTAGTAGTTGGGCTGACAATTGAACCTGTCACGTACCGCGCACGGTTGTTGCGAGTTCCAAAGTAAAGAATGGACAAATTAGGGAGATCCTTCACGCCAGGAACTGCTGACGGAATAATTGAAGAACCCAGTGAAATAAGACGTGAATGTACAGCCTGATTGCTACATAGCAGGACGGGACAGAAACAAATTGAGAGGTGCTGGTGTGTAAGCGGGAGGAGCTCATGGTATCACGGCGGATGCCCCGACTAACATCCTGAACGTTTGACAAACAGTTCGCCTGGTCGCAAGATGAATGAAGAATGTGTAAAGAAGTATATGTCGAGCCCTACGTCTCTTGAGGACATTCTTTGATGGTCAGCTTCGACATCTCAGGAGACGACTCTGTGCGAGAGGAATTCGAGCGGGTGCGCTTGAGCGGCATGTCGAAGCACTCCTCGCGCTTCCGCTTCTGCAGAGGCTTGCACTCCGAGCAATCCGAGCAGTAGCTCTCGTCGCTCGGAGAAGGAGAGGGCAGGCGGAATGAAGCGCATGATGCGGGCCGCGACGGCATCGGACTGAGAGCCAGCGGCGTCTCACAGAGCTTCTGACAGAAGCGGGGCTGAGGTGGGAATGTCGACAATGTCCTAGATGATCATGAGTACAACTATGCACGAGGACCGCAATATATACTGACTGTGTCTCCTCGAATGTCTGCTTCAAAGCGAGGTATTTCTTCTCGAATTCGTCCCTCTCCGCCTTCATCTTGATCGCGCCGTCGCGGGCAACTCGCGTGAGGCCAACGAGTCCTAACGTGGCTGCCGCATGAACTGCTGCGCGTTTTCGCCACATTGTGCAGCAGTGACGGAGCGATGCGACTTCTGCCCGAAGCCGATCGCATTCTGGGGTTGCAGAAGACGATGCCGTGGTACATGGAATGGAATATTCCAGCTGAAGCTTGCGAACGGAAGGGGTAACGTGTGGTTGAAGATGATGCGGGACCAGGGTAGGGTCCACTTGCGCTGTCCCACGATGCGTGCACCCGTCAGCTTTGATGTGATGCGCTTATCTTGGGCAAGGACGTACCGATAGTGTATGGGTGCCGACATGTCGGACAGAAGTGGTGGTGTGTATATGGTGTGACCTTACGAACCACTTGGACGATGCAAGGGTGACAGAATACATGGCCTAGGCGGTAAGGGCGAGTTCAGTGGAAGGAAGATGGACGTCTGAGGATAGACGCTTACCGCACGGAAGTGCAGCCGGGTCTTTGAGAAAGTCTAGGCAAATTATACAAGTGGGCATGCCTCAGACTGGAGAGGTAGAGACGTCGGGATGAGTTCAGGTGTAGTAATATGCGATGGCCATATAGCTAGGCCCTAGCGGATTATATAGAATGAAGGATTGCGGAAGCAACAGGATGAGACGCCTCCGAAGTCTACCGCGGATGATGATGACACCACCCACACTCACACATACACGGTAGTTAGGGCATGCGATGGGCAATTCGAGAATTGCGGCGTGAAGACGGAAATGCACCGAAATGCATCTGCCAAGTCGTTATAACATATTCCGAGTCAGATGCCGCAAGGAACGGAGACTTGCCGTGGCATCACAGAGCGGCATTCCCTCGTAGGAAGTGTGATACACGCCTCCTGACTCTTACACTATTCAAGCTGCACAAGACAAACGCGAAGACCTGTCCGTGTATATTCTTGCGTCCGCTGGCAGGTTCGAATGGGGTGCACATTCGTCGTGCACTCTCCATGCCACAAGCAAGTTCCGGTGCGACCAAACCGCAAGAAAGGAGATGAGCACCGCGTTTCTGACGTTGCGCCACCGTCGAGAGCGAAGTAGAACTGAGCGAGCCCGAGGCGAGGATGAGTCTAGGCGGCCCGCCCTTGGATGGGTCCAGACGCGTGACGGTCACATCACGTGAGCGTATGCGATCGTACCTGAAGACGCGCCGTGTTGAACGACGCGTCCCCAGTTCTTCGCAGCCGACGCGACTTGAACCTCATCCACCACCACGAGCCGCAAGATTTGTACCCCACACGCATAGCAGCCCACGGCCCAGGCATTGACTCGCAATGTCTGAAGGCTCATGTGGGATCTGCTTGGACGATCTCAAGTCCCCTGTATCAACACCCTGCGGTACGTCAAACTTATCGAGTCTTTCCCGCAGGAGCAGCATCACTGACAGCTCGCGTCACCAGGTCATCTCCATTGTGAAGCCTGTTTATTTACACATCTCGAAGCGAACGCAGACGCCATAACTGGTTCTTGTCCTACCTGTCGCGCTCATTTCCCCATCAGTACGTTTCATCGGCTCGCCGTTCGACTTCTTGTTGACGCTGCCACGCAGCAAACCCGGATTTGCGCTTTGTACCACCAAAATACCATGTTTTTATACTCCCCAGCGTGCGGCGCGTCTTCCTCGATGTCTCTGGACAGTCGAACAGACAGCTGCAAGCGACTGCGACGCGTCTCGAGTCCCGTGTCAATGCGCTTCTGGAGGACAAGAGGCTCCTGATGGAGAGATGCGAGTCGGCAATGGCAGCATCCCAGAAGCATCAAGAAGGCGAACGAGACGCTCGGCTAGAGATGGAGAATCTGATGGAGGAACTACGGGAGCTCAGGGCGAAGTACGAGAACCTGAAGAGGGGATACAGGATGTTAAGAAAATCGTACGTGCGTTGGCGGTATGTCTCCCACCAGCATCTGACATCCCAAAAGCGACGCTTGCGGGCCTGTACAAGCGCAGAAGCGCGACAGCATCCAAGCAGGGCTTGACAGCTCATCGGCATCCTCGAGTCATGAACATACACCCTTGTTCCCGCCTTGCGAGGATGAAGGAAGAAGTCTAGGAAGATCGGCCCTGCGCGCCACGAAGCGACCTCGCCCTCTTGGGTCACCTTTCGATCTCCCCGTTCTCCGAGGCATTCCCGCAGCGCGTCCTGCCTTATTCAAGAAAGGGCGTCGCTCCGTAGTGCTCAACCTCGACAGCTTCGGTCTGCCTAGTCTCCCCGATAATTTAGAGGAAGACGACGACACGGTGGTCAACTCCAGTGGAGGCCCCCAACGTTCCGGACTGCCAACGGGCGACATCTTTTCGCCCGAGGTCAGTGGGGGCGCAAACAGCAGTTGGGGCCGTAGTATCTTTGGCACCGGAGGCTCGATGGAAATCGAAGAGGATGATGAATAAAATCCATAAACTCGCTGTGAATACGAGTCAACCCACCCCTAGGATTCAAACATTTTATGACACTCACGCATGTTACGTTGCAAACTGACCATGACACTTGACACGGCACCTTACTATCCCTATACGTATATATCCTCTCGTTTAGAAGCCCAATGCTTGACTCTGTGTTTGTCGCGTATATGTAGTTCTGATATAGGCGTTCAAACCGGTTGCCCGTACTTACGATCCCGATGCTTTGCAAGAACGTTTGCTGGCCCGTCTTGGTATGTAATCCGACTGTCTTTCTGATTAGGTCTGGATCTAGCACGCGGTGGCGCCCAAGTTGAGTCATAATATTGGGTCCATTCTGAAAGTTCGTAATTTTAACACTCACTTTCTCGTCCAAACGTCTCACGTCTCGTTCGCAGCTGCAGATGGAAGTCTCTGAACAAACTCGGATGGAGGCACACGAGATGGCATCACTGCCACTATCGGCGGGGTCAGCTCCTGTTTCGTCCTCCGAGGCCAATGTGACTCCACGGGAGTCTAAAGTGCAAGAGCTGCCCGCGATTGATGGAGGGTGGCAGGCATGGAGGTTTTGTGCGGCCGGTTTCTTAATTGAGGTGATGATATGGGGGCTTGAGTTCAGGTGATATATGAATTTCACAGCAGTGGACCTGTTGCACTTAGAACTCATCATATACATCTGTCGACAGTTATGGTATTTTCCAGGGTGCGGGCTGTCTTTCAATACACCGTTCCCACTGTGACACACCGTACTCGTCGTGCCAGACTACTATACCTCACATCCCCCATTCAGCTCTGCATCACCTGTAACGATCGCAGCGGTAGGCACAACCTCGATTGCTGTTCAATACTGCGAGGTACTGTTTCACCTTCTGATCATCGAGTCGTTCATCCTCATGGTGTACCGACTGGTCACAATCCAGACCATACTGCTTTCACTGTTCTTCGAACGTTACCCGGATCTTTTGAAGGCAAGCGTCTGGGTCGGCCTAGTACTAGCTTTCGCCTCCCTTCTGCTCGCGAGCTTCGCAAAACAGGTAACGGCGCACAGCATTTATATGATGTCATGCACGTTTAAATGTATACGTGCCTCTGTGTAGATCTGGCAGCTTGTCCTCCTGCAAGGCGTCATTTTCGGTGCCAGTGGTGCATTAATGTATTATCCAATTCTGGTCCTCCTGCCGCAATGGTTCGTCCAGCGCCGCGGCCTCGCTACGGGGATCATCTTCTCCGGGTCCGGTATCGGAGGTGAGGCTACTTCATAAGGTGAGGACTCGGCTGCGTACGTCTAACGGATCGCTCCACCGGATTCATCTTGCCCTACATTCTGCACGCTCTGCTCGATGGTGTAGGCTTCAGATGGACACTCCGTATCTGTGCGTTCGCTGTTCTGGTTGTAGCAGGAATTGGGGTGCTGGGTATGAAGCCGCGCCTGCCCACACCCACATTTCAACGTGGACAGCGTAGACCTCGCTTCATTCCCCCACAGTTACAATTCATCAAGACACCACTCTTCTGGGCTCTGGTAGGCGGCCATGAGAAATGTTTCGCGTTGCGCTTACGTAGTATTTCATGGCATCTCACGTAGGGCGTGTCGACGGTACTTCAGGCACTATCCTTCTTCTCCGTGTCGCTCTACATCGCGCCGTTCGTCAACCTTATCGCGTCGCCCCTTTATGCGTCCGTCGCTCTGTCATTGTTCAACTCATCTGGGGTCGTCGGCCAGATCGTCATCGGCCACCTCTGCGACCGCCTCCCGTACGCCTGGATCATGTTTACTTGCACACTGGGGAGCGGCATCGCAGTATTTGTGCTCTGGGGCTTCGCGCACACACTTCCACCTATTTTTGTGTTCTCCGTCATTTTCGGCGGCCTGGTGAGACGAGTCACGCACCTTAAGCGCGAGGATCTGACTGTTCTGTTCCTCTTGAATACAGATGGGCGGCTTCAATTCCGTCGGCCCCATCGCCGCCTCGGACTGTGCCGGGAACAAGCCAGAGCAGTCGAGCCTTGTCTGGGCGTGCTCGTTCTTCCTAAAAGGGATTGCGGCCGTAGTTGGTCCCCTCGTCTCCGGTATCTTGTATGACGCAGGGCGCTCCTCGGGCCATCGCATCGACACCCGTTACGGCGCCTTTGGCTTCGGGCAGGTAGAAATCTTTGTAGGCGTCTGTGCGATGGCAACAAGCGTCATGAGCATTGTCGTCGCTATTGCGAGGCGCAGGGTGCGCGCCTGAGTGATTTACGGGACGCTGTTTAGGTGCGACATAACCTCCCGAAGCACTTTAGACTAACTGAATCATTAATGCACAGCGACCACTTGGACGCGACATGCTCGAATAATAGATAAAACCCGCCAGAGCTTCACAGCTAGGGGGAAGACGGGATCTAACTGGAGGATACCTCTTATATATGTAGAGGCGACGCGATGTCACGTTGTTCAGCGTCATTGAGGATCTCCAGCTTTATTGTCTTGGTCGGATGCTGAACCGAGCTCTGGATGAAGGGAAGTATAACCGCATGCTTCATCGTGCAAGGAGCTGTACTCATGAGCCTCGGACGAGCTGCCAGTAGCGCATACTAAGTGTGTCGCCAGCGAAAGGTGTGCAATCTCGGTTGGCGACCTTCCGTCAGCTGCTCTTCAAGATGGCGCTCACAGGGCCATCCTTCGAGCCGTGATAGCGTATGTATGCAGATACTATTATGTCTATGAACTGCCTAATACTTGCCACACAGACAGCTACAGGAGCTCCTACCCAGGGTAGCTTTTGACGTATACGCGATGTCGCCGCGTGCCGACTCGATAACGCGATTGGCAGCGAGAGCAGCTGACACAGGAACCGCGATATGTTGTCCTGCGACCGTTTGCCTTACGCGTAAATCCTCATGCTCGCGTGCGGAATGGGCAGTGATGTCGCCCTCTTTCTGCTCCGGGGTTTCGCACACACCTGCACCTCGTTTTCGCATTCGCGATCATTTTTGGCAGCCTGGCAGGATCAGCAGACTTGCTTTCCGTATGTCTCGCACCGCTGAACCAGCAGCGTGTCTTCACAGACGTGAGGCTTCAACTACGTGGGCCCCGTCGCCGGGGCCGCAGACCGCGCTGGGAATAAGCAGGAACAGATCAGCCTCACCTGGGTTTCCTCAAGGGCGCCGCGGTCGTGACAGAGCCTATCATTTCTGGTATTTTGTATATTGTCTATGGCGCATATGGCCTTAGACAGGTGAAGGCATTCGTCGATGTCTGTGCGATGGCGACGGTCGTCACTAGCATCGTTGTCGTGGCAGGAAGACATAGGATCTGCACCTGAACAGGACACCTAAGTTCTTACGGGTCGGACATGTACAAGCGCAGGCCTCGAAGAGAAATGTGAGGTTAGGCTAATGATACATGTTGCACATCTAGAAGGGCTGTCGTGGGGTACATCATTTACTAACATTACCGGCCAAAAATCTTACGCCTTCCCCATCTGACACAGCTATGACCTGAGCTCTGTTCGTCTTCGTCAATATACTAATCGCCCTGCGCAATAAAGTATCTGGGATGCCAGACAGCTGCGATGGCACAGGGGGCTCTACGATCTCAAAGAATGTTAGAATGGTGTTGAGTTGTGCCGTTGAGGAGGCCTAGGAAGGACATTAATCACGAATTGGTGCGACACTTGTGCACAAGTGAACAAACCCAATCATGCAGCACCTCCGCCCATTCTTCTGGGAGGCGCCAGAAGAGCAGCACAGACCGTGTCTGTTTAACGGGCTCGTACATTGCTTTGTTCTTGGACACCATATCATCCAATATATAGGATAGATGTGATGGTGGCAGCCGCCCTGTGGACACAGTTCTACGTGAGCGAGACACATTCGAACGCGTGCGCACGACGTACGGTTTATCCTGTCATTCCGCAGAACCTCGTCCCAGTCGCTTCCTGGCGGCTCAGCATCCTCCACTCGCAGGTAGAACAGCCGCCTATGCCGCGCGTAAGACAATATCAGTCTTGTCCATTGCTCCGTTACGAGAGCCTGTGTTTCAGCCTTAGGTTGCAGTCTGCGGACGGGAGGTCAGGACCGACGACAGGAAAGGCAATCGTGTGACCCAGATTCTGACGTGAAGAAGGGTGGGGCGGCATGTATTGAGGGTAGCAAGAATCCTTAAATTGATGGTTTTGAGCCATGCTGGCGCATATGGAAGGACGGAGGGAGTACCAGATGGCGTTGTGTGAGGAGACAGGGACATCTTACGCGTCGTAAAAGGCCGAGTCAGTAATAGTCGCAAGGCCGCCTTGTTGAAGCCGAGAGGTGCGAAAGGGGCGGTTGTTCTTCAGCGAATTCTCTCCAGGCTGGCCGTCGCTCAATAGCACGGAAAAATGAGCGGACCAGTCTTAAACCGAATGATGGTAAGTGGAAGAGTAGTTGCGCTGCTGCAGACATGGTCGCCACTTCGGAGATCGGCAGTGCATCTCATCCTCGATCGAGAGATCATGCCGCAGCGATCTCGATTTGTCCTTTATCGTACACTCTCGTTTATAATGTTGCTGGCTCTGATCGCTAAATTTGAATTATCTATTGCAGTATCATACAGTATTTTTGTCAGATATACACTAGGTTCACAAGCTTAACTAAGAGAAACAGGAGAGCGCAAACGAATGCTAGCAACAAGGAAACCGATCACTCATCATCACTTTGGTCACCCAAGAATGCCATGATGCTTTGGCGAGCGTTCGCCTGCGATACGTAAGGACACGTCTGGAACGGAACCCAGAAGAAATCACATACCCGTCGTTTTGGTGCACCCGCAGACTCTGCTTCCGACTCTTCGTCATCCGATACCTGCTGCTGTCGCTGCACCTTCGTCCGGCTACGCTTCGACCCAGGACCCGTCTCGATTGCCTTGGCGAAGGTCTGTACATCCTCTGCGCACGGAAAGTTGTATGTCAGTGATTTGCTGACTGGTCAGCCGGACATCTCATACCAAGCTCCTGTGCCAATTCCCTCTTCTCACGGATCGCCTTCGCTTGTTCGAGGCTCATGCGGCCTGTCATGCCCAGGTCAGCCAGAATCTGCTTCAGCCGCTTGATTTGGTCGGAGGGGCGCTCAAGGTCCTTGAACTCTTTCGCCCAGACTCTGCGCACACCACACGCCACAACAAGAGACTATCGCCGGTGTCAGTCTTCACGGATCCATCGTGTTAGAAAAGCCATACCTTCAGCCGTTTGACGGTCTCTTCATCTTTTGACAGCTCCTTTGCAGGCGGCTTGGACTTCTTCTCCTTAGGCTCTCTTTTTGCCTTCTGTGTGGAGGAGCCGCGCTCATGAGTCTCACGCACGCCCCGGGCGATTGAGGACTCACGGTCTTTGTCTCGCCATCCTGTGCAGCAACATTCAGCAACAGTAACAAAGACCGAAGGACAGAACAGAGCTTCACCTTTCCACTCCTCTTGCGACCCCTCTTCGGGGGTTCGTCGATCAACACTGACATCTCTGACTCACTCTTCTATGTAGCCAGCCATGTATGAATGTCTACACGTTTCACGCTTTGGCACCGACTTACATCCCCGTCGTCCTTCTCGACAGCCGTCGTTGGCTCCGAGCCATCCCGTTGGGTCTCTACGGCAGTGGGCGACGATGGCTGATCGACAACATTCGACGATGCTGATTCCATTGTCGACTCGGGCTTGTCCCGGGAAGACGACGGTTTCGCTGCAGGGTCGACGTCTAAGCTGATCTCGGTGGACGTCTTTCGGCGCTTCTGCGGAGGTCCGGATGGCCCCTCCTCGGGCTCCTGCAACGTGAGCGGTCAGTCTCGGTCACCGAGACTGTCGACACACGGCACTACCTCGTCCGAGACCACAGCCTTCTTGCTCTTCTTCGCAGGTGTTGATTTCGCCTTTGGCGCCGCGTCGCCAGAAGGCTGATAGCTGTCTTCGTTCTCGCTGTCAGATGGTATAACAGACTGTAATACGTTTGCGTAGGGAGCATATAGAGACGACGGTGCAGACGTACCGGGGACCGCGTGACCTTGGCCTTGGCACCTTTCCCTGCTCTCTTCGAGGGTGCCTTCTCCTTCTCCTTGGTTTTTGCGGCGGCCTTGACCTTCGACCGCGGCTTCTTGCCCACGTCATCTGCTGCAGACTTGCGCTTCCTCGCAGGCTTTGCATTTGGCTCTTCTTCACTTTTCACCCCTTCCAGCTCCTCCTGCGTACACCGATCAATGCGAGGGAGCGCCACGCAAGATCGAACGACGACCGTACCATCGTAGCAGCCACCACAGCCTTCACGCGCGCCTTGTGCTCGTCCTCGTCCAGCGCCCCAGGTGTCAACGCGAGCCGCTCCTCAACCCGCTTGCGCACAAGCCGTGGCGTCAGCTCACTAGGACACCGCAAGCCATCAGTCACAGCCCAGCACGCACGAGAGACGAACGCTCTTCACACACTCGATGGTCCCGTCCGCGTTGGCCTGCTTGATGATTTCCCGCGTCGCCTGTTCGACGGCGTGCACGTCGACGTCTGCCTGAGACATATTGTTCGGATGGGGGCAATGAGCAGAGTTGGAATGTCGAATGAAGCGCCAGGGTGACAGTCGTCGGACGCGCTTCGGGCGCGTGTGGGCGCAGACGCGTTTGGGCGTATTTGGCTAGACGCGTCTGTCACGTGGTGCAGCGCGACGCGACGCGTCCTCGGTGGACACTGGACAGGGATTAGTGGGTGAGTTAGGTCAGCAAACCGATGGAGCTACCTATACAGCGTGCGACGCCTACATAAGTACATGTAACTTGGGCCGGCGACGCTCGCCCGACGCAGCCAGAGGCCAACACCGTACACCTGTTGGAACAACGGTGCGAACGGCGCGGGGCGCGTTTGTCCACGGGCGTAGCGATGCCCGTAAGGGACAATCGCGTGCGGTACGTACATCGCGCGGGGTCGTTATATACTACGATAGGGGCCTCCGGCCCCCGGCTACTCGCGCGCCCGAGCTTGCGAGCTCGTTCCTGACCGCGCGGGTCAGCGCGTTTCAACAACACCACGGACGCGCAATCCCAAAAAGGAAATAACGCGTTCCATCTCCACCCATTCAAGATGCAGAGTCAACTTCCGCACGCGTCGACATGTACATGTGAGCATCCTGTCTTTATTGCAACCATACGATGTATGCTAGAAATTGGTTTAGTTCCTATCATTTCTGGACCCTGTATGTCATTTCCATGTTTAACCACCAGTGGTGAAATCTGCAAGCGCCGACTGTCACCATAAATTGCCGGCTGGTGGAGACTTGCCAGTCTCCATGATGTCAGTATGATCCAGGGCCCCACAACACTGTACTTTATATACCATCGGGCTGCATATACACAACGAGTTCACTTCTCACAAACCCCCAATCTTCCGCTGTTGTTATTGTCCGTATAATCACACAAAACGATGTCCGAGCCGTCCAAAAACACCATGTCGGGAAACAAACCGATGAACAGTACCTTCCAGGATCCCACCGCTTTCGGGTACAGTGACCTGGGAACTAGAACTCGCTCAGACAACACCGAGGCGGTCAGCGGGACCACAGGCTCTCTCGTGGAAAGACCTGTCGACGCGGGCGCAAGACACGAATACGCCAATCCTGCCCCGAGTTCGCTGGCACAAGGAGGTACGTGACCATCGATTGCAGCTCAGACGTGAGGTGCAAACGGGCTGAACGAGGGACCTTCCAGGTGCAACGTTTGATCCATCATCGCAAATGACTGCACAGTCAAGATGGGGATCCCGTAGGGAAGCAAGTTCTCGAAGAGGCCAAGAAGCTACCAGGCGCGGAAGGCCCTGTGGGTAAGTGCATTAAGCAGGCCATTGCGCGCGTTGCATGTCCCAACCCATCCAATTGAACGTACAGTAAAGGGTAATGCGTCAGCTGTCGAGGATGCCAAGCAGGATGTCGGCTTCATGGAAGGACAATTGAGCACTGTTGCGACGCAGACTCGGAACTACTAGTGCCGTGCAAGGTCAGTGAGGGCTGCGGTAACATGCCATCGTATCAATCTTCTGTCTACTTTGCCGTTGTCCACTCCAGACGCATGTCAGTATTAGGAACTACCAGTCAACTAGCGATCAAGAACCCAACGACGACAAACAGAAGTTTTAAGCACCTATTCGTATACAACCAAATAAATATTGTATATTAGCTAAATGAACAGCGAGGCAAGCGAACAGCGCCAATACGGACTTGGGGAGCTCAAATACATGCACAGATCCATGCGTGACGAAAGAACTCAACAGTACGGCAAACATACCCGGAAGGCCAAGATCAGTACAACAATAAGGACAGTGAATCTATCAACGTTAGAGCAGACACACGGGTGCGGTCGTGAGAAGGTGACATGCCAATTAAGTTAGGGAATTTGTAGCAGACGGGTATGTTAGAACGCTACGACGAAGGTGAGCGCGGCGGCGCCCAGGGCGATAGCTGCGCGGAAGACGTAGGTGTTGACCTTGAGAGCGGCGGCAGCACTGGCGTTGGCGGCAGCCGTCGGAGAAGAACCATCACTGGAACCATCAGCACCGTTACTGTCAGCCGTGGGGTTGACCGGGCTTGAGACGCCAGTGCCGATTGCAGAGCTACGGGTGACGGTGACGATTGTGACCGGGGTGGTCGTCGCTGCAGGGCCTGAGACAATTACGGTAGTGTCCACTGGTGGCCCGCTGATCGAGGACGAGTCGGATACGGCACTGGAGGTGGTGCCAATGGAAGCGGTAGAGTTGGTAGAGGCGGTAGAGGCGGTAGAGGCGGTAGAGGCGGTAGAGGCGGTAGAGGCGATAGAGTTGGTAGAGGCGGTAGAGTCAGTAGGGACAGTAGATGCAGTGGAAGCGGTAGAAACGGCAGAAACGGTAAATGATGAGATAACGGGAGTGGAAGAGAAAGAGCTAGCTGACGTTGTAGAGGCGGGCCCTGAGGCACCTGACGAGGCCGATGGAGCCGCTGCAGTGCTTTCACCGTAAGCGGGGGCGGAACCTGGATCGGAATCGCCGACAAGCGAACCGACACCCCAAGTGACGTTATTGTTACCGCTGTATACGGTCCACTGGCTTGGCGGGGTTGTGTTGCCGTCCTTGTCCGCGATGGCGAAGCGGCCAGTCCAGTAGAGCGAGTCCGAGTACGGCGAGCTAAATTGATAGAAGTAAATAGCCGAGTTCGGGTCAACCTAAGAAGAGTCTGCATGTGAGCGTGCCGAACGCGAGACAAATATCGCAAAACGTACTTCGGGACACGAGTAGCTGTAGCTGTTTTTGTTCGGATCGGTTCCATCAACGGTTGCCACAGCTAGACGACGGGGAGTGATTAATTATCAGACAATGGGAAGACACCGGTGCGTACTCTTCAGAAATTGCATGGCCAGGTTGCTTCCGGTCATGAGCTCAATGTTCATGGTTTTCCAGACGCCCGAGGTGTCTGCATTCCACGCAACATCACAGTTTGCGCCTTCATTGTAGACAGCACCGGGGCTGGGGGTCGTAGGGCCCGGATCGGCGAGCACAAGCGCGGAGCCGGCAGTGAGAGCAGCGAAGAAGATAGGTGCGAACATTTCGGTGAGAAACGAAGAAGAGCAGTCAGAGACGAAGGCAGGGGCGTTGCTGTCAACGCAACCGGTCAGCCAAAAACCCGAAGAAATGCAATTGTGCGCATACTGAAGGTGGGTGAAGATAGACACCGAGAGCAACGCCGGAGCACAAAAAGAGTGACGGGGTGGAAGGAGTGGACGGTCCTGACTCTGTGAGGGGAGAGGGGAACCTGTTACGCGTTAAAAGGAGCGCGTCAAGATGGGTCAGCCTCAACGACCAAACATTAGTGCCAAGCCCACATGGACGGCGGTGTTCCAAATCCTGTACCTGCCAAATCCGGCTAATCCTCTCTCTGAAAGATATCGGGCACGTGGAATACCCGACAGGACGGACCAGCAACCCAATCGGTGCCTGTGATTGGTCCGCCACCGACATCTGCACCGTCGCCGCTCATCAGCCGCCCTCGCGTATAACTCGCATGTCGACCGCGTACACAGAAAGGCGGTTCTTCGCCATTCGCGGGACAAACTCACCGTGTCTTCGATTGCTGCACTTGCAGAGAAAGCCCAACCTTCGCTGCAAAGATTGGGCACGCACGAGTTCCGGTGAGCGCCAGGCACCATCATAATGCGGCCATGTCGAGAGCTCAATTACAACGACAGACAACAGATCGTGCGACTTGCAAAGTCAAACAACATCCTCTTCTCGGTGTATCTGGGCACCGCATGAGGACGCGTTGACTCGACATAAGAGCGCGCTTACCTCTGCCGCCAGCCTCGTCCATTCCGTCAGACTTCGTAGATATTCGTCCCTGCCTTCGTCGACATGCGTGTCCTGATGCCACAGCACGAAGGACGAGAACGCAGCACTGGGCTGCAGCACGCGCGCTGGAAGACCTGCCTCGTCCTGTGATCCTGCGCCCTCGGGCCCGTCCGCGTGACTCCCATGGCCACCATTCTCAGGCTCAGCGTCCACGCCAACGACATCGACATCGATGACCTGCGCAGAGCGCCGTGTATTTCGTCTGCGGGTATTCTTCGCCTTGCCCTTCGGCTCCTCCCCCTCGCGCTCTTGTGTTCGCCTATCTTTCGCATCTGGAGTGCGCACAATAAGTCCAGAATAGCCTTGAGGGAGCTCAACTTGCAGCCCCTGCACTGTGCGGCCTCTGAAAGCCGCCACAAATCGCTGCGGAGTCGCAGGCGTCGCGCTACTATTGATCATTTCGACATCTGATGAATCCAGCGTGGCGCTTGACGAAGTCGCAACGAGGGTCGACTGCGAAGAGCCTGCTGTCAGCTGTGTGTCACCGCCCGCTGTCTGTGGTTCCTCGCAGGTCGTTATAGCTCGCCCATATGTCGGTGCAGGGGCAGGTTTTACGCGAAAATATGTCGAGACAGGCGCAGGACCAGAATAGTCAATGTGAAAAGGCATAAGGTACGGCGTGCATGTTGGCAGCGTGTCCTTCGCAAGTCCGAGCTTCAGTGGTGGTGCAGTGTCGGTCATGGTGAGACGTGCTGAGAAACTAGAAACTAGAAGAGGATGCAAGCGACTGTGGAGAGAGTGGCTAAGGCGCAGCACGTCGCGTCGCGTCGCGGCATCATGTGATTGACGCGACACTCTATACCCACGCGTGTCCGAAGCGCTGACTGGCACCCATTCCACATTCCGACTAGTGTAAGGCGAATAAATCGGTGTAAATTACCCTGCACTTTTTAAAGGTAATTCACAGGTCATTCACACTTTTCTCACAAGGGTGTCCGTTCCGAGGTGTAAATAATGTAAATTAGGGTATGTCACATGTCGGATGCACCCGGGGAGCCAGCACTTGGGCCAATGATCTCTTGTGCCTCTCTGGTGACAGTCGGCACTTGCGAATCTCCCTATTGAGAATGGAATAATCCTTTGCAGTAGAGAGATTTTCAAGCAGCTTGCTAAAATGGCGAGAATTTTCATTTCAATGTTTATCTCCTCATGTGCAAAGCGGGGCCATAGTAGTACATGTCAACAGGGTGCCCTGATGAGGAGCTTATATCGTCGATCGGATAGACAGCTCAGTTGTACGCCCTTGATCTCTTTGACAGTGGGGCAGCGTCACATCATGGCCGCCATGAATGTGAGTTCTTTTTGGTCTACACAGCATTGTATGTTTGATGCTAACAGACAGACAACCTCGCTGTGGAATCGCCGTTCACGATAAGGTGGCCTTCGGTCTCAGAAAAATCCGCGGTTCGCGGCAGATATCAATTCGTGAGTCTCATTGCGACTAAATCAGTGAAATTCATATACTCATGCTCATGAAATCAACGTCCTCATATGGGCGAACGTACTCAGGCTGCTCAATCTTGCACGTCTTTTGCGACATAATTGTTCTTGGAGCCGTGGAAGCTTCCTCTGCATCGCGCAGGTAATTAACAGTCCAGTGTGCGCTCGATATTCTTCTGAACACACAAAGTCGTCCGTATGTGCCGCCCATTCACAATGTCACATATCACCTCGTTTGTCGTGTCCTGTCAACGTTCGTCTCCCAAGCACCGCTTTACTTACGATGGCGCTGCACTCTGATGACTTACGTTCCCAGAGAATCATGTCAAGCTGCGATTGTACTTCCTACCGCGGTGATTGATACTTCACAGTATTCGTGAACGGAGACGAGAGCGGAAGACGGACCCTTTGCTTGAAGGTTGACATTCCTGGATAGATATCTCGTCAGCTTCCATGATGCTGATTTGGTCATGGTACCTGCTAGAAGCCATTCAAGGGCGGTTTCACCCGAAGTGCCACAGCATTTTTGACATTGCTCGTCAAAATACTTTGTTGACATCTATCTTCCAAATACATATCATTTCACCTTATACGAGCAAGCAACTTCCTGTCCCGCGAGTCTCCACTCTCATTTAAAGGCACCCCATTCATCCGGGCATCTTAGCAGGGCATCCTGTTGACCTCCCTTCCCCATGGATACAACAATAAGCAACTCAATTGGGATGTACCTCATTGGCACAGTCTTGTCTTATGCGTCAGTATCCCACATGCTTGTCGACAAGGATGTCCACTGAGGATTGTTTGACAAATAGATTATTCGGTTGTGCAATAGGACAAGCAATACTGTACTACACATGGTACCAGTCGGATTCCTCGGTCACAAATTTGATGGTTAGTCAAGATGTATTCTAGCAGACGTCATGATAGACTTGTTGCTTGTTCTAGGTCGCTGTGGTGATGTACATGAACCACCGATGTGCGCAAACAGGGACCTAACCAAGGTTATTTCAGGATTCTTGATAGCGTCAGAAATATATGGGGTTCACAGGTATGTATGTGCACCGCTAATAAAGTTGATAGGTATAGATCATATTGTTACCCAGCTCCTATGGATGTATCATGTACAGAACCACGGGGACTTGTTCAATTTCCTTATAGTCTCTCAGTGAGTCTTTCTTTTTCCACTTCTCTATCGTTTTCCGAGTTAATTCGGCTTCCCTATTTTATAGCTCAGGAGCAGTGAGTAATAACATCAGGGTGCTTAGTATATATCATTGACCTATAGCAGTTGTATCAGCTCACCGAGGTGAGTATTGTCATTAAACTTTGGCTAATGAGTACAAACCAAGATTATTTAAGGCCATCATGATCGTTCTAGTGCAATGGTATGTCACGCAAATTTTGTCTTAACAAATAGCTCATTATTACTATCAGGTTTTTCGTTCGGGCCATCTGGCCTTGTAGGTGGACTTGACTAGAGAGTTTCATGGTGGTCCGCTGATGGGCGTCATGCGACAGTAATAAGAATCAAATCACTCAGGCTTCCGTTCACTGCTGTTATCGTATGTTTCATTACATTCTTAGCTCTCCCAGCTCACTCTGCAATCCAGATGCTACTCACGGTAATGGGTCTCGGTGAGGCCTCTTGCACATCTCAATTTGCATTTTACCAACTCCGCACGTTCTAGGAAGCACCATAGGTCGCTTTGAAGCTATTATTCACGGCATAATTAAGAGTTTTACTTACCCAAACTCCTATTTGTAGCACTGGTATACAATCTGTAAGCTTTGAAGGCGCAAGCATATGAAAAATGAAGAATACTTATATGATTCTACAGTTGGTCGAGGGATCTTCTGGTCGGGGCCATACAAGACAACGAGGTATGTACGACATAATCCTATCACGTTGGGATGCATAATATCGCTGAACAGATCGTTATATTCATTGCAATTTGCACTTCGACTGCTGCGGATCTCTACATTGCCGTCTCTCTATGTCTAGTGCTGCATGGTGCACGCACTGGTTTCAGAAGGTTAGCTGTTCTTAGTTTGCATATTCGGATGCAGTACATTCAATCTGCCTTGCAGCACCGGAAGCATGCTCTCAACGCTCATCATGTATACCATCAGCCGTGGCATTCTGACCTTGTACGCCTTCCTCGTGACGGAATGTACTCGCTGAGTTTCAACTATTGGTCAATAGTCTCGTTCATTCATTAACAGTCGCCACTGTCAGTCATACGTGGTTACTCCCAGGGATCGTTATTGACATTCTGCCTTAGCTCGTATATTGTGTCCGCCGCAACAGTGTAATCGCCATGATATTTTACCTGCCGGTGGGATCGAGTAAGTGCTCTCTTTTCATATGTTGTAACAGAGCTTGTCGTTTTTGACAAAGGCTTTTAGTCTATGCTAACTCTCTCCTTGCTGCGTGCGTATAACTAGTTATGTTTCCGTGCCACGCGCTTACTTAATACAGGCTCAATATCCGAAAACGTGTCAGTGAAGCGGGTGCTGCGGCTCACAATTCGGTCGTTGTCCCCAATATAAATACAGACCATTTGGGCCTGCAGAACCACCAAGAAAGGTGATCTCGCATTTACTCACCTTTTGAACATCGACTCACTTGATACGATGCGACGATATCACTGACAGTGACGAACTACATGGTCTACCGGACTCGCAGCCCACGGCTGATATTGAGTTAGCAGACAACGCTGAATCGGCGGCCCAGTGGCGACTGGCTTGATTTGAATGGTGATAATAGCACCCAGACATCTCCGATAAACTTAGCAAATTCAGATCCTTCTGGTATCGTCTTTGCATTTCTCTTTTATAACCTCTTTAGTAGGAATACCATTGATACACAATTTCTCTTGATATATTCATACAACCTGCAATGATCCCGAGTAATCACCAGAAGCCCCTGATTCCCTCTGCCTGGAAGGAATTAACGCTGATGTTCCTGGAACGAGAGTCGGGCGGAAGGTCTTCTGGGGTCAAGTCAAACTGCTGTGTATGTTTAGATTTCGCTGAGCACCATGTTCGGCATAGACTGAATGTCCTTATTGTGACGTGCTCGAGCTCTAGTACTTCCAAGGATGCCAGCGGCCGTCCAAGCAGTCCGGGCACGGGAAGACCGCGACTTAGAAGCTCGGTATACAGTACATCGCGCCAGATGCTGCGCTCTTGTGTGGCCCGCCAGATGTTACGACATGTAAGTAGAATGTGCCGATCGTGCCACACCTGTCGCAAAGCAAGAATGTCCGACACGCTCAAGTGTTGACATATCTGGAAAAGGATACTAAGAGCAAGGAAGTTCGCGGTTTCATCGGCCAGGTTTGGCATGTTCTGCGTACAAGTCTGTGCACAAACAGATAAATATCGACCAGCGAGTAAGTGCCTAGGTGGTGGTCGCAGTGGTGTAGAATACGACGTAGCTTATTGAATGCGGAGTCGAATGCGATCAAACGTTATCTTTATCTTCTTTTGATTCATGTTCGAGCCCCAGAATTCCGCTTGCATATGTGCAAAGACAATGCATATAACGGTACATAGGACTTGTTCTCCGAATCAAACTCCTCGACTAATCTGTAGCTGAATCGACGACTGCAGGTGCAAAAGTGCGGTACAGCTTTGATGGCCGCGCTTCCGAATCTGGTATGCGCATGCCCTAATGGGGAAAATAACGCTGATCGGTTCGGAATGCAGGATCTTTCAGCCGTGAGTCAAGACACCGACTGCAGCAAATGTCCCGACATATCACCCCTCTGATATGACACTCACCGCATTTGACAGACGGCAGCCTTCGCCGTTCGATCGATGCTCTCCCGCTGCGTCGCACGTATAAGAACTTCAAGTTTGACTCCCATTTCTGGATTCATCGTTCTCTCGCCCCCTCTCGCCACTCATCCGAGCGGGATCCCTTTGTCAGCGGGGTTTCACTGATACCAGGTAGGTTCAAGGCCCTAGTCATGGTAGTTGCGTTGGTTATTGTTGACAGACACCGGGAATAGCGTCGACGCCACATGTTACTTGCATCAACCCCGTCTTATATGCTCCTAAGGGTACCCGCTCATGGCCGACTCGTATATGCTCCGCATAGACTCGGTAAGACCAGATCGATCAAGATATTGATACTAATGCATTGTATATAGCGCGATACATTCCAGAGCATTCCAGTTATAACGATATTCTTCCAGTCCGATTGTGTAACACTGATACTAGTCGCTCGGCGAACTAGAGCTAACGTCGGGAACCAAAGGTACAATATTAGGTGATTAGAATAGCGACTAAAGGTGCCCAGCCGGCGAATACACTAATGGATCTGACGTTCAAGGGTGAGTCGCGTATTCCAACTATAGCGCACAGGAAACTCACATGCGATACACTAGGGGAAAATCTGATCACGCTTCGTTCCCTGCTGCTTCGTACATCGAGGCGGTACCCTTCGTGTCAAGTACGTTCTCCAGCGGATCCTTGGCTACCCGCACCGAGTATCTCTTGGCTTTCGGTGGTCTCGCATTTTCTTGGACAAGCCAGCTTGAACTGGGTCTCCGATGGTCAGAATTCGCGCGTCGCAATGCCGCGAGGAGCGTCTGGGGCAGCGGATCCGTGCGCGAGCGTGGTTGCCAAGACTGCACGCGTCGTGCGGACGCTCTCCGCTCGTGCTCCGTGCGGTGCCAGGCGTCATCCTTCGCACCAGACGTGGTGAGGGGTGGTATAATGGTGCGATCAAATGCCGGTGATGGTAGCGCCATATGCGGCGAAAGCGAAGGTACGTCTGCAGTTCCTCCGTCATTTGAGCGTCCCACCTCCCCTAATTCATATACGCACCGAGCGTTTCCCGTTTTGAGGTCGGGCTCATGACAATGAGTTGTGGTAGCGGTGGGTGCGCCTCTGGGGATGCTGTCGTTGCTGGAGACGTAGGCCGTGTCTCTGTCAATTCCAGAAATGATCCACCTTTGTAGGTGGCGGTATCGACCTGGATGGTGGGTATCTGGGGCGCTTCACTGTCCGTCACGACAGATGGACGCCGTCTACTCTTGCTTCGGCTCCGCGCCCGCCGAAGCGTGGCCGACTGCTCGAAAGCGCTTGGTGGAGGTGACTTTGGCGACCTCGGGAGCCTTAGACTCGCTTTGGACGCCCGGACGCTCCGCCGTCTCGCAGCTGACACCCGGCTCGCACGGTCGGCGACTTGTGACTGGGGAGTCGAGACGTTCGCATATGCGGCCTTTGTGGCGACCGCTTTCCCTGTGATCTCTATCACCTCCGCAAGCTGTACGCTGCGTTCTGTGCTCGTCTCCCCGATCACAGCGCTGGTATCCCCGAACTGTTCGTCAGGATACGGGAACTCGAAGTTGTCCAGGTCGTCCATCTCCTGGGCGAGCTCTTCTGCTACCTTCCACGCTTCCTCGAGTTCCTCGGTTAGCTCGTCAACCTTGGCCCGGGCGGTAGCAAGGTCGGTGGCGCGCCGCCCGTAGGATGCATTGAGCTTCCGGAGCGCTATGCCTAGCGCAGAGGCCACGTGCACGTCCTGAATACGCTGGATCTGCGCGCGCTGGTCGGAGACGGTGAGAAGGGTCTCCATCAGCCGATCACAGGACGCAGTGACTTCTGCGAGCTGGCAGGTCAAATTTACCAGTGCTTCGTAGTCGCCGCCCTCCGAGGATGGAGCGAAGGACAGTGCGTTCAGCGATCGCATAAGCATCATCCTCCGGTGCACGTTGAACCGGTACTGCGACTGAGTCGTCGCCTTGAGCTGTGGAGTCACAGCGGCTGTCAGATACGACCTCGTCGGAGGAAAGGTGACAGCTCTAACGCACCACTTCAAGACGCTCGACTTCTTTGCCCAGCTCCTCGTTGTAGACTTGGAGGGGAACCAGGCGTATGAAGGACTCTTGTGCGGACGCACGGATGGCTACAGAGACGATCTCCTGCAGCTGCTCCGACGTCATGTTCCACTGTGCTGCTTCCAGGGTCATGCCCCGCCATTGCACGGGCACAGACTCGAAATTGGGAGGCGGGGGCTGGCTGAGCGCGGCCATCTTCTTGAGGACCTTTACCGCCGGCGATCCTGACACAGTCCGGGAGGGGGCAACGGACTCTCCCACGGACGTCTGGACGCCTCTGCTCGTCGTGTTTCTCCGCGAGGCCGAGGAGCCGCACTCGGACGGCGCGTCGGGGCCGAGGCCTGAAAAGGCGGGCGAGGAGGGCGACCATGCCGTGGACGAGCGCGGGCTGGAGTACGCGGGCGTCGCCTCCTCGCAGCGCTGGAACGTATCAAGGGGTATCGCGCTCTTGGGCGAGCTCTTGGACGCAGACTTGGGGCCGCGAGGGCCATGGGGGAGCGGCGGACGGGTCCTGGCAGACGGGGTGGTGGGCGAGCCCACGAACGTCGGGGAGCATACGGGCGAGACTTGCATCGGGGCGTCGGGGGCAGCGAGGACGACGAGGGTCCCAGGCGCGGGATTAGGTGGACATGGGAGAGGAAGGGCAGGAGGACGTCGAGTGCCTGATGCCGCCGTGATGGACTCTACATGAGGGTCCGGTGTAGGCGCCCGATTATCGCCTGTGCGGGGGTCACGTAAATTCATTGTGGAGGCGCTTGCCAGTGCCATCTCAGATCGGGGCGCGCAATATCCTCTACCCGCCCCTCGGCTTTGATCCCCAGTTGCATACGCGAACATGTAAGGCACGGCGGGCGCGACAACGAAGACTGACCATCCATCTCGCCTCGGAAGCGCCTGCGGCTCCGAGTCGGGACCACGTAGGACGTGTACTTGGATTTGACAGAGAACTCTGTTGCGTGGTTACATAGCAGTACAGCGTACAGATACACTCTCGTGCGACCTCTGACTACAACACGATCGACAAGGTGCGCTTAGACGCCCGACTACGACGCAATCAACACCTGCGGCGAATCAGCATCGTCAGGTAAATGTGGTGGAGGTGGAGGCACTCACCGCTGATGGTGTCAGCCCCAGATCGCGTAGTGTGCGTGAGAAGTCGTCGCGAGTGAACGTTTTCCTGTCCCACAGCAAACCACATGAGCATTGACAGTTGCTGTGAACATAGGGACGAGCGTACCTCGGGAAGTGCTGAGCAAAGGTTACGGTCTCTACGTCCACCGCCAGCGTCTGCCCTGCTAGAAACTCGGCCACCGCACGCAACGCTGCAACGCCCACAACATGTCAGATATGCCAATAGATGTGGGTGGCTACGCCAGTCCGAGGCAATGACACGTACTCGAGTCGCTGGGCAGCGTAGTCGTGTACGGCTGGCCACCGCTTGCCATGCGGATCTGAAGGCGCGTCTCCGCGTAGTCCTTTGAAGCTGCCTTCGGTGCCGCCACTGCAGGCGCCGCGGCGGTGCTGGGCGTGGAGCTGCCTGGTAGTGGCTTCCCCTCGCGCAGCGCCTTCTCGCGGGCGGCCTTTGCGGCGCGCTCACGCTTGTCGGCTTCGATCTGCGCCTTGATGGCTGCGCGCGCCTTTGCGTCTTCCACTTTCTCTACAGGCGCGAGTGGTGTGAGAGTGCCACAAACGTGCATAGGACAGATCATGTACCGCGTCGTTTCGCCTCTGCTTCCTTCTTCATCTCCTTGGCCCGAATCTCTTCACGGAGTTCGTTCATGTCCTGACGGGATCAATTCGCCTTGGTGATGAATGACAGGACGCTGTGGTACCCACCTTCCCAGCCTTCCTCCGGATGGTTTCGTTTGCAAGATTCTCTCGGGCCTCCTGCTGTGCCTTCACGGCCCGCTTCTCTGACATCTTCTCTCGCAGCTCAGCAAGCTTCTGCTTCTTCTCTTCTTCCGTCAATGGCTTGATCTGCAGCAACGTCAAAAAACACGCTGGAATCCCCTGAAGAGCCTTGAGCGTACCTCCTCGGTCGACTCCTCGAACTGATCGTGCCCGCTTTTCTCGGCGTGATAGTTTGCCAGTGCGGTGTTCTTGAAGATTTTGCCACACACAGAACACTTGATGCTCTGTGGGGCATGGGCACGATCATGAGGATAAGGCCACTACAATGAGCGCGAGACCAAAAAGGACAAGTGGCGTGTCGCGCACCTTGGCTTCGACATCAGCAACTGCAGCGGCGCCTGCGCCGGCGGACCCATAGACTGCCTTCAGTGCCTCCATATCCTCGTCGTTTTCATCGATCGCCTGGCCCGTGCTCTCTGCGCCCGGCCCGCTCGACGCGCTGGACGACGACACGGACGAGAGATCAGGCACGGGCTTGCCCTCGTTCTCGAGGATATGGTCCATGGCGGGCTGCAGGCCGCGTCCTCCGGTCGCCTTGATTGCCCCTGCGCGTTGTGCGAGGAATATATATGTGAGTGAAGCTCGATGAGCGAAAAGGCGGCCGTCTGCGTACATTCGACGCGAGCGGGGTCGAAACCCATCTGGAGCAGGACATCCTTGTCGGACATGTTGACGCGATGTTCAAAGACGATGGTGTGGTTGGTTATACGAGTCTATTTCGTGGATAGCGATGGTGATTGAGGGACAAGCTCAAGACGGAACGGGGATGGGATGGTTGAGTTGCTGTGCCACTTAGGACTTAGGACTCAGCAGTACGTAACCGTGGCCCGATCGAGAATGATCGAGATATGATTGGGCGCTAATGCGTCCGACATACAAATCCGCAGTACCCGAAATTGACTGGAAGTCGGAATCCGACTAGTGTCACACCTAAGTAATATCACTAAAGGAGTTTGCTTCCGCGACGCAGGATATGTATGCGCCCCATGGAAGACCGGCAACCAAGATGGTACGGCTTCAATGGTACCGAGCTCTTCACCCCCTTAGCGGTGCGACAGGGAAGGAATATGGTCCTGAGTGTCGCGAAAAGCGGTACATTGATTGATTCACATAACACCGAAGGTGTTTCAGCCAGGTCACCAGCCTCAAGGCCTCACCCTCGGCTGAGTTCAAGTAGTGTTGCTGAGGGCCCGGCTCGGGCCCAAAGCCCTCCTTTGGGCCGCGCTTTTGGCGGCTGGGCCGTGAACATCACTAAGTCCAAGAAGGGACTCCGACGAACGCTCTGTTCATTTCGACTTCACATGAAGCCAAGCCTGTCCTTCCGACGGTTGTGAGATATTAGTCACGGTGGTTTGCAGCGCAAGAGGGCGTGGATGCGCGCCCACCGCCTGTATCGTTGTAATTTCGGGTGGAACGCCGCACTCACTCCCGGATACTGGCGCCTGCAGCGTGTCTCTCGTGCGCCGTACCGTGGAGGTCGGCTAGTAACTTTGTCGGAGCTGCGGGTGGCCCACTCGCGCGGTGTTCGCATGCGTCGTGGAAAGCTCCACAGGCAGGCGCTGTGCAAGGCGCGGCCGGGAGGATGGGCATGCCCGTCTGAGCGGCGTATGCTCTCATCTCATGATTGAGGGTGCATTCGCCCGACTGGGCTACGATGAAGTTCTTCTCCTACTTGGGTCTCGGCCCTCGAATCTCCAAGACTTCTATGAGATCGCGCCGAGCCAGGTTCGATTGCGGGGTAGAATACCCTTTCGACCCTAGAATCTTGATTGAGATCCGTGCCATACGATACCTCTGCAGGAGGCCTCGCTGAATTCTGTTAAAGGTAATCAACATCGTTCTCCAGCGTTGAAAAGTCGTATCGTCCGGCGTTCTCACTGCGGGATTCTATTTTCCCAGACGTGCGGCCGTTATCCTTGTCGAGGGCAACTCAGGTGAGATCTCGCTTGGTCAGGCATTGCGCGCTCCCCCTCAGAGTGCGTCTTCCCACAGACGGGCACGCATCCGCTCTCATCCTGCCTCGTGCTAGCCGCACATTTGCGGCAGGTGCGTTACTGGCTAGCGGGGCATACAAATGGGTTCTCAACGGGATGGGACGCCCAGAACCCAGTCCGGCATGCCTATTAGAAGTGAAAGAATATTACACCGAGATCTAGATAACGGAGGAAACATGAGCGGAAGAGGGTGTAGAGGATGGTGCACTCATGGTATCTGATATCTCATGGCGATGAGCTGGGCCAGAACCACCAGAGAACCTTCCAGAGTAGCCAGAGCGCAATGAAGGCCGCCGCGCAGTACGCTATGGTCCGCCACTGCTTCACGCCTCCTGAGCCAATACCAAAAGCCTGTCCAGCTCGTCGCGATGATTGGGCAAGGGAAGTGCCGAAGGATGCGAACGTGTCGCGCTGTGGAAATCCCTGTAGCCAGCTGACCAGAGCCAGGGGGTGGGCATGCTCACTGCAGAGTCCAGAGCCGAGTTCTGTCCCTCGACATCGTCGTAAATGTCCGTAGTAACCTGTCGAGTGCCGAGTCTCGTAAGAACAGTCATGTATGAGGATGTCTTCACGCACGCCGCGCAATGTTCGGAGCTTGGTGTGCAGCTCATCTAGTCTCTGGTCATTCTGAGACTCGTAGGTGTCTTCTACACGGTCTCGAGATGAAGACATGTTGCAAGAATAATAAACCTGGTACAATCGAAACCCGGAGGTCTATGTACAGACGCCGGTTCGGGCAATCAACCACGTGGGCAAAGCTGTGGACGCTGCGCTGACTAAGCAGGGTATAGCAGCCGCTGCGCGACGTGTCTGTACATACGCGCGACCGGTGCGGTCATAACATATCCTCTGTTTCTCCCTTTTCCCTCCTGCTGTTAATCTTCAAGCCAAGGTCACTCTTTTGACGCGGTCTGCGTCGACGAATTGCAGACATGCCGTTTGCATATCAGTTGCCGTCGGACGTGTCGCCGGCAACGGTGGCAAACACGTCGTCTCTACTGCGTATTATAGCTCTGGCACTAATCTCGGGTGCTGCTATTGCTTCGCGACTGTTTGCTGTCATAAACTTTGAGAGTATCATTCATGAGTTGTACGTGTATTCTTACTATGTGCAGAAGTATATGTTGACATGCTACCAACGTTCAGCGACCCATGGTTCAACTAGTAAGTTATTATGATGTCTACGTTCCGTATTTGGGAGGTCAAACCGTCTCGCAGTCGAGCTACGAAGGTCATAGCAGAAAAGGGATTCTATGTACGTATTGCGCGCGTGCACGCAATTGTCAATTCAATTGACACGGTACGCAGGAATTCTGGAACTGGTTTGATCCTACAGCATGGTACCCCCTTGGACGAGTCGTCGGAGGTACCATCTACCCAGGTCTCATGGCCACGAGCGGTGTCATCTACAGTTTGCTTCATGCCATAAATCTTCCTGTCGACATTCGTAATATCTGTGTTCTGCTCGCACCTGGGTTTAGTGCACTCACGGCTTGGTCAACATATATGTATGTCTGGTCTAGACTACCGTACCGATCTTCTCAGGTTACTCATATTGAAACATAGGTTCACTAAGGAACTGAAGGACGAGAGCGCCGGACTTCTGGCTGCCGTATTTATCGGCATTGTGCCGGGCTACATCTCCCGTTCCGTTGCTGGCTCGTATGACAACGAAGCGATTGCCATTTTCCTGCTGATGTTCACATTCTTCTGCTGGATCAAAGCGCTGAAGATCGGCAGCGCCTTCTATGGCTCTCTTGCTGCGCTTTTTTACTTCTACATGGTTGCCGCATGGGGTGAGTGCGACAGGAGAGCGTGTCTGGCACAACTGAATCGAACGGTCTTCTAGGTGGCTACGCGTTCATCACAAACATGATTCCACTGCATGCATTCGCCTTGATCCTCATGGGGCGCTTCAGCAGCCGCCTGTACGTTGCGTATTCATCCTGGTACGCAATTGGTACCCTTTCGAGTATGCAAGTCCCATTCGTCGGGTTCCAGCCTGTGCGAACTAGCGAGCATATGGCGGCGCTTGGTAAGTGTACCCTAGCCCGCTCACACCACTGCTATCTGACCAACCAATCGTCAGGTGTCTTCGGGCTCTTGCAGATTATCGCGTTTGCTGAGCTAGTGCGCACACATGTCTCGTCGAAGCAGTTCCAGAGTCTCCTCTACGCCTCTGTTGTAGGAATGGGCATTACTGGTGCTCTGGCGATCATCGGCCTCACGTACAAAGGCTGGATCGCGCCCTGGACCGGACGCTTCTATTCTCTTTGGGACACGGGTTACGCGAAAAAGTACATGTTTCATGTGTTACCCTGTCGCTCAATGATGCTCACCGATACTCATTGTTAGGTACATCCCGATCATCGCTTCCGTGTCTGAACACCAGCCGACAGCATGGCCCTCATTCTTTATGGATCTGCAACTGCTCATATTCCTCTTCCCTGCCGGCGTGATTATGTGCTTCCGTCAGCTGCGGGACGAACATGTCTTTGTAATCATTTACGCCGTCGTAGCCAGCTACTTCGCAGGCGTTATGGTTCGTCTCATGCTGACGCTCACTCCCGTCGTCTGTGTCACTGCTGCAGTGGCTTTCTCGTCGCTCTTAGACACATACATTGATCCAGCAGAACCCGATGTCCTCGAAGATGATTCCAACACCGGTCAGGATGCCCCAACGAGCGGTACTTCCACTGCGGTATCTACGTCGAGCCCTGCGCCCTCGTTGAAGAAGGCAAAGAAGGCGGCCGCTGCGGCTCCCCCGGCTGGACCTCTCGACGGCCTAGTATCAACCGTGACTGCTGCAGTCTCATCATCCAAGAAGGCGGGGAAGCCTCGCGGTGTCTTCGGCCTTGATACTCGCATTGCAGTCCTCATCAATGCTCTCGGCATGCTTTTCTTCTTCGTCATGCACTGCACTTACGTTACCTCGACTGCGTACTCGTCGCCGTCAGTAGTGCTTGCATCGACTAATCCGGACGGCAGCCAACATATTATCGACGATTTCCGCGAGGCTTACTACTGGTTGAGGCAGAACACGCCGGAAACCGCTGTCGTCATGAGCTGGTGGGACTATGGTTATCAGATTGCAGGCATGGCCGACCGTCCAACCCTTGTCGACAACAACACGTGGAACAATAGTTCGTAACTATCTCATGGAGCGGTCGCAATGATCTTATGACCTAATTCCAAATCACAGCACATATCGCCACCGTGGGCAAGGCGATGTCAAGCAGCGAGGAGGTAGCCTATCCCATCCTGAGGAAGCATGATGTCGACTATGTGCTCATCATATTCGGCGGACTTCTGGGATATTCTGGTGATGATATCAACAAATTCTTGTGGATGGTCCGCATTGCACAAGGCGTATGGCCGGACGAGATCCAGGAGCCGAACTATTTTACTCCTAAGGGAGAGTACAGGGTGGATGAGGCTGCGTCATCGACAATGAAGAACAGCCTCATGTACAAAATGTCGTACTACCGGTAAGTTGACCGCCGCAGGCGTCTCGTGGAGATCTGACGAGATTGGCTTGTCAGCTTTGCGGAACTATTCGGTGGCAATCAAGCGGTTGACCGTGTCCGCGGTCAGCAGATGCCAAAGGTGGGACCAACATTAGACTACCTTGGTGAGCTTATCGCGCTTGTATCTTTTATCGATACTGACTTTTGACCGCCGTCGTCTAGATGAGGCATTCACCTCAGAGAACTGGATTGTAAGTTTGAATGGCAGGCTCATGCGTCGGTCTGACTGTTCTATCCGCTGAAGGTTCGGATTTACCAAGTCAAAAAGGATGATCCTTTGGGACGTGACCTCAAAACTGCTAACGCGTTCGCTCAAGGGAAAAAGAGGAAGAGATCGAAGCCACAGGTCCGGCGGAAAGCTGTGTCGTGATTGGTTTGTCTGTCTTCCTTGTCCATTAGCTTCCCAATATTTGCGTGGACCTGTCTCAATAGTAAGATTCATCTATTCAATTGTGAATGTCCTGTTATGGACTGGTCGGAACGTGGTTGGGTGTCTCACAGGCGTGGTATGCATGCGGGCGCCCGAGGCGCATTACAGCTCTCCGAAGAATATATGAATAATCACCGCCATTTCAAAGTTTCAAGTGTCGTAATGGGGCTTTACCGTGCGGTTAGTGGTTTGATGTTCATCCAGAGATATTCAATTGGCCCAGTGTACTGTGTCAGACAAAGTCCGACTTCAAGGCGAAGTCGTAATTGGGGCCTAGTTCGCTTGCAGATTAGTTACGTTGGTCTGCGAGCAAGGGCGCCACCTCCGGCCTGGCGGCACTTCGAGTTGAGATTGATTTTCGAGCAACTCGATAATCTTTATCCGTCTTATTCCCGAACGGCAAGATTATCGAAGACCAAATAGAAAAGGCTGGATTTCGCTATTAAGTTGAGTCACTACACACTACTGTCTTTATGTATGTACGCTGGTGAGAGATCTTGGTCATTAAATATTCACCAGGGTGATAAACTGACGGCGTCTGCCACTCGCGGGGTCTTGCTCAATTTTTGGGTTTTATACATCGGAATAGCTTCAACCGGTGAAGCGTATCGGATGGAGCGACCTTGTCCTGCTTTACTATTGCCATACAAAAGTCGACTTATCATTAGTGTCACTGCGCAGAAGCTGGGTCCATCACCATGACATTCAGTTACAAATCGGTGATAGTACAAGGCACGTGGGTCAACGTCATACATACCCACCTTAGCGCTTCTGGTATTAACAATTTCGACCGATCGCTGTTTTTACTTGCTGAGTTCAATTCACACAGTCAGTACTTCGGCGTTTACAGATCCTTGCTAGTACATGAATGGGTTGCAAGTAGGCACTGCGAAAATGCATGCCTTGCATAATCATCACCATTCCCGCTCGATGGATGATTGTCCACTCCTGTGGGTACTCAGGGTAAGGTTATCTACTACTTCTGCTTCCCGGAAGAGGAAGATGCTTCTTTCGTCTACTTCTATTCGCTAATTCTGGGAGAATGTAACACAATCTCCCGCACGAGCTCTCTCGCGACGGCGGGGGCGTACCCGTAGAACGCTTAATTTGCGGCGAACAATGCGGATGTCGTGCAACATTCGGCGGTGCATTGTACACGATACCTAAGCGTCGCAGCTGGACCGATCCCTTCACAGTGAGAGGTTCGCGTATCGTTCGCTCCCTACAAGATAGCCGGGGACATGAGGTGAGAAAGCGTTTAAAAATCGTGCACACTTATACAGGACCGGTTATCATCGTACATTATGGGAAGTTCCGCCGTCTCTCTCCCAGGTGCATACATGACAGCGAACACAAACTTTGCGTCTTCAGACGTCCGTTCAACCCTGCGCCCCTCTACTCCACGCCCTGACTTCCAGACCCCTCTCCCTCCGTCGTGGCGCGTTGCGCTTTCAGGGTGTTGAATTCATCATCGGAGATACGACGAAAGTAGATCTCTCTGGTTTGCCACCCACGCAAGAGTTGATCTAGCTTGGGCAAGTTGGAGACGTCGCTTAGGTTTCGGAAAGGGATATCTTGCGGCCATCCCTCTATCACGACGTGATACCTGACGACAATGTCCTTCCAATACGTCGGCCAATGCATCGTAGCGACGTCGTCGCCCGTAATCTGGCCTATATAACCGACATCAATCAATACAACATGATAACAATGGTAAGAGAACATTACGCAGTGCCTCCTTCATTATGCGTCGTATCTCGCTTCGCGTCTCTGACATCCTCTCGCTATATGTGGGCTTAGGGTTCAGGCGAAACCTGGATTGTTGTCCGGGTGGTTGAGCCATGATGCTCCAGAGATTGAAGTGCGAATAGGTATGTTCGAGATGCGATGAGGATCTGCTAGGATGGGCCAGACATAACGGCGAATTTATACTTGCGCGCCGTCAAGTTGCTGACTTCTGCGAACACATAAAGACCCTGTGATATTTTCCGTGAAACTGCCACGGAAGACGCCGCAGAGCTGGGCTGATGAACGAGATGCGAAGGTCGGAAGACTGAGGTGTTGTGACATGCTGAAGCAGCACCCTGCATATTATGCGGATCAGTCACAAGCAGAAACGGGGATTGGCGTAGTTCCGAAGTGAACGTACGAGAGTGGCCAGTCCACAACGAGGCTTCTTCTACAAACAGTTTTCATCATCGGCGGCCACAGCAGGAGGAGTCAGGACTCATGCTAGCGGCACATCCAGAACAAGCCGATCCGTGAAACGTCCGAGGTTGACAGACGGCGTACCAAGGTCAACGTTGTGAATTAGTCCGTCGCACAGAGCCACTACATCATGCTTCGAGCCATCTGATAAGAGCATGACCGTCCTTCGTCGTCTCTCGATACAACCCTTGAGTAATGGAAGCCGCCTACGGTGAGACAAGCAGGTGAATTGAACCCTATTCTTATCACCCGAGGCGTGCACTCTATGGGGGTGTCAGGTCTATACCTATAGCTACAGTAAGAGAAGGCTCACCGTCTTTCGGCGCTATGCACGTCATCACCTACGTCCGCGATTATGATCATAGTCCATCACGGATCGTATAGCGTACTCCTGTCCAAGGCCGCAGCCGAACGTAAAACATTGAAATGGGATGCTTGCCTGAGAGATCAAGGCCAAATGACCGAGTCGTGGCAGCGTCGAAGCAGTTGATCAAAACTTCATCTAATCCCGATCCAATTTCCTCCGAGGCGGGTCGTCCTATGATTTTTTCTCTGGTTTGAATGATTTACGCAGAGCGTACCGGTGAATGGTACAAATGCGCATCCGCACGGATAAAAGCTTAGATAAACAGTATAGCATGAAAGGGTACGAAATGGCAGACATCGACGACCTACCGACTGAGATCGGAGCCCAGAGCTCCTGCCATGACCATGCGGAATAGTCCGTCAAACGCCACACGCCAGCCGGATAGTCACGACCATTTTCGTGGATTCCTGGATGTTCGTGGACCATAGGCTGGGGGGACAACGGAGTTTGTGTATGCCAAGGCAGGAGAGAACCCAGCGAGATGACCGATTAGCACGCCGGAAAGCCGTAGCGCGCGCTGGAAGGACCCATCTCGCCATGTCGCCGCATGACGGTCACGACACCACCGTGCCGGATACTGTAAGATTTAATTGAGGATGCGGTAACCTACATCCGCGATTGCCACCTGCAAATTTAGTAATTACTTTGCGCAGAGATGCATGACTTGATTTGTGATTCCGGTCAGTGCTCGTGATTCCATACAGAAAAACGCTCACAACAGTGCCTTCGGACGTGGCCCGCTCTGCTCATCCACGGAACGTGTTCCCAACGCACCGGATCCATCCCTGTCCTGCGTGTTCTGCGACAACACGCTTCTGGACTTCTCCTGCAAAGACGCTGGGGCGGGCCGCATGCGGATGGTTATCCTGGCCATTGATGATCTTCTGCGGCCTCCATGGACGGCATTAGAGAGGAAGGGAGATGCTCGAGATATGCGTTACCGGCGGGACGGATGCTCATGCCTATTGCTTTGGGAGAGAATATCAGGTGATCAAATTCAATGTGGTCCTCTGTAAGAAGATAACTTTGGGTACCAAGCCTGAGATTGCTACGATTTGTAGCATATCAGCTAGACTTCGCTTGGAAAGGTGCTGGTAGGATGTTTCACCATATAAAGTCATATCAATATCACGTCTTGGCCCTTTGATTATTGCCATCCCGGGTATGTCTCTAGACTTTAAAGGTCAGTGTCGCTCCATGTCGCACTAACCTTCCTCTAGCTATGATTGTCGCGTGCAGCGCGCAGTTACACGTCAGACCAAATATTTCCAAGTCATTGATCAGTTGTGAGAAGCCTGCCACCGGAATTGATCGCGGCTGCACGCCATGGACCCACTGGCAAACGTACTATCAGCCAGTTTGTGAATGTAACAGGTAGAGTTTTGCTCACCAAGAAAAGAGCATCCCTGATTAACGTGAAATTTCCGGCATAGTAGCATGACCCATAACAACTCCTACATGGTGACACTGCTACCGGCGTGTCCAATCTATCTCTTGTATTACTGAATGCGCTCATGGCGGGATCGTAGCTGTACTTTGCTGCAAGCTTCCAACCACGATGACTTCATGAGACTCAGTCACATGATTACCGGTACCGACGAACGTTACAAGGTGAGAACTATCCACAACACTTTGATTGAAACCTAGACTATCCACTGTTCACGGCGGGTACCAAAGGAAAGTCTCTACAGCTCGTCCTTGGCGTGGGTATGCACATCCTCTGACTGGACGAGCGTCTCCGCCGGAGCTGAAGGCAAAGCTTCCTCAGGCTCTCCCACAGCGGCCTCCGGATCCAGCCCCTCGGAAGCCGCAGAGGGCACATCCTTCTCGTCCGTGGTCACGCTCGGCTCCGCGCCTGTGTTCATCTCGGGAGGAGCAATGGTGGGTTCGGCTTCTTGAACAGCGTGAGCCTGGGTCTGGGCTGGCGATTCCTGCTCGCCCTCTCCCGTAGAAGGTGGCTCAAATTGCTGATTCGCTCCCTTCATGGCGGGGAACTCTGCGGTACCATCAGCAACTGACTTAAGGTATTTGTCCAGGCTATTGAACTTCAGGCGACCTGGGTTATTTCAAATGCATCTAGTTAGGCTCACAGTCAGTCTAATCGACGGTCACTTGCCATCGAAACGAACGAAATCCGACGATCCTGCGGGATAAACTAGGACTTTGGAGGTCCTATCCGGTTTCTCTTCGACTCCTAACTTGACAGCGCTCTTGCCGCTTTTGTCTTGGAGAATAGAGAATGTGATGTGATCTTTGTACTTGTTGCCCAGAGTCTTCCACATCAGCGGTATTTCCTTTCCTGAATTAAGTAAAACGGCGCAGGGCTTGGCAACATGCTGCAAGTAGTAGGCAATTGAGCATACAGCGCGCTCCTGTCTCGATGCTCTACGACGAACCTCATTGGCCCAAGCCGTCACGTCGGCTACCTTGTCGAGCCTCTTGACGCCATGCGGAATATTCCGCGACGCCCAGTAGAAGAAACTCTCCGCAGTCCTTTGGCCGCTGTCATAGCTTACCGGTTTTGACTGCGAGCCACGCGGGAACAGCTACAGAAGATACTGAGCTACGAGATACGAGACAGTAGGAGGGAAAGCCAGTACTTTCACTGTTGGGAATCCTTGCACCCCTTGCTCAGAGCAGAGCCGTTTGTTGGAGTCTTGGTCGCAGTCCACTGCATACAAGGGTACCATCGGTTGCAGCGCTTCAGCGGCCTTGCTGTACTCTGGCGCCATCCTTTGACAATGCTATATATCACTGTTCGCTTTTGCAGCCTCTAACAGAATATCTATTTTGCTCACTCCGCACCATGGCGCTACGAAAGCTACCACCGAGGTCATCTAGGAAATGGGTTAGGGTTAGTACCATTCGACAAACAAAGATTCACTTGCAGATACGCAAAATAGACATTTAGCAGCAATCCGAGACAGATTTAGCGTAATCTTTGTATATCTGAGCATACTCACGTTCGATTTCATAGCCTTTTTAAATCCATTCGAGTCAAGCATCTTCACTTTCGTGTCCGAGGGGAATATCGCCGCACTCACGATGGCTGGCCACGCCGCCAACCCTAGAGCGAGAGCTTGGTGAAGCAACATTCCTTTCTAAGTTAGCCAGCCAGATATGAGTTTAGTATAAAGACAAGTGCGAGCGATATTAGGTTGACTGATGACGACTGCAAGAGAACAAGATTATATGTAGCGTGGGATTCCTGATCGCACTGACGTGGCGATCATGGTGGCTAATCCGGTGTTTACCACAATCTCTGGGTTGCAGCTACATCTTTCAGGGGAAAAGCAATGGTGTACACTGTATTCCCGTGCACGATGTCGGTGTCGTAATACTATGTGACTGTGGTGTTGCATTATTGGCGCAGATCTACGTGCGGATAACACGCGCAAACCTAAATCTGACGTTGCGGTGGGCATACCCTCGTCCCCGAACAAGGTCAGGCCCATAGTGTCTCGGCGTTGTAGAAATGTTTTTTAATGAAACTGACTCGTCGACTCCAAAGGGCAATGGCAAGTATCATGTAACAAGAGCTGTTGGCGTTGGCTCTCAAAGATGTCCCCAATTTCCTGTTTCTGACGGTCACACGTGGCAAACTCAAGCCTGCAGCATGTTGTCGGCGAGGGTATGGTGCAGCATCGAGTCAAGTCTACTTAAACGAGACTACGAGTCCGATGCGTCTTTGTTTCCGACTTCCATTGTCGAATCTCTGACATTCTGTCTCCGCGTTCATTTGCGCCGCCTCAAGTCTTAACGTGTTAGGCCAAGGATCTCATCTGCGTGACAGATTTAAGAAGATGTTCCCGTTGAATGATTACAATGTGGTTTGTTGCGCTCTAGCAACATTCTCTGCTGCTGTTGGGTACAAGATAGCCCGACAGCGGCACATACTCAACATTCTACGGTAAGCAGCCAACAAATGAAGCTTAAGCCAAGGAGGTCACTCAATGAACTGCCCATTGGTCTCGTTAGTCGGTCAGACGATGTAGACCATCGGGATCACATCTTCCACAGACGGGATAGCTCCGTAAGCATGCTCTCCTCGTGCGATAGCATGACAGAGAGCGAAGCGTCGGAGCCTCCTATCTCTGATTGTCCTACACCGTCCGAAAATGTAAGAGACGTCAGTGTGATCGCTTTGACATGGACATTAATGGCAATCGTCTTCCGTCGATGACGGCATATCATATGCACCGATCCTCAACGCCAGGCCTTTGACGATACAGAGATCGGCACATTAAAGAGGAAACTCAGGGAGGAAGAACCCGAAGACGTACGCAGCTTTGTAACCTTTTCGCCATATACATCATCCATGCAACGTGAATCCGTTAGTCGATGTGCCGGGCTGGATCTGCTAGATCTGATTCCGTACGTCACACTATGCTTAACTTATTCAATCCGTTCCGACCTTTACTATAGGATCAGTCTACCGCTCCTGCTCCGAAGCGTTACAAGATTCGTAACACGGGTGGCAGCGTCTCGGTTAAGACAGAAGACGTCGAGTCCAGTATTGTTACAGGCCCGGAGCACGATCTGATCATGGGGGATCAAACCGAATTATCTTCAATATCTCAATCACTCGATGTATGGTACCTGTCAACGTGGCGCTACTATCTGAGTCTAATGGAATTGCTCAGGAGCAGGAGCAACCAGTGCAACAGCGATATGCCACAGCCGCCACGTTTAGACCTCTAACTCAACCGATCACACCCGTGAGTCTTTTGTTACCAATACATTTCACTAAGACATTGAACGATACGAAGGTTAAGCCATCTCTAGCCTTCACCTCCTTTGCGGGTAATCCGTCTGCATTCTCAGTCGTGCCAAGCACAGCTCCCGCTATCAATCGGAGGTCCATATGGAGTGTTCCGAGCTCTACGAAAGAAATCGCAGCGGGAAGTGCTGCCGTCAATGCAGCACCGACATTACAGGATCGCGTGAACGCGGGGACATCCGAGGTTATATCCTCTCCCATCATCACCGGCACCCAGGATGAGACCGAGAAGACGGATGATCCTCTCGCCGCTCATCATTATACGAAGAGCACAATCGTATGTGAGTGTGCGTCTTTGTAGGTAACTCAACACTCCTCACAAATCTTCATGAAGCGCTCACAGGAGAGGAGGACGAGCACACAAAATCTGAGCTCAAGGGCGTAAAGGTCTTCATAAAGCGAGGAGACAGGGAGTTTACCGATGGGATACTCGGCAACATTAAGCACCTTTCGCACAAGGATACTGCGGATGAACGCCTGCGTGAGTGGTACCGCTCGCCCCATTCCCTCTTGTCCACCTGTGCATCCGCGTTATGGAGTTTTGCTCAACCACATTTCCAGTCTTCCGCCGGGAACCGGTGTGGAAAGTGTCGATGAGCGTGCGACTCCGCCCGACTGTACGCTGCTCATTCGACGAAGATCAAGGCATCCTGCGGGTGGCCCTCAAAGAGGCCGATAAATGCGAGAACGCGATATCAGGACAACAGAAGCAGGAGATTGTCGTGTACGCCATCAAGGTATGTGTCAACTAGACACCGCCGTGTCTCCCGCCATGCTCATCAGCGTGGGGCGCTACAGAGAGGGAAGGCTTCGAGGGACGACTTCGCGCAATTTGCGCGCTCCGTCGTCAGCAGTCCACGGTGGGCCGTGCTCGCAAAGGATGCGGAGCACGAGACGACCTCAAGCGCACCATCCACTGCGACATGAACTCCACGTCTTGGGCTGCCGTGGACTTCTTTCCCCGTTGTCGGCCCCCGGCGTGCAGCGACATTGTCCTCGTGCTTCATGTCGGATGCTTTCACAGCCGGACGCTCTGAGCTGCAGCACTCGATGTGCACTTGGCGGTAGGCTATCCCTGGTATCGATCCACTAGCGACCCACATAGGCGACCGCAGGCGGTGGCCTTGTATAATATTCGACGCCAAAATGACACGGTCATTATGTGTTATGATATACCCGTGCAGGATATATATGCGCAGCGCAGCAGATTTAATATGCTTGCACCACAACCGCTAGAACTAAGCCGTCGTAACGTATTTTGGCTGTATGCCCAATGGCGTGCCGTACTCCTTCAATCTCCATATCCGTAAATCACTGTGTCCGTTGGACAAGAAATGCTAGGAATAACCTTCGGCGGTACCGGCCGTATCGCTCCCGAGAGGTACGCGCTAGTCCGCGGCGCAGAAGTGCCTGTCGACTCAATTACGTTCATGACGATGATCGCGGCACGCACTAGAAGAAGCCACCCAAGGAACACAGTTTGAGTGTGCGATCTAATCGCGATCCAACGACGGAGGTCCATCTATCGATGCCTGCGGGCCTTCTATAGCGTGCAATGGCTTCGAGCGTCAGAGCGAGACGGTAAGGGGGGCGCAGATCATTGTGCATGCGTTCTGTAAACACTGTTAGACCACATGAAGCTCGAAATTAGCACGCACGAGTCAGCTTCATCGAGGCACACATCGCAAGTCCCTGAAAGATCAACGTCGCATTATGTGCGGACCAGTCAGCTCACCGCGCGCAGATGGAGCGGCGCATCCACTCCAGACATCAACGCGTGCATTGCGCCAATACATCATATCGAAGACGGTCCCGGGCGGACCTCAACGACTCGTGCCAGTCAGATTTGCTGCGAAGCTCCCGCTGACGTCGACGAGACAACCAGATGTCAGAAACCGATGAAGGCTAATCCTTTGGAGCCGACGGTACGCCATGAGTTGGCCTGCACGGCGCAAGGAGCAAATGACGTCACATCTTCTAGCATGTGCCGATTGAGAAGGAGCCGTTTGCATCGGCATCGCTGCATGGCCTACGTTGTTCAGAGAGAAGCCGAACATCCCCCAAAGGGCTGTACAGGTTCAAAGACCGCTGTTGGATCCGTGTAAGAATATGGCCCACATAGTCCGATAGGCATTTTTTTGATACCTCCGGCCTCTATGGGCTTGAGACATCCCTGACCGCAGAAAGCAAAGACGAAGAGCATGCGGAGTCCTTAAACGAGCGATCACGAGAGTACAGACCAACCCCAACGTTTGATACTGCAGTAGCGCCCGGAGTGCCGCCAGACGCGACATATGTTCAGGTCACTCCTCCCCGCCGCGACACTCCTCCGTAGCGCGCGTCGTATTCACACTGAGTATTCTCGCGGCCCACCATTCCTGAGTAAGATTACAACCACATACCTTGAAGAGAATCTGGCTCAACATCGCGGCGGTCGAGTTGAATCATCTGCAAAGCCAGCGACAATACTTGTGCACAACCTACTGTATAAAGGCACATTGTCTGAGCAATCAATACATCAGCAAGCTCGCAGGCCATCCGTCACCATACAGGCCGAGTATTAGTCAAACAGGATGATCGACCTCAGTCACTTACCAATTTGAAATTTTGTGCATCGAACTAGGATGTTAAGAGTAGGGGGTACTCTGAATGTTATTGGAAATGGCATAATTCCGTTGATGAAACTACGTAGGCGTGCGCTACTTCGAGCAGGGATGAACGAGCCCAACAATCGCTATCACGGCATTTCTGCAAACGAAGGCGATCACCAGTGCTCGCACGTCGACGTGAGAGGTCTCCATAAGATTGACACAAATATGGAGGAGAGATCTGCCTGAGTCGCAGAACTAGTCCGGGTAAAGGATGGGCGAACTCTCGAGCAAACTCACCTATGCCCGTGTCTGGAACGCGAGCGTTCTACCAGCAATTGTCACCACAGATCAGCCTGACCTTGGCGTGACGAGACTTGGGCTTGGGTGTCTATGAAGGTCGTAGGATAGGACCCTGGCGAGCCGGCAACTTAGCGTCACAGAGAGATCATCCTGAGCATCTAGCAGCTGTCTTAACAATTGCGTGGGGACAGCGATAGCGCTAACGTTACCAGAAGACGGGAAAGATAGACGTTAGAAAGACTGTTGGAAGATGGCGAGGACACGCGACATTGACCAGGAGGAGGAGAAGGGCTGTCCTTATTGTCTCGTCGAGGACGGAGGCAGCAAGCGCCACGCGAGGCTGGTGCCCGAAAAGGCAGGTATTGTGCGTGTCGAACGAGGACCCGGGAACCCCTGTGAAATGGAGCAAGCGAAGACAATAAGCATCACTAAAAGGACCAATAGGGCACATTAGAGCCCTGATTGGGGTGTCCGAGGGGCCGCGGCACATTTTGAATTGTGGGTGATGGTGTTGACAATGTGCAGTGCAACGAGGCGTCTGCGAGGATGTTTATAGAGCAGAACCGACGGGCTATTGTCCGTCGTGGACGCGGGCCACTTTTGTCCGTTGGTGTTCATAAGGAGTCTCTCAGCGTTGAGACTTGCCAACACCAGCTAGTCTTGTGCTCACCCTGCTTATCCTCTCCTCGCCTTGTCCACTGTAGCCCTATTCCGAACGGATTCATTTGGCCCAACCTTCGCACTTTGTGTATCCATCTAACGTTCCAAGGACCCCTGTGTTAGAGTTCGCTGCGTTGCATGTGAGCACTTACCGCCTCCTCATGTGCTTTGACAACGCTGATTTGCAATGTCAAATCAGTTTCCCGCTTGACGTCTATCGCATCTTCTCTGCCTTATTCATGTCTGCTGCCCCTGCCCAGTCTTCCTCTGTAGCAAACATTGCCCCAGCAGCCCCAGCGTACCCGTTTCTTTCGCAACCGCCCCCGCAGAAAAAGCGCCCCACCCAGCCGTTGCCCACCACGCCGGTCCAGGCACCTGCTAGCCCCTGTAAACCTGTTGCCAACCGCAGACGCTCCGCCACCCTCTCTGTCATTGCCGCGTGGGCTGCGAACGTTCAACCAGGCTCTCCTGCTCCGTTGACTCCTCCCCGTCGCAGGACTTCGATTTCCAGCCCTCGTCGTCCGTCCATCTCTCCGCGATCCTTGACCCGGCGCGCCTCTGTGACCTCGAGTCGCGCGCCCTCGGCGTCGTTCTTGAATATCATTGACACGCCCACCACGAGCCGTATCACACCTTCTGTGAAGGACTTCAAGCACGACCTTACTGCGGTCGGGTACACCTCTGTCTTCGTCCACTTCCCCAACACACCCTCCTCAGCCGCGTACACCGGTTTCCCGGACAGACGCCCTTCAGTTACCGCCATTCCTGCTCCTCAGGTTCCCGAGGCATCAGAGAAGCCCGCTCGTCGCGGCCTGAAGCACTTCCGCTCGCTTTCCGCTCTGAAGCCCAGCCGCTCTCGTTCCAAATCAACGACCATGCCTTCTGCTATTCCCACTAAGCAGGTTGTTCCGCCTGTCCCTGCGGGGCACTCGCGTGCCCCGTCCAAGGAGACCGTCAGCAAGGCGAAGAAGTCCAAGTACGCCAAGTACCGCCCGCCACCTCTCGCGGCCGAACTCGCCCTCGCCCAGCTCGCCGATGGCGGGAAGATGGATGACCACATCAGGCGCTTCGCCGAGGCACAGGCGCGTGCCGGTGGCGCGATGGTCGTCGACGGTAAGCTTGTCGGCGTCGGCGACGTGTGGCGAGATGGCGAGGGTGGCGTGTGGCGCGACCAGGACGAGGAGTGGGAGTACGCACATCTACTCGGCGGCGACGACCAGCTGCGCGCGAGCGACGGCGGCTGGGAGCGCTTTGGCTCCGGCTCCGCGTCTAACAGCGCTGACGGCGAGGAGCACCGCGGAAGCGTGTCGAGCCAGGACTCCGACCTCGATCCGCGGTACGCGATGCAGGCCGAGGGAGAGCGCGATGACCTCGCGGTATTCGGCAGTGCTGTGATGCCCTCCGCCATGCGCAAGCCGGGCATGTCTGTGCTCGCGATCCCGACACGCCACCGCCGCACCGCACCGCACCTGCGCAAGCCCGAATTCCTCCTCGACGTCTTCCCCGTGCCCGACAACGCGGACGCACAGCCGCTCTGCCAGCTCTCGTCGAACGGCCAGCAGACGCGTGCCACGGGCAAGGAGCGCCGCCGCCCGGCGCCGCTCACGCTCCCGCCGCCGAGCCCGGCGTCGAAGGCACCCATGAACCCCCTCGACGACACACGCAAGGCTTTCATCGAGAATTCGTTCGCGCCCCCTCCGGCCCCCTCGCCTGCCACCCACCGCCAACACCATCAGCGGCCAGTCGAGCCACCTCGCACGCCCGCTCGTGTTGACTCGCGGCCAACGACAGTGCGTAAAATGGCTTTTGGCGGCAAGTCGACCATCAAAATGGACATGCGGGGCCTCTTGAAGGTTATGGGCGGCAAGAGAGACATCTAGACGCAGGTCGATCTGGTACGGCTGCCTGTGGTGTGATGGGTGTACGATGATCTCACGTTGATTCACGTCCTATTGGTTTTGCTGTATTCTGCTGTATCAAAAAAGACTGTAACGTTCTTATGACCTACTTGTAGAAATTCTCTAATTTAATACACTGTTGTATTCTAGTTGAACTTTGCACGATGCGTCCTCGGTAGTTTCAGATTCTCTGATTGAGTGTATTTGCGCCAGGTTGACAGGCACAAAGCGATGTCTTGCGAGATCTGATACAAGGCAGGAAAAGCTAAGGACTAGCGTAGGGGTGAATCGTTCTCTCGTGTGCAATATACCCTCTTTCACTGACCGAGGTTTGGTGTCTTGTCCCTCATGTGACGCTCTCTGGGTGTGGAAAGGGTAAATAAATGGTGCGAAACAGTATACAGAGGGTCTAGCTTGAACAAAAGTGTTTATCACAATTGAAGTAAAGGGCGGCAGGCATTGCAAACGCCGGAAGGGACAGACTACAAGATTGAAGACGTGCACGAATAGCTAAGGTTTGACACACCTACGGAAAGGTCCGACGCATAGTGGTGAGACACCACAACTCCCAAAAGACTGCAAAGTAACACAAATTCGGTCGGCGAGCGCGTTTGTCCACGAGTACAGCTATGCCCGTAGTAAATCGCGTAAGGTACATATATTACGAACGATGGAATTTGTGGATCGCATCTGAGCTTGCGAGCTCGTTCCTGGCTGCAAGTTCCAACAGACAAGACAATCGCGGAGAGGAGGAACGAGAGGCATAAGGGTCAAGAGATCCTAGTTATAGCGGTCAACTCAAGCAGTTGCCAGTAGCCATGGGAGACAGTTGGGGCAATGCCTCTGGGGAAACTGACCGCTTAGTACGCAACATCGGGCTCAGGATCTGGGCAAACTCGTTTAAGTTCAATCATGATCATAAAGTATACGTCCTTCAGGAATACAGGGATACCCTAACTCGGACGCAGGAAGTTTGCTGTGTGATTTATTACAGTCCTTGTAGTTTGGTCTCCGTCAAATCTAATCTGCACGCCTCGCGCAAGCTTATGGGCTTGTTCTCCTGCTAAGTCATCTCTATACGGATAGTATATTATACTGTATCAAGGTTTGTTTTCAGAATAATATTTGCGAAGTGAGCTTACAGTGATATGGGTGTTTGTAACGCGTCGGTTGGAATGAGGGGTCTGTCGGCAACATCTCCTTGCAATTATTACAGATTGCTCGGGTTTCATCCTTCAATCTCCACAAAGTGTGTGATATACCATATCAAGCCATGAAATCCATTTTGTGGTTCAAATTTGCTCCCGTGATTCGTCTTCGACATTCGAGCATGAAGCGCCCGCAGCGCTATCTGGGATAGCGTCCAAAGCACTGTATCTAACGGACTCGCAGTTGTACTGCCATCCATTAATCGCTTTTCAAACTCGCTTTTGACATACATACAGCATGAGAGAGGCTAATACATGAGGCTAGTGCATGAGTTGCTGTGGCGGCAGTACGCCACAACAACTCTGTCAGGCCCTGATACCACCTTCATGTGCAGTAGATAGAGACATACTGGCATGCCTTCGCTGAAGATACTGCATAATGTGTGACGCTATTAGTGTTTGTCTATTATGAGTACGCCTATGCGAAATACAACGTATGAAACAGCTTGATTACAGAAAGAGCTTGGCACCAGTATAAGACATACCGACGGTAAGCCTAAGGCAGACAACTGTCCCTCGGGGAGGCTTTAATGAGTGCTGGAATTCTGGAATTGCGTAAACATTGCTTTGAGGGTCGGGTCCTGTCAGAACGAGTGTCGGTAATTCTACATAACCGTGAGCGCGCAGGGTATCGACAGCGATGCACGGACCACTGCTAGACAAACAAAACATGCTTCCAATGACTAGAAACTTACCCGTGATAGGCCAGTAGACCAAAAAACGCAACGAAAGGGTAGAACACAAAATAGTGGACGAGTCGCACTTCAGTCGAATCTTGCGAAATGCCAGCGTACTGAGGTACTAATACCCTTCCCTCGCCCTCGCTAGCACCGCAGCTATGAGACCAGGGACATCATTCGCCTGAACGTGCGCCCCGACAAGATCTCCAACATCTTGAGACAGTCCTTCGACTTGCGCGTCGGCCAGTTGTCGCGTATTAGGCACGAAGAGGAGCACGATCTGTATCCGCCTCGTTTCCCGATTATTTTGGGATGTTGGCCTGATACCATAGGTGAGATGCAGCTCATTCTCGGATGCAGAGCGATAAGACTCCAGAGAATGGAGCGAGCGATGTAATGCGAGCGACGCAGTAAACCTGTTGAGAAGTTGAGCTATGTACGAGGGATATACACAGCGGGGCAACTTGCCAGTCATATAATCCGATCACTCTGTTGTCCTCGACCTCCTCTCTCGCTGTTTTCGCAAGCTTCTCGACATCAGATCTCTCTATGCGTAAACGCTCGACTTCTCGCGCGCCCTCTTTGACTTTCTCCTTAATTTCGTCCACTTTCTCGTTGAGGCCCTGGAGTTCATCATCCAGCTTCTGCATCTCCATGACCTGCGAGTCAAGCTGGGCGTTGGCAGATTGGATAGTCAGACGCGGGTGAGGATGGGCTTGTCGCAGACGCGTCAACTGTAGTCGGGCATCAAGAATCTTGCTAGCTAGCGTTGACGCCTCACTCGTGAGCGCTTTGGCCTTGTTGTAATCTGACAATGAATACGTTCAGGCCGTGCGTCGTGCGAACGCGATTCTCGGACTCACCTTGCTCTACAAGAGGTGCCAATTTACGTAAATCGTCATGCTTTTCAGCCAATCGGCTCTTCGCTAACTTGAGGACACTCTTCTTTTCGTCATTCGCTACTCTGAGCCTCTCGTTGTCCTCGCCATTGATGTTCGGCGCGTCGTCGCTTACAATTGTCTTGATGTACTGATCCTTCGCCTTCTGCTCAAGATACTGTATCTTCAGTTTCCGCAAGAACGCCTGGGTGGTTTGAGCTGCCTTTGTCAGGAATCAATCATAGCGCCGCGGCCAACCAACGCACCACTTGCGAAGCGACGTGCACCGCGACTATGGCCGGGTCAGTCAATCCTGGTCTGCCCTCCAACAGCTGGGCAACCTCGGATTCAGATGAGCTTTGCTGGGAGTCGAATTGCTCCCGGTATTCGACAATGTGGAGGCGCGTCTTCTCTAGCGTTGATTGTAGCGAGCGCGCAGTTTCAAGTTTGGCGGTATGCTCGAGATCCATTGTGTGTTCTCTCGCAGGGTATTCGCCCGTCCGATAGAGCTAGTGTCTTCCAGAAGATTTGAGACGGTGAGATCCAGGTTGACCCTGTTCTTCGCGACAACATCGACGCGTGACATCAGCGACACGGTCACGTGACAGACTCAGTGGCACAGCTCAGGAAGGAATATTCACTTCGCCAGTTGGCAGCTCCGCCGCCAGTCTCAGATTAACCATTTGCCATGTATTATGGACAATGTCATTCTTTTGAGCGGATAAATAGAAGCCGCATAAACCATAAAAGCAGGCATAGGTACAGGACAGCAAATACATGTCTCCGCTACAAGTAGAGCATCCCAGATCACCTTCGGCACAAGCAGGGATGCCGAGGTGCCCGCCGCATAGGTCACTTAATCTAAGCCACAGAGGTGCCACCATGCAACTGAGCATAAAATACCGCAAATATACAGGCAAAAACGAAAACAAAATGTCGCAGACGTCAGCCCCTTTGAACGACTCAAACACTGCCAGGTGATGCAGCTTTCCAATTGCAACTGTAGCAAGCGCGCAACCGTCACAGGCGACACAACACCCACCGTGGTCCTACTAGCTACCAACGCAGCCATCGTAGTCATCGCGGCATCTTCAACAGCAACAATTTCAGCCACAAGTATGGGTTTCAATCGTTTGATGCAGTGTCAAAGTCATACGTAAGGCAATACGTTCTCACTGATAACCAAATAAATAAACGGGTTATTTGGAACTCGGATGTGAAGCGTCAACGCTCGGCTTGTACCTTACAGGACAGGCGAGCATTAAACTGCCATAACTCGGCTCAGGCTGCGCATACACAAGATGACGAACCTTCACATCCTACAATTGAGCCACACTGGTTATGAGTACAAGAGGGCACGATGCAATTCGCTGAAGCACCACCAGACATATTTCCTACAACTGCTCAATCATTTCACGCCGATGCTCTACCAAAGTGATATCAGTTCTCAAGTGCTTCCACGCAGAGTTTCGTAACGTACTCATGAAAGGGGATGTTCCACTCCATGCCGTCAGGGCGGTCACTATAACCCTTAGTTGTTCCGTCAATCTCGCTTCTACTGCGGGGAGAGAACCAGTGGCATTGAACACAGTGTTTTTTGCCGCCACCGTGGTCGCCGAAAGTGAGTTCTTGAGTACACGCGCGAGCGTGAAGAGCAGAACCTGAGACGTAATACATGGGCTCGGGGATAGCTAGTGCACACAAATCCTCACCCCTAGAAATGCGTCTACATGTTTAATTCTACTATAGTCAATCTGCCGAAGCAGCCATACGGCAGAGGTTACGGCCCTTGCAGTCTTGCTTTCCGTGTCAACTCTGCCTCCTTGACTATCACGGCGCTGGAAGAGCTCGATCGTGGCGCAATGTGCGATTATATGGATCATCAGTAGCCTAGGTATGAGATCAGCCCTAGAAGTGTTCATAGGAGGTATCTCCTGCAATCCTCCTTTGAACTGTTCGATGCGTTGATCGAGCTGTGAAGCTTCGGCAGGAACGGAGCCTGTGCCTTTTTGTTGAAATATAATGTTAGAGATCCCGAGACTGATCGGAATGATAAGGCAAGTGCTCGCCTCCGGAAATCAAGCTCGCTGTTCGAGTCGCATGTTCCATGAGCGATATGGCCTTTGCGTGAAGCGCCAACCAACTCTCCTGAGCATGCGCAGGACTGGCGCCATATACAAACACTTTGACTGTGCGCAGGCTCGCAGGCATCTGCGGCCGATAAGGTCAGCGTGCACCGAAATACATGGAATACATGAGGTGGGGCAACCTACATTGTCATGGACAGTCAATGGCCATGGTACATCGATCTCAGTCCCCTTTCTCTCGTCGTCTGTGAACGCCGAAGCATACCCTAATGCAAATGACCAGGCCTTGTCAAGAGCATATACCGTCCAAAATGCATTGATGCACTCGCCCATCTCAACCACATTGGCGGGCACTGCAAGCCTGTACGGTATGCTGATCGGCAATACGTCACTCGTGGGACCGCATAAGCTCCCGATTACGTGTAGTCTGCAGGCAAGCGCCATATCAGCCGCGGCATTGGCGCGGTACGTGCCCTCAAGCGCGCAATTATTAGAGAAGAAGTAGCTGGCAAGCAGCACTTCTGTCTGGAGAGCGTGCATAATGGCTGTGGGAGTTGGGTTGTTCAAGCCCACAGCAAGGTGCTCCAACGTCAAGGTGAGTAACTCCGCTTGTAACCCGTGCATCTGTGGGTCATTGGAGCAATGTGCCCCCACCAAGTATATTGCGTTGAGCAGCGCGGCAGAATGATCAGTCTGAAGAGCTTGTCCAGGCAGTATAAACGTGCGCATAAAAGGAAGAAGCCGAAATTCAATGCATGCGCTGTGAAAATATTGAATCTGCAAAGAAATCAGTTGCAGGCGTTCCCGAGAAGATTGGCAGATTGTTACCTACAGTGCGCGCAGAGACAGCTCGGAGAGGCGGTGACGTTGAACTGAACCCTGGTGCGGTCCCTGCATCCTATGGAATTGCTCATAGGGGTCATGGAGGGTGACGGGCGCGAGGGAGGGGTCCTCCAGGTTCGCTATGTGGTTCTCTAGGTGCGCAATATGCCGCTCAAGAGCCTGTATGTTATCGCAGTCGAGCTCATCCAGATAGCCACATTCTGCACCCATGTTAGACCGTATGCATTGACCACAGGTGGGTCTCACGCCGTCACATTTCTTCGCAAACAACAATATCAGTTGGACAGACCAAAGCGTTGTTGAAAGACCTTACGGTCTTCTTCTGTCTATGTAGTTTAGTGCGTCCGTGAGCTGTTCTGAGTACGATTGTTTAAATGGCTTACCTGCAGACAAGGCATGCTTTCCCCTTCCCGAGGTTACCAGAAGCTGAAGTGGAAGCCATGGAGATGATCATATTGAAGCGCTTGAGAACCTAGAACTGCTGTTGGGTCTACAGCAAACCGAAGCCATTATGATGTACTACAAGCTAGGTCCCATGTTCACAGCTGTGTCAACGCGCATCGCGGTGGGAAGTTTTTCTTTGGCGGCCTCTGCGTCGGCCGCTCCGCTGAACAAGGCACACGCCATGGATGTGAAACCGACATGAACGACCCCATCGCACCTTTTTTCCTGATCAGCAGAACTCTAATTTTGCTGAAGCACGGTGAACCAGCTGAGCACCTGAGATTCATCTAGAATCAGGCCATTTCAGCCAGATTTGCCCATCCAAATGTCCGGAGAATGCATGTGAATGCTTCATGGGTTGCCTGAATTGCTTGATTTCAGCGGAGTCGGTCACTCAACCTTGTTCATGTGAACGGCGGGGTTTTACTGATGCGCTGTCGGGTTCGAGTCTGGGCGCATCAGAATACGATAGTTTACCGGCCATCTTGTAGGCGGTAGTGAAATCCAACCACCGTGTTTGTTCACTGCGCCGTACAACCAAGAGGCCGATCGTGCAGTCCGACGTCATTGATCGGATCAGTGATCGAGCGCGTAGATATATCGCGGGTGCTGTTCGACCCTGGCAGATTCGATATACAGCATACACAGCGTCCGGCTGTGCATTGTGACACGGAGTTTCTCGTTCCGAAAGCTGGTGAGTGAGGATTTAACTGAATTCACGGAAAGGACGACATAACTCTATTCCGAGGTTCTCGGAAGCGCGCGCTATCTTCCAAACATAATAATCAACTCGAGCACGGCACTGCCTACAGCCCAATTTGAGCAAGCAGTGCAACAAGCGAAACCTCAAGCGAGGACTTCTTCGATGATTACCGCTTGGCGTTCTGGAAGTGACAATGCAGTGAACCGGTGTCCGAAGAAGCCTGGATCATAAGAATGACATACTCAAGAATAGACACGTCTCCCCCCACCTGCTTAGAGTAGCGTGGATATCGACTAACGCTGCCTGCAAACTCGCCTCAGTCTCAGCAGGAGAATGACGAACCTGGGGTGAACTGTGGTCACTGAGCGCGCGCATCAAGCTGCGCCGTAAAACGTCGGCAACAATCTTGAGTAGAACCTAAATATGCGTCAGCTCGTCAACTTGCGACCTGAAACAAGGCATGACGTACACCAACGAAAGGGTCAATGTGTTCGACTGCGCCAACATCGCTCTTCCGCAAGATTTCTACTGCACCACGGGCAGCAGCAATGCTCCTGCCGCTCAGACTAATAGCATCGTTCTGCATTTCGATCGGCTGCCACAACTGAATCGCCGCGCAATGGATGGCCATGTGTATGACCAAGAATCTGCGCCTCAGTTCTGCCCGCAAGGCACCAAATTCATCAGTAGAAGGTAGAATAAGCCTGAATCGCTCGAGTCGGATAGCAAGGTGACCGAAGCCCGCGGGATACTGATTAGTGTCTACGAATCGAGGGGTGAGAAAGCCAAATATAGTAGGTGAGCAGCGGTACTCACTGGGGACGACCTGCTTGGCCATTTCAGCAGCGTACTCGAAGAGGGCAACCGATTTTGCATGTAGCGCCAAGATACTCTGCTCAACGTTACGAAAAGCAGTATCATGTACAAATGTGCGTACGGTTCGCAAGCCCTGCAAACCTGCAGGTATCGGGTTCTGTGGTGTGATCGTACATAAGCTGAAACGTTACGCAATGGGCACCGAAAAATACCTGCTCATAGGCAGACGTATCCAGCGGCCACGGGACATCGATCTGTGTGCCCTTTTCTTCTTCATCCGTCAGGGCGGAAGGAGAGCCGAGCGCAAACGACAAGCACTTGTCCAAGATATATGCAACCCAAAAAGCGTTCATCCGCTCGCCCTCCTCGACGTGGTCCGCCGGAGGATCAAGCCGAAACTGCATTGTACCTGCAAAAACGCCGGGTATGTCGCGGGCGCTACGCATGTGGTGCAGTCCGCACGCGAGCACGATCGCAGAGGCGGCGCTACAGTGGTATGCGCTCTCAAGCGTGCGGTCCTGCGCAAAGTAGTAGTTTGCCAACAGTATTTCCGCTTGTAAAATATACATAACAGTCCCTGGTGTTATTTCTGCCAGAGCCACCGCGCGATGTTCCGGGATAGCCGATAGGAAACGCTCTTGCAGGGCACGCGTCGGTAAATCGTTAGACAAATATGCACCTAGTAGATAAATCGTGTTCAGCAGCGTGGACGTGTGCTTCGGGAGGTCATCAGCCTGAGGTTGTGAGACAGCCTCCAGGAAGCGCGGGACATGCAAAAAGAATCCAAGCTCAGACGCATAGTTGGAAAAATTGACGATTCTGAAAAGAGTTGAATATGGCACCTGGTCAAACAAATAGCCACTTACAGTGTCTGTATGACGTGAGTGGGAATTGGGGGTAAATCGGTGGTATACTGAGAGGCTTCCGTCATACGGTGGGTCTCGTAAGGATCATGCAGGGCTATAGGCCCTGGTGCGGAGGCTTGTAATTCCTTCAAGCGGTCTTCGAGACGAGTGACTTGCTCCTGCAATTGTTGTGCGGCAGTGTATGCCGGACCATCGGAATAAACGCAATCTTGGGCAGTCTCGGCGCGCACGCACGGGCCGCAGACCGGACGGACGCCGTCACATTTCTAAGTAGAGATAGAAATGAGAACTGAACAAGCACATCAGCGACTGCAGCCATACAATCTTCTTCTGTCTATTGTTTGTGGGTTAAGCGATGTTGGCAGAGAGCGAGCGATCACGGTGTCTTACCTACAAGTCAAACACGCCTTTCCTCGTCCTACTTGAGACCGACGGGGGGACATCTAGTGTGAATGGGAGGGGGACACAGCGCACTGTTGAAATTCCCCCGCCTCGCCACATTTTGTATGTGTGGAAAGCCGGTCAGTCATCGCAAAACAAAACTGTCCTGGTACGCAATGCCCCGAATCAATCCATCGCGAGTTCCCTGTGTCCAGTACCGGTCGGGTCATGCAGTGTGGACGTTGATGACGATGTCTGTAAGGCTGTGCTACTATCGAGGCTCATTCTGCGTCGGGAATATCGGAGTCCGCAAAACTCGCAGTTTGGGTTTTGTATGATCACTATACGCCACAGCGGTGGCTAGCAGCGATGCAAATCGGGGCCGTCCGGAGGAAGGCGGGGATCAACTCGCACTTCCACATATGGCTGAGCCGATGGCAACGATCGGGTTGATCGGGCGCTTGTGAACTCCTTCACGCCCCGCATTGTTCAGAGGCAGCCACCGCCTGCCATCCGCAATTGCCCTGGCTGCAGCCCCTTGCGCGTCAGCCCGAAGGCCCGTTGTATCCGAGAAAACCTGATATATGACATCATGTCCGAGTGAGTGTCCGTGTAATCCGTCCCCAACCGGGCCTAATGCCTTTCCACAGGCTGGACGTCTTGCTGTGCGGGACGGGCGAACCTGTCACAATCGACGCCTCTGACTCTGCGTGCGCATCACGATCAGCCATAGAAGATCGGATTCAGAAATACACCACTGCAATACAGTATTTGAAGACCCAGCTTAATGCCCATTTCGTCGCAATCTCTAAGCTGCCTCCGGAGATCCTCGCAGAAATCCTGATTTTTTACGCAAAGGGCTTCCGAGAATCATTCGAGGCGGCCCTCTCCAAGGAGTATTGGAGGTGGACTGCTGTGCTCTCGGTCTGCGCTCATTGGCGCGCGGTGGCTCTAGGTTGCCCTCGCCTCTGGAGCACTATAGTGGTCACTTATTCCACTGACTGGATGTCGCAAGTCTTGCAGAGATCCAGGAATGCCCCTTTAACCGTCATCGGTCATCTAGGCTCTGCGGCATTCTATGCTGACCGGAGCAAAGCCTTCGCGCTTGTCATGCGGCATCTTCCTCGCATTCGCAGCATTCGGCTCAACACGGGAAGGAACACTCTAGAGGATGCCCTCAAGGGTGACAGCCTCTCTGCTCCTTTGCTACAGAGCTTAGTCATCGTATCGACCCCTGTTGTGCGCTCGCATGGGCTGATTGCCCCACCCAACATTCTCGCCGACGGTCAATTCGGAGCTCTGCGCCGACTCGAACTTCAAGACTTCCCCTTTTCATGGAAGACATCTACTCCACTGTCGACTCTCAGACATCTAAAACTTAACAACGTCAACCGCGACGCAACTTTGCTTATGCCAGACATGCTCTCTACATTGGAGCAGATGTCCCTGTTAGAGACCCTCGAGCTGCGCAATTGCCTGCCCACTCTTCCATCCGATGCTGATGACGCTCCTCCTACAACTCGTCAGGTTGAGCTGTCCCACCTAAATTCACTTCTCCTCGCGGGGCAGATGCTCGAGTGCACCAGCCTCCTCAACCATCTGGCGCTTCCTTCCGGCGTCGTCTACAAGTTCCACTGCACTGGCTTGCGGGGGGCTGATAGTCTCGCAGCTGCTCTAGCGACTAAAATATCTGCAGATGGACCGATCCGTTTCTATTCCGTGAAGGAGATTTCCGACTCGCTGCAGACGCGTATCAGGGGCTCTCTCGCAGAGTCTCTCGACCCTTATGTGTCGTACCTGGATACTGATATCCCATACGTTTTCGAGCTTACATTTGGGGCCCCATTTGGTGCGCTCCCGCAACAGCTAGCTGCGTTTTGTGCAGGCATGCCGCTCTCAGGCGTCAATATCATGGAGGTGTCATCGCTCTACTTGTCAGCCAATCATTGGCAGCAGGCATTCACCGAGATCAAGTCCCTGGAAAAGCTGATCGTCAGCGGCAGTGCTACACAGGGGTTGCCGGCGGTGCTTGGTTTTCCTGACACCGATTACGAGGACGTCGACTCCGAAAACAAGCGCTTCTTCATCCATGATATCGATACTCTAGAGCTTTATTGTGCGCGATTCGCTGAGGTCTACGAAGTGGATGAGGAGCAGATGGGCGGCTACACGGAACTCCTGCTGGATTGCCTCATGGAGCGAAGCGAGTATGGCGCGGGAATCCACACGTTAGTGCTCAACCTCAGCATCAACCTTTCGACCAGCGACCGGGAGTCGCTGCAGGAAGTCGTCCCATCGTTGAAATGGGATAAGATTGACCACTTCGAGGAGCCATACACTGAAGAGTCGGAGGATGAGGACGATGACGAGTTCAACGATATGTACTATGACGATGAGCCGCTCTTCCCGCAATTGAATTTCAATCTTTGGGACGAGGTGTACTGAATTATGGGTACTTGGTCAGCTATTTTCGCAGTTCGTTCAATATTTTGCTAATGACATGACCCTATTCCGTAGTCTTGCGGTTCCAATCACATAATTGTATTCGTCTTGTGTTTTCTTGCTTACATTCTTGTTGTTCTATGGTGTCACGGGAACCATGTAGTAGGACGAACCCAATGGCACGGCTGCCATCACTTAAGTAGCAGAGAGTAAGTTCAACCTGAGAAGACTGTCACGCGCGCGGTGTGACCTTGCGCGCGTGAGCTACACGTCTAGTCACGACGTCACGTTCTCCGTCTGCTCGACGCGCAGTGCATAGGCCGATTCTGCCTCGCTCCTACCGTGAAATGCAAGCAACGCTAGACGCGACATCCCTCCGTCGTGAGCTCTATCTGTGTCTGGCATAAGATATGTCTCTGAATCCGCGAAGATCTGACCAGGGCACTAGTCTGTCTCTCGCGATACGGCGAGAACCTGATCATAAATGCAAGACAAGACACGTTCACTCTGTCTACCGTCAACTCGTCACAATCAGCATATTGCAGATTCAGATACACCAAAAACTTTTTTTCAAAGTACTATGTAGGCAACAAAAGGGGCTCAGGCGGTACTGAAGAACCACCACCCACAACCGGGCAGCTATTGACCAAGGTGAGCGTTCCCCACGTCGCTGTCTGGGTAAAACTAAGTTTCCCCGGAAGTCTTTGCTGTCTATTCTGAAACATAAGACTTTTGATAAGACGGTGGAAAAATGCGAGCTGTCGATAGTCGACCCCGACGGAGCACAAGACCCAGACAATGAGGAGGTGGACTCCCTTGAGAGCAAAATGATCGTGCGTTTACACTGCAAACATGGTAAATGTGCTCACTTACTCATCGCTCCCACTCCAGCCTGAGGCGGTGATTCTACTGATACTTGCGCGCAGGTGTAATTAAAACGCACCGTCTCCTGCTATCGACCCCCATCGCGCTGTTAGCACCTGAGGTGCCTGACACCTCGTACAAATCGCAAGTGTCCATTGGACCGAAGGCTGTGCGGGATATCATCGAGCATTTCCCGCTCGCCAAAGGCAGCAAGAGCGACCCACAGCTAGTATGGACTTTTGGAGACGACGAGGTAAAGGTCAAAAGTATTGAGACGTCGCTCGACGCGAAAGGTATGCTGCTAATCTCATATACCTAAGTTTAGTCATCTCATATGTGCCAGGCAAAGCACAGCTCTCCACCGAGCTGACTATCAGCGCTGAAGAATTTGAGCAGTATGATATATGTGATGTGCCCACTACCCTTGCTTTCCATCTACGCGAGTTCACGGCAAGTGCCTCTTAAGTCGATTCGTGCGCATATATTGATGTCATACGGCCGTGAGACAGGCCACTATCGCATTCGCAGAAGCAGGATCCCTCTCTCTCAGTATAGAGTTCACAGATACTACGTCACCTCTCTACATCGCACTCGACGGGGACTTATCGGATAACTTCTTCGTAATCGCCGCGAGCACCCTGGGCGATGAAGCAGGCAACCGCCCATCCCGAGGCGCTAGAGAGAGCGCTCAAATACAATACAGGGGAAAGAAACGACCACGGGAGGAGGGCTCGAGTACCACCGAGAGTAGGCATACTTCCAGCTCAGGGTCAGCATCAAGAGAGAGCGGTGAGAAACCACCTAAGCTCGAGCGCACGAAGCCCATGAAGGTATCTCCACCGGACTGCGCACCGCTGCAGCGGGACTTTGACGGTGTGCCACCTATGCCAACACCGCCCTCCGCGAGAGCATCCATGCCGCCACCGTCTATACCTCTCCCGAAGCCACTTGCCCGTCCTCCCACCAGATCCCGTGAGCCATTGTTCCTGCCAAGCTCCCAGGCCAGCGGGCGGGAGTACGGAAGCAGCCAACGTCAGATGCCGAGGGACGACGAGCCGCTCTTTCTCCCAGGCACACAATTATCGCAGGCGGAACAGGACGTGATTCGGGGGTCCGGGCTGGGCATTGAGAGCATGACTGCGGGAGAGTTCGCCGCGATGCTCGAAGGAGACGCTGATGAGATTGACTTTGATTTGGGGCTCAGTCCAGGTATCAAACCAGGGTCAATTAGCAAAAGTAGCAGTTTGGACATTTACGACGAGATGGAGATGGAACCAACGCAGCCGGATGGAGGCCCTAAAGTGAGTCGCAGGCGCGGGCATGATCACGTGGACGTTTCTAACACCAGGAACCCTCAGGCATTCAAACCGTTGTTCGAAGATTGACATGAGAATGATCTCATGATACTAATATATTTTTGCTGCATGTAATCAACCAATAAAGGCGACGGGTTGGCGACAGATGACTACATACAATGCACCGAAACGAAGGACGAGCATGACATGACTGTCAATCTGCGCTGTGATGTCGTTGTTAGCATTGGGGACTAGTATGGTTAAGAGATGGTGATGTTAAATGCTCTCTAGTGCAACTGTAATGCGCGTGATGGATTATAAACCCGCAGGCGTCCGGGAATATCACAGACACCCTGGATATCTTGCCAGCAATATATGTGATGGTCGTTTGGCATAGATGCAAGCCTGCAACGCCTGGAAGTTTCCCATGGACTCATGGAGGGATCGACATGTGCCTCGATCTCGACTTGTATATACTTCGACATTCGTTCTACTTTTTCTGCTTTCTTCAGCTCATTGATCACATCCTCGAGCCTTCATCTACTTGAAGAAGGCTCTCAAACACAAAACAAAGATACCAAGAGACAGTGACATCTTTTCCTGAAGAATATTGCAATTGACTGAGGTTGGCAGTGTTGTCAGTTCTTTTCATATGCCTAGTGTCCAGAAGTTTGGAAGTAGCGTGTGGACGAAGCCGGTGACATGCCACTCTCGCAATAAGGCCTTGGTGGACGTGATCTTATCTTCTTCTGACGGCGTCGCCTTTCGGTTGCGCTCGCGCTTTTCAACGAGGCCTCTTGGTTCTTCAGGGCAAACCTTCCCAGTTTGCGCCCTCTGCTAGCGGATCGTCCGGGTGGAAGTTCTGGAACATAGCGCCGTGCTGAATGTGATTCTCTGCTTCTGCTATTCAATGGAGAGCCCTGTCATGTCTACGCTTGCCCTTGCTGAAGCCACGCTCGAGGCTGCACTGAAGTATAACATGCAAGACGCAACGTCTTTCCGTAAACAACGAATGTTCCACCTCGCGTGCACTTCACCACTTCGGATCTTCGCTACCGCATGTCGCCACGGCTTAGAGGATGTTGCTTCTGCCGCAGCGCTCGCACTATCCAAGAAGGCGCGCGAGCCTTCAGTTGGTGACTTCGCAGATGAGCTGCATGAATACATGCGTCTACTCCAATTTTGCCAGAACCCAGAGACGGCCCCCGAGAGTTTCTGTCGCGTCAAGACGACTCAACCTCGAAATGGCGAAGATGAGTACGAGAAGGACTCATTGGTATCGCCATACACTCTCAACGCCGCGGCCACCGACGCAATCTTGTGCTCGTCAGATCATGTAGGCTTTTTTGTCCACAGCGCCGTTGTGGCCATACTCTCTCCTGTACTTGACAGGATGCTATCTAAAGCCGGGGATAGTGTGGTGATGGTGGAAAGACCCTCCTTGGACTCAATGGAACCCGATTTTGGTGAGTGTGGAACCAGCGCTGATGGATGCCATACACACTGCCAGGTGGACCACAGCTGCGGAACGACGGGTACGTCAAGCTCGTCTCGCACGCCGAGATCAGGTGCCGTGAATAATGCACAGACAACGAAAGCGGTCCGGGAAGACGAGTCCATATGCACCACATCCTATCCGGACGAGACTAGTAGTGGCCAACTAGGTTTCATAGCAACAAACGTCGACGCCTCGCAGAGCACAGCTGACACGTTTTATTCTGGTCGTACCAGAGATGATCGAGCGTCTGCGCGTACTCGAGAACGAGCCGATTCAGAAAGACAACGACGCCGGACGCATTGTTGCTTGCGCGACATTCTTGTCATCGAGTTAACCGAAGACAGTCGGACGATCTCAATGCTCGTGCGCCTCTGGTACCTGTCCGTAGGTCCCGTCAAGATCGATAGGTTCAACTTTGCCGACTTATACTCAGCGGCGAAGAAGTACGACATCACAAGCGTCCTAGACCGGCTCGAAGCTGTCTTGAGGCAACATGCGCTAGAGAGCCCTTCGCAACGTATTTTGTCGCGCGACGCTGCCACTTGCAAGACATCGCCACGGAAGCCGCCCGTCGAACGCTCGGGCTGCCTGTCGACCACATGTCTTGTGTCGAGATGGACGATGTCTCTGCAACAGCATATATTCAGCTGGTGAAGTACCACGAGGCGTGCGCTACAGCAGCTGTGATGCTGATCAAGGATTACGACTGGCTAAAGTCGCAAGGGTCCGACCTGATACCCGGCCAATGTCTCGTCCCCACATCCAAGCCACACTCGCTCAATGTCGCAATCGTACCCACATGGACGCGGATTCTCATGGCGAATTTGCGACCGCTCTTGCGCAAATATCCTTCGGGTGGCGTTGTTATGGACGGCCGTGCGTTTGCCAAGACGGTGATCGAGCTACACTGTCACTTTTTTGTCTGTGTCCGTGCACGCATCTGGATGGCACTCATGCTGTGTTTAAGGCTTGTCAAGTTATCGCGCGTGGTGTCGGCGACGCTGTTTCTCATGTGGGTATTGCAGTCACATCTGGTAGTTTGTTGATGTCAGAACGTTCGTAGGCACGACTGGCATAATATGGGCCCCCTTCGTTGAGCGTGCTTCGTGTATCTATCCATTCCGTACTGTCACTCACCAACCGCTCATTCTTATCATACTGTTCGACACATACTGTATCAGTACCTCTTATAGCCCGTTGTGGCAGATTTCCTTCGCTAGCTGTCCAGTAACATATTTCATCATTATTTATCTACTCTACAATGAAGCTGCGTCCTGTGCGCCCAAGGGCGCATGTCAGAGGAGAATGAAGACTGCTACGTAAATAAGGTTTGATTTACTTGCGGAATTGGTACATCGAAAGCTTGATAGCGAGACGCTTCACAGCTTGCTAGCGATCAACACATCTGTCTAGGTTTAATATCGGAAATCGGGCAGGGGAGCGTCGTAGGCTCGATGTATCAATCGGCTTTTCGCAGATTGGCTTGTATCTTTCGTAAGAGTCTTCACCGTAGAAAGCACAGGTCAGTAGCCTTCACAATTGTGAACATATGGTTCATGCCCTTCGACTAGCCGTCTGATTATGCCGTAGGGATGTTGAGGTACGGATACTGGAAACGGAGAGGGAAACCCCCTCAGAAGGCGGTAGTGGCCCTACGAGCGTCACATCCGTTCACGAAGGGCTCAGCCGATGCTGTCCTTATCTCCTCCGACATGATTGAATTTCGAGTCCACAGAGTCATTCTGTCTGAAGCATCCCACTTTTTCGATGGGCTGTTTGCTCTTCCGCAGGATGCCTCCACACAGACTCCGCACAAAGAGGCTCCCGTAATTCATGTCAGCGAACACAGCTCCGTTCTAGACCCGCTACTCCGATACTGCTATCCTATGGCCGATCCAGTTTTGACTAGCCTGGACATAACGATAGCTACGTTGGAGGCAGCGCTCAAATACGACTTGACTGAGGCCACAGAGCTCTTGAAGGCGCAGCTTTCTACCCACGTGAAAGCTGCTCCTCTCCGTGTCTATACGATTGCCTGTCGACACAGGATGGAGGATCTGGCGCTGGTGGCGGCTCGGGAAGTCCACTGTCAAGAGAAACCGGCAGAGTTCCACCCTGACACACGGTCCATCACCGCTGGCGAACGGTATGCCCGGTTACTTCAGTTCTGCCACCACCCTGACATACGGCCGATCACTGCTGGAGAGTATGCCCGCTTACTGCAGTTCTGCCGAGAAGGAAGCCTGCCCGAGCGCCAGACTTTCACCTCCAGCAGCACGACCGCACGTGTTCTGAGCGAATGTGGGAAGGATGGGGAAGGCAGCTCCGTCTCAATACTGCAGTCTGAGACGGAGACTGCCGATGTTATTATCTCCTGCCTAGACGGCGTCGACCTCCGCGCCCACCGCGCAATACTGGAGTTGGCTTCTCCAGTGCTCAGGAGGATGCTATCTGACGCACCGATAACCTCCCAGTCTACAATAGATCACCCTGCAAACCGCTCAGATATCATGATAGGTACTACGACCGCAGCTGACTTGACTGAATCTCATCTCACCAGAGGCGTATTCACCAATTCTCGAATCAATCTGACGCAATCCAGCCGGATAGTCTCCTTTCTGCTGCAATTCTGCTACCCCTCGTCCGTCCACACGCCCATGATGCCCTTCGATATTGTCAATGTGTATTCCGCCGCACAAGGATATGACATGAAGAAGGTATTGGAAGCCTTAGAGGCGGAAATGAGCGTCTCTCGGGAATTAGAAGAAGATCCTCTACTCGTGTACTTCCTCGCCTGCCGCTGTGGCTTCCAGTCTATCGCACGTGCCGCCGCCAAGCGCACCTTGGGGAGGGAGATGGAGGACATCTGTCGCTACCGACCAGAAATGGAGCTCGTTGCTGCACCCGCGCTTTACAACCTCACAAAGTACCACGCCGAGTGCACAGAGGAGGTCATGAGGCTGACGAAGTCGTACAATTTGCTGTTCAACAAAGATGATAAAGCAGTGTCGCGCTGCGCGCACTTCGCGAGACTGACGCGGCCGTGCTGGCTCGAGCAGCTTGTGGTCCTCATTACCCCCACCCTGCGCAAGGACATCACGGGTGCCACATTGAAGGCCAAATTTCCGGCTCTGTTAGAGATCATTTCGGACACCAAGGTTCGGTGCGACCGATGCAAGGGCTGGGATGTCGCGGTCGTCTTCTACCGGACCTGTGGCACCCTGGCGGATGAGGTTGATAAAGCTATTTCGCGTGTGAGTCCTAGCCTAGCATCGATGACTCACAGACCCTAATCTCATTCATAGGTGCAACTTCCATGGGAGCAGTATTAAGACCAAACAAAGTCCGACAGATATGACAAGCCTATCTCTTGTTTTGCTATTGTTCTGCACCGTGTACCAGTACCTCTGACCGTCTGTCAAAACTGAACGCAAAGCTTGTGTAAATCACGCTGCGTACCGAGAATGAGGGCACTGAGACGTATGAAACCCAGAAGGCCATGTGCTTATTTCCGTCGGCTCCGAGCAGGTACGACCGATCGTGCGACTCCTCGCTGGGCGCAGGTCCCATTCATTCAGACGGCATTGTGGAGCTCCTCACCCGCAGCTTGCCACGGGAGGGGCCATGGCAAGCCGCGCTTCGGACATGATTAATGTTAGAATCACTTGATATATGCCGTCGGTCTTCAACGTCCACCGTAAGACCGGCTGTACACACACTGACATGCGGAATGTGCACGCACTGGGCCCGGCATATAGTCTCTGGCCAGAAGAGCGTGAACGCTGGTGTAAAGGAAGATGACAACACCCAGCTTGGGATGGTTCCGAGTCCGAGTAACCGCATGCGATCGTACAAGGTCAAGCGTTCGACACCGACATCGAATTATTGGTCGCGTGATGCATACATGATGGATGATATATCTGCTGCACTGGCACTATCATGGACAGGGATGCATCTCCACAAATAGGCGCGACAAACGCCGGTGGCAGCTCAGGCAATGACAACTTCAAATTATGCAGTGCCGATAAGCCATATGTCAGAGGTATGGTCCTGGACGTACGACTTCAATTCTGAGGGATCATTCGAACAGCGGCGCAGATGATATATCCAGACGTTGACAAGACATGCACTGATATTGCCTAGTCTGCAGACGGCGAAGATGCGGCTGGAGCACACGCACAGCGTACCGAACGTAAATATGAAGCAATGTAGTTGAGGCGGGTTGGAACCTTATTATTTGCAACTGCCTGGAGCGAGTCCTCACCGTGAGCGCTATAGAGGCGACTTTGCGCCATAAGGGCCGTGTAACCTGACGGCGAGTCAAGGTCAAATTCACTGTTTTGCACGTAGAAGAGAACTGGCGAAGGTAATGTCTTCCTTGCCGCGACAGTAAGAGGTAAATCACAGAGACATGAGTCTCCTGCAGGTAACTCTTGTATAATCCCCATGACAGCTGCTCGTGGAAGACTTTTGGGACGACATTGGAGTTTGAGGGGCACATCTGCATTTGATGCTGCAGATTGTGCTGATTTGACAAGCAGGTTGTTGTGCATCGGATCACCTGTTTGAAGGCAGAGATCCCGCCAGACGCATGTGCGTCTCCCCGAAAGTGAGGGGTTACAGAAGTTAAGAAGCGTGTCTGAGGACATAGGAAAGCCGAAGTTACTATGCGTTTACCGCCACGGTAACTTGGCATCTGGGAGCAAGAAAGGGTGCAGATAAGCAATCTCGAGGATGTTCGATTTTTTTGAATCCAATTTTATATCCGCTTTAGGGCGCAGCCCTATGCCGGTTTATACATGCGTGCACGTGTCGTATCGGGGCCTTGGTGTATCGTAAGCTGTCTGGTAGCGTGGAGATGGAGGATGTTCGATGTTGTTGATTCTACGTGCATGGTTTGCTTGTGGTTTGCAGTAGATATAACTCAGCAGGATAAGTAATGGCACAAAGCGGTCATCACGTCCGAGTCCTCTGCCCTTGATCCCGCTTTCCACATCGATGTACGCATCGGAGGATAAAGCGTGTGCATGTGAGGTGGTATGGCAAGACGACACACCGATTGCGAGAACCACGACTTTGCTAAGTGATGCCACTAGAAATCCCAATAACTCTTGCAAGCTATCACAATGTATGCCGTACGAGATAGGCCCTTTATATGAGCGTAGCGAGTATCGATGATTTGACAAGTTGAATAAAGTCGTCTGCGATAATCAGCCAGAGGTAGTCTCTTGAAAGCAGAGTAGACACTTCCTTCAATCTGCGCTGGCTCTGCATATCTATGTCTGACGCCAGCGGCACAGAGCGGCTATTTTCACCGCGACAAGATCACGAGCTCAGGTGACATGTCGCGTCCATCACGAAATGTGACTTTGCCACGACGTAATCGTCACGCGTCCCCCCATATTCGCACCGACGCTAACCCCCATGGCTTATAACTCTGCTACATCATCATCCGGATACACTTATTCTTCCAAAGCCACATCTAAATCGCGTTTCTCCGTGCAATGGGAGCATTACGTTCCGCCTGCAGCTACAGTGGCTGCGAGACAGCAGTGCCAGGTGTGCCAAAAGCTACTGCTGGATGCTTCACCGCACCATATATGCGGGCCCTGCGCACGGGAGCGGATTGAATGTGCTCGAATGGAGACAGCGAGCCACGCACATGCTCATGGTGGCGTCCTCTTACCCTGGAAAGTAGGCCACCCCGGAGATGCAGCCACGTCTCGTCTCTCCGCTACGCAGTCGCACAATGGGAGTGGAAGACTACAAATAAGTGTAGCGGCCAATGGTCGTCTTGGGAAGCGTAAGGCCGACGCCCTTGACGGAGGAGCGCACGGGGGTCACGCATCCTCCAGCGGTAAACGGGATACGATCGCGTGCACCGATTACCAGACAGGCGCAAAGCTGTCCGATGCGCTCTCAGCAAGCCTCAAGGCCTACTACGCATCGTGTACGCCCTCGAGCCCACACCCTCCACATATCCAGTTCCACGGTGCATATACCATAATAGCGGACCCAAGAATCCCTCAGTGGAAGCGTGTTGAGCTCGTCTCCAACGAGTTGCGCAAAGTCGTAAGATATCCATATAGGTGAGTGGGCGGCGTATACGCATGCTAACTGCCACAACATTCTCTTCTGCGCTATTGATCATGTAGACACTTACGAGCCATATTCACGCAGTAACAAAGTGTGTGACCGCCCCATGACGACGCAGAGCTGGACAGAGTTCTACCAGTGCGACTGCAGTCGCGGACGAGCCCTTCCCCCTTTCTCGCAGTCAACTACGTCCACAACGCCATCGCCCACGTCCACATCGTCGTCCTCCGCGCCACTCGCTACTACCGATACCGCACCGTCATCGTCTTCAAACCCAGTGAAGCGCACACAAAGTAGCCTATCCCATTGGATCACAAACACTACCAAGAAGTCCAAGGCTGCGGATCCCTCAGATGCTGGCAATGGAACACCGATGAATGTTGACCCGCTGCCAGGCTGCGGAGGCAAGCTGCATATCACGGCGGAGGAAGATAATTCGCATCCGCTCGGGCCTCACATCAAGGGCCAGAAGATTGTGGTAATGGTAGAGCATCCGACGAATCCTGCGCATATATAGAGAAGATGGGTATGGTAGCATGGTAGTATATCACAACCAATCTTGGTACGTAGCACTGCATGCAGTGATCAATCTTCTGACACGAGAGATTGAATCAAGGTTGAATGAACAGTGGATTCACTTAATTCAGTGCCTAAGATAATAAATCGTTGATCGTCTTTTCATGGTTTCTTTCGATCTAAAGGTTGCTTTTCGATTTCTACGTCAGTTAGGTGTCGTTCACTTTGAATCTGATTTTGATTTGATCTTTTTAACAAGATCAATCCTCGCATGCAATTTAGGGTCATAGGCTCAGAGCAATCATGCGGTGCGCCCTATCACGATTGTGTTCCAATCCTGCAAGCAGGATACGTCAAACTGTCACCAGTCAGCTTTGCGGCGCAGATACAGCGGGTGATACCAAACGATACTTCAAGTGCCTTAGAGCGCGCTGGCAGTATCGTGAAATCAGGAAGATGTCTTCGCGGGGACCAATCACTTTGGTGACGTTTCTATGGTCTGTCCAAGTTAGGGAGCGCCGCGTCCATGCAGGAGGAGCTTACGTGCTTCAACGACATCCAGTCGTCTGCGTGCAATGATCTCCACAGAGACGAGTGTCCGTCAAAGTAGACGGATCGACCTGGATCAAGACATATCGATCAGTCGTCTTTGAAGACGTACACATGGGTACCAAGCGCCCTTGGATTAATGAAGCCTTTTCCTCCCAAACTCGACTTTGTTCACCTGGATTTGGGCGCAACGTCTCGATAGGATACGCACGTATGACGGTAGCACGGCTGACCGCGACGCTCAAGCCCGAGAAGCCTGCTTCTGGGCCCCAGGTTCCTAGAGTGCGACGCATGCCTTCGCACATCTTGCGGGAAGGGATCTGCAGTCCCCATACTGCGACCGAGTGTTCCACGCTCAGACCTTGTTCGTCAGTTCAAATGCCTACCTTGACCACTGACAGCCTCAAGGTATGGCGAACGGTCCACCATCAGTTCATCTTGCTGGGTGACCGTGATACTCATTTGAGCCGCAAGCGCAGGCCGAGGGTAGTAGTCTGAGTCAAAGTTGGGCCAGGGGTGCCTAGAACACGGTTTTGTCCTTGAATCAAGCAATTCATTTCGAGACGCGTCGCGTCTATCTTAGTACGTATCTAGCCTAAAATGACACATCACGCGGACACGTCGCGTCGTGTCCTCTGAAGTTCAGAGGCTCGGCGCGGCAGCCTCCACGTCACGTACTTTCAAGCAGACGGTTTGATGGCCATATTAGAGTTTATGAAGGGCCAGGAACGGCCACAGAAGTTCCGTGCAATACGGTCAAGTAGCCGGGTGGCACAGGCTCTGATATCAGCATTGGGACTCGGAAATACATGACCCACATCTGTCGTAGAGAAATATTGAGAAGAGCTATATCCTCACTAGGGTACACAGGGCCAATATCATTTTTCACTCCCCTTGAGCGATGCGCGTTGAAGCAGACCTACAGAGCGACCGCCCTGCCCTCGTTCAAAAAGCGAGCTGTCATGTAGGCTAGGCTGTCTAGGGGAGACTTAGGCTAAGTGGGTCCGTGACGGGCGACTGGATGGTCGAGTTGCTGCCGAATCTCTGCAGGAGTATCATTGCACAGCGCTTAGCAATAAATATACACACAACGTCATCGATTCATCCCCGCATCACCACGTTCTCATCCTGCTGGCAAGGTGGCGCTTTCGGCGGCTCGCACGCTAGCGCTAGAAACATGCAACTGTCACCGAGGTTCGCTTCTGGCGTCTCGAGCAGACGTCTGTTCGCCGTGCTGCATATGATGTCCCCTCCAGTGAAAGCGCGCGAATTTGTGGCTGTGAATCTCACCGCTGACTGTCACGCACGAACCGGGACGCTCGTCCATTCCAAGAGCGGATCAGAATAAATATGCCAAGGGTGTGAAGGACATGGGATGCATTAACAGAGCGACAGGGATCATGCGGCGGCCGCGGCCAGAGGAGGCACGACGAACTTCGCACACAGCTCGTCAAAGACGTCCGCCTTGCGGCTGACGTCAATCACCAGCGGATGCGAGGGGTATTGTGTAGACAGTCGGCTGCAGCAAAGCAATCTCATAAGCCGCCGTGATGCTCAGCCAACACATTGCGTAGCACTCACCTCCAAAGCTGCTCCGCCTCCGCGGGCTTCGCAGCGCCCAGGCCCGCCGTGACGGCCATCGCCGCGAGCGTCTCCGCGTCCGCGGCGCCGCCCTGCTGCGCGACGGCCTCCTCGAAGTCGGACTGCGCGGCGGGGACCTCGCCGCGGAGGAGGCGCGTGACGCCGCGCGCGGTGAGGAGGTGCGGGGACGAGAGCGAGGGGTTGCCGAGCTGCTCGGTGTAGAACGAGTTGCAGTCCGCGTAGCCGTCGCGCCCGGTGGCGAGCCCGATGGACGCCTCGATGAGCTGCACGAGCACGTCGTCCTCCGCCCAGCGCTTCGCGCGCTCGAACTCCTTGCGCGCGAGGTCGGGGCGGCTGATGGAGAGGTAGATCTGCACGCAGATGGCGACGCTGCGGGGGCGGGAGAGTCAGCTTGCGTTTATGGCTGCGGCTGCGCGGGGAGGGGCCACGCACGCTTCGAGGTTGTCTACGTTCGCGCCGACGCCGAGCGTCTCGAGCGCCTCCTCGACCTCGCCGGCGACGGCGAACGCGGTGCCGGCGAGCACGCGCACGACGCCCTTTTGCTTCTCGTCCGCCTCGATGTCGTCGCCCTCGATTTCCACGCAGAGGTCGCGCAGCTCCTCGAGGGACGCGTCTTTGGCGGCGGCGTCGGCGGCGCCGACATAGCGCGCGAGGGCGGACACCGCCTTGAGCGAGACGTCGTCTGTGTCGTCGGGCACGAGCTCAAGCGCGTCGTGTGGTTTGTCGAGGGCGATGTATGCGCGGCATTTGTAGAGGAGGGTGGGGTTGTAGTCCGGCGATGTAGGGTCCGGGAGAGCCAAGTCTGCGAGGGACTTGTACGCACCTAGGTGGTGGTAGGATGGCAGTGGTTAATTGGGAGCTGGGCCGCACGGTCTTTGGTACACACCGAGGATGAATTGCTGCTTGACGTGGTATAGCTCAGAGGAGTCCATGGCAGATGTACTGGAGGTAGTGACACAATGTTTGTAGCGCCCGACAGTGCAGGCTCGTGACGCCCGGCCTGCTGATCATGGTAACCGAGGCCCCGGGTCATGGCAGGCGTTTCATTGTCGTAGTACTAGTTTGTTCCCTACCGTGCATGTCATTAATATTGGCATGCGACACCAGCATTACCTGTCCGTTGCGTCAATAAGTATGGCAGCGTGCATAATGTCTCTGCCCCGGCGTCCGTCGTTGACAGTGGAATTATCTCCTGCTCGCTTCGGAGTTGACAATTTTCTACACAGGCAACCGAGGATGTCCGTGGTACTGATTGTGTCCTGAGGCAATTTCGGTAGGTTGCCTCCTATTCAAATGACTCCAGGTACGCATAAGCTCTTCGCGATGCACGCAGGGTGTGTGTGAAATCACGCCACGAGACAGACATGGCATTCTTCGCCACCTTGGGCGCCCTGGCCTGGATGCATGGAAGCAGCTCATGGGACTACGGCAGATACGGATCCTCCGAGGAACGCTCGAGCCCCAATGCTGTCCTACGGTTCATAGCCGCAGGATAGCCGAAACAGAATCCGATGGGATTGGTTTCGTCCAGTAAATCATTACGTCTTGCCGTTGATCCTGTTGTGGACATCCTCGTATATTCGCTCGCTGACTTGCCGCCGCGGGGAAGCCCGCATCCTGATTGATGTCTTGACCTTCCCCTCCTTCGTTACTTCTACAATTGGCAGTCGCCTGTATCAGCCGCCTGGATGGTTTGCATAAAGAGCGGTGGCCTATGCTGTCATTGTGCACCCCCTCCAGTCTTCTACCCATGTCTGCACGTATGAGTCGACTCTCTTCTTTCTCCTCAACTGTGGTAAGTATCCCACCTTCATGCGTGCCTCAAGAGTCACTTAATCGTGGCTCTGAACGAAGGATAACGACGCTGTGCGCGGCGAGCAAGAAGCCGCCGCCCATGCACAGAAGCTCCTCCAGAACTTCAGGGAAGAGGTACGCACACAATCATCTCTTCTCCAGATTGACATGAAACCGTAACTCATCTCGGCATTCACCCAGATCAAGAAGGGAGAGGCCAAGTATGATATGTCCACCTTGGTAAGCGATCTTCGCCGTCCATTGTACAATGCCCCCTCTCATGCTGCCTCTGTAGTCGAGCATCATTGATCTGCTCAGGCATCCTGACGGAATCGACGACCGTAAGATGCTGGTACGCGCTCGATTGCATTGCCACTCTCCGCTTCCCAACTGACCACCTTCGAGCTCGAGCACGTCCTGGTCTATCTCTCCAATCACTCCGAGGGCAGCCTTGGCGCGAAGCTCCAGCAAGCCACAGTGGAACTCCGTCTGTATTATCCTTGTTCTTGCACGGGGGCACTCGCACTGAGCTTATATCACAGTCTACAACGACTTGCCCCACCCCCCAGAGACGTTCGTAGGGAACGAGTACTCCTGGCGCACAGCGGACGGCTCCAACAACAACCCAGCCTATCCCGACCTGGGAAAGGCGCGCACGCCCTACGCGCGGAGCGTCCAGCAGACCCACCCGCTGCCTCGCAACGAGCTGCCCGACGCTGGCCTCGTCTTCGACACCCTCCTGCGGCGCGAGGGAGTGAGCTATTCGGCGTTCCTTTACCTAGTCACGCAGACTCACGCACTCGCAGTTTACGAAACACCCCGCGGGACTGTCAAGCATGATGTTCGCCTTTGCAGCGCTCGTCATCCACTCGTGGGTGCTGCTTGCCACACGCTCGTGCGTTCAGGCTGACGCCGATCTGCAGGGTGTTCCGGACGTCCCACGAGAACGTCAGCATCAACGAGACCTCCTCCTACGTCGACCTCGCGCCTCTGTACGGCAACAACCAGGAGGCCCAGGACAAGATCCGCGTGCGCGACGGCCGCGGGCTCCTGCACCCCGACACCTTCGCCGAGGACAGGCTGCTCCTGCTGCCGCCCGCGGTCTGCGTTCTCCTTGTGCTCTTCAACCGCAACCACAACGTGGGCATTCATCCTCGGACTATACATCGCGCGCAGAGTTTAACGACGTTTTCCCTACAGTACATCGCAAAGATGCTCCTCGAGCTGAACGAGCGGGGGACCTACGCCGACCCGTCCACGCTGCCCGCCGGCGACCCCACGCGCGCGTCCGCGCTGCTCGCGCAGGAAGAGGACATCTTCCAGACCGCGCGCCTCGTCAACTGCGCGTGGTTCGCGTCGGTCGTGTTCTCGGACTACTTCAGCGCGATCCTCGGGCTCGTGCGGGACGGCAACAGCTGGAGCTTGAACCCGTTCGGGGTGCGCGCACACACACTGCTTGGGCGGTGGCACGGCGGCTGACGCGTTGTGCATGTGCGTGGTACAGGAAATCAGGGAGCTGGACCACGGGATTTTCGAGCGCAGCCGGGGAAACGCCTGCAGTGTCGAGGTGGGTGCCGCATTCTGCCGGCCTTGCTGAGCGTGCACCGGGCATCGGGCATCGGTCTGACGCTGGCGTGTTTGCTGCAGTTCAACTGTCTGTACCGCTGGCACGCGACGACCTCGCAGCAGGACGAACAGTGGGTCGAGCAGCTGTTCGGCCAGATCTTCCCCGACCAGACGTGGGACAAGGTCAGTCGACGTCTCGAGCAGGTGTTTTGGCCAAGGCGCTGAAATCCCCTGATATCTAGATCACGATCAAGGACTTCAAGCAAACCGCCAAGAAGCTCCAAGCGACGGAGCCGGACGTCACGCAGTGGACATTCGGAAAGTCAGTATGAGGACGTCTATGTGCACCGTCTTGAGCCTGCTGACCGCCCCCGCCCCCCAGCTTGAAGCGTCAGGACGGGACGCTGACGTTCAAGGACGAGCAGCTGGCGGACATTATCCAGAATGCGTGCGTCGCAGTCGCGTGATCCTTCGTGTTGGCTCATGCGCAATGTTTCTGTTCCGCCAGGACCGCGCACCCCGCCGGCGCTTTCAGGGCGCGCGGCACCCCGCACGTCATGCGATTGCACGAGATCATGGGGATCGAGTCCAACAGACAGTGGGGCTGCTGCTCGCTGAACGACTTTCGGAAGGTGCGGACTCGTGCAAGTCGAACGCTCAACATACGCACGTGCTGACGTCTTCTCTTTTTCCTCCTGGCAGTTCCTGGGTTTGAAGAGTGAGTGTCGGCGTCCATTCCAGTCGCGCGATGACACAGATCGAGCCTCATGCGTGTGTTAGCGTACTCGACCTTCCTCGAGTGGAATTCTGACCCCGAGATTGCCTCCGCGGCTGAGAAGCTCTATGGCCACATCGACCGGCTCGAGCTCTACGTCGGCCTGCAAGCAGAAGCCGCCAAGCCGGTCATCGAGGGCGCAGGCCTGTGCCCTGGTAAGAGCCCCCCTCGATACGCCTCGTTACCTATCTCTAACACGACGCGGGACACCTTCAGGGTACACGATCAGTCGCGCTATCCTCAGCGACGCGATTGCGCTCACCCGGGGTGACCGCTTCTTCACCGCGGACTATACGCCGTTCAACATGACCTGCTGGGGCTTTGCGGACTGCCAGCGGGATCCCAACGCGCCGGGCTACGGCAGCATGCTCGGCAAGCTCTTCTTGCGGACGCTGCCCGGCCAGTTCACCAGCAACAGCACGTACACGTGGTTCCCCCTCATGACGCCCGAGGCGATGCAGACGGTCTTGACGAAGCTGGGCGACGTCGCGCTGTACAACTTGAACCGGCCCGCGACGATCGCCCCCGTCCCGGTGGTCAGGGACTACGCGGACGTGGCGCAGGTGTTGGGCGACGAGCAGCAGTTCACCGCGCGGTATGCCAGCCGTGCCGGGCGGGTGATCAGCGGGCGCGGGTACGTCGGAGGCTCCGTGCGAGGGAGGCGCCGCATTGACTGACGTGCCGCAGCTTCTTCATGGCGTCGGACGACCCCGCGCGGGCGGAGCGGGAGCAGCGCGCGCTCGTCGGCGTCCTGGCGGAGTCCACGGACAAGATCACGGGCTTCTTCTACGAGAAGACGCGCGAGCTGATGCAGCGCGAGTCGTATGCGCTGGTGCAGTCGAGCACGCGCGCCGTGGACATCGTGCGGGACGTGCTCAAGTACGTGCCCATCCACTGGGCGAGCGAACTCGTGCGTGCGCTCCGTTAACATCTGCGAGGATGACGATGGCTGACCCCGGCGCGCACGTCAGGCGGGGATACGGCTCAAGTCGAGCGCCACCGCCGAGGGCGATTACACCCCGCAGGAGCTCTTTGATACGGTGTCCGACATCTATTCGTGGGTGGCATTGGTGCTGTGTGCGCGTGGCTTGTGTCGACCGCTGACCCGGCACTGCCAGGTTCCTCTTCCTGGACGTCGATGCGTCCAAACTGCTCAAGCTCGAACAGAAGGTCAAGGCTGACGTCGAGAAGCTCCTTGGTATCATCAGGAACGCGTCTGGCGGGGGCTCGAGGGTAAGTCTAAGTCTGTCAGCTGCTGCATGTCCCCGGCGCTGATCGGTGCGCGGCCGCCTGCGCATTCCAGCTGTCGATAGTCGGCTTCGTGGAGACGATTGCCGAGATGTTCCTCGGTCAGAAGAAGAGCGACTTTGACGAGCTGCGGGAGCGCCTCGCAGTCCTGGGCTACTCGTCAAACACGCTTGCGAACACCATCCTGGCGGTGCTCGTGGGTGCAACGGTGGAGTTATCACAAGGTACGTGGCACGCATATCAGCGGCCGTGATCCTGTGGCTGATATATCGCTGCACGGAAGCTAACATCAACGTGATCAACTTCTATCTCGACGAGAATAAGCCGACGGATGTGCAGGTCCTGGCGTCCAAACCCAGCTTCGACGCGAAGGACGAGGCGCTCCTGCAGGGCTTTGTCAACGAGGCTCTTCGTACGTGCATAGATTGACTGGGGCCAGCGATATCACTAAACGGCGTGACAGGCTTCGACCCTCCGTTCCGCGGCGTGTACCGTGCGTCCGCTTTCTGTGAATACTGACTGCAGCAGCTAACGCACGGTGTTTTCAGGGCAAGCGACGCGCCCGACCGCTGTGGGCACTCAATCGGTGAAGTCGGGCGAGACCGTGTTCTTGGACATCGCGAGCGCGCGCATGGATGTGAGTGGACGGATATTCTTGCGCGAGGCGGCGATACTCACGGGATGGTAGCCGCGCGTCTTCGTGGACCCCACCACCGTCGATCCCCGCCGAAGCGGGGCGGAGCGGTACCTGCTGGGCGACGGCGTGTCGAGGTGAGCCTCTTTGGGCATGGTTTTGCGGGGAGTCGTGCTGATCAGATCATGGCGGCGCAGGTGTCTCGGGCGGGATCTGTCTACCAAGGTAAGCCTGCATTGCTGCGTGCAGATCGTGCCTTTCACTCACGCCGGGCGCAGATCATGGGCAGCGTGGTTCGTGCGGTGTTTAGCTACAAGCATCTCCGCCGCGGGCCGGGACAGTCTGGCGCGCTCAAGCGGTACGTGGTGTCTCTTCCTGCCCTGAGGGCCGCGGCTGACGTGCGCGGCAGCTACAAGACGGACGCGTCGGAGACGAGTACATATATGTACCTCTCGCCGACGCAGGAGCTGACGCCGTGGACGCCGTCGATGGTCGTGCAGGTGCGTGCGTTGTGGCGGGTTTCGGTGGCGGTTCGCGCTTACTAGGTTTTATGCAGTTTGACTAGGTTCGCGCGGGGTTGATTTATGGTGTTGGTCGCGGACGTTACTGTTGTGTTGATCGAGGGTTGCAGCTCTTGATATGCTTTGCTTGCTATGATGTTTGACACAGAATGATTGACCATGATTTATGATGTATTTCTTACGAGATCGCCGATAGGTGCGAGTGTCAATTGATACCGCGATGCATAATGAACAAGCAGCCCGTTCCCTTGAGTATATGACGTGCCAGTGCTTATTTTTTCCGAGCCTACAGGCATTCTGCTATGGCTAAACATCACTGCTGTCCTCGTCCTCCGCAAGCTCGTATCCTGCCCATACGACCTCCGAGCAACTGTTACAGCCGACGAGGTGCTGGCCGGCCTCCATGTCTGCGACGGTAATAAGGTACTGGCCTCCGCATCTGCACGCATATATCCACCGAGTGTGCCCGTCGTCGCCCTCGGCCTCGACCCAGTCCTCGAGCGAGACCACCTGTGCGGGACGGGGACCTGCCTGCTGTGCAGCTGTTTGTTGTTGTCGAGCAGCGTCATATGCGGCGCGGGACGCGGGCGAAGCGAGGGTCTGGTATGCCTGTTTGAGGAGGCCGATGTCGATGTGGAGGAGAGATGTGTGCGGGCGACGCTTGTCGGGGTGGTGCTGGAGAAGGGCGTGGTGGTAGGCGTGCTTTATGGCAGCGTCGGAGGCGGAGGGCGAGACGGTGAGGACGGCGTAGAAATCGGGGAGGGCATTGTTGTCGTCCAGGGTGGCGGATGTCTGCGATGGCAGAGCGCCCGTTTTGATGGTTGGAGGATTATATAGTACTGTAGTGGAGAGCCTGTAAGAGACTGTCGGCGCTGATCCGGGAACTGTGATCGAGTTTTGTAAGTGTGCACTGCCCTGGGCGGGGATCGTGTCGCAAGCCAACGTTTGCTGCCGCGGCAGGGCGCCAAATTCAGAGGCGCAGCCGTGCGACGCGTCAGGGTGGCTGCTCCCTCGGCCATAAGTATTCAGTCATCACCATGCCTTCCCATCTTTCTCTTCCGTCCTCATTGTATCATACTCACTATCTATCCCGCCACAATGGCCTCTGACAACGTCCACCTTCTCGTCCTCGTCCACGGCATGTGGGGAAATCCCGGCCATCTCAAAAGCCTTCAGCGTCTCATGAGCGAGCACCACGCACAAGATGACGCACCCGCAGGACCTGCGGGCGAGAAGCTCGAGATCCTGCTCGCCGAGACGAATAAAGACGAACACACTTATGACGGCATTGATTGGGGAGGCGAGCGTGTCGCTGAAGAGGTGAGATCTTCGCGGCTCGGCTAGCCTCGTCCCGGCGGTTGTAGCCTGTCTACGACTACTTCCACATCGAGTACTTATGCACATGTTCACGGACCGTAGGTGCTCGATGCTGTGAAACGATTCGAGAACGAGGGCAAGAAGGTCACCCGTTTCTCGATCACTGGCTACAGTCTCGGAGGTCTCGTATCACGATACGTTGTAGGGTGCGTTCAAAGTGAGTGTGCCGGACGCACAACAGCTCACACGAGCATGGCGTGTAGGATTCTACACCAGCGCAAGTTCTTTGAGACCGTCACCCCAGTCAACTTCAATACATTTGCGACGCCGCATATAGGCCTCCCGAGATATCGGACGTTCATCTCCTCGCTCACGACGTACCTGGGCCCGAAGCTCCTATCCCGGACAGGGGAACAGTTCTATACAGTATGCGCAGATATTGATGTTTGACGCCGCTCCTTATCCTGCCTTTTCAGGTAGACAAATGGTCGGCACGAGGTCGGCCTCTTATAGAGGTCATGGCGGATCCAGGTCAGTCTATCGTCCCCATCCTCAGCTATGGTACTCATCCCGGTGCAGACCGAGTATTCTACCAAGCATTGTGTCTGTTCGAACACCTACGCATATATGCGAACGCCATCAACGACATCACCGTACCATACCCAACTGCAGCCATAGAGACAGAAGACCCATTCTTTAACCGCGCGACTAATGGCATAGAGATGTACGCCGAAGTGGTGCACAAGCTCCGCTTATGCGTTGACGTATGATATTGCAGAGAATACGACGAAAAATATTCACCGCTAATCAAGGCATGGCGCCTGCCAGATTCACCACCGGCCCTACCACCTGCACCAAGACCGTTGACATGGGAATGGGTCAAGCGGTACCAGATCCCGCTCCCGCCTGCCCTGCAGGCCAAGTTCCCGTATAATGTTGTACGTGTGTCCTGCCTAGCACGCAAAGCGCACTCTCATTCTCATCCACACAGCTTGTCTACACCTTCCTCCCCATCCTCTTCCCCATCCTCATTACCCTCGTTATCAGCCGGCTCTCCTTCGCGGCCCTCGCGTCGCGCAAGCGCCTCCGCGTGCTGGAGAAGGACCAGTCCTCCGTCGACCGCCTTGTGCACATCCTCGGCCGCCTCGAGCGCGGCGTGGAGGACGCCGTCGCAGACATGATCGACGCTCCTGGTGGCACGCCTCCTATGGGCACTCCCTCGACAGACATGCTCACGGCAGGTGCGAGCCCGCAGATCCGCCTGGAGAGCCCCAGCCCAACACCGGATTTGGGCAGCGCAAGTTCATCTCCGGACCTCCGCAGCGTGAACGGGCGTCTGGGGGCCACGACCTCGCGCACCTCGTCGCACTCGTCAGATACGGAAGCACAGGAGCAGGAGCTGCATGCGGCTGAGATTGCCGCGGCGGCGGAGGTGGCGCACTTCGTGCTGACGGACCTGCAGCGGCGGATCGTGCGCACGCTGAACATGCTCCCGCGGCTGCAGAAGGAGCGTGCGTATATCGAGGTGCGGAACGCGCACGGGCCGATCATCTGTCGTGACATGCAGCGGTTCGCGTCGCACAAGCTTGGGGAGGGCGTTATCCGACATTGGGTGGACCATTTTATCATGTAGACTGAAGATATAGACCGACAGGTGATGTATTATCATCAATTGTGCACTTTGTTTTGGCGTTCTGCGGCGTCCGCGGTGGCTCGTCGCTTAGACAGGATTGGGACTATTTTTCCCCTTACGATGTGGTGTGCCTGTCAATGTCAATGTCACTCTGGTAGCTATAACTTATGTTCATTCGATGCTTTCGTGTTTCTGCCTTCTGACAGGGCCGCGTCTCAATAAGCACGTGTCTACAGCCCAAAAGGTGCGTGTACGTACCGGGTGCTCTTGACTATGCAGCAGAAAGCGAGCCCTTCGCGGCCTTCCTTCAGTTCTTCGGTAGGTCTTGGACGACGCGCCGTGCGCCGTGCGCCGCGCCTATTGTCCCGGCACTATGTAATGCAGAGGTGAGCGGCGCCGTTCTGCATAGCTCTCTCTGCCTGACTGACTGGTTTCCTGTAGATCGTCCGACGCGGCTCGCTGGCCGTGCTGCTCCAGTCTGGCTGCGTTGCCTCGTCCGCGTGGTGCTGCGCTATAAGCACGCGTGTCCTTGCGGGGCGGGACAGGTTTCCACTGCACCTTCACCCGCGTCCCTTTGTGTCAGAGCACACACATTGTCGACGCATTTCTCCATCTCAAAGTATCGCTGCTGCTGCTGCTGTTTCTCCTTAGTACGATCGAACACGAGTGTCCGAATTCACGCGATAGATCTACAATGCCGCGGGCTAAGCGTCCGAGCACGAAGCTCGCAGTGGCTCGACGTCCGAACAAGAGGCCGACCGCCCGCTCTCGTCTGTCCCCCAGCTGTGTGCGCGGTCTGATGGGCGCTGACTTGATGAATTAGGTACGCTGGCCGCCGTGGGCAGACTGGAGTCCGTCACCTTCACTGTGGAAGACGTGTGGGAGCAAGGTCAGCCCTTGTCCGCCATCTCCATCACGGCCGCTCCGTTGGTGGTGGTGGCTGGGAGCTCACAACGATCTGACATAATTCCCTTCATGCGTGCCACAGTACAAGCCGATGCGCGCGCGACCAAACAGCCGTTTGGCCAGCGGCAGAAGCGCACGGTTGCCGGGGAGCTCCAGGTCCTGGTAAGTCTCGTTCTTATGCCAATTTCGCGGGTTAGCGGTCGCACGTGGCATGCCCAGGACTACCTACCTGTAAGACGCGACAAACATTTCTCAATTGGCTCGCGAGGGGCACATACCGGTCGACAGCGTGGACACGGCAGCAGTGCGTCGAAGCCGCGTTCTCGTCGTCTCAGTTTTACCGTTCGTGAAACAATTTTGTCACAGGCTTAGGGCCATCCACAAGGGCATCGACGGGCAGCCATTCTCGTCCGTGCGCGACAGGTACAATGCCGAGGGCGCAGATATCAAGGCTGTGTTCGGGCCCACGATGAGGGAGGTCTTGAACGACGTACGGCCAAGTCTTAATAGCGATATTATATAATCACACTTCGTCTTGTGCAGGTCCGCGACGACCTCTTCGAAGCCCAAGGTCATCTGGGGTCGCGCGTCGGAGGCACCAGTCCCGTGCATATCGATGACGATGCCGTCGGTAGGCTTACAGCACCTGACACCTCCACATCGATGGCCGTCTCAGTTGCGCCACGACTTGATGCCGCTGTCCAGACGCACCCGCTGGCCGGGAGCAGTATTCCGTGTTCCTCCCGGGTGCACGTCGACGCCGCGGTCCAGGCTCAACCGCAGCCCGGAAGCAGCAATACTGCCCATACACCGGCAAACGATCTGTGAGTCGAACAGGACAGCCCACCCGCAGCAGCTGATTCACGGCAATCTCTTTTATTGTGGCTCTACACGCAGCTTCTCGCCCGTCCGCGCACAACATCCCGCAGCCGCGGAGGCGTACCCCTCACCTGTGTCCAACTTCCGCCACCCCATTGGGCGCATCCCGAGTGGGCGGGCCGAGCCCCCCTCCCCCACCTCTCCCACGCCAAACGCGTCGTTCCGGGCATCTGCAAGGCGGAGCATCCCACTTGGGGCTGAAGGTATAGTGGACGACGACGCCGCGCGAAGCGACAGCGGCAGTAGCAGCTCGACAGCTGCTTCTCCCACAGGTACACCCCGCATCGCTGCGCTGCCTCTGTCATCGGATGCACAACAGGCAGCAGATGCAGCGTCTACAGCTGCCGCCGTCTCTGGCGGTGGCACCACGCAGGCCGCGCGCACCCCGGGGCAGCATCGCTCGCTCAAGGGGAAGCTGCGCGAGACCCGCCGCGTTCTGCAGGACGTGCTCCGGGAACACGAGAAGATGAGGAGGCAGCTGCGGAGGCGGAGGCGCGAGAGCCTCCAGGCTGATGAGGAGCTAAGGCTCAGGAAGCTCAGAATCCAGGAGCTAGACGCACGGGTAGAGCAGGATGTGCGGGTCATCACGTTCTACGAGCGGGAGAGAACGGAGGTGGCGGTATGTGCCCATTCTTGCACTCACGTTGCATGCGTTCTGATCTGCTCAATAGGCAAGGATGCTGCAACAGCCACCTTGCTGAATCTCGCCATGATCCACTTAGGAACCCTGGCAGCGCGCGTCATGCGCCCCGCAGAGGATCAGATAATGAATACATATTAGCAAGTCCGTAATCTGCAGAATACGCCTACGATACACCTAAAGTTCAATTGGATAGATACATGAGGATTTGTCTGTATTAGTAAAGTAAATGGATGTGAGACGTGAACGTAGTCCGTGCATTGAGGTGCATCGAGCACCTCGTGAATGAGTCCCCCAGGCATGAATAAGATATCAGGGTACGATCTTTGCCCACTGTCCATAGAGTAACGAGGAAAAGGCGTGGACATGACGTCGGTTATGGATGAGTGAAACGGATGATCAGCGTGCCAACGCGCATTTGACACGCTCAGGTGAAGCGAACGCTGCGGCGGCGCGCAGTCATGAGGACGAAGTCCTCAGGAAGGATCGACGCGCGCTCGTGCTTGCGGGTGCTCTGGCTGAAGGACTTCCACGCCTGAATGATACGGCGCTCGAGGTACTTTGTGCAGGAGATGCTGGAACAAGAGGATGTCTCAGTTCACGCACGAGCATAGAACGGGGTCTACTCACCGGGGCTTCTGCATCTCTGGGATGGAGGCAGCGATGAAGCGAGAGGCCATGGCAGGTGGGTTAGGTGGTGGCGACTGAGCGAGTGGGTAAATGGTAGTAATGTGGCGTGTGGCAAGTAGGGCAGGTGTTACAGCGACAGTAGCAAAAGGGTTGGGATTTCAGCGGGTAGTGATACAGTCGGTGCTGCTGTCGTATATTAGTGGAGGGCGAGAGTGGTAAAGAGCGTTGTCGTCTCAGACGAGCGTATTTACAGTGCAGTGTATGCTCGAGATCCGGTGGCGGGGCGCAACATACATCGCAGCACAAGGCATCGCTCTTATACCGGACGTTCCGTGGGATACCGTACGCTATTGAACTGCGGTGAATAGGATGCAGCGAGCTATTCTCGTTGTACTGTGAACAATGCGGCTATTGGTTGTTACCCGCGGCGCCCGTAAAATGACAATGGGCGTGCGGAGAGGATGACTCGGTGAGAAAGCGGCTGCTGCTATCCGCGAGGCAGGAATACAAACGGATGGTTGCCAAAGCGAAAGCACAAACAAGGCTTTGTATAACAGACGCCCACAACAGCATTGTTCGTAGACGCCCATAATGGACAGAAAAGGCAGGTGGGCAGCGACATGACGGAATAAACGCGATCACGTGGATGTGCCTACGCGGGAGCGTGACACGTGAGCTTAAGCTCTGATTTCGATCTCCGACGGATGCCAAATTAGGACTCCGAGGTTTCGTCCGCCTCGATATTGCCTGAGCGCCTACTAAGACATTCCTTCCTGAAGCACACTGACTCATATCATGGTGGTGAGCACAAGTCCTCACTGCAAATGACTGGGTTCAAGTGTTTTAATGCACCAATTCTTATGTGTGCGGCATTTCGCGTTTGACGTCTTTAATGTTTCAGCAGTCAACTCTAAATACTACTACTCACGATCATGCACCAGGCTCCTTCGACATATACCTACGGTATGTACAAAACACTTAATACTTGTAGATTGAGCCGGAAGGTGTCCACGGGAAGCCATTGCATGACACTGGACCCTGGTGCAATTGCTGCAGCGAAACTCCAAATGCTTCCGTTAGAGGATAGTACGTCGAATCTTATCCACGGGACCCCGCTAGACCTTTGGACACATCTATCGTTTCTGGTGTGTGCATGCGTAATGATGGGCTCAATGCGTGTAATATTTCCCATGTGAGCGTCCGCAATCATCTACAGCGCCAGATCATGCGCTCTCCGATAACAAACATAAAACCATTTGGAGGCAGAGCATCTCCTTTCCCCCGACAATCACGAACGAGTGTTATCCGACATGCCTCACGCACTTCTGACAGTTGCTGGTGTGCAGTTCTCCTACGAGGACAGCGGAGCGCCGGTTGGATCGACTTCTTATGTTACTCTTGTTTTGGCCCATGGCGCCGTCTTTCACGCTCGTATGTCGCAATAATCTGTTGTGTGGGAGCAGAGTTGACCTAAACACACGCGAAGCAATCTTCCGCCGTATGTTCCAGTATGCAGCTGAAAACAATATGCGTCTCGTTGCTGTGACACTCCGGGACTATCCTGGATCCACTCCATTCACAGTCGCAGAACATGCTGCACTGCGTAGCCCAGATTCTACAGTCCAAGCTTCTATGATTCGCGATCGCGGATTTGAACTTGCGGAGTTTCTCGCATGGTTTATTCGTACCGAGAATATACCACCGATGTCGTTCTCATCCAGCTATGATGATGGTTGTGGAGATGTTGCCGGCGGGATGGCGATCCTAGGATGGTCGTGGGGGAATTGCATGACACTCTCAATGTTGGCGCATGCGGGCAGCCTTCCAACAGAACTACAGGATTTCCTCAACCCTTATATGCGAACACTCTTCGTCTATGGTACGTACTAAACGGAACGATTATACTTTCCTACAGCTGATGGCCCAGATCCGCCGCATTTTGTCTTCGGTGCGCCGAATCCTACTCTCGAGGAACTGTATGTTCCTCAGCGGGACCCAAGAGTGCCCGCGAATGCCGTCAGCGAACTATTCACGAATTGGGTCTCAAGATACTATCTTCATTCCGACACGGTGCTAGGAAACTTACCTGCACTGAGCCGTGCCGAGCTGTTTTCAGGAATCGCACAAGACGCAGCCGACAGTCTATCTCCAGACACACAACTTAGCATTCAGCGAATGTCCGCAGCCGAGATTGATGTGGTCGCCGATTTCTCAGTCATGCAGCGTTCACACATAGCCATGATGGACGTAGATCTTTCCGTCTACCACGGGAACGCACGGCGCGCGCTTTTGGATAAAACCACTTGGCCACGCCTGCGTGTTGTACACGTATGGTGCGATAGGTCGCCCGGGGAGATCGTGTATGCCGCTTGGTTCGCACACAAGATGATGATGGAGTCTGTATCAACGGAGGGACGAAGGGTTGTCTTTAAGCAAATGGAACGAGCGAATCATTTCGTGAGTTTGTCATGATCTTTTCGAGGCTTTAGACGCTGACAGATCCGGATAGCCGCACTGGGATCAGCCAGAAGTCACTGTACGCATGTTGGCAAAGCTTACATAGACTGCTCCTATATCTTGAAATGAGCATCGGCCTGTTCAATGACCATCCCGTCTCTTATGCCTTCAAACGGGCTCCGTAGACCGAATCCCCCCAGCAATCAATCCCAATGCGGCTAACGTTCATCACCTGGGATTTCCGTGGGTATGTAACAAAGTCGTCGCGAGTCGTCCTGCCATTCGGCGTCAACAACGTGAAGATTTAGAATCAGCTAGTATTACATAACTTTATACGGCATCATTGACCGCAAACTACGTGCTAGCCAGACGGGCGTTGGGAACCTAGGCAGGTACAGAGTTGACATGGCCAGTGCTGGTGGCTATTCATGCACAAAGCATAAGATGCTGCGGCCCCTCGTACAACCTGACCATTAACCACCATGTCCCTCCCACAAATCCAGAAAGCCTGGCGTGCGACCGCCAAAGGCGAACCGTCCAAGGTCTTGCGCCTCGACGACAATGTGCCTGTACCCAAGTTAAATCGCGGAGAGGTTCTCATTAAAGTGCAAGCTGCAGCTCTGAATCCGGTGTACGTCGCAGTCTGCTCAAATGCTCATGACGTGTGTTCACGTGCTCATATATGATGCCCAGGGCTTACAAGGTTATCATGAAGCTGATCCCTAATTTCATATTAAAGAAACCGTACATTCCGGAGCACGACCTCGCGGGCATTGTCGTCGATGCCAACGACACAGAGTTCCAGGACGGGGACGAAGTGTTTGGTTTCATCCCAGTCTGTGCGTCCCCGCCCCATCAACAGGTGGCTGTCAAGTTGCTGATACATCATCACACAGCGGCTGCTGTCAAAGAGCGCAAGGGGGCCCTCGCTCAGTATGCCTCCATCTCAGCTTCCCATATTGTGCGTCGGCCTGTGAATGTCACGCCGACGCAGGCTGCTGGCATCCCCCTCGCGGCCATGACCGCCTACCAAGCCCTCTTCGATGTCGCACACCTCAAGCCCGAGCAGCACGTCTTCATCAACGGCGGGAGCACCGCCGTTGGTGGGTTCGCTATTCAAATTGCGAAGTCGATCGGCTGCAAGGTTGTCGCGAGCGCCTCGGGAAAGAATGAAAGCTATGTTCGTTCACTCGGCGCTGACGAGGTGAGTGTCGCTTTACACCACAATGTCGCTCCGCTGGAACGCTTGCGGCAGTTCGTCGACTACACAACGGGCCCTCTACATGCGACGCTTGCTGCAAATCCTCCGTCGCAGAAGTACCATGTCTTTTTAGAGACGGTGGGCCTGCTCGAGACCTCCTTGTACACTTCCAGTGAGGCGTATCTCGCGCCTGGGGGAATATTCGTGTCCACCGGCCCTCAGCCAAAGGGCTTCGACATAGCTGGACTCAGCAGGCTCGCGTGGAAGATATTCCTGCAGCCCCGCTGGCTAGGTGGGACCAAGCGGACTTGGAAGTAAGCTGCTATCTTGACATCCCCTATTTTGGGCTGGCCGATAATGCTCGTTCAGGTTGATACAAGTCGACAACAAACACGAGGATCTTGTGAAGGTGGCTGAGCAAGTCGCTGATGGTAAGGTGTCCTTACTGTTAGATGGCTCCCGCTGACCCCTGCGGGCAATTGCAGGCAAAATCAAGCCGCTCGTGGACTCGGTATATAACTTCGACGATGCCCTGAAGGCCTACGAACGCATTATGACTGGCCGCGCAACAGGGAAGGTAGTTGTCAAGGTGGACTTAGAGACAGAATGAGTCCTCGTGGTAGGGGTAAGTGAATGATCAAGTATCAGACGCTATCCCACCAGTGTCCATTCCAATTCCGATACGCTTGTTGTATGACATTGTACATCCTCTGTAATTGTTACGATCACGTTGATATAGTCCAGGTCACCGGCGGGGTCACTTGTTTATTTATTTAAATTTTATATTCAGTTTTATATCTTTTTATACCCACTTGGTAGTGTCGCCCTATGTTGGATAGTACAGGCGTTTGCAGGCGGGGTCACTGTTGTAAGGATATATGCATGACCTTGGTTTTCTGCGGAATTCCTTTGGCCGAGCGAAAATAATATCCTCTAGTATTACTTGCGGCCACAACTTCTGCTGATGATATGCGCGGAACACAAAGGTGCTTGTGATTCCTCCAGCTGTGGGTCTTTTAATATTCCAAGCTACAGCAATTTCGTGATGCAGGTGTACCATATGTTGATAGCTTAGGGCATCGGCTTGGTCCCAGACATCGAACGTAGATATACTATCGTTGGCCTGCTTGTTAGGCTATGTCGCATACCACACTGTAAGGGCATTACGCGTTGGAAAGTCTCGGTCGAAACCATATGTGCCCACGTGATCGTGTCGCGTCGCGCCTCTGTCAGTTTTGGCAGCGGCTGGCAATCGGGGCACTCATCTAGTCGACTTTTCCTGCCAGCCTCTTTACCATGCAAGAAACGCACACCTCTTTCACACTTCTGACTCCTGACAAAGTTAGGTCTTGGTCGACTAGCGCATACTACTAGCTTCAGAAATTCACAATGTCTCACATGCCGCGGAGGAGCAGACGAGAAGACGACCCGAAAATGATTGGTCTGTGGAAGGTCGGACGGACAATCGGGAAGGGGAGCTCAGGTATGTCAGACAGCTCGAAGACAAGGCGCTATGCTCACGCTGTATACAGGTCGCGTCAGAATCGCGCGCCATACCAAGACCGGCCAGTATGCTGCGGTGAAGATCGTCTCTAAGAACGCGCTCCTCAGTTCAAGAATGTCTTTGCACAGCCTTGGAGACGAAGCTGAGAGGATACTGCACAGTATTGAGCGGGAGATTGTCATCATGAAGCTCATCGAACACCCGAACATCATGCGCCTCTACGACGTCTGGGAAACATCTACAGAGCTGTACCTCATCTTGGAGTACGTCGAGGGCGGTGAGCTCTTTGACTACCTGTGCAACAAGGGTCGACTCTCGACTTCCGAGGCCCTCGGCTACTTCCAGCAGATCATCACTGCAGTGCACTACTGTCATCGCTTCAATATTGCTCATCGAGACCTGAAGCCCGAAAACTTGCTGCTCGACCGGAACAAGAACATCAAGGTGGCAGATTTCGGAATGGCGGCATGGCAGAACAAAAGTGACCTTCTGCAGACCGCCTGTGGAAGCCCACACTACGCCGCACCTGAAGTCATCATGGGACGCGCATATAACGGATCTTCTTCCGACATCTGGTCTTGTGGCATCATTCTCTATGCTCTGCTTGCTGGGCGCCTGCCATTTGACGACGAGGATCTGCCCACACTGCTCGAGAAGGTGAAACTCGGAAAATATACCATGCCGTCAGATATCGATTCCCGTGCAAAGGATCTCATCTCCAAGATGCTTCAAAAGGACGTTTCGAAACGGATCACCATGCAAGGGATCCTTCAGCATCCATTTTATACCTCACAGAAGCCTAAGAAGATGGACTATGATACTCCGAATCTGGATGTCATCGCTCGGCCTCTTGCAAGCAAGGAAGACATAGACCCAGATATCCTCGCCAACGTACGGACACTCTGGCACGGCGTACCTGACGACGAGATCATCGACAGCCTGACTAACGACGAACAAACCTGGGAAAAGGGCGTGTATCACCTGCTTGTTCGCTACCGCGAGAATCACTTGGAGAACTTTGAGGAAGAGGAAGAGCAGCTGGCGGCAAGGCGCTCTCAACGGCGTTGCAAGAAGGACGACGGCCGGGCAGAACAACCGCAGTCTCTCCCACCTCGTACAGGACCGCCCACTCCGCGTCGCGCCGCAAGAGCGTCAGAGACGGTGGAGTCAATGAACTTGGCACCAGGTCTGTGCCAAATGCGCCAGCTCTCTTTCCTCGGATCGAGCCTTGCGATCTCAAGTCAAACAACGCCGACCGCACGGGTAGATACTCACCGTCCCCAAGCATCAACTTCTGCGGCATCCTCTCTAGCTGTTCCCACCGCTCGTTCCCCAGCAACTCCACGAGCTACCAGCCCAATTGCCCTCCAGGTGCCTGAGATTCAAGACGAGCGGATCCAGCAGTTCTTCCACCAGATCGTTGAGCATTTGCAAGTGATGCAAGCCGCGGGAAGTCCGCAACCTCCACATGGATTACACGACTCGTTGATGTCTCCCCTGAATACTGCTGCCCCTCCTCCGACTCCGCTAACGATGGATCCGCGCAGCCCGCGTGACGGAAGGCAGCTCCCCGGCAGACGACAAGACATGTCCATTTCGACTGACACATTCGCCACAGAGGATTCGGTATGCACGAACGGAACTACCCGGCCGCTGCGCATTCGGCCGCGTACACCCCAGCGGGGGCATGCTGAAGAGGACAAGGAGAACACTGGCCATCTTCCGCGACTGACCATCAAGACTGACTTCGACGGCGCATACACGAAGTCTCCCACGCGGAAACCGTTCACGCAGAGCGCCCACGTCGACAGACGAGTGCAGATCATCGAGCCACTCACTGTCGAGCGCGCACGGCTAAAGAAGCGGCGCCACCTCGCGGCTTCACCAGCTTCCCCCGCCTCTGCACTCTCCGACAGCTCGTTCGCGCTGCCCTCGACGCCGAAGCGACGCTGGTTCCCGCAGCTTTTCAAGTTCAGACCCACCACGTACCACCTACTCTCGGTAGAGGAGTCGCATCGCACCCTGGAGGCGTGTCACCAGCTGCTCGAAGCTATAGGCGTGTCCGTCGCACTTGCACACGCACCATCCTCTGACCCGAACAGCCCTGTTCACAGCAGCGAGACGATGACGCTCAAGTGCTGGCTAGACGATGGCAAAGGCATCAAGGGTGCGCGTTTCCGTGTGGAGATCCAAAAGCCCAGCGGGATTCAGATGATGGCGGGATACTCCGTGCTCCTGAGCTTGGTGCTGGAAAGGGGTGCTGCAACAACTATGAAACTGGTTTACAACCGGCTGAGGAGAGAGTGGAACTTGGATTCGGCGCTGACGTCATCGCCGATGGCGAGCCGCTCTCCCATGCTAGATGACGACGAAAGATTCGTGGAGGTGGTCTATGCTCAGTGAAGACCGGCTTCTGCACGGAGCTGTCTCATAGAGGGGAGGTTGTAGCGTTCGCCCGCTGATCGTGGCGCACAGTTGCAAGCCATATAAATGCTTCGGGACACAACGGACATTGTCGCTAATAGATCCCATGGTTAGGTCCTTTGTACCAATAGAGCAAGAATTTATGATCACAATCCCCATGTCGAATGCACCTTCGGAAAAGCCTTTAGATGTCAATATTACAACAAAGCTTGTGTTACATTACAAAATCTGGTGAGGACGTGAGTGGGATAGATGTGCGGGTGTATCAATCCATTCTGACCATCTGTATTGTGCACTGCAGACATGCGGCAGTTAACCAGGCAAATCTGAAGACGCCAGCTACGAAGTTCCGTCCATAGTCATAATAGTCGATGCAAAACGTGACAGCGGCTCCATGAGCAAGGGTGCATCGTCGGTATCCATTTCTTGATCTTTCAGTTCTACGTTTGTCTGATTGCTCTGAACGAGTGACGGATGTTGGCCTGGTCGCGAGATAACGACAAGACTTGGTGCATCGCCGGCTATGCGGATGAAACGAAGCTGCTGTATAAAGGCAACCTCTTTTTGGTCCCAGCGCCGGAATAGTTCCACGTTCGGGGGGTCTGTCAAGTCAACAACCTCTACCGGAAAGAACACTTGTTAGGACCTAAGACCAGCATGTAGCGTGCCTTCTCGCTCGACGCTCACCTAACCCCGTGCGATACTCTTCCGCTTCTCGCAGCTTGATTTCTTCTAGCTTCTGCTCTTTGACACTTTTTGGTCTTCCCTTTCTTCGTGCATTTTTCTCTTCTTCGATTTCAGAGTCGAAGCGGGTCATCCAAATGTCTCTGACGATGAGATGGAGCTCTTCGAGCGAAAGTACGCCTTCGGGAGGCAACGCCTTGTAGAAAAAGGAGTATATATCGGCTGATATCGTGCTGAGAACTTTGTAAAATGAAATGTTCCTTTGCATCATACCTTGCGAGCGTCGCTTCCCAACACGAGCTCTTGCGAGGTCGGTCAACTTATCCTTCCGGTGTTGCACTCTTGCTAGTTGCCCCGCTTTACGAGATTGCGGATGGAACAGTTTTTCTTTCTTCTGAGCGGTCGACTTCTTTGAAGCTTTGGCAGCCGCTTTTGGAGGGGCCATATTGTATGCGAATAGGAGAGGATGAAGATTAGGAAAACGGTCTGCGCTCATAAGCGCTTGCCTGTTGCATATGATCGAACAGATGGAACGCCGAATTGGGAAGGTGTTGTTGTTCGCGTTCAACTCCGCCGGCGACCTTCCTCTGGATACACTCCAACTCTGCTCAAGCCTGAGTCGCACGCTGTTTCTCAGGAGATTATGTACTTTTGACGCATATCAGGCATTCGGAGAAGCACTTCGCCAACAGCTTGGTAGTATCGCAATTAGAAGGAATGGGCAACCTGCTATACAAGTTTTGGCCAAGAGTGGTACTCGTGGGTTTTGGGATCATTCTACTCCAGCTGGTTCACCATGCAGACACGCACTCTGTCAATGCACAAATACCCAGTCATGCAGAACTATCTCTCCGGCTTGGATCGGACGGTTTGCTCAATAGTACTCGTCTGAAGAACCCTGCGCGGATGCCTTTTTTGTTATCTGGTCTGGATGATAATCCTCATATGAGCGAACTTCTTCCATCGCATTCGGCACGCATAACTGCCGTCCTGCCAGTCACACCTTTGTCAATATCCTCCCTCAATGCGGAAATATCCTCAATCCTTGAACACTCGACATATCTCGATCAAGTGGTTCTTCTGACTCCGCCTACGCTCTTATTGCAAGCGAAGCAGAGTATTCGCACTTTCTTGGGGACTTGGGGAACCTCAGGTCATGTGGAACTTACAGTCAGTCCTTGGTTGACGGGGACCCAAGACGTAGCGTCACTACGAGCCGCACGTCAAACCACGTCCGACTTCGTACTTTTCTTGGATGATTCTGGCCTGCAGCAAACGGAATACCATATACGAGAAGCGTTGCTACTTCTTGAACCGTTTTCGACCACAGTGCCTATTGGCCCGTACGGTTTCTCGGATGGTCAAAGCCTGACTTGCATATCTTCTTCAGAGATGCCACAACCTGCAACATTCCTGATACCCCCATTTGTCATGCCGTCTACTCTGTTCCCCTCGGATGATCTAAAAGAGGAGACCATCTTCGGGATCTGGCGCGCACTTGGGGAAAGCATCGCTACGCCTCAACGGGACTCAATTGGCGGCTTTGTCATCGGGCCCAACAATGTATCCGCGCCTTGGTGCCGTTCTAACAAGGCGGGCTCTATTATCGAAACCACAGAAGGATACAGCTTCAATATTGTCCTTGATCCTACGGAGCAAAGATCTGACCAAGATGCGACGAATGAGACATGTGATGCAGATTCCGACTTTCTTCGGCCTGCCCTCGGATCCTTCTTGCTGGTGTTTTCTACTTTGACAGACCTCCATAACTTCTCTCCGGCTGCCTGCCGACTTCAACGCGATGGTCACAATGTACATGTTCTTCTCTATGACGAGGGTCTCTGTTCTCCCCCACAGACGAGTGCAGATACAAAAAGTCTCGTTCTGGCATCCTGCAAGTTGGAATACAGCGTGTTGCCTGTAGGCTCTGAAACCGAGGTACCTACCAGTCTTGAGGAATGGATCCAGTGCCACTCCTTGAGCGCAGACGTAATCCTCACTACTCTCAGTGAAGAGGAGCGGTTTTATCTGCACATGCGTAGCGAGAATGGATCCACAGTCATACATATACCTTCGTCTGACTTGCCATTCTGCGACTGGATGGGATCATTGACGCTGCAGGAATACAAGAGTAAGTCACATACCCCCACCGTTACTGTGAAGAACCGATTCAGTGTCATTCAACAGGTTGGCATTTACCTCACGTTGATATTTCTGTTATCACGAACGACCGGCCTCGTTCGCTCTCCCGCCTTCTTGCGTCACTATCAACTGCGCGTTACTTCGGCGACTCGATTGACTTGCGTGTAAACATCGAGCAGACGGCAGATCTGGAGACCCTAAAGATGGTGGACGCATTTGAATGGACACACGGACGCATGTTTCTGCACCGGCGGGTGATTCATGGTGGGCTCCTGACCGCAGTCGTAGAGTCTTGGTACCCGCGCTCGAACCATTCTTATGGCCTGATACTCGAGGACGATGTAGAGCTTTCGCCACTGTTTTACGCATGGGTGAAACTTGCATTACTTCGATATCGGTGAGCATATGCGCTCTGATTGTCCCGCGTGTGCTAGATTTTTGACGTCATCGTGCACAGATACGGACGGCGCGATGATGTATCGCCCAGATTGTTCGGCATCAGTCTCTACCAGCAGAAGAATCTTGAGCTGCGTCCCGAGGGGCGCCATCCATTCAACGCGCGCAACACTTTTTCGGCAGCGGGTTTCGTAAACCCACACACACCCTATCTTTCGCAGATTCCGTGCAGCTGGGGCGCGGTGTACTTCCCGGAGCATTGGCGCGAGTTCCATTCCTACTTGTCCTTCCGACTCTCCGAGTACGCGTGGGATGTGGACCAGATCGTCGTCCCCGGCGTGCGCTCTAACAAGTGGACGCGGTCATGGAAGAAATACTTCATCGAGCTCGTATACCTCCGTGGCTACGTCATGCTCTATCCAAACTATGCGGACTATGTGTCGCTGTCGACAAACCATCTCGAGGTTGGCTCGCATGTGAAGGACGTACCAAGCGAGGTCTATCTCCGGAAGAAGAAGCTGTTTCTACTGCCACTGATGCAACTGCCTGAGGATAAGGCGTTTGCCGGAACCGGCTTGCTAGACCTTCCTGATGCTCGCCTGCCTCAATGGTCCGATTTACCTTCCCTCGATCTCTTAGGATTGTCAGCAGGAGAAGACGAACTGATGGAGCGAGGGAAAGTACGCAGAGCAGAGCTCACAGACTGCGCATATGCAGTCCACATTGACCATGACATCCGCGATCTTTTATGCCTCTATGACCAGTCATCCGAATTTGTGTAGTATTGATTGTCATGATACGTAGCTCTACTTCATAGCATTAGTCGAAAGCACAGGTGTCCGGACGCGTGCCCCTCTACAATTACACAGCGATTTGTGAGCTATCCAGGCCAAGTGCGTGCAAAAAGATATTGACGTTCGCCAGGCGCGACCTCCTCTCTTCTTCGTCAGCGACCCACCCCTTGTTCACGCTTGTGACATTTTCCAAGACGAGCTCGCGCAGACTAGTCACCAAAATCTGCTGCTGCTCTGCTGAGGCGTGGAGTGCCATGGTGGCCAGATATTGCCACACGGGGTGGTCGATGACATCCGCATTAGGGACATTAGAGTGAGGAATGCCCAGCGTCCTGCTGATACGGACCGAAGGGAAAAGATGCAGGAAGTCGTGCGCAAGGAAGTTGAACAAATTGTCGAACACTGATTGCCTGAACCACTTGTTAAGAGTGCTCTCATGATTGACTCAATGATCCAATCTCACCATTGATCGGTATCCTCTGGCGGAGGCAGCTCGGATACTTCCGTAGCTGTCGCCATATTTTGTTTGATGACCTCGACCCGACTGATGAAGAGAGTCAGCAAGGCAAGTCCGGGCTGTGAAGGTGCTTGTGATGAGTATCATGTCATGGTGTTTGCAGTCAAACGCGTACTTTTGTGCAAGCCACTCCTGCAACGTGGTTCCTCTCGAACAACAAACCGAGCAGACCGCTAACTATCCGTAGCTCAGCTTTGGCAACCACAGGGAGGATGCTCTGAATGATGCTCTGCATGAATGCCTGCGTCTGTGCATCCACTTCGTGATACTCTTCGGACTCCTTGAGAGTATCAAGCACATGTGCTTTCACAATCACGTCCGCTTGAGAGAAACACGCGACGAGAAGAGTGAGTGTAACAAGCGTTTGGTGGTCGTCCAGGTAGCGTGCAGCTCGCGGGAGTAGCCTCTTGCCTTTGATAGGCATGAGCAGGGAAATGAATGGATGAGGGACACTGGACAAATATAAGACGTGTGCCAAGGATCAAGACTAGTCCATTTGGTACTGACCTCGTCTCCAATGGCGCTGTCACGCGTAGACCCAACCATAGTCGTTGGACGTGAGCTTCGTACTCGACTTCCCTGCATATCACTTAGAAGATGAGATGAGATACCGCTCGGAGCGAACTTACCATGCGAGAAAATCTTCCTCTTCCTCCGGAGGTGGTTGATCCCGTCGCATCTGTTCTAGGTCGAGTACGAGATCATACAGGCGCTCCAAAATAACGAGGCTCTCGCGGTGAGTAAGCGGGTCCTGGCGGTCATGCTCATGTGTCTACGGATAGCTCATTGTATCAGCTAATTTGAGCCAGGGCTCATCGTAAGCTTACGTGTGCGGCGCTGCCGAGTGTCTCGCGACCAATCTTTGCAGCTTCCTTCGCCGCCCCCGTGGCCTCATGGTGAATGGCGTCTGCTTTAGATATATGACCATGGGCAGGGACTGGAGAGGGCGTGGGCGATGACCCTGAATCCACCTGGAGAAGCTGCCTTGGGGCGGCTTTGTAGCTCCGCCCGGAAGTCTTACCCAGCGCGCCTTGAAGGTTGTTGAGTGCTACGAAGAGAAAATGAGCTCATAGTCACCAATGCAGATAAGAATCGCACAGATCTTCTCCTTCTCCCTCATGCGAGCATTGTTCACGATCCGCTCGACCTGCGCCTCCATGCGCTGCATTGCACTTTGGCGGCGACCAGGGCCTTTCTGACCAAGGCCCAGCCCGACGCCCCCACCAGAGCCGAACTTCAGCACGCGATCGTCCTGCGTCTGTACACCCAGGCGAGAGCGAAGTATCGCACCGTACACTTGAGCGTAGAAGTCGTCCGCATACGGGTCTGGAGTGACAAGCTGTGACACCTGAATGCGCGTGATAAAGTCTTTATCGGACTGCGTCATTAAGTCGTTGTACCGCGACTGAGAGGCAACCGATCCGATGAGTTCATGTAAAGACACAATGAGCCGCGCCAGACCCACCATATGTGCTATCTTGGCGTGTTTCCTGCGTCTCTTTTCCTCCATTCGCTCAGCCTCCATAATCTTTTTCATCGCTTCGGCGCGCAAAATCTCTTGCATCTCGCGTTCCTCCCGTGCATCACGCTCTGCTTGCGGCGTCCCAGTTTGCATACTGTTTATGAACTCCGCCTGCGCCATCTCAGCCAATAGGCGCTGCTGCATCTGGATGTCCTGTGGGAGATACGTCATGTTCTGTCCAAAGGGCGCATCTGCGGCAGGCGATTGTCGGCCGAGATGTCGCGATGTGCGGTCAGACAGCGCAGGACTAAGCCCGCCAGATACATGACGCTGGTGATGCAAGAGCTGTCCGTGCAAATGGCCCGCAGACGGCGACGCAGTTTGTAACTGCTGCTGCTGCTGTTGCTGTTGCTGTTGCTGCTGTAAGCGGATCTGGCGCTGGCGCTCCAGCTCTTCCAGCCGAAGCTGCTCCTGAAGCTGTAGGAGCTGCTGCTGCTGTTGACGTTCACGCTGCTCCTGTAGCTCGAGGAGCTGTCGTTGCTGTTGCTGCTGCTGCTGCAGGTGGATCAGGTGGATCTGATGCTGCTGCTGTTGCTGATGGAATCGCGGCGACTGTGAGTGAGGATGCATGCGAGGTGGCGGCGTCGCGGTATGTTGGGGCGTCCCTTGACGCGGGATCTGGCCACGAAGCTGGGTCTCGCGTAGCTGTGCCTCCCGCAGGAGCTGAGCCTCAAGCAGCTGGGCATCGCGCGCCTCGCGTATCTGTGCTTCCCGAATTTGCGCTTCTCGGATTTGTGCCTCTCGAGTCTGCACCTCCCGGATCTGTGCCTCGCGAATCTGTGCCTCCATACTTTGAGCCTCACGGAGCTGGTTCTCCCTTAGCTGTGCGTCTCGGAGTTGGGCCTCGCGGAGCTGGAGCTGCGTCTGTTGGAGGGAAGGAGGCGGCTGAAGCTGCTGTTGTTGCTGCTGATGCTGAGCGGCAGCAGCAGCGCGCATCTCTGCCTCGATTTCCTCTACAGTTCGCACACCCTTGTGGAGATTACCGCCGAGACTGAGGACGCCGGTGGATCTCTGAGGAGGCGCATCATTGCTGCCTTGTCCAAAGGGCGAGAACTTCGGCGTGCCTGATTGCGCGGTACGACTGCCGCCATTCATGCGCGGAAGCACAGAGAACGGGGACTTGTCCTCCCAGACGGACTCGAGCGAATGCGCGGGGCGAGCTGCATGAGGAGCATAAGACGCGCGCGAGGAGAAAGGCGACGATGATCATACACGGTGCGCTGGGCTGGGCAGCCTGAGTGCTCTGCTGTGGCCTCAGCTCGGCTCCATGAACGGATGCCCTGGAGTGCTGCTCTCGCAGAGCAGACTGGGATGATGCGGAGGTCGCAGTCGCCGGCAGCGCGGTGTTGGAAAAGTCAAAGTCCTTGCCTGCTTGGCCGTTAGATGGCCGTATCCCAGCTCACGATGCAGCCCAGCACAACGCACCAACATTGCCCGCTCCGCCAAACGTCTCGTCGTTCAGTTCATCGCCACCTTCCAGTAGCTCGTCGCCGAGACCATCGTAACTCTCTTCGCCCCACGTATACACCGCGATGTCCTCCTTCTCCTGCCCTTCGCCCTTGCCGCCGTTCTCTAGGAACGCGCGCCTTTCGCGCTCGAGATCCAAGGGCTGCTGGAATCCGAAGAACGACATGCCTGGGGCATGGACACGCGCTGGAGTAGGTCAGAGCGATGGAAAGCCGAGATGTGTGACTTGAGTATGTATTTTGTCGTAGACTGGGTGTGGACGGTTATGTAATGGCGCTGCAAGGCGTCAAAGGACAGATCGATGATGACGGTTAAATATCCCGCCCTTAATATAAGCTTGATCCCGGGACCCGGGTCTATTGCAAACTATCTACAGCTATGTCGATATGTACAGTAAATCCCAGCCCAATTGAAGACAATAAGTTACATGCTGTTAACAGTCCAGCGTCAGATGGAAACCCTATATCCGCGCCACCGGACCAACGGAATTTCGCTGTGGTGGCGCGAGCGCGCTCATGATATGCTGGTGGCAGTTCCGAAGTCGTTCGCGCCGCGCAACGAACCATGAGCTCGCGTCATATGGGACCGCAAGGGGAACACCAATAAGGCCCCGGTCTTGTGCGGCGCGCACCGCATGCACGAGCGAGTCGACTTCCGCTTCCGAGTCGAGTTCGTCAAGGTTCTCGTAGCCGTCATCTGTCGTGCCCACAGTCGCTCCTGCCACTGCAGCGGCAGCGGCAGCTGCGGTGGCAGTCTTCTTACTCTTCTTTGCTGGCGCACCTGATCCCGCGCCACTTGTGCCCTTCTTGGGTGCATCTGCTCCGGCCGCTGCAGCGGCCTCCATCGCCTGCCGCTTCTTCTCTGCCTTCTCCCTCTCCTTCCGCTCCTTTCTCTCCGCTTTGCTTTCCTTCTTCACGGGCTCCACGAAATTCGGATTGTTGAGGCGGTTCCACTCTAACAGGAGCTCATCGTACGGCCTCGTGCGATTCTGGACAGCACGCTTCGCTCCCATCGAATGCGACTTGCACGTAAGTGAACGCGAGCATGGCAGACCCTTGTCGTTGATGACGCCACACTGCTTGTCGTAGTCAACGGGTCCCTTGAAGCGGCCCTTGGTCACCTTCGTGGCCGGCTTCTTCTTCTTGGGTGCGTTGGGATCGTCCGGGTTTGGTATCTCGTCCTCGGCCTTTCGCTTCTTGCCCTTGGTGTCTGCATCAGCAGCAGCTTTGCCTTTGGCAGGTTTCTTGTTACCTGCACGGATCTTGGCACAATTATCTAACCGATATTGAACACCGTCAGAAGCACGTATGAATTGCGAACAATGACTTACCAGCATGCTCAGCGACAGCACTCTTGAGCACTGGCTTGTTACACTCCCTGCACCTTACGATACCAATCTCCGGCCTAAGTGGCTCCGCGCCAAAAATCTTCATGTCACGAGCAGAGAGCCATAACGTAGGCGGAGATGGCGAGCGAGAAACGCTGTCGGGGGTCGGTGGGTCGATGGGCGCTGTGTCCCATGAAAAGGGCTGGGGCGGTTCGGGAGATGAGCTTGGTTTCAGTCTGACCGCCATAATCATTCAAGGCTAGACATGCGAATTATTCAGGTTATGTCAATTATAGTGTCTGTCCGACTTATGCGTTGCGATTACCCTGTCACAAGAAGACCAAGGACAAGTCGCAGTGAGTGTACTATAATGTGCACTGCTACGCTGACTCCGATAGTGCGGGCTCGTGAGGTGAATTGCGAGCAACTTGAGAATGACCAGTGACGAGCAAATAGTAGCCCTCGTCTAGCCAAGAGATTCTGTATGTGACGGCTAACTGCAAGCTTTCTAGTCAAGGCAATCAAAGTCACAGACACAGGACAAGGACGGCGATCGTGGTAAGCGGCACTAAGCGAGTCGTGCTAACCGTGTTACGTAATACTAGTGAGCTCTTTCCAAATGCGGGGGCGAGTGCGGGGTAGGCCGTTCATGTGACGTCAGTGCGGGACGCGCCTTGATTGGACCGTCGACGCGTGCAGGTCTCGATCAGTTCATATAAAGAAGGTCAGCGACGCGTCGCCCTCATCTTCCCCTCTTACTCGTCCCCTGCACACCATGTCCAAGAGTAATAGGAAGCCCAGGTCCACAATTAAGATCCCCAATGGCGGCAATATAATGCGCACGCCGAGCTCGAGCTCCACGTCGCCGACAACGCCTAAGACACCTAAGACACCGAAGACACCGAAGACACCTGCAGATGAAGGCATTGACTTCTTCGAAGCGGCGTTTAAGCAGGGGGAGAAACCAATCCAAGTGTATGAGCTCCAACTGGAGCCAGATGGCGGGCCGAGCAAAGAAAGAGCTGTTGAGTATCATTCTTCTTTGAACGCTGCGAAGGTTATCATTGCAAGCGCATTCGACTACTGATCATGGCCTGGTTCATGCGCATGATTCTAACATGATCCCCTTCTTTGATTCATATGCACCGTATGTTGAGATATTGACAATTTCACCTAGTATATGCGTCTACCTCCGGCCACGACCCCATATGTACTGCGTGTGTCCCTAGAAGCAGGAACGTCCGCGTCAAAGAACGGCGTCTTCAAGACGAACTTCCCTCTTGACGGTGGAACCTTTGCTCGCGACCGGTTCGCTGAGCGAAAGTATGTAAACATGCCGCTAGACCTACAACATAGACTGATACATTATCATAGATTGCCGACTGATTTCTCCAAGCCTATCCAGATCGATCTACCAATCTCCCATGCTGGAGCATTTGTGTACTGGGTCGAGTATGACGGCGCCGAGCCAGGCTCACGCGTGAAGGGCCGAGAGGGGTACTTTAACATCGACCCTATACTGCGTATCAAGGCTCGTTCGTCAATACTTTCCTCCAAGGGAACCATCTCGGAGAAGGGCGGAGCCGTAAAATCGGACTACGTGAACCTCCCGCTCGATGGTCTGTCCATCCTCACTTTGGTCTCCAAGTGGATGGGTCCCATGAGCGCTTGGAGAGAGTATCTTGCAGAAAGCAGCGCACGAGGATATACTATGATACACTGGACACCCCTCCAGGAGCGCGGCGAGAGTGACAGTCCATACTCTGTCCGCAATCAGCTGGCGTACGATCCCAGCATGTTTCCGGGCGGCAAGAAGGATCTGGGCTCAGACGGTGGCAAGTCGAAGCTCGAGGAGATGCTGAAGATCGCGAGGGACGAATACGGGCTTCTCAGCTTGACAGACGTGGTGCTTAATCACACCGCAAACGACAGCCCATGGTTGTTGGAGCATCCAGAAGCAGGCAGGTTTCACTGTTGACTGACCTTGATATTCGCTGACCAGAACGATATGTAGGCTATAGTCCGGTCAATACTCCGCACTTGACCCCGGCGCTAGAATTGGATGATGCGATGGTACAATTCTCTAGTACGCTCTCGTCGAGAGGGCTTCCGACCTCTGTCGCCTCTCAACAAGACGTTGATGCGCTCGCCGGTGGCTTCCAAGAGTATCTCAAAGAGCTGAATTTGTGGCAGTATTATGTTCTCAATGTTGATGCTGAGCGTGCATCGGTGAAGAGAGCCCTCGACGAAGGGAAGGTGGCTGTCTGGGATGGTCCGCCTATCGCTCACAAGGACGTCGCCGAGCTGGCGGAGATCATGCGTTCTTCGGGCAAGGTACACGGCTTGCGAAAACTCGAGAAGAAATTCGGCACGTTCGTCGACGGGCCCGTAGCCGTGGGCTTCGTGAAGGCAGCGTTTGTGGACCTAGGGGATGACTCTGACGCTCTTGCCGACGCCTGGGTCCGCGTGGTAGACGTCGTGAACGTACCACTGTATCAGGAATGGGAAGAGGATACGAAGGTCGCGCTGGACAACGTCAAGAATAGATTGAAGTATACGCGCCTAGATGAACATGGTCCCAGGCTTGGCCCTATTAGCGAGAAGTGAGCATCTTACTCCGCGTTCACTGCGCTTGGGCTAAGACGATATTAGGCTACCGCTGGTTGAGACCTACTTTACCCGAGTAAAGTCAAACGATCCTGCAAAATACTCATTGGCAAACAACGGATGGATCTGGAACGCGAACCCACTCGAGAACTTCGCACTCCCGCCTTCTAAGGCATATCTACGCCGCGAAGTAATTGTATGGGGCGATTGTGTTAAACTGCGTTACGGCGATGGACCTTCAGCAAACCCATGGCTTTGGGAACACATGACGCGCTATGTCACCTCGCTCGCGGGTACCTTCTCCGGGTTCAGGATCGATAACTGCCACTCTACCCCTCTGCACGTGGGCGTTGCGCTACTTGACTCCGCGCGGGTTGTCAATCCGGATCTGTACGTGTGCGCGGAGCTTTTCACCGGAAGTGAGGAGATGGACAAGGTGTTCGTGAGTCGCTTGGGGCTGAACAGCTTGGTCCGGGAAGCTGGCAACGCCTGGGACCCAAAGGAGTTCTCCAGACTGTTGTATCGTCATGGACTGGGGAAACCGCTCGGTAAATGCTCTGTGGCTATCTCGACATGAGCGCATATACTAACATAGGCGCTAAAACAGGTTCGATGGACAGTGCCTGCGTCACAAGCAAGGAAGAGCTCCCGCCCCCAACGGGCAAAGGTCCCACTCGTCCATGTGTAGTGATCCCTCACAATGGTTCTGCGCCCCATGCGCTCTTCTACGACCTCACTCACGACAATGAGACATACCTAGACAAAAGGAGTGCCGAGGATGCGCTGTCGACCGGGGCGCTGATCACGTTCTCGTACTGCGCTATTGGGTCGGTGAAGGGTTTCGATGATCTGTATCCAAAGCTATTGAATCTCGTCGGAGAGAAGAGAAAATACGAAGCGACAGGCCTGGGCGAACGGAGTGGTATTGCGAAAGCGAAGCGGCTACTGAACGCGTTGCATACGGAAATGGCATTGGGCGGTTTCGAGGAAGGACATGTGCACCAAGAGAATGACGTGAGTGCTGATGGTTGCTTGTACTGCATGGTGCTGATGCAAACATGTTTAATTCTTAGTATATCGTCATGCACCGAGTACAGCCGTCGTCGCAAAAAGGCTACCTGCTCGTTGCGCATACTGCCTTCTCAAAGGGTTCTAAGGACCGCGGCTGGAGTGCGCATCATTCTAAATAAACATCCCGGCGTACTGACGTTTTGGTTTACAGTCAATCCAATCAAGCTCCGTGGAACGAAGGCAAAATTTGTCTATGGCGCTCATATCGATATACCGTCGTATGATATTGACAAGAACCCGAACACCTTGCGGGGCCTTCCAGGCAAACTGGTAGAAATGCCTGAGGTAGTGGTATCCCAATCCCTAGATGCCGAAGGTCCCTACGCCGAAGTGATCGTCCCTGAATATTTCCCTCCTGGAAGTATCATGGTCTTTAAAACGCACTTGCACGATCTCGATCTTACTCTCGACACGTTCTGCGGCTCTGGGGCTGAGGAGGCATTTGGGGACCTGAACTTGGTGGATCTTAACGTAGTCCTACATCGAGCGGATGGAGAAGAACGCGATGCGACCGGTGGCGAGATCGGTACGTATGCAATACCTGGAGTGGGAAACCTTGTCTACTGTGGGCTGGAGGGATGGATGTATCCTCTTCGTCATATCATGCGATATAACGACCTTGGACATCCTCTATGCGGACACTTGCGAGAAGGCACCTGGGCATTGGATTATGTCTACTCGAGGTTGTCAAGGTAAGTGTCCGCACCGTATTCTACGAACATTGTCACTCATTCTGCCGACATCCCTAGGCAAGTCGGGACGTTTCCCCACCTGGAGAAGCCTGCACAGTGGTTTGCGGACAGATTTGGGAAGATAAAACAATGTGTTCCACCATTCTTGCGACCCAAGTACTTTGCGATCGTCATCTCCGAGGCGTACAAGGTGTCCCGACGGCTCGCCATCGAACAATGTTCAGAGTTCGTCTCAAGTGGACATTCATTCACGCAAGACCTTGCGCTATGCTCGATCCAGATGCATGGCATGGTCCAATCGGCGTCTTTGGATCCCGGAAGACCCACTCCTTCGTTGGCTGCCGGCCTCCCTCACTTTACCGCCGGGTGGGCGAGATGCTGGGGCCGGGATGTCTTCATTTCGCTACGCGGTCTCTTCTTGACGACCGGTAACTTTACTGGCGCCAAAGCTCACATTCTAGCGTTCGCATCCACTCTGAAGCACGGATTGATTCCCAACCTGCTTGATTCTGTCCGGAGCCCAAGGTACAACTAGGATGTCAATCGCTATCCTATCGCTGTATTGACTCTCGTGTGATGCAGATACAATTCTCGCGATTCACCTTGGTGGATGCTACAGAACATCCAGGACTATGTCCAGAGTGCGCCTGACGGTCTAGCATTGCTCTCAGAACCTGTCAAGCGACGGTTCCCCAAGGATGATACCTGGGTCCCGTGGGACGACCCTAAAGCATACTCGTATTCGAGCACCATATCCGAGATTATTCAAGAAATTCTGCAGCGCCACGCCGACGGGATCCACTTCCGTGAATACAACGCTGGTCCCAACTTGGATATGCAGATGAGCGATGAGGGTTTCAACATCGACATCCAGGTCGACTGGGAGACGGGAATCATCTTCGGTGGCAATCAGTACAATTGTGGCACGTGGATGGACAAGATGGGCGAATCTACCAAGGCGGGCACCAAGGGTCGCCCGGGCTCTCCACGAGACGGGGCTCCTGTCGAAATAATCGGTCTTCTGAAAAGTACTTTGCGATGGCTGGATCAGCTTTCCACTGCCGGGAAGTTCCCCTTCAAGGGCGTTGAGGCAGAAGGTGCGTTGAATGATGACGTCTCACGTGCGTTTTCTGACATAAGCATGCCAGTCGACGGCAAACGGCGTCTTGTCACATACAAGGAATGGGGAAACCTCTTGCAGACGTCATTTGAAGCATGCTACTACGTCCCTTCAGGTTCGTTCAAGCAATACTGTGCCATTCTGAGACTGAGTGTTGTTCCTACAGACCCCGCTGACGACGCCAAGTACAACGTGAATCCTAGCATTGTGAACCGTAGGGGAATCTACAAGGACGTCTACGGATCTGGCTCCGGGCGAGAATGGTCGGATTATCAATTTAGACCAAACTTCCCTATTGCGATGACTGTCGCTCCGGAGCTGTTTGACCCTGAGCATGCACTCCAGGCCCTGAAGCTTGCTGACGAGGTCCTGAAAGCGCCCCTAGGAATGAAGACCCTGGATCCCATTGATTTGCAGTATAGACCGTACTACGATAATTCCAACGACGGGACTGACCCGGCAATCGCCAAAGGACTGAACTATCACAACGTCAGTTTGAATGATCACCTAGCCACGCGTCTCATCCGTACTGACCACTGATGCTCTACAGGGTCCAGAATGGGGCTGGCCCTTGGGTTATTTCCTCCGTGCGTACCTGTACTTCGACTCGCGTGTGGGAGCAGGCAAAGAGGTATGGCTCGAATTTTATACGTGGTGCATAGTACTGACGCTGCATTAGGATATCACAAAAACCCTTCATCATCTCCACGGTAGCATCCTAACGACACGACGGCATGTGGTGAATGATCCGTGGGCTGGTCTACCGGAATTGACGAACAAGGACGGCGAGCTCTGCCCCGATTCGTGTAACACGCAAGCGTGGAGCGCAAGCACGATGCTCGACTTCCTCGAGGAAGTTCATAAATTGAGCAAGGCAGCTGCTTGAAGACGGACAGCGTGCCTCTCGAACACATCTGTAGCACTATTTCTTAGTCGTCTCCTGTTGTACGGACACCCTCACCTTGGCCTGTATTTCATCATGTACAAGGACAGTTGTTTCGATAGGATCTGTGACTCATACCCAGCATAAACACGCCTACAGCAATCAATATGTGAATTCTGGAACCGCCATATTACAGCCAATTTCATATCTTTAGGCCTACCCGGAAATTTTTGTCCGCAGGCAGGGTCGATGCGCAATTCGGAGTGAACGGTCCGGACCCTGAAGCCAGTTTTGCGGGCTGCGCAAGCACACACCTGGCGGGATTGTAAACGTGAGTGGAATGGGGCACTCTATTTTTCCTGCCTAGGTCCTCCAATATGTGAGGACCTCCTGCCTGGCGGTCAGCCGCTTGACAAGTTAGAACTGCACCGAAACATTCTCACTGGTCGGCGTGTAAGGTCAAGCAGAGGTAACGGCGTGTTACGAACACACATCCCCGGTGCTGCGGACAGCGTCCTCCGGTGAACAGCTCGGGAACTTCGCCGATTAGACTTGAATATAGGGATTTCGATAACATATGGGTTCCTGTTCACCTGCCACAAACGCATCAACTTGATGTCCCAACGATCGATCGTTGAATCGAGATCCTACGGCCGGGTGGCGTATCCACGATGAGCTGCGCTATACGTCATAAGCCCCATCCCGAGTGGCCGTCTGAATGTTTGTATTTGAGAAGGCAGCCGGTTATAATAATTGGCTCTGTCCGACGCGTCATTCATGCCTTACCGCTCCCTTATACATTTCTGTCACACCTCTCGAGCAATTGTGCAAAGCGCAACCATAACCTCGCCTTCACACATACGCCATCAACCATTCACATCGTCGGCTCGAATCCCCATGATATTCAACGGCGGCTGTTATTGTGGCAATGTCCGCTATCAGCTCAACCTCGACTCGCCAGATGATGCTCGAATGAGTATCTGTCATTGCAGGAATTGCAAAGTGCGTTAAGAACTAGACAGTGCATAAACTAGAGGTGGATGTTGACAAGAACTCTCGCCAAACACGTTGCAGAGATTTAGCGGCTCAGAGTTTGGCATCACTGCAAAGATTCCCAAGAAGGCCTTCCGCATAACACAAGGCCAAACTAAATAACACGTTTCTAATAACGGCTCTAGCACGCTGACAAGAGAGTTCTGCGATTCTTGCGGGTCCGGAATCCTGGAATACGGGGGAAATGCTGGGGAGAATACATACGTCTTCTATGGCAGCCTCGACGAGCCAGACAAGCTCCCACCGAAAGGAGAATTCTTCTGCAAGAATCGCGCAGAATGGATGCCTGAGATTCCAGGTATGTTCCGCGGTAGAGAGTGAGGACCACCTGCTAAAAACATTATCAATAGGGCTTTTTCACAAGCGCGAGATTAAAGAGTAGAGATGAGCACAAACAGTTCGGTGGCAGTGCTTCTTAGCAGCGCTGAAAGCGAGCCTATTGAGGCGATGCTAGGAAGGCTCACTTGTGTAAACAGTCAGAGTGATGCATAGCAGTGTATCAGTTGTAATGAAGGATCATTCACAGCTGACGACATGGTAAATCGAAGCGCAGCCCTCATCAGCGGCGGCGATACTGGCGACTTTGCCATGCAGGTAGTCCACTTCAACGATGCGCGACCCTGATATTATGATAGGTCTTGCTCTACATAGTGATAGTTCAGGTAGCGTTACTCAAGAAGAAGGGTTTGAAAAGAGCCCCAAGGAATGCTAAGACACGGAGCTGATGAGAGCTGTTTATGGCCAGAGCTCTCGGCGAGGAGATAAAAGCTTCAATTCCCATGGAAACATGAGCCAACCCAGCTCTAGATATTGCAGAGTACGGGTTCGCGGGTTCGACGAAGTCTATACAGCCCTAGGCAGTGCAATCTCCTCCCGGAAAGTCTACAGGGAGGCGCTGGAGGAAGGTAGCGGGACGATGCATGGCGAATGCAATCTTCTGTCTCCAGTATGTTCCCCATTGCATCGCGATCATTTACTTTTGAGCGCGCCCCAGGCAAGCGCGCATGACGGACATGAGCAGCCTGTTGTCCTCCGCACAATCCACAGTGTGGGGATTGCTACGACGGTGAGCGGCCCGCGAGTCCCTTATCACGCTGCCATGAAGTTGGACAGTTAAGGGAAAATACGCGCCAGCACAGGCAAGCGGGTGATATAGTCGTCCATGAGCACTTGAGGAGTGACTGGTGACCATGGGAGATTGCTTCGTGCGCAGTGGAGAATGGCGTGAGGACACGTTTTACAGCAGGTAGACTTCAAGTCCGATTCCCGTACGCTCAAGGATTACGAGGGTTATTCTTCGATATGCAGCCAGTGGAGTGTCCCCGCTTTTGCCATGTGAAACTGAGTGAATGAGCTGAGATAAAATGGCCTCCTCGAGCAAGCAGCCAATGGTGCGAGCTGAATGCACGTGATAAACGCGCCGCGTCTCAGTAGGGCGCTAATCCCCACAGTCGCCGTCTCGAGAATGCGCCACAGCAACTCGCAGTACGGCTTTATTCCAAATCTACAAGCTTTCGTGTGAAACGCTTCTTGTTGACTGACATCTTGGTTTTGTTTCACTATACTAAAGGAACCTACGAGAGTGCAGGTCGAAACTGGGATTGTACCGGCCACCCGCTGTCTAAGCCAAGGATCTCATCAGCCCTCCGACGCCCCCGTTCTAACGCTACCTTCTTGCCACCTAATAAACATCTGAGATGCTTCCTACGCCTGCGCCAACCTCGCCGCCCTCGTCACCACGTCCTGAAGTAACGGCGGCGGCGGAGGATCACCCAATTGTCTATCCTCCACCTCCTCCGACTAGAGGGAGCGCGCCTTTCCAGGTGCTGGCTGCTCTCTTCGATAAGCTTCAAGGCGAGCGCAGACCGGAGAAGCGGAGGAGGCTTTTAGACTCATGGTTCAACGTACGCAGCGATTGAAAGCTCCATCCGTACTCTGACTGATGTGTGGGTGTTCAGCATTGGAGACGAGAGAAAGGATACGACTTATTTCCAGTATTGCGTCTGATATTGCCTCAGGCGAGAACGTCCTATAAGCTCGATAAGATCTTTCAACTCATGTACATCATAGAAGGACCGCGAACGTGCGGTCTATGGTTTGAAGGAGAAGAACCTAGCAAAGATTTATATCAAACTTATTCCTCTTAACCCGAGGGATCCGGATGCAATTCGTATGCTTAATTGGAAGCGCCCTACAGAAAGAAATGTACGTTACCTACTTGACTGACATATTCACAATCCTTTCTTAACCCTTTGTCTGCAGCAATCCTCAGGAGACTTCCCTTCTGTATTATATGAAGTCATTAGCAAGAGATCATCTGTGGTGGAAGGGACGTTGACCATCCATGAACTGAACGATCATCTCGACGAGATCTCGAAGAACATGGGGCACTCGTTAGTAACGCACTCATAACTTACAATGTAGCGCACGCTCAACGCGAGATGCAGTGAGACACAGATGAAGATATTTCAGCGCATATATAACAGTACCACATCTGAAGAACAGCGATGGATAGCACGCATCATTTTGAAAGGTCTGTGGCTACTCTTTTATTCACGAGCAAGACTGACGTGTGCATGTGTTCTAGACATGCAGATATCAGTCAAGGAGACGACTGTCTTCGCCGTCTTTCATCCAGACGCGCATGCTCTTTTCAATACATGTTCCGATATCAAGAAGATTGCTTGGGAATTATGGGACCCAAAACGTAAACTTAACGATGAGGTGCACCTATCGTGACCAACTTAAGAGTTCTATGAAGGCTCATCGAGATTATGATGTAGGAAAAATCAGTGCAGCTGTTTAGGTCATTCATGCCGATGCTATGCAAAAGGCCGCTCCGACGGATTGAAGATACAGTAAAGGAAATGCAAGGTAGCAACTTTATCATAGAGGAGAAGCTCGATGGCGAGCGCGTGCAACTGCATAAGCGCGGAAACGAGTACTTCTATTGTTCTAGGTAAGTGTTCACAGGCTCCCTGCATAATCTGATGCAGCTCATGGGCTACAAATAGGAAAGGCAAAGACTACACTTACCTCTACGGAAAACATGTGGGAGAAGGCAGCTTAACGCCATGGATTCACAAGGCATTCGATGCTCGAGTCGATGAGTGCGCGGCCATCCACTTGATAATTAAACGCACATTAAATGCTATGCAGGATCATTCTCGATGGCGAAATGCTGGTCTGGGATCCTGTCTCTGAGCGGAATCTTCCATTCGGTACATTGAAGACCGCTGCTCTTGGTCAGTTTGTCGCATGCCACATGAGTGCGCAAGGCTCACCTTCTCGCAGACCGATCGAAGAAAGAGCGTGCTCCTCGCCCCTGCTGTAAGTCCACTTTGGTGTCTGGTTCTAGCCATCATAATGCCTATTATCCGTAGTCAAGATATTCGATCTCTTGTACCTGAACGGCACGCCCCTTCTCAACAAGTCGCTCAAATTCCGCAAGCGCAATTTACGGGCCTGTCTGAAGGAAGTCCCTGGGCGTATGGAGTTTGCAGTTGAATACGAGGGCCGCACTGCGGACGACGTGCGCACTCGCATGGAAGATATCATGGCCTCTCGCGGCGAAGGTCTTGTTATCAAGCACCCCAACTCGCAGTACGTCCTGAGTGGTCGTAACAGCGATTGGATTAAGGCAAGTTGTTGGACTCGTGGATTTAACGTTTCCTCACTCACTGCTGCTCGCAGGTGAAGCCTGAGTACATGGTGAGTCTGACATCCGCACACCGCACGGAGAGAGGTTGACCTGCATTCAGGACAGCATGGGAGAAACGGTGGATGTCATAGTCGTCGGTCAGTGACATTCTCTATACATGCACTACGAAACGCACATTGACGTGGCCTAACAGCCGGAAACTACGGTACTGGCCGACGTTCTGGAGGTGTCTCGACACTCGTATGCGCTGTCGTCGACGATCGCAGACCTGCTGACGAGGTAGAACCAAAGTAAGCTCAGCAGCAAATGTTGATCATGTCGATGGCATTTATATGGAGCTTTCTAGGTATAGCACCTTTGTGCGCATAGGAACCGGTCTTTCATACGCGGACTACATATGGGTACGACAGAAGCCCTGGAAGACTTGGGATCCGAAAAACCCTCCTAGTTTTATACAAGTCGCAAAGAAAGGGTCTGAGGACAAGGGCGATGTGTATCTAGAGCCCCAAGAGTAAGCTTCCCACAAATCACATTTGCGCCTGACAGCCTGTACTGATTCTGAGCACACAGTTCCTTTCTGCTCAAGATTAAGGCTGCCGAAATCACTAACTCAGGTGGGACCTTCTTTTCACAATATATCTACTGACCGACATGTGTTTCGCAGATCTATATCATATGGGCGTGACGATGCGCTTTCCGCGTGCGATTCAGATCCGGGAGGACCTCGACACTTCCGATTGTACGACTGCGACCGGTACGTGAGATTAGTGCTGACGCTTGACACATAATCAATGACCTGTTACAGCCGTTTTTGAAAGTCTGCGGTCGGATAGGAAGAGGAAAATGAGTGATACTGATGAGTTGAGTGATTGTGTGTATGTTTAGGGTCGCTCACTAACGCATCCTTAGGAACCCGAAAAAGAAGCAGAGGAGAACCACGAAGAAGGTGCGCTATCCTGAGTCGCCGCCTTAAAAGACATTCACCTAAGGCCGCTTTTTTCAGCCGGTAATTCTTCTCCCTCAGTACCAGAGCTTAAAGCTAGAGGACGTCGAGGTTGAGAGTGATCTTTTCGAGGGGATGACCTTCAGTAAGTCTCAGATATCCGCTGACCTACACGTGGAATGGTTTGATATCATACAATATGTAGTGGTTTCATCCGATCCAAAATCGAGAACGGGCGAACAAGATAAGAAAGAGCTCCTGCGAATGTGAGTAGCAACCGTGACGGATAAGCCTTATTGTCTTACCTGGAGGACAGGATCCGTGCCAATGGAGGCAAGTACGTCCAAATGGCAAAGAACAACCCTGATGTGCTTGTTGTATATGGAGGCACAATCACTCGTACATTTGCACTTTACACTACCACTACCAGATAAACCAACTTACATGTGTCACTGTTTCGACAGCTTACGACATTAAGCTCATCATGAACAGGGATGTCTGCGACATTATCAAGCCGCAATGGATCAGGGAATCTGTAACGAAGAGTGAACGAATGCCGCTGACCAAGAGGTACCCATGCATTGCTTCATATTTCTCTCTTGTTTACAAGAATATGCATCAGGTACTTCTTCCATGCCACTTCTCGTCGCATGGAAGAGGACGAATACGTTCAGGATGATGGAAGCCTCGAAGAGCTGGCTCTCACGGATCAGCATGAAGAGCCCCTTGAGACCAATGACAAGGGGGATGCAACTCAAGAGGATCCCTCTATAGCGGATTGGTTCAAAGTCGAGAAGTCATCGAATAGATCTGAGATACAGCACGACGATACGGACAGCGAGACGGAACCTGATTCTGATAATGATGATGTGAACCGGGATGAGGACATAGCAGACGAGGATGATATCAGTGATTGGGTCAACGTGGACAACGAAGACTCATTGAAAACCGAAGAAGACCCGGTGCAGGATGCTAGCGTAAGTGCACTCAGCCTGTTCTTGACGGTAGCTCAGTATCTACGTAGTCGCAGCTGGAAAGCACTCATATTCAGGTTTGGTCTCTGTGACTCTGTAATCAGCATACTCATAAGGTGTACGTTCGCAGGAGTCTGAACCTCAAGTCCGCATGGGGGAGACCGAGGAGGCCCGGGAATACGACCAGGAGCTAATCTTCCGACATCTGTTGGTCCAGTTCAACTCTTCGAGACACATGCCTGACTGAGAGATTCAGATGCTTCTACCTTGATTCCCCTGCGAATGCTAAGAAGAATAGTATGTCTGTTAAAAGCAAGAATCAAGATGAGCTCAACAAGGGGTGAGTGACGAGGCCTGTGTCTAGCTGCCCAGCGCTGACCTCCGCTGATAGTTTCGAGAAATTGACGACACTGATCACTGAGCATGGGGGCCGCGTCGTGGACCTTGATGAACCCAAGCTCACGCATGTCGTTGTTGATAAGCGAGACGTGAGTCGAAGGCTGGAACTTATGAGGAAGACATCTACGTGAGGACGCCCGCTACGGGATGCTTGGGAGCCTACTCATCTTGCTAAACACAGCCCCAAACGCCGATATCTAGTTGTCGCTGAGTTCATCCAGGCTTGCTTGGACGAAGAAACATTGCTTGATGAAGATGGCAAGTGCCTGGCAACTCGCTTTGTTCCTTGTGTTAACGCCTGCTCCCACAGAATTCGCGCCATGACGGCCACTGTTAATACTATTCTTCGACAGTCCACTTCCTCTGCGATGGCGGGTCATCACGATCAGCGAGTGTGTCGTATGACATGTGTAAACAAAGAATTCATTTCAATGCTATTCGACATTATGAGACCTACCTACGAATACATTTTTCGCTCGGATGTAGATATTATAAAGATGTCAAACAACAGTCATAGCGACATACTGGTCCTAGGGACAAAACGACAGTTCGGGACGGATTGTCATCCAAAGATGACGCGACAAACACGACAAGCGATAACGAGACATCACGAGAAGTAACGTACGACAAGGATACAAGAGACGGAGTCCAACGAGACGAGATTTAGTCAAAAATGTGTGATATACAAGAATTGACACGCATAGACTGTCATCACTAATACTTACGCTTCACCAGAGACGGTCCCAGGCACCGGGACTGGGGCCGGTCGGGGTATCGAAGAGGGAGCCGAGCCTCTCCCGCCGTCCAAAGATCCCAGGACTGACGTCGAACTGCTGTCGCTCCTGGCGTTCGAGTTCCTCGGCCAGGAGCGCACCCGGCGCGACTGGGTCGTAGATCTTATTGGTAGGCGTTCGGAATGGCGATTCGAACGTGTTCCTCTTGGTCCGCCGCGGCGTCGTGGGTGCAAATGGCGTTAAAGGCAGCATCTCACCAGTCATGGAAGATGACGGTCCGTCGCGCCTGCGCGTGGGAGTGCGCGCTTCGCCCGAGAACGTGGCAGTCGGAGACGTGCTCAGGCCTTCAATGGGCATAGCAAGCAGAGGTGCGGCTGGGTGGAAGACAGCAGGCAGAGGAGGGTCAAGATGAGACTTGTAATAAGCCAAGCTCGGCGATGGGCTCATATGCAGACCGGCATGAGAAATTGGAGTATGAGTGGGCGACAGTAGACGATCGCCACTCGTCACACGATGCCTGCGAGGTGGTGTGCGCGGTCGCGGCGACGGTGTACGTGGGAAGGCGAGACTTTGTGGTCTCTCAAGTGGAGATGTGCTTATTGCCTGATGGGCAGAAGCCTTGGCTGTACGCGACTTGCGTTGCGGAGTAGACGTAACAGGCATCGGTGGCAAAGAGGGCACGTCCTGCAGACACACTGATGAGTACAAAGAGCAGAAGTGGCGCGGAAAACATGCCTGTGCTTTTCCTTTTCCTTTCCCTTTTGCAGGCTTCTGGCTGTGACTCGGGCCCTGCTTATTGAGCAACTGGGGATCGAGGGCATCCACAGGATAGGTCAGCTTTGACGTCCAGCTGGTACCGAAGTCCTCGTCTGCCGACTCAACAGCCTGAGGCGAGGCTGATGGCGACCTCAGCCACTGTGCCTCCAAGCTCGCGTCAGATGGAAGCGGTGGGCTTGACGAGGAGCTGAAGTTAGGAGTGAGAGAGGGCGCAGACGGCGAGGACGAGATCGGCTTGGGCGACGGATTTCGTCCTCGTTCAGTTCGCGACACATCATCCGACTCAAGCGCAGGACTCGTCACAACCTGACCAGGCGTGCGGGCGTGTGCAACTCGGTGAAGATTAGAAGTGGGAGGTAGTGGAGGAAAGACGACCTCAGCAGGCAGTGGTTGAGGCCGGGGAAGTGGGACGTAAGGTTGATAGTAGGGCTGATGGTGCGCTGAAGGGTGGAAGCCAGGGAAGTATGGCGGGAACACGGGTCCATGGTGAACCGGCAATGCGCTGGAAGACGCTTGATTGCTCTCAGCGCCATCGTTCTTCTTTCGACGCTTCGTGTCCCGCGTCATGACTTCGTCCATCGTACCGCGCTTTCTCGGCCCCTTCTTGGCCGCCTTCTCCTGATCTAGCTTCACCATGTCTTTGCAAAGGGTCTTCCGGAATCCCCCGCCCACAAATGCTGCGACATCGTCGTCAAAAATGGCCCATAGACTTTTGCCCTCATTGCGCCCACGCGGCACCTTGCGGAAAACGGCCATTGTACTGAGGCAATGTCGCACAGAGTTCATCCATGTCTGTTCACCCCGCTTGTAGTATGGGTACACTATCGTGATGAATTCATAGATGTCCTGTAGAGTAAGCCGGTGTTCTGGAGACGCTAGAATAGCTTGGCCGATCAATCCAGCGTAGGCAAATTCTGGCTTGGCTGCGCAATATGGACCAGGGGGAAGGATAAACGGAAATTCATCGTGCTCCTCGGGCGCAGGACTAGATCGCATAGGCGCCGGTGATGACACTTGATTGATCACTCTCGGAGGGCTCGAGGCAGGGGTGGGTGTGTGCGCTGCCGTGCGTGGTGTTGAATAGATGTGCCGGCCGAACGAACGTCGCGCACTGTTTGAATCAGCACCGCGAGATGGACGCAGACCCAGCGGTGTGCGCGGCAACGCGCCATTAGCTGCGTCGAAAGGGGGCTACACCACAGTTATCGACATATGGCAGCTACAAATGACCAGGACTCTCACCAGGTAAGGCTGTGAAGACAGCGCCTCATTCACGACGCGGGAGCTGTAGTATCTATAATGATGAGGTGTTTCGGGGGCTATCTGTGTATAGGTAATATCTCAGAATCATTGTCACCAGGTAGTGGGATTCTTCAGAAGATCTTAGAGTTCGTGATGTTCACTAGAACCTTTAAAGTTGACAGCAGGGTTATATCTCGGAGACAGCTTGAGGTGAATCGGTGGCTCCAACGTTGTAGCCCAGCACGGACCCTGCAGACTCGCACTCAGTCTGCCGGGACCGTTCCAGTAATACACAGGGTGATAGCATAAGCACCGAGCAATTGGCGCGTAGAGGGCGTCTGCCACTGGTTCGTGCCCATGGCGAATATCCACAAGACATCGCACGGGACATTATTATACAGCGACGTGTGACGAACCTGGGGTGTGACGCTACGCGAAGGGGTAGATGGAACATGTTGCTCGACGCGTCGTGCGTGCGTACTGGAGTCTGTAAATCATATATAAATTTGTAGATGGTGGCGGGATGGAAGTACCGACTGCGACGCAGCTTCTCGTTCAATTTGCGCTCCATGACGAGCTCCATCGTATCCAGCGGACGCGTGGGGAGTGTGCTCTCGATCGGCTCCGCCTTGACGGGAGTTTGAGGCGGACTGGGCGACCGCGCAAACACAGACGCGTCGGCGGACGACCCAGCGCGTGATCTGCCACGAGAGCGGGAGACACTCGACTTCGAGCGGTGGCCGTTCGGGACAGGAGCAAAGTTGCGACCCTCGTTCGCTTGCTCGGTAGTCAGAAATTGTCGCATCTGCTCGCTGTGTCGACGCAGGTCTTCGCGTGTCATGTTCATACTTTTGAGCAGCTGTGATGTGGGGGAGGTCGCCCTACCACCCGCGCGAGAGCTCGACATGGGGGGAAGAGCAAAGGGAGAGGAGCAAAGGAGAAGAACAAAGTAAAGAAGTGTGGCCAATGCCACTGATGGAGGACTCGGAGGACAAGTTACGCGGATGTGACAGAGCTGCGTGCCGTGTGACAGCCTCACACACACAGATGCGTCACGCTGATCCATCCCCGCAGGCGCCAAGCGGTAACCGCGAGTGAGTGTGTCCGATATTGTATGCTGCTCGCGGCCAGTTTGCCAGGATGCCCTACCACAATTTGAAAGGCACGTAGATTGATGAGCCCTTCGAAGATTTACTGACTGTCTTAATAGCCCTGATCAAGGGAATCCGGGCATGTAAGGCGAGTGCACACGGTCTACCATCGTGCACAGCATCACTTAGTCGAGCAGACTGTAGCAGACGAACGCGCCCTCATCAAACAAGAGTCTGCTGCCATTCGCGCATCTTTCAGGGAGGAAGACTCGTATGCGAGGCATAACAATGTCGCGAAACTCCTGTACATTCACATGCTTGGCTCGGAGGCACACTTCGGGCAGATGGAGTGTCTCAAGCTCGTCGCCAGCCCGCGCTTTGGTGACAAGCGGCTGGGCTACCTAGGAATCATGTTACTCCTCGACGAAAGTCAGGAAGTGCTTACCCTGGTCACGAATTCGCTCAAGAAGTGCGTATCCGCCGTGCTCTCGCGTATGTTTCGTGACCAACTAATTCGGTTAGTGATATGAACCACGCGAACATGTATGCGGTCGGTCTTGCGCTTTGCACATTCGCGGACATTGCTTCGGAGGAAATGGCTCGAGATCTGGCAAACGAGATCGAGAAGCTGCTGGGATCGAGCAATACGTATATCCGAAAGAAGGTGCGTAGCCTGCAGTGCGCTATAACCGAAGTTCTAAGCTATCGCAGGCTTCACTTTGTGCCCTCCGAGTCGTCAGGAAAGTGCCCGACCTTGCCGACCATTTTGTGTCAAAAGGGAAGAACTTGCTTGCGGACCGGAACCATGGTGTACTTCTCACAGCAATTACCCTTGTAACGGAGATGTGTCAAACGGACGCTGCATGCTTGGAGGAATTCCGCAATGTACGTGAATGGCCCTTGTTTGATATCTATTGACTGATGCACCGCTGTCCAGGCCGTCCCGCTCCTCGTACGACATCTGAAGTCGCTGGTGACTACGGGCTACAGCCCAGAGCACGATGTGTCAGGCATCACCGACCCTTTCCTGCAAGTCAAAATCCTCCGTCTACTTCGTCTCCTCGGAAGGGGAGATGCAAAGGCCAGCGAGACGATGAACGATATTCTAGCTCAGGTTTGTCTTCATCATCATGGGACAAGAATAGACCTTGAATTCTTTGCCAAACTACACTAGGTAGCGACGAACACCGACTCGACGAAAAATGTTGGCAACTCCATCTTGTACGAAACAGTGATGACAGTCCTCGAGATAGAGGCAGATAGCGGCCTGCGGGTCATGGCCATCAACATCCTTGGTAAATTCCTCAGCAACCGCGATAACAACATCCGGTGCGTATTCCCTGATAGCGTCCAACTCGCGTCGCAAATGCTCACCATTCCGCCTATCGATTCAGCTATGTCGCTCTCAATACCCTTAATAAAGTTGTGTCTATAGACACGAACGCCGTTCAGCGACATCGCAACATCATTCTCGACTGCCTGCGGGACGGGGACATATCCATTCGCCGGCGTGCGCTCGAGCTCTCGTATGCGCTGATCAACGAGCAGAATGTCCGGATCCTCATCCGCGAGCTCCTTGCGTTCCTCGAGGTTGCGGACGATGAGTTCAAGCTGGGCATGACAACTCAGATTTGTCTCGCCGCAGAGCGTTTCGCGCCAAATAAAAGATGGCACATCGACACGGTGCTCCGCGTGCTGAAGCTTGTCAGTCTGTTCACATATTGGCTGATGAGATTGGGCACTTAGACTTTATGTGTTCCCACGTTAGGCTGGCAACTTCGTCAGGGAAGAAATTCTCTCTTCGTTCATCCGACTTGTTGCCCACACGCCCGAGCTGCAAGCATATACAGCGTCAAAACTCTACTCGTCGCTACGATCGGACATATCGCAAGAATCGCTGACACTTTCCGCGACTTGGGTCCTTGGCGAGTATAGCGAGGTCCTGATTGAGGGTGGTCTTGTGGATGAAGATCAGCCCAAGCGGGTGAGCAACATCACTTACTACAGTCTGGTGTGGTTCTTCTGAAGCTTCCATGTAGGTCACGGACGTAGAAATTATCGACCTGCTGCTCTCCATTCTTGATTCGCCCTATGCGAATTATCTCACCCGCCAGTTCGTCCTCACTGCCATCACAAAGATCGCCTCCCGTCCCACCACTTCTCCTGCTCAGCAACAGCGTGTAGATGAGCTATTGCTCTCTTTCACGACAAGCCCAGAACTTGAGATCCAACAGCGCGCGGTCGAGTTCGCCAGTCTCTTCAATCTGGACGTGCGGGCGGGTGTTTTGGAGCGCATGCCGCCGCCAGAGCTTAAGGCAACTGTGATGGGTGTGGTCAGTGAGAACAAGCCTGTTGGCTCTGTCCAGCCAAGCAAGGATGTGAGTTAGGCTAAAGTGGCGTGAGCAAATTGGCTTTAACGTTCGCATTTGACAGGGTGACTTGCTCGGCGACGACATTCCAGGAGGCGCACCAGTCGCGAACGGAAGCGTTCCCGCTGTAGCACAGAACAACCAAGATCTCCTGGCGGAGATTTTCGGAAGTTCCTCGTCACCGGCTGCGTCATCGCCAGCGCCTGCCCAGAGCCAGAAGAGCACCGTGCAAGACATTCTTGGCCTCTTCGACTCACCGTCCACATCGAGTCCGGTGCCGGCTCCAGATCAAGCAACACCATATGCAACCTCTAATGGTGCTCCGCCAGCATTTTCCGCTTTCAACCTCGCACAAGTGCAGACACCACCGCCTCAACCGCCCGCGCAGCCGCGCCTCACTGCGTATACAGCATACGACAAGAACGAGCTGAGAATCACGTTAACGCCGCAGACCTCACCCCAAAAACCGGGCGTCGTCAACATCTTGGCGAGATTCCAAGCAACTGGCAGCACCTCAGCCGCCGGACTGAACTTCCAGGCTGCTGTTCCTAAGGTATGCTACTCACTTATTCTACATAAAATCATACTGATTGATCTATGATCTAGTCCCAGCAACTGCAAATGTTGCCCATGTCAAATCCGGATGTCCAGCCTGGTGCCGTAGAAACGCAGCAAATGCGGGTAGTGGCACCTGTGGGGGTGAGTCTGAACAAATGTGCTTAGACGAAGATGGCGGCAGGGTTGCTAACCGATTCGATTGCATTAGGCTAATGTGCGGCTACGACTGCGGATATCGTACTCGTTAAGTGGTCGCGCAATCCAAGAGCAGGTAGACTTCAACGGGTTCCCACCTGGACTAACGGGTGGATCATGATGTTCGTTCGCTCTTCGGATATTTAATGCAGCTGGTTCCGTCTCCAATATATTGTCGTATTATGATGTGTGTTCAGCATGACAGTGAGGCCCTCCAATTTTTCGCTGGGACAAACACATGGAATCCGAACAGAGCGCAATATACATATTAGGCACAATACACTACAGAATACAAAATCTAGATAAACACTTGCAGGGGATGACGGTCATACACGTTCTGCCCTTCACTAAGCTCTCCGAGGTCAGGGTAGAACGGGACAAGAGCATCCTCAGCACCAAGATACAGCGAGTTATAGACACGCCAGTAGACCTAAGCGATAAGCGTCAGCAGTCAGCGTCTGACAATTACACTAGGGCTTACCTCTCGGACCTTCCTAGCTGGGTGGAACAGCCCTTGTAGGACATAGCTGAGCAGGACACCGGGACCCAATGTCACCCGCATGGCCTCGACGGCTTCCATGACAGCGCCTATGACATGAGGTGACGTTTCGAAACAGTTTGGCCACACAAGGTTCATCAGGTGAAGCATCGAATCTTCACATCCGAGACCTGCGACACCCAGAGCGAGATGCTTGACAATGGTACTCGCCGTTTGACGGTGGACGAGGTCACGATCGGTTAAAGCGTCCTCCAACATTGTCACGACAGAGTCTGCGTAGTACGCAGATTGCGGGCCCACATACTCGAAGACGAACGAGAGCGCCTTAAGACAACCCGTTCGGACGTTGAGCTCGGCCGTGCGGTATTCGTTCAGGATGGCGGGGATACAGGTGAAGGGACCGCAAGTCTCCGCGACGATGGCGATGGCAACGGTACTGCAGACACGACTCTGACGCTCCTGGACACGCAAATTTGTGAGAAGTACTTGAAGGACATCCTGTGGTCCCAAGCTCTTCGCGATATAACCGAACGAGTTGACAGCTGCACGACGGATACCCTTTTTATGCGCCTTGAGAAGGTCGAGGAGCTCAAAGCAGATACGCATCCACTCTCGGGCGGGCACGAACTCGGCACCACGATCGGCTGTGATAGGAAGTCAGTAAACAGCGGCGAAACGGAGTGAATGCGACATACCTATACGACCGATCAAGTTGATCGTGGCTTCCTGCACCTTTTCGTGGCGGTTACGCAGGATAGGAGTCATACGAGGCACTATGGCAAGCATAATAAGTGAGGTGTCAAAGCTACAAAATGATCTAGACTTACGAAGATCCTTCACCGGCGGATTCATCTGAGTCATACCAACAACGTTCGCGATGGCGCCCTCAGCTGCGATAATACTACCAAGCGTGTCTGGGTACTCTTCACCAAGCTGTTCGAAGAGCACCAAACCGAGCTTGCTGAGTAGCTGGTCCTCGCCACACTGCTTGATAACGACTGCCAAACGAGTCGTCAGGTCTGCCGCTTGCTGACGAACCTTGGCGCTCTTGTTGTTGAGACGCCACAAGATGGTCGAGACGATTTGCGTGAGGTACGGCTTCACGCGGATACCTGCAAAATTGTGTCAGCGAAAGGATCGACTGGTCGAAAAATGAGACATACCGAGAGCGTTGACAACAGTACCGAAACCGTCCAACATCACCTGGTCCTCAGTCGTCTGCTCCTGGAACGCGTAGATGATACCATCGACGAGTCGAACTTCAAGTCGCTCATCAATATCAGACGCTCCGAGAGAGGCGACGACCTTGGTAATCGTCTCCATTACCATCTTACGGTACGGCTCCGCCTCATCCTTGAGCTCGTTAACTATCCTGCCGACGATCTCCGCAACACCAGACTTCTGCGCTAGCTCCACTGTCGTCTCGACGACTTGGCGATAGTTTCTCCGGTCAAGCGCCATTCTGCGGACCCAGAACGACTTGAAGAAGTCTGGAAGGATGTCCTGCTTGATATATTGTGGTGTGACACCCTCAGTGGCCGCGCACTGTTGTACGACCTTGAGGACGATTTTCTTCATCTCCTCGTCCGACGTCTGAAACTCACGGATGAGGATGATGGTGACTTCCTTGATGTAGTACGAAACGTATTCCGGGTCCATCAACGGCAGAATGAAACCGATGGCCTTCAGAAACGCGGCCAGACTCTTGCCGCGGTGCAGACGGATACCGACCCAGAGCGGTTTAAGAACGTTGTCGAACGACTCGATACCGTATGGCGCGGCTGCTTCGGCCAAGGCAGCAAGACCGAGCGCAGTCATCGTACGCACTTTCTGTTGTTCGTCCTGAAGTCCGTGGGCGATACAATCGACAAGGTTGCGGAGGTGAGGGAGCACGGCGCAGCCCATCATGATAGCAATCTGTTGTACAATACGGATACCGGTGTGTCGAGCCTGCCAAGACTTCTTACTGCGACAGACAGCCTTCAAGAAGGGGAGGAGTGAAGGAATACCAAGGGCGGAGGCGACGACGGAGAACGCACGGGCGGTCGTGTTACGAACATACTCGTCGGCGTGGTCGATATCAGGACGCATAGTGGAGATCATGTGCGCAAGGCCCGCTGCCTTCGACAGGTTGGAGATAATCTCGCGACCTTCAACACGGGCATAGTAGTCTTCGTCAATGAGCAGTGGCTCGATGACGACAAGGATTTTATGGACATACGGGCGCACAAGGTCATCGAGCTTGTAGAGCACGCGGTCGATGACCTTGACGAGTAGATGCCGCTCTTGATCTTCCAAGGTGCGTTCCATGAGCAGCGGTAGGATCTTGTCGAACAGGGGACCGGCACCAAATTCACGAGCCTTGTCGGTAATCTGTCGAAGAGCGGTTTTGCGAACGGGAGGCGTACCGTTCTTGATTTTGAGCAAAAGACGCATGATCTTGCGCTCCTTCATCTCGTCGACAGATAGCTCCGTCTCGTCCTCCTCCTTCAGGATCTTCGCAAAGTACTGCGCATCTTCCGCCTTGAAAAAAGCCAAACTGCCGACACCCGGAATCTCTGTCGGTAGCTCAGGAGCAAGACCGGCCGCCGCTGCCATAGCGGCTGCGTCCGAACCCTCCTGTATCTGGAAGCCGCCAATTTCTGTTACGGGGGTTGCGAACTTGGGAGGACGAACAAGGGGAGCATACCCCGGGGGTGGTGTGACAATCGCATAGCCAGTCGCCGGAAGAATGGCATCGAGCTCCTCGTCAGTCAGATAACGGTTGTGCTTGTCCTCCTGCATGAAACCGGGTGCGTTCATGATGATGGGGGTCATGGGGACGTCCTGACCACCAGCGACGGGTGTCTGGTCCCAGCGCGACCTTTTTGGTGTTTCGCCAGGAGCATTGACGTCGGCGGGGGTAGCATCCCAACGTGAACGCCGCTTCTTAGGTGCAGCCTCCTCGAGAGCTTCCTTTGACCACTCACCACCCTTCGTATCCTTATTCTCTTTGTCCTCCGGCTCAGGGACATCCCACCTCCTCTTGCGTTTCATTCCCGCGAGCTCCTTTACTGCGGCCTCGATCTCTGTGCGCGGCGGCGTCTTGTCGAGGTCCATCTTGGCCTTTCCTTCCTCCCGTGCCTGCTTCTCCTTCTCTTCAATGGCTCGCCGCACCCTCTCCTCCTCCTTCTCGAGCCGCTGCACCCTCATGGCGTCCTTGTAGCCCCCTTCAACATCTCTCCCCTCCTCGACCGCCTTGAAGGCATCATCGCTCTCGTGAGCCTGACGCTTGAAACGACGGTTGTGGTAGTCTGACTGGCGTGAAGCGATCTGGCGCTTGGACGCTGTCTCCGCAAAGGGATCAACATCCTCCTCTTCCGCAAGGTCAGCAAACTCTTGCAGAACCTCCTTCGGCGCAGTGAAAGAGTCAACCAGTCTCGGAGAGTTTGGTGAAGCCATGGCGGTAACAGTGAGAGTCTAGCGCGCCCCTGTGACAATACTGGATGCTTACGTGACCAATACCGGAATATCCCGCGTCTGTCAAGCGCCGCTTCAAAGTGTGCCACCCCTCTCGTTCTGTGGCACCGTTGCGCTGACAGAAGGCACAATTATCGACTTGAAGCTGAAGTCTCAGCGCTGAGCTGCTGAGATGAACATGTATTATTTCGGAGGCCCTCATCTCGCTTTTACAATATACTAGCTTGCAACCATCATCCTACAAGACTCCCGATCATCTGCCGTTTGTGTTTCGAGGAGCGTTCAGTGCTTGGCTTTCTCTGCGTAATTCTTGGATCACTGCCTGTATATTGGGCATGGTTAATGAGAAACACCATCTGTCTCAAGTCTCAGGACGCACCGCCAAAGCCTCTGGATTCACGCCACTCTCGATCATGCCGACACAAGTCGCAAGAGTTTCTTTGTCGAGCTGTGTGTTTAGTAACTGCGAGATGTCGTGCAAGACTGCTCAGACGCTTGCTTTGTCAACTAATTCGCGTCTCATTGGACTCTCAAAACTGCGTACTGTCCAATGTCTGCTGTGCAGATGAGATCCTATCTGACTCTCGAGATGACATATCCCTGGCGTTCGATTTCTCCTGTATCCTGAACTCATTAGCATATGATTTCCAATGATGCCCTGAGGGGTGACTCACTGTCTACGTACTGTTACAGTGCCTTCTGCACGACTTCTGCAGGACTTGTCGTTGGCGCTGTGAGAGTCGCGTAAACATGCTGATGAGAGTGTTCACATGACTAAGCTTACAGGTAAGCATCCAAACCTTTGGCGCGAAACGAAGACCAATTGACGACACTCAGACTTAAGGGAACGCGTCGTAAGCAAGTGTGATATTTGATTACTAAGGTGTCTGTAGGCCTACAAGTACGCTTTATTCCATTCTATCTTGCAGAAACCATTTGCTCTTCGTCCTCAATCATGGCTCAGTGGAAATCACCTTTGGCGGGCTACGAGAATGCCCAGCCTCTCCCGACCACCATCAACCCAGACGGGAAGTCACTTTACAATCCTCCAGGCCCCCTCTCCAAGGCGTATGACGAGTTCCCGAAGGGGTTCAATCCGAATAAGAACGGCTTTGATTTCCACAGTGAGAGACTATCTGTGGATTGGAAACGCTATGTGACTGACCCTGTATGTTGCATGGAGTCTACTATATGCAGCACAGCGCCACAGAATCACAATATGCGAAGGAGTTACACGAACGTGTTCGCAGGGAATTTCCCGAAGTGAGTTGTGACGCTTACATGGGTCCGTACTTGCCCAACGAATACCTTGCTAGCTTCGGATCTACAGGCTCTGGGACAGGCCCATAGGTCAGTGTGGTCTATGAGATGTGATCAAGTTCAGGTTCGAATCTAGCATATTGCAGGACCACATCCAGTCGCGATGTTCGAAGTGAACACTTTTACGCCGCATCAGACGGGTGCATTCATCTCATGGCTTACCGTGAATCGCGGTCCCTGCTCGTAGGCGTCATGCACTCATAGCCGCTGTGCTTACAATTGACCCACGGCTCTCCAGGGTGCTGATTCATCCAAACACGGGAGACGGTTATAAGGACCACACTGAACTCATGTTATGGATGGGGCGGCCATATCCCCTCCTCACTGAAAGGCTTAGGGCAGAGCCCCGTTGACATGTTCAGCCTAATTATGTGCATGTTTTGTTGCAGATCAGGCCGATTGTACTTGTAGACCTTTATCCAATATATAACAAAACCAATATTGATAGACCTTCCTCGCAAAAAATACAGATATGCGGTATGGAGCATAGCGGCGCTCGGCACCTGTGGGTGACGTGCACTCATTCCTCGGAGGTTGTTCGCGGCAGCCATATAAAATAATCTACACCAATGCCTCAATATTCGTCCGTTAGTCGAGGTCTACCCCGTCTGCTTGCGCAAGCCATGACAAACAGCGACGACCTCTGCATCCTACTGTGACGCAATGCCGGTAGTTTCTTCAATCTGATTATTAGTCATGGAGCCAGACATGTATACGACGAATTATTTCTGAGCAGGTTGAATATATTGTTAATTACCGACCATGACGGCGAGAGGGGATCACAGCAAGCGTCTACCTTACGATCCTCACTCAGTACTACAGTAGCCCGTCGCTGTCTGCACCACTGCCGACTCCTGCCGCGAGCTTCGCCCCACCTTGCCTCAATGTATACTCTGCAAGGGGAGGTCTATCATTATTGATTTTTCTGTCAACGCTTTGGTTCTCTCGAGTAAGTCCAGCGACTGGCAGCACGAACCTTGATCTACCTCAGAAATGTGAAGTCTGTAGCAATCCAGTATTGGTACAACAATCTTGTAGCTAGACAAAGTGTAGGTGTGCTGTAAAACGCCACTTGTACTTGTCTATGCACTGATCATGAGTCATACGCAGGTCGACTCTCCGCCCGCCATTGAGGATAATTATGTGCAAGGTGCCTGAGCTTCGCGAAGGCGTCGTCGTGGGATCCATTATGTGGTATCGTCACGATCTAGAATCTGCAGAAAGCACCATTTGATACACTCGTGCCGCTGCCAGATGGACGCGTTCCCCCGTGCCGCGTATTTTTACTGTATTGCTTCGCGTCTGACGATAGTGACAAGGACATTCGAAGCCACGCGGGTTGCTGCGCTTCATGACCACTAGCTGATACATCGGCTGCGAGGAAATGGAAGCCCAATTAATGGCCGAGGTGAGTCGTCATACTGCGTGCCGAGGAAAACCACGCAGCGAAAGGCTAAGGATCGGCTGCTACGGGACAATATATAAAGGCTACGAGTGAAGCAGCGACAGTCGTTCTCAGCCAAGACGTGTTCACGTTCACGTTCGACACCAAGACAGCCTTCCGATATCAACACGATCGCTATAATGGCACAAGAAACCAAGCGTCCTTTGTCCACGGCTTACACCACATTTGCGAGGCCCATCGACGACGGCTTCGACTTTCATAGTCAGTGAAGCAGATTATCTTCTCCGCTCCGCTTATACTCACAACAGCGCAGTCTACTACATGCAGCACAACCCAACACAAGTTCAGTTTGCGAAGGAACTACACGACCGCATCAAGACAGAATTTCCTGAAGTAAGTGCGCGTACGCAGTCTTTCATATCAAGCTCGATTTGACATACCCCACTCTAGCTTCACATCAACCAATACCGAGAGAAGGAGTCAGGTACGAGCTTGACATATCCTTCTAATCTCCCTGAACTGGATGATTGGACACCCTGATATCTTTAGGTCCGCACCCCGTTGCACAATTTGAAGTGGACACATTCACGCCCCACGAGACGGGCGCGCTCTTCTGCTGGCTCGCCGTGAACCGCGGACCGCTCTCGTATGGCAATTCGTTTCCTCGTGGCAACATATAGGATACTGACCCTGCTTGTTACAGCGTGCTTGTCCATCCTAACACGGATAGTGCGATGCGAGACCATACAGAGTTCGCATCCTGGATGGGGACACCGTATCCGCTCAACTCCGACATCCTCAAAGTTGGTATCAAGCCCAGGTGATCGTCTGCGTAATGCCTTCCCCCATTGCGATATGGCCCTGTTGCCTGTATACACGCAGTCAGATTAGTGAATAAGAATAAAACTATCGACTTCTAGTCTCTATCCATGTATAACATCGACTGCTGCAATCATTGTAAATACCGTGACGAAACTCGAGACGTCAATTTGGGGGAGAATCACGTGTGACGCCTCGCGTCACATCGCGCGATTAAGATCCGTGTCTGGACTCTGATGATGCGCGCCACCAGCCCCGATCCGCATATAAATAGCAGTCTCTTCGAATCCCGTTGCACAAATTTCTGCTGTTCCTTTCATCGCATCTTCATTTGCCCTGCAATGCCGTTTTCGCAGCACATTCTTGATAATGCCCTCGGGGCGGTCGGGAACACGCCTCTCATTAGGCTAGATAGAATCTCGAAGGCAGAAGGTCTCGAATGCAATCTTTGTGAGTGATCGCTGAGGTGCTCAGGAGTTCGTATACGTGGCTAAACTGTTTTGTACTTTGCAGTAGGGAAGCTTGAGTACCCATCGGTGGGCGGCTCTGTGAAGGACAGGATCGCCAAACGCATGGTTGAAGCTGCAGAGAAAGAGGGCAAACTGATACCCGGCTATAGCGTTGTTATCGAGCCGACATCGGGAAACACAGGTATGCAGATAGCGTGAAACAAATCACAATGTCTCACAAATGCCGCATATATGCAGGTATTGGACTAGCAATGGCGTGCGCCGTCAAGGTCAGACGTGCCTCATCGTTCCCTTATTCATATGCTGAATACTACAGATAAGGGATATTCGGTAATTATCACGATGCCCAACAAGATGTCCCTCGTGCGTATAGCGGCTCTCTTGGTCCCCGAGCCTGGATTTGAGCGATGTCAATACAGGAGAAAGAAGCCGCTTTACGTGCGCTTGGCGCGGAAGTTGTACGGACGCCGACGGAGGCAGCCTGGGACTCTCCAGAGTCACATATAGGTAGAGCATGCCCCTGCTTGACATGCACCTCTCGTGGCTGAATTCCTTAACGATCCTCGCAGGTGTTGCGCAGAAGCTTCAACGTGAGATCCCAGGAGGTATAATCCTCGATCAGTATGGCAATGTCGGTTATATGTCGGACCACGTAGCCTGGGATCTCAATATTGACTACGTCCTATAGGTCAACAACCCCCTCGCTCATGAGTACACTACCGGGCCCGAAATCATTGAGGCTGTCACGTCTACTCCCGCGACTACGGACAAACCGTCATCGGGTAAAGTGGATGCTTTGATCGCAGGCGCTGGCACTGGAGGGACGATCACTGGCCTCTCTCGCGCTATCAAGAAGATACACAATAAGGCCTGCATAATTGTTGGAGTCGATCCTGCAAGTCATTCCATTTCTTGATCTAGCTCGGCGTTCTCACAATACCACTACAGAAGGGGAGCATACTTGCTGTTCCCGATAGCCTGAACACTGCAGACGTAGGCGCTCAGTACATCGTCGAAGGTATCGGATATGATTTCGTTCCCGACGTCCTCTCGCGCAACGAGATCGACTACTGGATCAAGACGGCGGATGAGGAAGCATTCGAGGCCGTACGGAAGCTCATGCGCCTGGAGGGCCTGTTGGTCGGGGGAAGCAGCGGCAGTTCGCTGAGCGGTGCGCTAAGATGGCTGCAAGAGACTGATGAGGGTCGGAGGATCGCACGTACAAGAGGTGCAAACGTTGTCGTCTTGTTACCAGATGGGTCAGTCATTGTCTACTCTTCTCGCTATAGTAATAACGGCTCATGGCATACATTTATCCAGAATACGCAATTACATCAGCAAGCCCTGGTTCTTGAAGATGGCGATGGGGGCGGAGCCAAGTCCCCTTGCTCATCGCATCACCGCCATTCTCAAACCAGAAGCAGGCACGAGCGTGTAGATTGGAGTTGTCGACGGTGCCGCTGAGGGCACTGTTACGCATACGCTAATTAGAGATCATCTAGTCCTTCCAATTCGTCAGTTCGTCACCTCATCATGCGTCGTTCTCATTCGCCAGCTTTGGTCGCTCATGATACAAATTTCGTTGTGAAAACCTATTCCATCGTCGTGTATCCTATATACTTCCGCTATCGATTTGTCCATAATTATAGGCCATAAAAAACTCGCAGTTGATCTACAGGTTGCTTCAGTGTGGCGCATGTCAATAACTCAGAACGCGCTGCACGTAATCGTGTACTGGAGAAGGAGAAAGAATAGTGACTTTGTGTGCCCGGTGTGCTCTTATATACTGTCTGTGGTGCCGATCGAGTAAGACTCCGGCAATGACGGCCAGCGAGCGAGCACAGGCAATTTTCCATACGAAGGTGACTTGCCGCCTATGGCAAGAAGACCTGACATTGATGACGTAGTGACTCGGGTTTCCACGTTAACTTGCCGGAGCCGTTTGCGAAAGTGTGTTGCTTGAACTTTATAGTTTATCGCTTATGTTCTCATCACAAGCAGCCACACGTAATCTGGGAAGAAGATTATGGGGAAGACAGTTCGTGTGGCATACGCCGTAATGCTATGAAAGGACTGTGGCAAGCATTGATGGAAGACTATAAGGCAATCCATCGAGCCTGGGAGTTCCTCGCGAAGGCAATGCGGAATAAGACGACAGGTCGGAAAGCAGATCCACATCAATGTTGATGATCGCGGTGAGCGATCGATGGCCGTAGCCACAGACGCGTCGAAGCAAAGCTAAACGGTGGGGACACTCCTTTCAGGGAATTACCCTCCTCCTGTCCTCAAAGTCTTGAGAGGTTCCGTAAAGGGTCTTGTATGGAGAGCTGCAACGCCACACGCGAATGTTAGCCTAACCTCGCTCGTGCACACTGAGACGCTGTCGCAGTAGCTCATCAAGCCTTCGTCATGTTTCTCGTGGTATACATCCCGGCTGGTGATCATGCAACAGGAAGTCGTCGATGAGACGTCACAAGAGCAATGGCAATCCGTTCGCCGCTGCGTGAACCCTCAGCCTCAGACCTGCGTCAACGCCACGTTCACGTCGCCTGTGCTCGCCCCGCCAGTAAACGTCGCAGTGAACGGCTTGTTCTGACCACAGGTTGCAGCCACCGCCTTTATGCCCTGCTCCCAGCGGCCCTTGCTGATGTTGATGGTCGCGCCCTTCTCGACGGGGGTGATCGTGAATTGGGAGCCACCATCGGTGCCGGTGGTCGTGGTCGGGTTGCCCTGGCAGAACTCGATGGAGCCGGAAATGCCGCCGCATATCTGCAGCAGGGCGACGTCGGTCTCGTGCGTGTCGAGGGTGCTGTGTATGACTCGAGTTAAGACTTGTGAAGAGCATAATAATTAGAGGACGTACACGCTTGAGTCTGTGCAGGTGACGTTGCTGACTGTCTCTGTCCGCAAAGACAGCGGAGCCGCGAGTGCGCTCACAAGGAAGAGCATAGCGATGTAGAAGAATGCAAACATCTTGGGGGGGGGGGGGGGCACTGCCTGACGAGGACTGGAAGAGGACGAAGAAAGAATGTGGGCCTGAACCAGTCAGTCGCAAGAGCAAGGAAGACGAAGATACCAGCTTGAGGAGCTAGAGGGCGATTTATATACTAAGACGTCGCCATGGAGGCTCGCCAAGTGTGCTGCAACTCAGCGACGAGATCTACTTGATTAGAACTTCCGGAGAGAACACACAACAAGTATCTCCATTCGTGCTTTGCACGATGCAGATTTTCACGAGTCAGAGCTGTAATGGCCTGTTAGAGAAGTAAGTGGCTAGGCCGTAGCCTAGACTTGATGAAGAGATTTCAGCAAGTATCACAGATACCGCGGGTCCGATCGACGTGCCCCGATCGGCCGGAATCGGGGCCTGATCTCGAGGCATGTCTGAAGACACCGACGGCCGAGCAGAGCATGTTTCTCCTACTCCTCCATGTCTGCCCTTGCCAGGGCCTGCGTTCACCGCAGCCCATGGCTCACTCGATCCTTTCCCCGCCAATGTCGCGTCTCAATCATACAAAGTCCTCGCACACGACCCCTCCTTAGCACGACTTTCCGTGTGTCCTCCTCGTCCGCCTCCGAAACACCTCCGACGAGTCCTCTATCGGACGTATCCACCCCACCTGCCTCACACATCCCCAACCCGCCTCCAGGCGCACTCGCCGACGCGAATCCGCCTAATGCCGCCCTTCTGCTCTTCTGCCTATCGACTGGGCTCGTAGACAGCCTCACCTTTGCCATCTCTGGCGTGTGGTGCGCCTTCATAACCGGCACTACCGTCCAACTAGGCATGGACATCCCTTTCCTCCTTAACCACTTTCCCACGTCATCCACCGAACTGTCCGCTGCGCTCACGCATTTCACTACCACCGCCTCCTCCGAGCGGCTGGCCGCACTCTCTGGCTTCCTCCTCGGTGGTTTCGTGGGCCCGCGCTTTCCACGCGGCATCACGCCCGCGCGATGCAGTATATTGCAGTCCGCACTACTCGCGTCCGCGTCCGCGCTCGTACTAGGGCTCGGCCCTACAGTTGCAGGCGCCACGGCTATGCCGTGTCCACATCTCACCCTCGCGCTCATCTCGTCGAGCATGGCACTCCAGGCCGTGCTTGTGCAGCGCTTTGCCACACCATATGCAACGAGTGTCGCGTGGACAAGCGTGTGGCTGGGCGCCGTCGCGAACGGATCTACGTCTAGACGCGCGAAGAAGTTCGTCGGTATTGGCATGGTCATGAGCGGCGCCGTACTCGGGGCCGCCATCTTGACGCTAGGGACTGAGGAAAGCGCAGCGGCAGGGGTCCTCACTCCTGGCAAGGAGGGGAATCCGGATGAGGCGGGGAGCAAGCAGCAGCTTGTGAGGAGAGTGGGATGGGGGCTTTCGGTTGCAGCAGCAATCAAGTCTCTAGCTGCAGTTGTCTTCTGGAGAAGGGCGAGGATGAGTCGAGTTCAGATTTGAGTAGCCTATTAGACTTGAGAACACCCCTGCAGACGGATGCTCATAGATGCAGCATAGACCGCACACCTAGCTAGAGGTAGACATATTGTACCTTTCGGTAGTTCGTGTCGCTATGATTACACATCTTGTAAATGCTGGCTCATGGAGATCAACGCACAAAGTTCCGCCACTGACGCGACCTCATTGAGGGTTGTAGTACGCGTCGCGTCACGATGTGACTTGACGCGTTTCGCTGAAGATCCTTTCAATTTGAGCAGGCGCTTTCGACGCGGGGCAATTAAAGCACCTCAAATCTACGTTGGCGAGGAGTGCATATGATATCTGGTAGCTCATGTTATTTCTTCGAAATTCTGGATCTCGGCGGTAGAGTCGGGACCGACATTTGCGACGCGTCAGGGAAAATAAGCTGCTCTGTCCACGCATAAGTGCAAGAGAATTATGATTGAAAAAAGGACCGAAAGCAAAAATGTATGCCTACAATGAATGAAACGGCAGAAAAAGGCGTGTACCAAACTTACTTGCCTATAACGGGCAAGCCGATCAATCACCAAGAGATAAGATTAGATGACCTGCTTATGCAGCAAGGAGCTTCCGCCTCCGAGTCAAGTCATTGCCTTGTTTCCTGCACTCATGCTCGCAGTACAGCAGCCAGTTCCTATCCCGGACGTCCTGTCTGTACCGTCCAATGCACCAGAACATTGTCCAGTATGCATTTACCCAGAAATAATCAGCGCCAGAGCTGAACGCTCATTCAATGCAGGGGACTGAGTCTGAGCTCGCAGGCAAGGCAGATGCCTGCGCAGGATGCGCGAACCAGGAAATATGTGCCTCTGGCCAGACAAAAGGCCCAGACCCCGCCCTCCCGTTCATACGACAGCGTATGTCCAGCGTAAAGCGGAAGATCCTGGTGCTGTCTGGGAAGGGCGGAGTCGGCAAATCTACTTTCACCGCTCAGCTCGGTTGGGCATTTGCAGCAGACGAGCAGTTGCAGGTGGGTATTTCATGCGTTTATACACACCACCAAGCTCACCTTTTATGCAGACAGGCATCATGGACGTCGACATTTGCGGCCCGTCCATACCCACCATCCTCGGCATCGCGTCCGAGCAGGTGCACTCGTCGTCTTCCGGCTGGTCGCCGGTCTACGTGCAGGACAACCTCGGCGTGATGTCTGTCGGCTTCATGCTACCATCTGCCAAGGATGCGGTCATGTGGCGCGGGCCGAAGAAGAACGGGCTCATCTCGCAGTTCCTCAAGGACGTCGACTGGGGCGAGCTCGACTACCTCGTGATCGACACGCCGCCGGGCACGTCCGACGAGCACCTCAGCATCGTGCAGTTCCTCAAGGAGAGTGGCATCGACGGCGCAGTCGTCATCACGACCCCGCAGGAGGTCGCGCTGCAGGACGTGCGCCGCGAGATCGACTTTTGCAGAAAGGTCGGCATCCGCGTGCTCGGTCTCGTCGAGAACATGTCTGGGTTCGTGTGCCCGAGCTGCAAGAATGAGTCGCAGATATTCAAGCCCAGCACGGGCGGCGGGCGCAGACTGGCGCAGGACATGGGCGTCGACTTCCTCGGTGCCGTACCTCTGGACCCTCGTATCGGGAAGAGTGCAGACTACGGCGTGAGCTTTCTGGATGAATACCCCGATAGTCCCGCAAGCACAGCATACTTGGACATCATAGACAGTGAGTGTTGCTGAATGCGTTCAGAGTCCAGATGGGCTTATACAGATTCTCAGAACTCAAAGCTAAACTTGGAGACTGAGGGACCATCATCCCATGTTGCATCGCCCATTAGTTGTATTCATTCACTTTTCGCATCCACTATTTGCATACCATCAACTTGTTCATGTAGCGTATTCACTGAGTATGATTAGCCCATCAGTCTATGTACAATGGGACAGGAATGCAGGTCTATGTACTCATACATCTAGATCATCTACGACGCGTCTAATAGAGCCAAGGCCTTTCTCATTCACCACCCTCTTTTTGCTTACATCGACTCCGCTGCTCTTTGGTCATTATCTGCGGCGGTGAGTCGAGCTCCTGCGGCATCTCTGACGGCAAGGCTTCGTCCCTCTCCACGATGTACTTCCCGATGGGTGCGATATCCGCGAGGCCGCCAGCTAGTCCCTCGCCACTCTCGTATATCGACACCGTCGAAAGCGTCCGCAGCAGCCTCCGCTGACCCTCGTTGCCGAGCATCGACGCAGTTCGTGAACGGGCGGGAACGACGTATTCCTGGGTCGGAAACGCGACGCTGCTCGCGCCCCCGTGTGAATTTGATTCGCCGCCTGTCGGTGAGCGCGCCCCGTGATGCCGATACTGCGACGCCGAGTGCGTGGAGTATATCGAATTTGTGCGTGACGGGATAAAGGTGCTTGACCGCCGCGCATACGCGACGACCGGATCCGTCTGCATCTGCTCCCACATGATGCCGTCCAAGGCCCCAGTCTGGCCTTCCCGCAACCTGTCGTCGGTCTTGCCGTCGAAGCTGCTTGCCCGAGTCGTACCGTCTAGCGCCTGGTGCTGCAACTCCGGCGACGCGATGAACACAGACTCCGATGGGTGTGGCATATGTTCCGCCATCTCCCGTATCTCCTCGATGCCTCGCTCTACGTCAGGCACGGGCGAGTTGCGGTTGCTTGCTGAGCGCTCTGCCGCGATGTTCCTGACCTCGCTGCGATAGTCCTGGATTTCGTTATATAGCGTCTCTTTGTACTGCTCGAGCGTCTCCAACGACTCGAGCATGCGCCACCGCTCGAATGTCTCGGGGCACTCGGGTTCGTCGCTGACGTCGTGATATGTGGCTAGGTAGGGGTGTTCTAGTGCCTCTATGACTGTGATCCTCCTGGCCGGGTCGAAAGAGAGCATTTTGGTGAGAAGATCAACAGCTAGACGTATTCGCTCAGTAGACGGACGCCGTAATACGCCACAAGCTCTCTACCTTGATGATCAGCAAGTGGCAGGACCTTGGAAAATGGTACAGTCTTCTTGCGAGGTAAAGAGCGTATGTAAGCTTGAGCCTGTGGAGGGTGTCAGGTTTCCGGACAGGTTGGCTATGATGATGTCACCTTTGAACTGCCTATTCGGCCTATTGTCTCGTCATCAGGTGTTCCTTGTGACGAAACATGTTTGAGCAGCCTAACAGCATTATGGAACACCATACATACCTAAGACTTCGAGGATTTTGTTCAGTTGATCCACTGTAGGTGTATAGAAGAATGTACATCAGCTAGGCCGACATCTTATCAATAGGAAATCCGACCATAGCTATCAGCAGAAACAATCAATTTACCTCGGATGAAGGCGATAAATAGTAACGCTTACTCTTTTCCCTTGAACAGAGGCTTGCCAAGCATTAGCTCAGCGAAGATGCATCCGATTGACCAGACATCGACTGGAAAGGCCCGTTATAAGAGGCACGAGGAAGGCAAGTCACTCACTCACTTGCTGTGGTGTAACCTCTGAAAAGTTATATCGTTAAGATCTGATATTGAAATGTGTGATTGTCTGACCCACCGGAATGCCAACATGATTTCCGGTGCCCGATACCATCGTGTTGCGACGTACTCGGTCATCATGGTAGGGCCTTCGTCCGCGCGCGAATCGAAGCCTCTACTGAGGCCAAAGTCGCAGATCTTCAGCTCGCAGTCGGCATTCACGAGCAAATTTCCTGGCTTCAGGTCACGATGAATAACCGACGCCGAGTGAATGTACTTCATCCCTAAACAGGCGCATCACGGGTCAGAACGCATAGCAGTCGCAGGAAGCGGGAAGACTGGACCTCGCAAGATCTGGTATACAAAATACTGGACATGTTCATTGCTGAGACTCTGGCCTGACTTAATGATCTGGTGCAAATCAGCTGTGGGTAAAATACCAGCATCTCAGGCTTGGCAAACTACGCGCAGAGCAAGAGGCAGACCTTCCATAGGCTTTAATTAACGCCGGAGAGAACGGTGAGCATGCCTCACACAGGAACACGATAAGACCGACCTCCATGAAAATGTATCTATAGCAGGCGTTAGCTCTCACAGATCCAGACACGAAACGCGTCAAACACATGCATTTCACTCAGATCCGGGGTACAGTCGACGTCTATCAGGCCGGTGATGTTCTCGTGGTTAAAGTGCCTCAGGAGCGTGATCTCGCGCAAAGCTCGTTTTGCGAGCTGAACCTTCTCCGTCGCGCGAGTGACCATCTTGATTGCGACCGGTTCCCCGGAGACTTCGTCTGCGGCGGAGCTGCTCGTGTTCAGTATCACAGGAAGGCAAGCATGCAAGGGATAACAGACGGACATGACGTATCCATAGGCTCCGGAACCCATCTCTCGGATTAGCTTCCAACGTTTCTCCACATGGAACGCCTTGCCGAAGGACGACATGAGCGTGTGGTACCCTCTGTCCATCGCAGTGAGATGCAAGATGCCAGGAATGATACACATGGACCTACCTCCGCCGGATGTTGTCATTGGATCGACTGCGTGGCGTCGTGCGCGTTCGCGAGCGGCCTCTTCGTCCGCTGGATGAGGCGGGTGAAGGTACCGGAGAAGTAGACTTGCCGTGACCGTTTACCCTATCAGTGTCGTTGGTTTGCTTCCGCGCATGCTCTTCGCCGTTGAGCGCCCCCGGGACCGATGGCTCTGGCAGCTGTGGCTGTGTGTGTGTGGCCATGGTGGTTGAGAGTAAGATTGAGGTATACGTTGGGTAGCTCGAGCTCAGTTAGGTACGACCGCGCAAAGGACGCGGGTCAGGAGGGGACCGGGCTGCGAACGGCAAGGCAGCTTCCCGGTAAAGATGATGGCGGTAATGAGCTGAGGAGCAAGTTATTACATACTGCTCTGTCTGGGCTATGGCCGCGGTTATGTCAGAGAACAGACATACTCGCCTAATTCGGACTCGAGGCCACTCTCGCTAAAACACGCTTCTCAATCAAGCCTGCTTTGATTATCCACGGCACCGGCCCAAGTTGATCAACGCTTCGCGCTTTGTCACTCATAACATAGAAGACGACGTTAGCAACTACACAGTCCGAACCAATCTAATACTACAGCGGGTTTCACTCCATCACTGATCATTACAGTGTACGCTTCACTACGTTCACGCGTGTATCTCAAAAAAACAGCACAGCACCGAATATGCGGCCAAAGAACGACCGCCCCTCGTTGCGTCGCGCCACTTCTTCAATAAGCTGCTGTTCGTCCTCGTCGGTACCGAGTGCCTCTGGCTCCTCCGTTGAGCCCGACGCAATTGGACCCTCTATGGCCTGAGCATCACTTGCAGGCAACAGGAAACGCCGTTCATCGGACAGGATGCCATCCAAGACCTCGAGGCTACCGTCGGAGATCTGCTGAGTACCCTCAGGGCTTGACAGGACGCGTGCGGATTGGCGTGGTCGGCTGCCCTGCCGCTCACGACCCCCGCTGTCTTCGCCCGATCCGCTCTCGGCTCGCGCGATAGCAACATCGGAGTCAGACGCCTCCCTTCGCATCTTCTGCTGGGCCTGCACGGGGGCGGGCGCAGACGCAGAAGCGGCGGTGGCGGCGGCTGCTCTCCCTGCTCGACGACTCTCACGATCTCCGCGGTGGCGACCGGCAGTCGTGCTGCTCCACACAACGCGGCCACGCCCATCAGTGAGGAAGGGCGGGTCCGTGTCGTGCACGACCTCAGCAGGCGGCGCCGATATTGGTTCACTCGGTGCCTCCTCTTGTGAAGCTTGGGAGTTGGATGGCCGCGCTGTCGCTGAAGCTTGAGTCGCGGAGTCTCTAGGGATTACTGGCTGTCGTGCTTCAGGCGGCACAGTGTCCGCTGTCGAGGATATCCTAGCCTGTGGAACCAGAGAGCCCACTGCGTCTGGTATGAATAAAGAGGGGACTTGCGGCGGATTGGCCGCTAGATCAGGCAGCTGGCGGAGGTCGTCAAGACTGCTAATAGATAGACTTGTCGACGCCTGATCTTCCCTTGTGACTACTGTGCTGAACCTGGAAGGAGAGTCCGAGACGCTTCGGTTTGCTGGTGCCCGTTCCATAACCGTTGAGGGAGTAGCACCCGTGGACGGTACCAGCGCATCCAAACCGCGAGTGTTCAGCTGTTGATCTGGCTGTAAGCCGAGGTTCTGGACGTCTGTACGAGGGGCAAAAGCAGGGCCGTTGTCTGCTATGGGGATCGTAGGCGCTGTACCGAACCGATAGAACGTGCGCCCTCCGACCTCCTCAGCCTGCACATTGGTGAGAAAGTCGACCTGTTGCATAGGTTGCAAAACTGCCATCAGCTTCAAGACCACCTCATGAATGCCAACCTAGCTCGACGCACAAGCATTTCCATTGTTTCCACTAGTGGCCTGTCCTCGAAATCCTCCTCGGGTTCAATGTCCCAGTCTGCGTCATCCATCGGTACCATCGGTAAACCAAGTCCTTCCATGAGGCCAGGCAGACTAGCACGAAGGGCATCGATAGTGGCGCCAAGATCAGGGAAGTCAGGGAAGAGGTCTCCGATAAGACCATGAGGCCCACGACCATTAGCCCGCTCGAGTCGCCTGCGATAGATCTGGACCGACATTTGTAAGTCAGAGAAGCTATGGAGGAAACATGCATACCCTCATATTATGGTCTGCTCCATGTTGGAAAATGTAAGGGGTACCATCATATTTGAGATGCTGATAGAAACAGTCCTTGCCAAAGGGACAGAAGCGGCGGTTTGCGGGGGAGTTCTGAAAGTGGCTGTGCTATGCGTGAGACCTACATGCACATGAGATTATAGGAGTCTAGACGGACCGGCAAGGGACGCGCGCCATGCTGGCTTTGTAGCGATTGATAGTCTCAGCCTTCCGCGGATGGCCCTCCGGGAAGTACTGGCTAGAGGGAATGACGAATCGCGACGCCGCGCGACAAAGGGGGCATTGCTTCGTAACTCCAGAGAAGACAACCTCGACAGACCTCTTATTAGAACTGCGCCACTCGCGGATGCACTGATGGGAAGAATCAATCAGTTCCGACAAAACGAATCACAGACAAGACGATGACTTACGTGGATGCAGAACATATGACTGCAGCCTACTGGACACGGTATCAGCTTGTGTTACAACGTTCGCACTAACAGTCGTACTCACTGAGCAGCCCATATGTCACAGGCTTCTCATAGCAAATGCAGCACAGCTCCTCCTCCTCAGCTGCAGGGGCTGTCTGGATCTGCGACGTGGATGCATCCGAAGCGACATGTTGAAACCAGCACTTGTCGCCTCTGCGACAAAAGCCGGCAGCGTAGAAATGGCAAGTTTTGCTCTTGTCATACGGCGTCAACTTCTCTGACTCCCCATGCAAGAACTTGCATTGATTTCCGGCACGGCATCCTCTCGGTGTATTACTATGGGTAGGTACGTGTCAAGGCGCCTCGCATACACGACTAATTGCATCAACTCACTAAAAGCGACATATCCCTCTTGATTTCGAAGTGGACTGTCGATCCGGGTTCATAAGAGGGAAATAGTTGGTTCGTGGCGTGCAGTCGCTCCTCAACGAAGAGGAGCAATCGTGGTCGTATGAGTGCACAAAAACAAAGACGGAAGAGAATGCGGCGTGGTCTATTAAGATACAATACAGCTATAGCGACGGATGACTTGATGATGGTGAAGTATGAGAGCGTTGTATAGGTAAGCGCCCATTCGCGATATCTCTGCATAATTGGAATGCTTAGTCATCAGACCCGATCGTTAGAGCGCGGCGCTTCCGTTTGTTTCTAGCCACCGCCCTTACCCAAACATGTCATTACCGTCAACTACGACGAGCAGACACCAATTGATCTCCGCACTGGGCCCGAAAGCTCCGTCATATTGGACCGCTCTCAAGGAATACCTGTGTGCCAGAATCTCGCGCGTGGAATTTGACGAGCAGGTCAAGGAACTACTCGATACGACGCACCTCAGTATATTTTGCATGCCTTGAATAGCTTTCTTCCTCTAACGCAAGGACTACCAGTACAGCTACACAACTCCCTCATTGTTTCGTTGTTCGACACCTCCGCCCACCTTGCTCCTCCTACACCACCCCCAGATGTGCCTAAACCCCCAGCAAGGAAGCGGCGTCGTACGCTCCCCTACCAAGGCGCCGACACCTTCGATCCGACGTCTCTCAGATCCTCGAGGCTAAAAAGATGGACCGTGGGCTTGGGCAGGCGAGAGAGAGAGCGCGTGCGGCACCTGGAAGCAGCTGCTGTGGCCTTAGACCAGCGACCGCAAATACACAAAGATGAGATTGCGGCTGAGCGTGGTGTACAGCTGGTGCCAGAGAGGGGCGGTACGTTCCAGGCTATGCACACTCGTATGGCAATTCTCACTAGTCTATGCAGAACCTCCGGGCAGCCGACTTCCTTTACATCTCGCCTCTTCATCTCGAGGGTTCACATTGCAGCACATATCAGACCGCATTAACCTGATATGTGCACAACACAACCTCGGGGCTCCGTCGAAATCCGTTTCCTCTCTCATGATGCTGGCATTCGAGGTACGCTGTGTCAACATGTTCGTGGCGTCCTTTACTGATGTTGCTGAGGCACAGGCTAAGCTCAAGCAAATAATTAGCCAGGCACTCTCTTTGACGTCCACCTCGCATGCCATTACGTCCATCAAAACCTCAACACGGATCAGCAACAATCATGTTCTATCTACTTCGGCCTTCGATACGCTCTTCACTGTCTCCCCCTCCGTGCTCCCGAACAAATCGGCGGCGGCGATGCGTCTGGCACTTGGTGACAATGAGTGCGAAGAGGAAACCTCGCTCAAAGATCGGGATGAACACATCGAGCGGCACCAGCTGCTCGCGTTGCTCAGCGAGAGAAGCACAGTGAGAGATGCATTGCGGATACTCAGATGATGGGCCGTAGGCATATGGTGGAATTGTCTTCTCTAATGTGACGCGCACAGGGACAGGTGATGTAAACTGTTTGTATATTTCCGTGTCTATACCCTTGCAGAATGCACACACTGGTACCGGCGGCTCCGGGCCGTGCCTGACTATGACATACTTTGGCAAATGATTGTTTCCGACGGGTCACCGAGTCTTTGGCTAGACTGGGTTATAAGGCACTTGAAACGATCGCGAGCATTCACCCACCTCTCCGTCCCCCTAATAGTCTATAGCAATGGCCTCTGCTCAACCGTTTGTGCTGCGCTGGGGAGTTATCTCTACCGGCAGAATCGCCATGGAGTTCGTCAAGGTGAGTAGTCGGCAAACACGCGTGAACATCTGTTGAGGACGATATGACAGGACTGTGTTCTGGACCCCAAAACGTACGCATACATCCACCTGCAGCCTTGATCGCGCGTTCTCAAGTTCCACGTCCCTAGACGAGGAACCACTGATGTCGTCCACAAAGTCGTAGCTGTCGGTTCGCGTCACGCCAATGTGCAAAAGGCAAAGGAATTTATTACCGCCTACGGCAACGGTGAGCACATCAAGGCGTATGGCACGTACGAGGAGGTTTTTGCAGATAAGGTACGTTCGCGCGCGAAGTTACCCCACACTGTCCCGAGGTTGTTCCGCTCACACCCCGCATCGCACCAGGACGTCGACGCTATCTATATCGGTGCGCGTCATCAACCTCTTCTCTATTGCGAATAGGGTTCCCATGACCACTCCCTGCAGGCACTCCGCACACACAGCACTACGAGAACGCGCTCGCAGGCCTGCTCGCGGGAAAACATGTATTATGCGAGAAGGCGGCGACATCCAACGCGGCGGAGCTCCGGCGCCTTTTGTCCGTCGCCAAGGAAAAGAACCTGTTCTTCATGGAGGCAATGTGGACGCGCTTTCAGCCATTAACACTGGAGGTGAAGCGCATCGCGGAGGAGGGAACCCTCGGTGACCCTGTCGTTCTGCATGCCGACCTCTCACACGATTTCGATCTGGAGAGTGCGTTCGAGGCCACCCCATTGAGCAGACTTCGATACCTAACATTCACATAGATATTCCCAAGAGCCACCGGATGCTTGACCCACGTCTCGGCGGAGGGGCACTCCTAGACTTGTAGGCTTATTCCCGGTCGCTTCTGTTCGTTCCGTAGCTGACATATAACAGGGGCCCATATCCCATGATCTGGGTACGGTTTTTAGCAAAGTGAATAATAGCACAGTCGGTTGACGTATGTTCTCATTCCAGACTGTGCTTGCTCTGTACGAGCACCCTTCTAACCAGAAAGCCCCGCCCACGAGCGTGAGCGCATCCATGGTCAAGACCCCCATCACCGGTGTTGACAGCAGCACAAGCTGGACCGTCAACTTCACATCCACGCTCCGGGCACAAGCGATCCTTAGCTGCAGCATGACGGTGCCCACTGCGCATTTCGGCGCGACGATCCGCTACCGCAACGGCAACATCATCATCGGCACGCCGATCTTCAAGCCGACGTCCTTCACTGTGCAGTACTTTGACAGTCCCGGCAGCGGCGTCATCGTGCGTGAGGAGAAGCGCTCTTTCCACTACGTCGGTGGCGGCTGGCACTATGAAGCTGATGAAGTCGCTCGCTGCATACGTGATGGCAAGCTGGAGAGTGATCTGTGGGGGCACGCGAAGAGCCTGCTGTTGATGGACACGTTTGACGAGGTAGGTTGGCGCATGGTTGACTCGTGTTACGCCTTTCTCACAGTGTGGTATCTTTGCACGCTGCAGGTCCGTCGACAGGGAGGATACAAGTTGCCAGACGGTGTCGAGAAAGTATTCTGACGTACGGCAGGAAGCAAATTGTGTAAGGCACATTGAAGGTGTGTAAGAGTAGGCAATGAACATGCGTATGATTCGCGCAATGGTTAGAATAAAGCAACACAGAGTGGCTCGATCCCGTACCCCGATTGGACAAAAAGGGTATGCAGCACTTTGTTTCTCCTGCGGAAGTTGGCTACCCCAGTGGCTTTCAAAAGCTCTGCCTTTGTCGCTGGTCGCTATGAGACGCGTCAGCACGGTCTCCACGCTCAGTTTATGACTTATAAGAGGCTGAGTGTCTTGCTATCCTGCTTGCGGAGATTGTGTGCTACAACTGTTCTTCGAAGATGCCGTGAGTACCGCCTCGTATTCATTGTCTGCTCTTGATTGATTGTTCCCAGTACTGACGTAGTCGGAAGTGCCCTCCGAGCGTATTGGGCGATATACAGAGACCGCGATGAGCTTGAACAGCAAATATTCATCCAGGAGCGTGTCCTCTGCGATCTCAGAAGCCGCCTCAACAAGCTCACGCCCATCGCACGTCTACCTCCCGACATCCTTGCCGAGGTCTTCCTCGTGCGCGTCGCGCAGTGCGCTGCGACGGCCCCGGATGCGGCAGACGCGGACTTGTCATGGCTGCGTCTCCTGCTAGTGTGCACGCACTGGCGGCACATCGCGATCAGCACGCCTGCGCTCTGGACGCGCGTCGTCGTCGGCGCGCGTGCACAATGGCTCCAACTTCAGCTGTTGCGCGCGCACGAGATGCCGCTCACGGTGCTCGCGGTGTTCACGCAGGGCGCGCGTCCCGAAGAAGAGGACGCGAAGGTGCTGAACCTCGAATGTATCATCCAAAACGAGCTCGCACGCGTGCGCATACTGCACCTGAGGGCGCCCGTGCAGATCGTCCGGCAGGCCTTCATGGCGATCGCGATCGCGCACTCGGCGGCGCACCTTACAGAATTCAAGATCGAGTATGTGCCGCAAGAAGCTTCAATTGGGGATGACCGTCCAATCTTGCCTTTTCTGTTGCCGGACAACATGCCCACGCTCCAGAAGCTTGTGTTAGTTGAGATTCCTTTCATGTGGATGTCCTTGCCATCCTTCGTCAATCTCAGACATCTTGAGATTCGTAAGGATGTACGCGATGGACACCTTGTCATGGCTGATTTTCTCAATGCTGTGGAGAGCCTTAACCTTCTCGAATTTTTGTCGCTGCGCTTCAACATATCATGTTATGCACAGGGAACGGTCCTGGCGATGTGGCAAGTCCCGCACACTCGTGTCATCATTTTGCCCTACCTCCGGAATTTGATGCTTCAAGCTAGCTGCGCTGATTGCAGTGTTTTGCTCAACCACATGGTTTTCTCCAGGAGCCCAAACATTAGCTGTGTATGCCTTACGGACAGGGGGAGCGAGGATTTCGCCGCTGCTATCGCAGCCAAGCTTATCTACGAGCTTGTCCCACTCAACACGATTTCATTGCAATCTGGTCTCATTACGAGACTTCTCGTCTTCCAGGGGGATGCTCCTCTTCCGCAGCTGCCCAGTAATCCTATACGAGCCCTCTCCGGATCCGCTCAGCTTGACTTGTCGCTGTGCATGGAAGGGATGCCAAACTCGCACATGCTGTGGATGGCTCTCATATGCAGAGCACTACCGCTGGCGTACCTACGCCGGCTCGAAATCTCGTCTCCGCAGGGCTGTTTCGGTGAAGTTGAATGGTGGCTCAAGGTGTTTGGCACCATGGACGAGGTAACGACGCTAAGAATCTGCGGACCATCCTGCGGAGTGCTCCCACAGATGCTGCGCGTCCCCGTCCACGGTAGAGACGACCAACCTTTTATGCTCCCTCGCCTGGAAAGGCTCGAAGTAGACCTGCCGCCCGTGCCTCGAGAACTCGTAAATGCCACTATTGGCAGGTATGCGAGCGACCTGCGCGCATCGTTGACAGATCGTCGTGCTCTGGGTATGGGCCTCGGCCAATTAGCGGTTCTTCAAAGGGCGTCGTCGCAAGTGGAGAGCGACCAGCATGTGTTCATGCAGCTCCTCCAACCGGTCGTACCGACAATCTTCGAGACGGATAACTCAGGAGCGTTGATCTCTGTCTCAACTTAGTGTACGAGTTAGATGAGCTCAGATACATGGACTACGATAGCACATGTACAGGTCTCGTTATGTGCTCGGTGTTGATGTTGATAAGTAATAAATGTTATTAGAAACAAGCTGATCTAAGTAATAAGAGGATTCCCACGGCTCCCCGAATCACGTAAGTTGCGTCTTTCTGCCACATTGCTCTCTCCGAGTCTCCGTTCTATCCAACTATGTCCACGCCCTACTCAGATTCCCCGCAGAACACGGGCTACTATCCGACCTCAGTGCCCTCCTACGCGCAGGTTCAACATCAGCAATCCACCCCGGCCGCTTCCCAGGCAGCGAGCACCTCCGCGCAGCCACAGGCCGCGCAACAGCTCTCGCGCCAGGCAACCGAGGAGGCACGCAAGGACCGCACGCTTGCCGAGTTCCTCCTCATGCTGGACGATTACGAGCCTTTGGTACGTGGCGCGCGATGACACCGTGCCGCGGTGGTGTGCTGTACCTGAGCGGGAGACTGGCTGCGGACGAGCGCGCCGTGTTGACCTCCGCTTGTTCTTAGATACCAAACGAGGTCACAGACTACTATCTCCAGCGTGTCGGCTTTGACTGTGAGGACGTGCGGTTGTGAGTACTCATATATGTATCTCAACGGGCGCGAGCCGCTTATGATTCATCTGTCGCAGGAAGCGGCTCCTGTCTCTTGCAGCACAGAAGTTTGTCTCTGACATTGCTGCCGACGCATACCAACACGCTCGCATACGCGCAAATGCTGCAGGGGGCCGTGTAAGGGCCCAGCCTGGGCCTTCTTCAGCACGAGTAGGTCTTCATTCATATATCACCGGGACGTTCAATTTAAACGCCGTGCAGGACAAGACAAAGACGACGCTGATGATGGAGGATCTCAGCGCCGCGCTCTCGGAGTACGGAATCACTTCCCGGAAGCCCGAGTTCTATATGTAAGAGACATGAGAAACGGCGACGCAGGTTCGCCATCGTGGATACCTCGGTGTTTGTAGTATGTACCATGTTTTCTTCCCGTTCTTGCAACAGCACATGTATTTTATTGCAACCCAACTGATTCAATACAAGAAGATCTACGTTTATGATGTGACTATTGAATTTACCTGTGTCTGAGCATCCTCGTACATTACATAACGATACCGCCTGTCGCGTTCCAGTTCATACAAGAAAACATGAACACTTTGCGCCCCATCTCTGGACTGCAGTGCTTGGTGCTAGCGGCCAAGGTTCAAAGCTCTGAAACCGACGCTCATCCATACATAAACGATTCATATATTTGCAAGCATAGTCATATCACCTGCGCATGACCGACGTACAAGTATCCTACCGCAAATGAAAGCAAGAAAACGACGTCCGTCGAGATCTCCCAGAGACCGTCCGCCAATATATATAATCGCTAGATCCTCATCTCACTTGTCCACCACCTCGTCCTCCGCATCGCTCGCCATCGTTCTGCGCGAAAATTCCGACACACGGCTGATGCTCCCTCGCTTGGCATGCCCGCCACCGTACGTCCGGGAGCTATTGCGCGACAAGCCCGTCGCGCCGCCGCCGTTCACACCAGGCGAGCCTGGTCGCGAACCCCCGGTCGACTGCCGGTTGAGGCTGCTCACCATGCTGCTGACGGAGCTGCCAGACACCCTCGGCCCGCGCGCGAGACGCGGACCCCGCAGGCGGTTCACGTCGGTCATCGACGGCGTCGTCGGCGACGGAGTGATGGGTTTTGTCGGCGAGGGACTGCGCGAGCTTTGCGCCGGGACGCGCGGGGATGCGGGACGGCTGCTCCCCGGCCTCAGTGCCAACGGGATGTGTGCGTGGGGCGGAGGGGGAGAGATAGTGTCCTCCCGCTCCGGGGGCGGCTCCCTGAACGCAGGCGACCTCGTCGGAGGCGAAGCGGGCTCAGGTGGTGGTGGTGCGAATGCGGGCATGGGCATGCTCCCCACGGGCGACTCTACCTCCGGCTCGGGCTCCTTGAACATCGGCCGAGGCGGGAGGTCGTCCGTCTCTGGAGGAGGCTCCTTAAACATGGGGGGCGCGCCTGCAGCCTGCATAGACGGGGACGGGACAGCTGGCGCTGCAGGTGCATCAAGAGGCGGCGGCGGAGGTATTTGGGGCAGGCTCCTCTTAACCTGGATGTAAATGTCACCGGGAGCTGGCGGAGGCGGTCCCGGCGGGATCGACGGGAGATCCTCAGGTTCGGCATGTACCGCTGTCGGTTGGGGCTGCTCAGAGTCTGCAGTCGGGGGATTAGAACTTCCTGGGATGGCGGGAAGTTCTGCAGCACCGCTAGGAGCAGGGGCGTTGGGTAGAGGTGGCGAAGCCTTCGAAAGCTTCAAACCCGTCCGTTGCTCGAACTCTTGTTGCTGGAGCTCTCTTAGGTCAGCGCCAGCTGAGATGCGACTACGACTCATGCGCATGTCAACTGGTCGCGTGCGCCGGCGGACAGGCATCTTGCGTTGAGATTCGCGTTTCTTCTTCTCGAGGGTAGGCGGCAGGATCTCCTCGTACTTGTTCAGTAGATCCATAAACAGCACTGTTTCAAATAGACCATGAGACGATCATGGTATGACTGCAAGTATAGAACTTACAGGTGGGATGACGATCTTGAATAGAGATCTCGTTCTCCTGCTTAGGCCTGATAACGGCTATATACTGGGTTGAGTGTCATTGCATACAAGAAACGGTCCCCACTTACCTCTACCCACTGCAAGCGAGAGCTTGTTGACGTAGATCTCGTTAGATTCCTCATTCTCAGCGGTGGAGGTAGACGCAATGAGACTTCGTAAAGACATCGGTCAACGTGTCACAACAGGAATGGGCTTCCCTTACCTCTTCAAGTGCTTGACGATAGTGTCGAGTACCAGAAGGTGAACCCTCGGCAACCTCTGCAGAGCACCTTGGACGTCTTGGATGTGCTGTTCTTCCGAAGGGTGCGCCTCAGCCTTTGCACCAGAGCCGACTGTGAGATCAGACGTCAGTGCAATACTCGGCTTTCAAAATTGCATACACTTGACCTGTCGGGTAGAGCTTGCGCAGCTCGTCCCAGCTCTCGTACATCCCTAGTGGGGGATCTAACTCGAGTGCCCATAGCTTGATAGCACCTGCGAGGACAGGCGCATCGTACTTTGCAAGGATATCGTTAGGTAGGGGTTGTTCAGTGGGCACGGCGTTCAGTGTCTCCCGTAAGTGGTGGACAGCTGGTAAGGGAACATCATAGATCCACGTCTTCCGTTTCTCTAGACAAGACGTTAGTATGCGAGCCTCGCACGAACAAGATACGTTTACAACTGACCCACGTCATTAGGCAGCTTGTCATAAGCCTCGTTCAACGCAGCAAGCATCACGGTCAACACCGGCGGAATGTCGTCCCTCTTCTCGTCCGGACTCGCACCGTGCCAGATCCCACTATCCACCCACCGTCGTAGGTCAATGCCGAATACGACATCCGACTCGTCATGTGAGACGGACTCGTACACCTGGGGCTCAGGACGGAAAGGACCCGTACGGTGACGCTCGATGAACACTTTAAGGTCCGCCTCGGGGTGATATGAGTCGATGAGTACTGCAGAACGGTCGAATGACGGCTCATTCGCTTTCGCAAGCTTCGATACTGCGTCCTGGTACTGGCGTAACACTATACCAGAACCGGGCAGTCAGACAAATTGGAATCAGGCACAACATATTCACGCACCAGTTTTGACCGCGCGCAGCCGATCCAGCTCCCATTTCTGAAGCGTCTTTAGTGTGTCCTCGATCCGCTCCTCGAGCGCGAGCCTCTGTCTGTCTAGCTTGCGGATCGAAATGCGGTACTCCCTGTCTGCTGCCTCGGCCTCGCGGCGTGCCCTGATATGAGCAGGCTCAGCGTTGTTCGTGTTGAGCGCCTTCGAGACCAAAGAAGCGAAGGTGGATGTGCCCTTTGCAACATTTTCGGCCAACGGAGACAAGCTCTTCTGGATGGGTGAAACTGGCTGTTCCGCCTTGGTGACTTGTGCGTCCAAATTGTCCAGGCTGTACGCCTGCGAATATGGTAAGCCAAATCCAAGACTAGGGTTGCCATAGGTAAGCGTACCTTGGGCCTAATCTGGTAGAACACATCCGAAGCGTTTACATAGTCGTTGCCCAACTCACCAAGCCTCCGCAGGAGGTTGTGCTTTTCCGTCAGCTCCCGTGCAGCAAATGCCGCACGGTCCAGATTCCCTCCGAAGTCCTCCACCTTCTCCTTGAGCCATGTTGCGAAGTCTTCTCCACTGAACACATCCTGGTACTCGCCTATCAGCGGGAAACGCACTGCACGCAGCGGTAGCTCGCTCTTTGCGCGCTTGAACAATGCAGACAGCTCCGCAGGTGTATACGTCAGGCCGGCGACCATGATTGGCGGTGCGGGCTGTGGCGGGCTGGGATTCGTGTTGATTCTGGTAGGTGGGGTACCGCTCATCCTAGCAGGTGGCAAGGGCGGCGACATAGGCGGGGGGGATGCAATGCGAGGCGGGGAAGCAACGTCTAAAGCGCGACCCTTACCTTTGTCCAATTTCGGGGTACCCTTCTCCTCAACGTCGGCGTCGAAGTGGACTTCCGACTTCTCTTGAGCACCAGTTGAAGCACCGAGGCGGAACTCCTTGAACCGCTGCGTAATGCGCTCAGACACTGTCGCCGTACGCGTCGGCACGTCACGTCTGTCTCGCGGCTGCAAGCTGGGCGAGGTCGTGTACTTGTCACCGACGGGTGGCGGTATAGGTGCGAATCGCGCACTGTGGGATGTGAGCAGATGAACGTGTAATGCGACATCGCGAGACCTACTCGTCCTCAGCCTCGTCTGCCTTACGGATCTTCGTTAGGTAGTCGTTTTTGAGTTTCGCGACGTCAGTATGCGCCATTTCATACGCAAGCATCCAACCGTCGAGCATGGTCTGCTTGCTGCCTTTTAGCCTGTCCTTGTAGCCGAGGGCCCACTTCTCGAATGGGTCGGCAACGGTGTCCTTCAGTTCCACGGCAATCGCCTCGTGCGCCTTGCCCTGCGCGATGGATTCTTCCTTCAAACCGCGGAACGCAACGTGCAAGGATGCACCTTCATCATGCGAAAACGCTCTCCCTGTGCCAGACGTTGAGATACATAGCCTGACGTCAGAACTATGCTCACCTGCAGATCCAGCAGCAGACAAGGTAGCAGCAATCGCGCCTTCCGCGGAAGCTCTGGCCTGTATTATGATAAGTTGCGTAAATAAGCTGTCGATGCCTATGGACGCACCCGAATAAAAGCAATGATCTCTTCATCCTCGAGGACCCCCTATGTCATTAAGATATGAGCGATGTCGAGCCTGCACCGAGCCACCGGCAGACGTACCTTCTCGAGCTGGGCGTACAACACCTCAAGACCCTTCCTGTAGTTCTGTGACCAGAACGAGTTCTGGAATGTAAGCGGCAGTGACAAGACCGCCATAGTCCACGTCAGACAGCGAGCGGGGGCTCAGACACGTTCTGAAGGATGCGTTAAGAGGAGTGGGGACACCTGGTAGACACAGCTTGCGCGGCGGTGCAATCTCAGCGTGGTAGACGTGCACAGGCCGATAACAACGTTGCAGGACGAGCAATATGGCTGGTCTCGCTGAGACGTGTGCGCAGTCAAAGGTGGTTGTGCATGCAAGCTAAAACGACGCCCAGGCGCGCCGGCTAACTGTTGGTAGTGATGGGCCTCACCCTCAAACAAGGCACCCGCCCCCCCTCCCCGAGCAGGCGGGGTTTGCGGAGGACAATACTACAAATCTCCGTGCCGTGTTCAAATGGATGTACAGGTTATATCATGTACGCATCAAAGTAGCTGGGCGCATCAGCCCTCTATAGCGTAATACCATAATCGTCGACCTGCTTTATACCCTCTCCACAGCCATGACGGACAGGAACCAGCATGTGTCGTAGATGCTGTGTTAAGTGAAATTGGCGCAATGAGGTTGTGGGGCTTCTGCAATAGAAGAGAACAATGGGCCCTCAAGTTGCGTGGAGACGGCCTGCCAGTACCGCCCTGTGCGATCTGATCCAAGATAGGCGTCAATGATCACGGTCATGAATGCTGCAATGGAGGGATACAGTCCAGTCGCACCAATTTACCCCCAGGAGCATTCGGATGATTGATGGTATAGTCGACAACACAAATATCTTTCGCACGTTGAGAACGGACGCGTTCACAAGACCAAGTCGGCATACAGATGTGAAGAGTCACTCACTAGGTCTTGTGAGCAGCTTCACTCAATGGCCACCGTAGACGATGCATGGGCATAGAGTCCCAGATTAAAAGCGATGGCATTACTATATATCCTCTAGATCCTCGTCTGCAGCGGTCGAGCGGTGTCCTGGTACGCGTGCGCCCGTCCGTCCTGCACTGCCATGCAGAATCTCTGAGTCGCCCATCTCGCCAGCTATGTAAGGTACTTGTGGTCCCCGCGCGTCGAACACACTGCCCTGCCCATTCGCAAATGTCGACGTAGGCAGTTGCAATAGGTGTGGTGGCTGACGTGTGAGGTACAGCCTGTGTAGGGAGTCTTCCGCGGCCTGCAAACATGCGATAAGTTGTCAGTAGGGGTTACTTCCGGGACTAGGGTTCATCACGCACACGGAACTCAGCCATCTTGAGCGAGCTGCCGAAACCTTCACCCAACTTGTCTGCGCCTGAGTAGATGCCTACCACGAATACTGGTGAATTGGAAAATCTTCCTGTCTCCTTCAGTAATCTGATATCAAGAAATTGTGAGTCAAGCCATTGCTAACGGATGAGTTTCATGCTCACCTTGATATTGGGCGTTCTCGCCCAAACTTAGCGACAGTCTCTGCCAATGCTAGCTTAGGATCACGGAATTTGATCATGGTCCGCAAGTCCACGTCACGGCTCAAGAAGAACTTTTGAACAAACTTGCGTGCCGACAACAAAGAACGGTATTGGTACACTAGCGCTGTTAGAGCGCGGGGTACCGAACTCAGAGCGTCTGGATGCAAGACGGCTGGTCGGAGAGGTGTATTGGGCTAGAAAGTGTTAGAACATATACCGCGTACACCATTGGTGATGTGAATACGTACTGTTCGATGCCATCTTAGCAGAGGCGTTGCACCCATCTCCTTTGCGACGCCCGTACAGGTCGTCGGACCTACGTATGCACTGACAGCAGCCTTCAGGACACGGGTAGGAAGGTGAGGATAAGATGCGTTGACATATTCTGTCGCAAACAAGCCCAACAGCGAGTTCCCGAGAGTCGCCAGGTTTGCGTTCGTGGCAGGCAGCGGCTCATTCGGGTGGTGTCGTGAGTACAGCGCCAGGAAGGATGGATGTGTACATGCTTGCTGGATGATCTCCGTGGAAGGCAGCACTTTTCCGAGGCCTATTCGGTGCGCAAACGCAGTCAGGGCCGTCGGCGGCGGAGGCTGCACAGCGGCCCACGTCTGAGCATCGAAGAACGAGGTTTTAGATGAGCTGGAGGCAACGGCTTCTTTTGGAGGGAATGCCCTAAGTGTAGAGGGGGCTACAGAGGCTAATTTTGCCGCCGTCGATGCCAGACGTTTTTGTGCATAGCCCATTGGCGAGGTCGTCGTTCGCCAGCGTGCGCTCGCCGTTCCAGGTCGTGAGCGCGACGAAAAATGCCGGCCAAAACGGGAAGGAGCCTACATTGAGCGCCTATTATGGGCGCTCCGAAATATATGCATGATCGTGAGCCCTTCCTTGGATGTCGTCAATCTCGAGGTGCTGCTTTCAGTCGGCGATTGGTGCTCAGAACTGTAGGAATGCATTCTGGTTCTACTTCAGAGTCGAATATCTTGGTGGCATGTGCATGCAACGCCCCTGCTGCTCTCTTGGTTAAAGTTTTCCGACTATCTGAATCATGACGCTCTCCCTCGAGTGCTGCCGTTCGGCGATCCGTAAGCTTACCACATATAAGGGTGCGATGTATGGCTTATCTGCCAAGGGAACATATGGCATCATCCTATCAGAAGTCATTGCGTGCCTCATAAAAATCGTATAAAGAGCCACGGGGTTAGCGGAAGGGCATATTCGCCCTCTCTTGGATTCGCGCCATGTCTCCCGAAGTTGAGAAGGCGGCCCTGCTGCCATCGAGCGCACCCGAGCTGCAGCGGAAGGAACCTGCAAAGTTCACTCCCCAGCGCAAGTGGGCCATTGCTATCCTTTCTCTCCTTGCATTGCTCCAAATCGTCGATGTGGTTGATCTCTTCCGCGGCCATGAATCGGACGCGCCTCTATGTTCCCAGGCGCCGCCTTTGATCCCGAGCACGAATGTGCAGCTCTGGGGAAGCCTTGGTGATACATATGGAACTGAAGCGTTCAAGAACAGGGCTGTTGACCTCTTGGCCGGCGCTGTGCGCATTCCGTAAGTAGGGATACGACAGAGTAGTAGAGTATCAAGTACTAAGCCGTCCCTACAGTACACAGTCCTACGACAAGATGGGGCCGATTGGCGAGGACCCGCGTTGGGAGGCGTTCGTGCCGTTCCACGAATACCTTCAGAAGGCGTTCCCTAAAATGTGAGATCTGGACCACGGATTTTCTTGGGGATCATCCCTCATGTTATGCCATGCAGCCACTCGTCGCTCGAATTGACTAAAGTGAACACTTACGGCCTGGTATACTACTGGAAAGGCTCGGATGAATCGTTGAAGCCAATTCTGTTGACGGGACATCAAGGTAGTTCTTATTCATATCGCCTTTGGGCTTCTGGCTGAGGATCCTTGCAGACGTTGTACCAGTAAACCCCGACACGTACGATGAATGGACACACCCACCATTCTCGGGCTACTATGATGGTATGTTCACCAAGATCGGCGTATATCCTTGCTCACCTTCATCTCGCAGGGACCTATGTATGGGGACGCGGCAGCAGAGACGACAAGAGTGGTCTAATTGGTTCAATGTCAGTCTGAGATTCCCAAACTCCATTCCGTCGTCCCACTAACAGTCTGCAGGACCGCTGTCGAGACGTTATTGGAGCGTGACTTCCAACCGACGCGCGGTGTTGTCCTCGCGTACGGTTTTGACGAAGAAGTGAGCGGCGTGCAGGGCGCCTCCTCGCTCGGCGACTACCTCTACGCGACCTTTGGCGAAGATTCCTTTGCCATGCTGGTCGATGAAGGCGGTGGAGTATGCGCGCTTCTCATATTGGCTTGTGTATTGAAGCGTTGACCTCTAGGCAAGATCTCAGAACAGTACGGCGGCGCCTTCGCGCTTCCGTCCGTGGCTGAGAAAGGCTATCTCGACGTCCGACTTGAGCTGTCCGCTCCTGGTGGGCACTCAAGCGTTCCACCCCCTCACACGGTCAGTCTGACTTCTTCTGTCTGTCAAACCATACCTAATAATTCCATCACCAGACCATCGGCATGCTCGCCCAGCTACTTGTCCACTACGAGAATCACCCTTTTAAGGCGACCCTTGAGCGCGACACGCCCATGTACTGGCATGCGCAGTGTCTGGCCGCATATGCTCCAGAACTGCCCAAGTCCATCCGGAAGTCGGTCAAGAAGGCAGCGAGCTCCGACAAGGCCTTGCGGGCCGCGCAGGACAAGCTGTTCGAGGACCCAACGTTCAAGGCGCTGGTCGGGACTACGCAGGCGGTGGACATGATTTCGGGCGGCGTCAAGTCAAACGCGCTACCGGAGAACGCAATGGCGATTATAAACCATCGCATTGCGACGGACAGGTAGGTTAATCGTGTATGTAGGGAGGTGTTAGGACTGAGACGCGGGTCACAGCTCGGTCAGCGCGGTCAAGCAGCACAGCACCAAGCTCTTCAAGTCGATTGCGGCCGGCTTCAATCTCTCGTACACCGCCTTCGGCTCAAGCGTCACGGGCGACCAGCCGGGCTACGGTACTTTGACCCTCAGTGACGCGTGGGGGACTGCTCTCGAGCCCGCACCTGTGTCGCCGGTTGGGCCGGACGCGGCGCCGTTCCAGCTGCTGTCCGGTACGATTAGAACAACCTGGAATACGCATCGTGCCATCTCGGAAGAAGAGGACGGCATCACTGTGATTCCCAGTCTCGTCTCCGGTAACACTGGTATGCTGCAATGGCTCGTATGCTGGGCGATTACCTTATTCGCTCGTCTGCAGACACGCGTTACTATTGGAAGCTGACGCCGCACATTTTCCGCTACACACACTACAATGCTGGAAGCGGGTCAGGACTCAGCGGTGTACACACCGTTAATGAAGGTAACGATGTCGCTCACATTAGTCCAAATATGCATTGAGCATTCTCTTATAGCGTGCAACATGGATAACCTGGTCGAGATGGTCAGGTTCTTCACGACCCTGATTCTGAATGCGGACGAGTCGACTTTGCTGTAAATAGGGCTGTCTTTACGCCCATGGCTATGCAAAAGCCAACGGATATCCTGTACGTATGTCCCTGTTTAGGCTTTGTTGGCCGCGAATGCACCCAAAATTGCTGGTGTTTGTCTGTTATCCACTGTATAGTATTTCTTCCGGCTATCGTCCAAACCTTCGGTATCACATTTCAGGCCTTAAGCCTGCACCTATCTCCCCCTCGCGGCCTGTTCGGGTCCTTTGACAAGAATTCTTATACCGCGTGTGACCGCCGGTTTCAAAGAAGCCTTGAGATTGTGTCCTGACTTCCAAGATGGATCTCATGGACAGGGTCTGGATGTTTCGTCTCCTTGCAAACACGGGAAGGCTAATAAGAACGTCATGATCCTGTTCACTGCGAGGATGACTGCTGTCCTGCCGGAAAGGGAACAATGTGTCTTGAGTGTCCAGTAAACACATCGCGGTGTGAGTCCGAGCGTCGCAGATTGATGTAACCTTCTGAAGCATAACAGCGGCTATGTGATCGGACACGCCTCCCAATCGCTGTCGCGTGTCGCTATATCGAACAGGTGTTTGGATTTTCATGGTGTTGTTCATTTTGAGCCAATGTCCTGGTTACATTGTGATTTCATTCACGGGTATAATAAGGATGTGGCGGGCGGCATATGAGGTATCCGAAGTTGGCTCAATGAGCATGGCTCTAAGTTTAGAGATCCAAGTGATAAGAATAGACCAGAGTACATACGTACTTGTAAAACGACGCAGCGTATGTATAAGGACAATCACAACGCGAGAGTTGAGCCAGTGACCAGAAGATGAATCAGCGGGTGTTGGAGTGATTTCTGGCAGGCTATATCCCACCACTGCCTGGGGGTGCGAAGGGATGTGCCATCAGCTAGTGCATGACTGTGTTCTCGAGCATCAAACAGTAAGTCGGATAGGATGGGATGGTTATCGTATATACAGCAATCGTGATGTGGGGCCGAGATGAAATTCACTACACGAGGAACTAGCATGTCACTTGAGCCTGCGTCAACAGGCACGAGATCTATGGGCAGTGCAGCAACAGAGCAGTCTAATTAAAGCTCACGGTGCGAGAGATGTAGCGGGCTCCTGAGTAATGTCAAATAAGCTGCATTGGAAGGCAAGAGATGTGCCAGGTGACCATACAGTCATGGATCAAAGCAAAAGGCGTGGAGTTGTTGTAGGAGCCGAAGCTTGTAGGTGTATTCTCATAAGCGCCCAATATCTCAGAAGTGGACTGCCCCTAAGCTAGGGCTGACAAAGAAGGTATCTGCTACAACGAGCGAACATATTTGCTCGACCGCCTCTTATCCTTGGGAGCCACTCTGCTGGAAGTATTCTACGAAGGATAACTAGGACAGGCTCTGAGACAATGTGCAGCGGCGGGATATCCGGGCACTCAAATGCGCGCTTATGGATCACGCTGTCACGAAACTGGTCACGAGTCGCTTCTGAAATTGGTGTTTCAATATTGCTGCTTTCCCTCGTGCTCACTGTGGTCGACGACGGCGACGACGGTCTGGTCCTCAGACAACTCATCACCTAATCTGGCCCTGGCGACCTGCTGTCCCCATTCATGAGTAGCTCTGCAGACCAGGGCCGCCAGGCGGTCATTCAAGACGTTCGCGGGTCTCAGTCAAACGGGGATCCCTCCGCCCTGGCCTACATGGCCCCGGAATCGGATTCCAACTATACTCGCGAGCATTCGCCTGTCTCGCCCAGAAACGGGCTACTTCCATCTTCTTCCTCTAGCAGTGCCAACCCCCCAGAACGTGCCTACCTCCCGCACAGAGCCTCTACCTTCAGTTTCCCTCACAACGTGGATCAGAGGAAACAGAGGAGCGATGACCACCCTCACGCTCGCAGCGAGGACTTCAACCACTCGACATCACAATCATATGGCGATAGCTCCTCATCCGACCAGGCTCTTGCTCGTCCTCAGCCTTTCCTGACCGCCAGTCGGCCCTCCACTCCCGGCAGCTCAAGCCAGCATACTTCTGACTACACTGGCAGCTCCAAGACACCACCTGGGAGCGTCCATTCTGACTCGTCTCTGTACACTGACAACGCCGCACTATCTGGGAACGCCCAGACAGCGTCCTCCTCGACCCACACGAGCACGAGTATAGCGTCTACGTAAGTCGGAGCTTCGGTCTCTCCAAGCCCATCAGAACTACCTTGTCGGCTTCTCCGCTCCTTTGTGTCAATTCGTTCTCTTACGTGTTTTGTACCACTTGTTAGGCCATGCGCTGCGTGCGGTAAGGCGATGCAGGGCGCATTCGTCCGGGCGTTGGGGACAGTCTACCATTTGCAATGCTTCAAGTGCATGGTGAGTCTATTTTCCTGCGGGCCACTGGTGTGTATATTTACCCCAATATCAGGATTGCGGTACTGTGGTGGCGTCCAAGTTCTTCCCGATCGATGGGCCCGACGGCAAGCAGCATCCGCTTTGCGAGCGAGACTACTTCCGGCGCTTGAATCTGATTTGTGCCAAGTGTGGAATGGCATTACGAGGCAGTTATATAACAGCGTGCAGTGAGTCGCATCGTACGCGTCGCGATTTGGCGGCCACTAATGATCGGTCGGGAAGATAAAAAGTTTCACGTGGAACACTTTACTTGTTCCGTCTGCCCAACCCTGTTCGGTCCGCAAGACTCTTACTACGAACATGAAGGCGATGTCTACTGTCATTACCATTACTCAACCCGGTTTGCCACCAAATGCGCAGGATGTAACAGTGCTATTCTGAAGCAGTTTGTGGAGATAAACCGGAACATGAGGGACGAGTGTTGGCATCCCGAATGCTACATGATCAACAAGGTGACTTGCACAACGGCGTGGCAAGGGCCAATGCACATATATTGACGGTGATCTCTGGCAGTTCTGGAATGTCAAAGTGGTAGCACGACGACCTGCTTTACCTTCAAATTCTGAGGAGTTCGAAGGAGAGCCCCAAGAGCCTCCTTGGACCGAAGAAGAACGAAGAGAAACGGCGATCTCGCTCAAGGAGAAACAGATTCGCATGGAACAACAGGTCTATCGAATTTGGACGTGAGTAAAACTTGTTTAGTTCGCACTGTGCACGTTTCGAACAAATTTGGTCAGCGTGCTATCGGCATTCGAGGAATCCAGTGCCGCATGCATCTCAGACATGCTACGGCAGGTCAGCAACGGCCAGTACCTGGAGGCAATACGTATGGCGGAGAAGTTCATACTTCATGTCGAAGTCCTCTTTGCGACGATCGATGATCTGGAGTGGCACTTTGCGCGTCTAAAGCTGAAAGGTGTGCCCGGAACCCGTGCCAGCCCTCGTTTGTTGCTGACGTCTACAATATCTAAAACAAGGCATGTCCCACGTTCGCGAGGCTCGCATGCTCTGCCGGAAGACAGTCGATCTGTTCACATTGCTGTCACATACGCAAGAGACAGGAGCGCGTCGCATGGGCATGACGCAAGAACTTTTGGCACTGGTCACTGGCCTGGCTCACTACCTCAAGATCCTTATTCGTATAGCGCTTACCGGAGCCCTGAAGCTCGAGCGAGAGCACAATGTCCAGGAAGCTATCACGTCGTTCCTGGACAAGCTCCATATGCTCGCAATCCAAGGCGGGAATCCCAGCGCAAAGCGCATGATGAAGCGGGCTAATGGGGAAGTCCTCGCTCTCGTGGATAATGGTAATACTGGCACGCAGGGTGTGACTTATGGCTTCAAGAGCTTGGCACCTGAGAACGCAGGCGAGTCGCCGTTTATGGGCGCGCCTCGGGATCCCGCACTCGCCAAGGTCAATGTTGTGAATCCGCCATCTGACCTGTGTGCCAAGTGCAATCAGACCGTCGAGGAGGACTGTGTTCGCCTGGGCACGTACCAACGCTGGCATTCGCATTGTCTACAGTGTGATACGTGCGGAAAGGTGGCGGCTGTACCTGCGCAGAAGGAGGCAGTGCAAGCCAGGAACCCGGAGGACAAGGAGAAAGAGAAGGAAGAGAAGACACCCAAGCTGTCGACTGCCCGGCGGCCACCGGCCAACGTTGGCTATTTTGTATACGATGCAGATACCATGAAGGACACTACCACGTTCGGCCCTGTTCCGACGAAGGTATACTGCGTCGAACATGGGCATGGTGGTTGCAAGGGCGGGTTCATGGCGGTCGCACGTCTGGAGCAATATGCTTTCTTGCTGAATGTTGCGCTCAGACGGCTGTATGTCGTTTTGAAAAAGCGGGGTGTCGTGCAGTTAACGCCTGGTGCGTCTCCCTTGATCTTCGAGTACAGGGGCACTTATATATTTCGACTGAGCAGCACAGCAGGCCGCGAGCAGCAAAGACCTCCTCGAGAACGACCCTTATCGCAATTCAAACGACATCAACAGGCTCAAGTCTGTCCATCTCGATCGAAAACTGTCTGCGACTGCTCGTGTTCCACGACGATCGACAGTGGTCGAGAGCCCGTCAGGTAAGGTGGCACAGCCCGCAGATGCAGCGCACGCCCAACGGCCACAAGAGCTCATACCCTCGCACTCCTTCCGAGTCGTTCCACAACAGACTGCCGCAGCCAAACTCCAAAAGGCTCATCCTCAGCAATCATACCGTAATGCCCCTGGGGTTATCGATACAAGCCAAGGCCAGGTCATCCGCCCACCCTTTGCCCGTAACAACACAGGGGTCATGATTGTGGATGATTCTGCTCCGACATCCCCTACAGCTGCTGCTGTAGATGAGCCGACCATGCCAGCCATCGAGGACGGTATTACTCTCGCTGACATCCCTCAGATTGTCGAGGCCGCTCAGGCGCGGGAGCAACATCGGTCACTACCGCGTCAGAGTTCAATACCGTTCATTGCCGAGCTCAGCACGCTGGAGCTTGCGATTGTCAGGCACTGCGCGGTTGTGGTTCTTAGTCATTCTCCTCTACAAAGCCAGTTCGACCTTGACGAGATCCTCGAGTTGGTAGAGAACAAGAAGAACTCTTTTTGGAAGCAGCTCTTCAAGCCTGGGAACGACAAAAAGAACGTGAAGAAGAAGGGTGAGCTTTACCAAGGGTAGACGCGTCATGAAATACTAATGCCATATCAGGCGTGTTCGGCGTACCGTTGGAGCTGCTCGTCGAACGAGAGGGTGCAGACTCATTGCTGGGAGCATCACGAACAGCAGTGAAAATCCCCAGCTTTGTCGACGATGTTGTGTCTGCAATGCGCCAAATGGGTAAGCGTGCGAGACGTTCAGCATAATTGTTGCTAACATGACATCGGTAGACCTCTCTGTTGAGGGAATCTTCCGGCGTAATGGCAATATTCGACGTCTAAAGGAGCTGACGGAAGCCATCGATCGAGATCCATCCTCTGTCGATCTGACCCAAGACAACCCAGTACAGCTAGCGGCACTCTTAAAGAAGTTCTTCCGAGAGCTACCAGACCCTCTTTTGACTTATAAGCTCCATCGTTTGTTCATCGCATCCCAATGTGAGTCTCGCCTGATCTTACATACAATTACTATATTAACCGCTTCCATAGCGCTTCCAACGGAACAGGAGCGAATGCGAATGCTTCATATGGTTTCGTTGATCTTGCCAAAGGCACATCGAGAGACTTTGGAGGTCTTATCTGTATTCCTGAAATGGGTGGCTTCGTTTGCGCACCTGGACACGGAGACAGGGAGCAAAATGGACTTGCAAAACCTGGCGACGGTGATTTGTCCAAGTATCCTGTACTCTCGTGGGCGGGATGCAGTTCGGGACGAAAGCTTCGGAGCAATCCGGGTCGTCACAGCCTTGCTAGAGAATCAGGACGAACTCTACTGCGTGCCACAGGAGTTCCTGTCGATCTTGCAGGACCAGGACTATTTCGTCAACAGCCTGGACCTGCCAAGCAAGGAATTCCTGAAGAAGTGTGAAACATACATGCGCCTGAAGGCCAGTGGGCGCACCCCTTTGTTAACATCGCCTGTGTCTGGATCAGCGCCCTTCAACCCTAGCACGCCACGTCCGGAAGATATGAGGGCGCAGCCCCCAAGGTCGGTCCCTGACATGTGCCGTCATGCGTTAGGCTGACACAATCTGTAGATCGCAGACGCAGCCGACTGGTGGCCAATATGGCGACCGACCTGCGATGGCGAACGGGGTCTCCTCTGATAGCCTCATCCGGAATGGCCAGCAACAGCCCCGGCAGCAGATGTCTGCGCCTCCTCTGCAGCACTCACCCTTCTCGTATCCCCCACCCTCGTCCGGAATGTCGGCGATCCATGCGCCGCAGCCCCGCGCGCCGAACGTGCAGTCCACGAGCGACGACTGGACACCCCCTGAGCGCCAGCCGTATATCGGCCAGGTGCCCAGCCGCCCATCCTCCATGTCGAATTCATATGTGCCCTCACGGAGTAGTGGTGAAGGGTCGAATCCTTTTGCGCCGCCGAACGGCCACTCACAGCAGCCTGCGGTGCGGCAGCGAATATGATTTCCGTTGTATATGGTCCTTCTGGTTGGTATATATCATGTGGCATCGCTCTCATCCTGTTGCATTTTTCTTTTACGTATCTGTACTTCATTATACTCCATTCATTTTTAACCTATGACACGGACCATCCATTATATACCCTCGAGCCGGCCGCTACGGCAACGATGATGACAATTGCATGGGTTCGTTCTCCGAGGCGAGCTCAATAGTGCTTTCACGTAGCGTTCTAATGTCTTGGAAGACGGTCAATGTAGCATTAGCAGCAAATAGCAACGTCTTTCTGCTCGGCGTCTGATCTGTTGTATGTGCGCGATAGTTGCTGCTGTTCGCATGTGTACATTAAGATTTATCCGAGTACACATGGCATATATTGCATGATGCGTAGTACTTTTGAGTGTAAAAGCACATGGTAGAGAACAGATGCATGAAGAAAAGCAGCCCGCGCCTACTTGAGAGGGATGCTGTCGGAAGAGAAAGGCGTCAGTGTCTGCCAGGGTGAATGGTGTCAAAGTGCAGGTGACGTACAAACGAGACGCTGTAAGACGAAACTGCCCGTCAGTGAAAGTCACATGCCCAATGCATGAAGACAAAACTTACAGTGCGTCGCACCAATCTACATGAATGCAGAACAAGGCGACAGTCAGATCGTGATCCAAGCATAAAAACATTCAACGTACACCAGGGCGACCGTGCTTGACGGGCCGGTATGAGCACGAGAACTCGGCGAGGTAGTGACCAGTCATCTCGGGCTTGATCTCGACGGAGTTGAAGACCTGCACGATCAAGTAAGCTCCTAGAATCAATAGGCATATTATATTGCAGGCGCACCTTGCCGTTGTAGATGCCAACGACGCTGCCAATCATCTCGGGGACGATGATCATGTCACGGAGGTGGGTCTTGACGACGGGGGGCTTCTCATTCGGGAGAGCCTCCTTCTTTGCCTTGCGCAGCTTCTTGATGAGGCCCATGGGGCGGCGCTTCAGACCGCGCTGGAACCGACGGCGGGCACGAGCGTGAACGAGCTAGGAGCAGTCGGACTTAGTCATCCTATCAATGATAACTTGGCCAGTTCAGTCGTACCTCAACGAGCTGCAAAGACCTCTAGTGAGCCAAGGCTGTAACATAAAGATGTTGCAATGCGTACCTCATCGTTGCCGAGGTCCAGGAGCTTGTCAAGCTCGACTCCCCGGTAGGAGAACGTGCGGAACGTCCTCTTCTTCTTGAGCTCGGCGGCGAGAGCGGGGTCAGTTACACCAGAGTCGGCCTGCCATCGCGCACATCATCCGTCAGCACCTCTGCTCCAAGTAGATCGGCGAGCAAGCCGGCAGCGGCAACACGCACCATCTTGAGTTGTCGAGAACGGGGCTTGCGTCGAGGGCAATATGGGACTCTCGCACGGCGGAGCCCGAATTGGGACGGTGGCTGAGGAGTGCGTGGGAAACCACCTGTACAGTTCTCAGCCACCGATCGCTTGAGCTAGGAGCGCGGGCGGCGGCACAGCGCTCCCTCATCAAGTCGTCGGATAGAATCCACAGGTCTTCCCTCGAGGATTAAACGTGAGTGCTGGTCGTTGTGCGTGCGATGACACGGTTTTGACGGCGGTGTTGTTGTAGTGATTTGTGGCTACCGCACATAACACTTCACAGTACGTTACGAGCTTTGTTATGTGTGCACGGGAAACTTACAAGCTCGTCGCGGCTAGATGCGTCACGTTGCTGCATACCTGCTCCTCCAGATTGGTGGGAACGCCTCCCCCTCTGCTGGGGATGTGAAGAAGGTCCTTGGTGCCGTCGGTATCGAGGCCGACGATGAGCGCCTTGAGAAGCTCATTTCTGAGCTCGAGGGCAAGGACATCAACGAGGTCCGTCTCCCATGACAAAGCGATGACAATGACGCTGACATGTACATCCTTTCCTGTCGCAGCTGATTGCGGAGGGTTCTTCCAAGCTGTCCTCGGTACGTTAACACGTTGAGTACATTGCGTGCTTGTCACTTATGTTATTTGCTTTTAGGTTCCTTCTGGCGGTGCGGTCGCTGTCTCGGCTGGCGGTGCTGCAGGCGGCGCTCCGGCTGCTGCTGCGGCGGAGGAGAAGAAGGAAGAGAAGAAGGAGGAGGAGAAGGTCAGTATTCCCGGTCCAACTCAACCCTTCGACCTTGGGTCGCTGACAGCTGCTATAGGAGGAGTCCGACGACGACATGGGCTTCGGTCTCTTCGACTAGAGTACTGTTACCAGCTAAACATCGCTTCATGCGTGTATGTCTGTACGCTGTATCAAATAATGGCGGTCGAGACATGAAATTGCGTGATCAGACTACCCATTAAAGCTGCAGGTCGAAGCGATTCTTCAAGCTGCTCATAAAGTGCTGTCTACGACATTCAGAATGCTTGCGTTTTCTCTGGTTAGGTAACAGTTGACCCATTAAGGCAAATTTTCACTGGCCGCTGGCTTCGCGAAGCAGTTCATTTTGCGGCCGATGTTCGCGGTAGAACGCTGTCGCACAGTTTGCTATTTCTGAAGCAATATGACCAGTCCTGGGGTGCGGGACACCTCGTGTCTGCTGCGGCCATGACGTGCGATGGGTTTACAAACGTTGTGCGGCTCCGAATGAGCGGAGACACACACGGTGATGGCAGAGAGTATGACGGCAGGAGCTGAAACTGGTCGCAAGCGGAATGCAAATTGGAGTCTCGGTCGGCGAGGGCAGCCGCGGAGTGTCCGAGGATGACCCAGGCGCAAAGTGCCCGAGAAGGCTGTCTGCGTCAGAGTGCTGGGAAGATAAGGTCATTCGCGGGTATTACGTTTGTAAATGGCTACAGGATGATGCGCATTGGCTAGTGCTTCGGCGCGGACGGCTCCGATTGATCGGTGAGATCTGCCAGCCAAGGCCGGCGCTTGTGGCACTCACGCGGGTCGACTTTGGGCGCGTCCAGAACTAGTGCCGCCGGTTCCCAAGGCCCTGCCGGCGGGTGTCAGATGGTTGCTGCCGCGGCCTGGCTCAGGGACGGCAGCTCTCTCGGCATCCCTCCCGTCCCTCCCGCCGATATACGCGCGACCTGCTGCTTTTGGCAGCGCGGCGGGCGGCGGCAGTGGCGGCTCGCGCCCCGTCCTCGCCGTCTACCGTACTTAGCAGGGCCCAATGTCGCAAAATCTCCGGGCAGGGAGCATGGATCAGAGGTCTGTGAAGCGCGCGTGAGAGCAAGATGACACCCAACTTAGGTTTGTCCCGTAATTGGGCCCGGGAGATCGGTTTGGCCATTGTAGATTCCCCCTTGTAACGTTCGCTCTAAAGCACGCGCCACTTCTCGTCTTGTGCCAGTACCATCATCATCGCGCTAGATACACTCCCCGACGCTTGGGTGCTCCTCACTCCCGCTTCGCGCATACACCCGGCTTGCGTCGCATCGCCGACCCCTACATTCTCCCGTAGCTCCCTGCCGCGTCTGGTGCTCACAATCACATTTCGGGCTTGGTTATCAGTCTCGCTCAGTCCCCCTTAGATGGACCCGCGCAACCACCCCGAGCAGGTCTCTCTGTCCCCCGTCAACCACACTGTAGACGGCCGCATAGGCGGCAGTACCCGTCTCCCCGACGATGCCTTACATACCAATGGCGAGCAGACCACTGTAGCCTTTGTAAAAGGCGGGAAGCGCAAGCGACTCAGCAAGGTAGGTCTTATCGTTTTCGAACCGTTGCGCAGCGTAGATAGCATTGTACATATTTAGGCCTGTGATGCGTGCCACAAGAGCAAGCGGCGATGTGATGGAACAGGTCAGTTCTCAGTGGTTCGCTCTACGCGCGTCTCGTTGACCAAAAACGTACACCACCAAGCCCCGTGTAGCAATTGGTGGGTTCAATGCATTCTTCAGACCGGCGCAGACTGAACTCCCCGTAGTTACTTCGCATCCAAAAGTTGTACCTACACGGATTCCTCGGGGCGTCCAGTCCCGGCGCCACGGAATTCCAACCACGACAATGCTAATGCGTCTGTACCGGTGATTACTTCTAATTCAGCTATCTCACTGCCTCATGTGTGTTAATTTCCGTGATTTGCAGGAAATTCCGGCGCGCGATCAGATATCACGTTCGGGCGAGCCATCACCTCCGCATCCCCCGCTCTCAACAGATGAAGAGTATATTGCGGCGCCCAAGCGCAATCGCTCAAATCCTACCGCCGGCACGGCTTCACAGCTTTCCCCGATCCTCCACAAAGTTCAACAGCCACAATCTAAGTTGTTAGACCGCGATACCACCCATGAACTTGTGAACCGTACGTACATGCTCGACCGGCCTTTGTGCGGAAAGCCGCTCACACCGCTCCATTTATGACAGTGTTTTTTGCGCACTGTAATCCCCACCGCATGATATTCCATAAACCGTCATTTTCCGCCGAGCTCAGCCACAATCGGCTACCTGAATATCTTGTCCTGGTGGTCTGTGCAGTAGCCGCGCCGCTGTCCAAATCAGTGTCGTCCACAGCATCGATTGCGCGCCTTGCGGGCGTGCCGTTTTACGAGGAGGCCGTCTCGATAATGTTCGACAATGCGGGCCGCCTACTAAGCGAGCCTTGCCTTGCTACCGCGCAGGCGCTTTGTCTCATGGAGATGCACGAAGTCGCCGCGAGCCACTCATGGACGAAGCATTACAAGTACTTTGGTATGTACATGTGCTGTCCGCGCGCCGGCCGATGCTTGGCGGCGTGATGCATGAGGCGTGCATCTGCTGACGCCTATCCTCCTCATCCTGGTTGGGCGATGCGTGCTCAACTGTTCGTTGTTATCTTCCAGATCTGGCCCTCCGCGTTCTCGAGGAGAGCCTCGAGGTGCACGTGCCGGACGACAAGGCGCGCCGCCCCGCATCGCCGACGCCGCCGGATTCGCTTGACATGTATATCGAGCGCGAATGCTCGCGGCGGTGCTTCTGGCTCATCCAGCTGATGGGCTGGATCAACGCGATCTACACGTACCGCCCGCTGCGTCCGCGGTGTGTCGAGATGATGGCCACCGTGCGCCTGCCCATCGACGAGACGACGTTCGATCTGGCCGTGCACTGGCACTCAGCAAGTGAGTTTGAGATGTTTAAATATTTATATGCATTGCGGACGATGGATTGAGCCGAAATCATAGCGTCCGAGTTTATTCATGCTCCCGCGCCGCGTACACGCTACGCATCGCAGTTTGGCCACGTCTTACGGATACTGTCCCTTTATTCGACAGTGCAGGCGGTAGTGGGTACGTTTTGGTATCCCCGGAGTTCTAGTCCGTGGACTGACGCCAGGACACCAACAGCCATGGATGAGAGCACAGTCCGCGAGGCGGCGTTGAGGGATTGCCGCAAAGATCTCGAGGTACATGTTCCTGATTTACTCTGGCGGGACATTCGCTTCATCACGCATTCGTGCAGGAATGGGACGCATCGCTATCGGGCCACTTGCGCTTCTCAGAGGATAATCTGGAAAAGCAAGTGTCAATGTTCGACACTAGCTCCAATACGGGAGCGTGGTGCTTCTGCTTCATGCACGCACTCTACCCATGTTCTTGTTTGGCACTCGCGGAGGTAATAGGCTTTATTTTATCATGCCCGATCTACGTGACGAGCTTGTCGAACAGGGCGAAGGCCGATTAGCCGAACCCGTTCCATGGGTGCGCAAGCAGCTGGGGATGATCTTCGATGCCACCGGTACTCGGGCTAAAAATACCATACTCTGTAAGTCCTATATAAGGATGCTGTCGCGGGTAACGGTGTTGACGGGCGTCCCTCCAGCGGCATGCGTGCTATGGGTCGGTTTCTACTATTTTGTCTCATAGGCCTGCTGCTAATACCCGCCGTGTTCGTATTTGAAATCAGTCCTACAGCAAGTACCATCCGGACGATCCACAGCTGCACATCTGGGACCATGATTTCGAGAAGACGTGGGGATTCAGCGTCACCGTTGTCGCACACCAATGGCGCGAAGTACAGGCGAAGGAGCGGGCGGCGAACTCGCCGAAAAATAGCCCGCCACAGCGCGAGCAGGCAACAGAACCAGCCGCCAATTCCGCGAGCGTGGTAAACGCGGCGGAGAGACACCCCGTGGATCTGGGCGAGCAACCTCACGGAGATGCGGCGGTGGTCCAGCGATACGACTTTATACCCCAGGGGCAGTATCAGCGGACGGTGGATACCACTGCAGCTGAGCAGATCGTTCAAGCTCCGCTATTGAGACCTCATCGTGACCCTGCGCCGAATCTGCCCTCGCTGAAGGCGAGTGGTCTGCTCGATGCGAGACCACCCTCTGAGGCCTTCGCGAACGGACTGACGATATCGTCGCAATCGCCATTGCACAGGGACGACGATCGAAGATCCATGGCGACGCTGCTCAACTCGCCTGTGCAGCTGAGGGGAAACATGGCATCAGCTCCCTGGGCGTGAAGAACGCGCCAAGTATTGACAGCGGATGCGAGGGGCAGGAGTATCAGCATCATTGTAGAATGCGCCCATACCATTGGTGTGGTTTGTGGAGACGCTACTTCTTGTAGTGCCTCAGATCTTGGGTATTATGTGGTGGCGATGTTACATTGTGTAGGAATCATAATGCAGACGAAGTCCAACCGATACATACAGAATGGCAGACTATCATGACGCTTTCTTCAGGTTGCGGTGCAGCTCCGGCTTGACGAGGACGACGCGGTCCAGGAGCTTGGCCACGACCTGGTCCTTGTTCGCGTAGTACGCCTCGCTAATCTCTTGGAGCTTAATCTGCGTCTCCTGGTCGACGGCGGTCTGCGAGGATTGAGTGTTTCCAGCGTGCTATCACGGAATGTGAGCGACCCATGCATCGAATAAGAGCACACCGCTCACCGATGCCTCGAACGCCTGAAACTCAGATTCCTTGAGCCTCTTGTATTCTTCTATCTCCTTCGTGGCCTGAGACCGTGCATCCTTGAGTTTCTGGACGCGATCTAGGTAGCGAATGTATCAGCCACTGCAGGCGCGATGCGCGGTCAGACGAACATTGGCGCGCCCGCTGGACGACCTTTGCGGCCTCTTTCTCGGCCTCAAGTAGGGTCTGTATACTCTGGGATTGCTGTGTAGCCTGGCGAGCGCATCGCGTGAGCAGAGCGCGGACGACGGCGGCAGAGGCGACTAACCATTGCAGGAGGCAAGTGCGCTTTCAGACTCCGCCGAGACTGGCGCCTGGACGAGTGACGCTTGGGATCTCGGCGCTCGCAGACACGGACTTGGACCCAGCGGCGAGCGCAGTGTGCGGAATGGCCAGTAATCCTGTAGACCCCCTTCAGGCCCTGTCTGCGGCGTTGGCTGTCCCCGCAGACTCGAAAGAGCAGGCAGATTTGTTGGCTACGCTACGTGAATCACTGGAAATACACCCCGGACCCATCCCGATCCTCTGTACCACCCTCGTCAAAACCGTATCCGGGGCCGGAGACTCGCTGCTGAAACGATGGGTCATTGACCTCCTACACTATGCTATATGCAGGTCGAGTCTGTCCATTGAGGCGCGCACACAGTGTGCGTGTCGATTTCCTGAGTCCGTGAAGTTTGTGTGTTAATGAGACGCATTTAAATATAGTGGCTTCTCAATCCTTGGAGACTTTGGCTGGCCTGTTGCACGACTCCAACCAGAACACGGTCAAGGTGACGGTACAATGCTTTGCGACCGTATATGCGTTGCTCTTCCGCGTGCTGTACGTACCGGCCGTGTGACCATTCGATCCTCTCACCTCACAAAATGTACAGATGCACAAACCGGACACAACGTCAACAGTGGGACATTCTAACGCAAGTCAAGACGCGAATACTCGAATTTGTTTGGGCCCCCCACATTAGCAGTGGCATAAAGTTTGCTGCTGTGAAGTTCATGCAAAGAGTCATTCTTGTTCAGACGCGAGGAGTCCCCGACCCTAGGGTGAGTGTGTTCTCCTGCAGTCTGTACAAACAACACAAGGAAACTAAGCCATATGCACTCTCTGCCATCTAGCTACAAAACAAGAATGACCCGAATCTCACAATGTGCCCTACGGACCACCCGTTCATCTCTGTGGCCACCTTAGAAGCAGAGGGACTGAAACTGCTGGAAAGCGTTATCACCATCTTATATACTAGCAAGTAAGACTACTACTCGCTCACTCAGCCTTTCCCGCCGACTGAGCTTTGCTTCAGTAATCCCGACATACTGTCCGCCATTTTAAACAGTTGGGCAACCCTAGTCAAGTCGCGACCAGCATTGGTAGAGGTTGTAGTCTCAACCTTGACTCAATGGACACCAGCGAAACTTGAAGGGTTTCCCGCGGCCAGTATCAAGAGCGTCGAAAAGGCAGTTCGGATACTGCTCGTCCACATATCACGGTGAGTGGCTACACAGTCTTCAGTCCGAGCGTGGTTCGAACTTGCCACCACTAGTACATCGCAAGGACAGCCCTATGCCTCGCAGATCCACGCGGCGCTCGCAAACCAAGGCACGCGCATGGATGCTGCTGCTGCCGCGGAAAAGCAGCGCAAAGCGGCGGAAGCTTCCCGGAAGCGGTCGCCATCTGGTACCCCGGCACAGGATGCGCCCGACGCAAAACGTCCGAAGCTGGAGCACGAGAGTGCTCCTCTCGTCGGACCGTCCACTGTGGCTGGATTCGCCGGCTTCGACTTCACAACCCTCCCTGCCTCCCTCGTCACCGACCTTGTTGTGGCCAACATTCAGTCATTCACCGAGAACTCACTGATTGGGTTGGTGCGGGCTTACCGTCATAGTAAGAATATACAGAGTACAACACCTGCAGTAGCACCTGCGGCCGTGCCTCTCCAACCTCTGATTGCCCCTGCAGTGCCCTCAACTGAGGCCCCATCATCGTCAGACACTCATGTACGGACGACGAGCCCTCCTCCTGATGCTAAGGAGCCAGAAGTCAAGGCTGAGCCTGTTGATCCACTCAAGATGGATATCGATGAGGATGAAATCGAGTATGAGCCTGACAGGCTCAATCTCGAGGTAAGTTCGGCTCTCTCCTTGTTGCACAGCATTATTTATCCAATAATTTAGTTGTCTGGCGAGCCAGGGGCTATGCCGGAGGACGAAGCCGCGCTCGACCGTGTGATGGATCTGGCGGCGGACTTGCACCTCGCAGACTTCAAGCTCCCTCCACCAAAAGAACTATCTATAGAAGAGCGGAATCTAGTTGTGCATGGTTCACTCACCCGAATATGGGACGGTTCGAAAGACCTTGCGCCATCCGAGGTGCTCCAAGATGAGGTTCCTGGTATGTCTGGCGCCGACATGTGGATGCTACTCATCGTGCGCATGGTCACGCGCGTCACGGATCCATCGCCAAGTGACGTCCCTGAGGAGAAAAGGCCGGAAGATAGTATGGACGTTGTATCCGAGCTGTACGCACATCAGGACCGCCTCAGACAGACACTTTGTGACTACATCATGGCGGACTTCTCAGGGAGGTTCGTCGTTAACCTACTGCATAACACGGCTAGCACTCATTCTCACTTTCTAGATTGCGCCTTGCCACCACCTGGATGAACGAGGAATGGTATAATGACCAGATCCAAATAGCGCGGGATCGCAATTGGGTATGTCCTTCATTTTGTTATGATGAAATCCTCCTTGATTTTTAACATAAGTTCAATCAGGCACCTAACTACGAAACATGGCTGAACCAGATCGTCGCAGCCTACCAAACGCATCTTGATGGCAAGGATCGGACATTTTCCCGTTTCTTGCTTGACTTGCCCCATGTACCCCCTGACGTGCTGACTCTCCTCCGAGAATCGTGCATTGAGGTCGAACGGTACGTTACAAATTCGAAGACCGTGGTCTGTTGTATTGCTAAAATCAGGAATCAGGCGACAAATGGGCTTTGCTGCTCTCCGAGAATTCGTCTCGCAACGGCCATCATTACGTGCGGAAGCTATGAACATGCTTCTCGAGCTTACTACACATCCTGGTAGGACTTTTGGACCATTGTTGTTTCTTGAGTTAACTCCTCGTATGTCCCCATCCAGATAAAGTGACACGTGGTGCAGCCATCAACACCGTGAAGCGGTGGATACCGGATGTGCAGCCCATGGACAACATGATTCGTGAATTCGCACTACAACTCCTCCGACGGCTACAATCGCGACCAAAAGCAGACAAGTCAGAAGATGTAGCGATGAACGGCGACCACGACGAAAACATGGAAGACGGGCAACTACCACCGGAGGATATCATACAGACTCCGTATTTGCCGGAGCAGCTCGAGCTTCCTGCAAACAAAGCTCAGATCTTACAGCACCTGGAATTGCTTTTTGCCTTGTCGACGAAGGTGCCGGAGTTCTTGGATGAGTGCGTTGAGGATCTTTTGGGTGCTGCTTCTAAGGCTCATCCCAAAACTGCAGGATTTTCGCCGCATATGGCGGAATGGAAGAGACCGTCCAGGAGACAATCCAGCAACTGATTACACCGCTCATCCGTGCTTTGGGTCCTACCCATGGCCGACTATTGACGTTACTCCGGACGTTCCCACCTGGTGGCGAGTCTCTAGCGCTTCGCGTTTTGACCATCTTCACGGAGAATGTGCGGCCAAGCTCTCAGCTAGTCACTCTCGTTAAGTCGCTCATCAATGAGAGGGATCTCGATGCTCGATTCCTCATTCCAATTATAGCCGAGATGGACAAGGTATGCACAATTTCAATGTCGATATGTCGATCCTCCGTTGATACTCGTTGTGTGCAGGCGGACATTCTCCGGCATCTGCCACGCATTGTCTCTATACTGAACGGGCAGCCAGAGCCCAAGAACCTGGTCCGCTCTGTCTTCAGCTCGATTGTCACAACACCCCCACAGTCATTCGGTAGTGTCACTTCGAACCTGCCGCGGGTGCGACAAAGTGAGCTCCTGACACCTGCGGAACTGATGGTTTTATTGCACGAGTCAGAGAAGGAAATCGGTCTAAAGAGCGCCATCGAGGGTGAGTTGGCAGGTCCTCTTCGATCCAAGCGCATGCTCCTGACGTCTTCACAGCCATTGGGATCTGCTTCTCTATGACTGATATCTTCAGATCTGAGATTCTGGCCGTCGTCATGAATCAGCTTGTGGACGAGCCAGTACTCCCGACACTTTTCCTCAGAACTGTACGTGTCATGGATCCACTTTACTGAAAGTCGTGGTCTCTGATCATCCTGCAGGTGATACAAGCCGTCACAACGTACCGGTCACTTGTGGGCTTCGTCTCGACAACCCTGCTGTCTCGGTTGATCACAAAAAAGATTTGGACGAATCCTCCGTTATGGGAGGGCTTCATCCGCTGCGCGAAGCTGATTGCGCCTGCGAGCTTCGGTGCACTCCTGCAGCTGCCGAAAGATCAGCTGCGCGAGCTCGTAGACAAGCAGCCGAGCCTGAAGTCTGGGCTGCGCGATTATGTGCTGAAGAAGGCCGGGAATAGGGCTCGTGTCGCAGGCTTGTTGGAGATCTTCGGGGAGGATGATAGCAGCAACAACAGTACCAATGTGCCTGAGCCCGATATACAAATGCCGGTGGTAGCACCCAGCCCCACGGTGTCATGATATATGCTCGATGTGCATCTCTGGTGGTTCTGATATACTTATAGCGTATAACATGGAGCAGACATTTCATCTGTAGCATTCGGTAGCAGCGCGTCCTGCGTGTACGATAGAGTAGGCGGCAAGCATTCATCCATGATCGCCGTAGGCATTACAGTATGTAGACGAATATTCGCATGCGCAATCAGCTCGTGTCCATTGTGATGAGGCCTTCGCCGAGTTCCAGTGACTCCGCTGGGTTTTCCGCAAGTTCCAGGGCGCTCAGCAGGGTGTCAACGTTGGGAGACACGGCGAATCGTCTATTGACCTCGCCTAAGACACACAGCCTCTTGTTTTCGTTGTCGAGATAGATCGCCTGCTGCAAAAACGACGGTTGCGTCGCCGCGGTCACCTGGGAACATCCGTCAGTCACTGTCGCAGATTCGGAACAGAGACACGAACATCCATCACAATCCCGTTTCCGAGGCGCATCTTGACGGCCCCGCTTTCATATATCTCCAACTGACCAATGATGCCGTCGATCTTGGGCTCCTCCTTCTCAACTTTAGTCTGGGCGTTGGTTGCGCCCACTGGAGGCACGGCTCCCGGAACTGGCGCTGGCGGTTTTGTGTCTTGTGCGAATGTAACCTTTTTGCTATTGTCATCTGCCTTGTCGAGTAAAGGCGGCTCAGGATCTGCTGGCGGCGGAGCATTTGATATAAATGTGGGGAAGGGACTGGGGAACTGGAAGAAATAGAGGCGTTCTTGTCGGATATTCGTATCCTACAGGACTTGTAAGTACACCACAGAACAAGGATGATATGCATCCACGGACCTCCTCTGCTTCGTTTGCAAACGCGAAATCGTCGATAATATCTTCGAGCTCTTCCTCTTCTTCTGAGTCGCTGAGATCGACTGCGTTTGCTAGATTGACCTCTTCTTGGGGTTCAGGCGTGATGTCCACCTCTATGGCCTCCTCCTTTGCGACACCTGATAATCGAATGAGCAATGAAGCGCGCTCTGGAAGTTTGCTGCGAAAACAACCTACCCTTGCCCTTGCGATCCTCCTGCTTGTCTGGGTCCGCCTTCACCTTCAGCCCCTTCTTCCTCTTCCCACCCTCCTTCTCCTTACCCAGACTCTCAGGAGCCATCCAGTCCATCTGCTTGATATGATCCATATCCACGATCTCCACGCCCTCGTCCGGGTCCGAGTACGCCTCGACATCATCGTCTGCGGGCGCCGGCTCGCGCCCTCTCTCGCGCTTCAGCGACGGCGCGGTCGTCAGCGTGAGGCCCGCGCCGAGGTGCGCGGTGCCGCCGGGGCCCTGCGGTACAATGGGCGCGAAGTTGGAGCGCGGCGCGGTGCGCCGGGCGGACGTGCCCGCCAGAGTGGGGCCCATGGCGAACGGCCCGCTCGCGGTCATCTCGACCACGGGCGGCGCGCGTGGGCCTGCGCCTCTGCCTTCGCCGCCCCGGCCTCGACCCCGACCGCGCTCACCACGACCGCGCTCACCTCCGCGTCCCCTGCCGCGTTCTGCTGGAGCGGGTGCCGCGGACGGCGCGCCTTCCTATGCGAGACGTTAGGGCGGTCGCTCGTAGGGGATATGCGCTGGTACATACCTTCTTGACTTCCCTGTTGCAGTGTCAGTCGAATATTGCCGCGAGACTGCAAGGACGCGACGCACTCACTCCTTCTTCCTCCTGGCCGGTAATGTCGGCACGAACTTGAGCTTTTGGGTGCCAAGCCTGGTCACATCGCTCTGTTTCTTTGCGAGGCTCGCTATGGCCTTTGGTGTCGTGCTAGAGCTCGAGCCCGAGGGACCTGGTGTGGGTGGCTGGTCTGCCATTTTGCTGCCCGTTGTGGAAGGAACGACGAACGTGCTACTCACGATCAATCAGAGAAAGAGATTGATCTAAGCGAGATTCAGGAGATAAGATAAATTGTGTGCATTGATCGAGGAAAGGGAAAGAAAAACTTCAGGCTCTGCACCCGACTACATCCCTCCCCGACGCCCGCAGCAGCGACGAGACAGCCAACATGGGCGAGCCAGAGCACCTCCACATGACATACAACGACATACACAACCTCATCCGTGCTGCTGCGGACAGGATCGCCGAGTTCAAGCCAGACATGCTCATAGCCATAGGTGCGCATGTTCTCTGCATTAATCGCCCTGCATTGACCTCGCATGCTGTGCAGGTGGAGGGCAAGTAGCCGGTCCATACTGTGTGCGATAGTGTACCTGAACATTTATGCAGAGGATTCTTCCCAGCTCGTGTCATGGTGCGTGCCTGCTATCTCTGCTCCCGCGAGTGCCCGCTCACGTTCCCTCGCAGCGTACGTTCCTCAAGGACACGGCGACAAAGCGCAACATTCCCATCCACGCAATCGGCCTCTCGTTATATGAATCACTCCCGGGCACAACCGCCGAGCAGATTGGCAACGAGGTCATCAGGACCCAGTGGCTGTAAGTCTCAGGCTGCGTCACGGCGTGCGCCCTCTAAATGCGGTCCAATAATACCGTGTGCATTGCAGAGGCCCGGAATCCGGGAGGATCCTTCTCGGGCGAAGAGCTCTGATTGTGGTGCGTCTCCGTTTAGGCTCCGCTCATCCCGGAATGTATCCTGATTGGGATCTCATAGGACGAAGTGGACGACTCCCGCAAGACCTTGCAGTGAGTTTGTCGTTCGATGGCGTGTGCAGCCATCTCGTTGTGTGCCGACACATGTTGATATTTTGTTCGCCACACAGATACGCGATCTCCGAGTTGCAAAAAGATGTCGAGCGCGAACTAGCTGCGCTGCCCGAGTCCGAGCGCAAGGCACAGCGGACGCAGTTCGCCGTGTTCGTCGTGCACAACAAACTCAAACCAAAACTAGGCGAGCTTCCGCCGGACGTCCCGTAAGATGCTGCGTTATCTCTGCGTGATCGCAACAGATGGGTGGACTGCGACACTGACATATTGGTGCAGCTACTACGCCGGCGACGAGGTCGAGGACGTATGGTAAGGAGGGCATTACTCCCTGCTGCTGTTCCCGTGCATGTTTCGCTGAATCTGCGTCCGCTGATAGGCTGGATTACCCGTGGGAAGCCGTGTGAGTGGTGGCTGCTTCACATGCTCTGATTGGTCACAGGCTCACGCCTGCTTCTGAATGGCTGCCGTGGATCAGCGATATCGACGAGCACGACCGCCTTGCGTTTGCAGAACGCCAGCATTAACCAGGGCTACACGCCGACGAGGAATTAGAGCAAGGGATGCGATGCTGGACACAAATGTACGCTTATGTTGTTGTATCTGCGCGCGGACATATATATCGTCCCGCTGTGTACGTAACCGAGGGCGACGGCGACGGCGATTTGTTTGTATTCTTCCTCATTGATAGCATCTAAAACACCGTGCAGCGAGTGCGTGCGCTAGTACCGTCTGGGAATATAATTGAGTTCACCACGTCTCCCTGTCTTCCGGAAGGCTTGTGGTCCCTTCCTCCTGATCCACCAGTATAAAGCACCGAATTTCAGTCCGGCGGTCCACTTGCCGCGCCTGCTACCTTCGAGGTTTGCTAGCGGACTCTTGCGCTACGGGCCTATATATACCGCAGGCCACGCACCACCGCGCACCTCTGAGTCACTGCCGTCTGGTGCCGCAGAACAAATCTTCACGTCCGTCAACGCCCGCAGTTGCCCACCACGTCGCTCGTACAGCCCGTTGAGCTAGTTGAGATACTTCCCAACATCATGGAAGTATCAGAGGAGATTGAGTACGAGGGGTTGGACCCCAATGCAGGCCTTTATGTGAGTCGCTAGCGATGTGTCTGGATGGTGAAATATATGCTGACGGCTTGCGTGGCCCCAGGTGAACATGATGGCCGGTGCGCTGGTGAGTGCCTGCACATTTTCGGGACAGGGAGCGGTCACTGCAGCTTGCATCGCTCAAGGCCAGTCGGGGTGTTAACGATGGGCTCTGCAGGCTGGCATCACAGAACACGCAGTAATGTTCCCGGTAGACAGCATAAAAGTCCGTCTCTTCGTCTTTTTCTCCCGTTTTCTCGATGCTGACGCCCGACAGACTCGAATGCAGGTGTTCGCGACGTCGCCATCGGCGGTGTACACCGGCATCGGGAACGCCTTCACACGGATATCGTCGACGGAGGGCATGCGGGCGCTATGGCGCGGTGTCTCGTCGGTGATCATGGGCGCAGGCCCAGCGCACGCGGTGCACTTTGGGGCGTACGAGGCGGTGAAGGAGCTGGCGGGCGGAAACGAGCAGGGGAACCGGAATCAATGGCTGGCGACATGTGCGTCCTAGACAACCTCGCATTCCCCACCGATTGGCTGATCTAGACAAATCCTGCCGCTTGCCCCTGCGGACGCGTTGCATTGTATTCGTGACACTTTCCAGCACTTGCAGGGGCGTCCGCGACAATCGCGAGCGATGCCCTGATGAACCCCTTTGACGGTGAGATTCCTGTTTGCTCCCATGCGCGACCGCCCGCCGACGCCCCTGCTTACGCTCACAGTGATCAAGCAACGAATGCAGGTGCACCAATCTGAATTCCGCTCCGCCATCACCTGTGCGCGCACGGTCTACCACACGGAAGGCCTCTCCGCGTTCTACGTCTCGTATCCGACGACGCTCACGATGACGGTCCCCTTCACCGCCGTGCAGTTCACGGCGTACGAGCAGCTGAAGACGCTGCTCAACCCCTCCGGTGTGTACTCGCCTGCGACGCACATCATCTCGGGTGGCCTGGCGGGCGGAGTCGCGGGCGCGGTGACAACACCACTCGACGTCGCGAAGACGCTCCTGCAGACGCGCGGGACGTCGCAGGACATGGAGATCAGGCACTCGCGGGGGATGATGGACGCGTTCAGAATCATCTGGGCGCGGGACGGGTGGAAGGGCTTTACGCGTGGCCTCGCGCCTCGCGTGCTGACGTTTATGCCGAGCAATGCGCTATGCTGGTTGTCATATGAGTTCTTCAGTGAGTTTGCAGCAGTGTGTTGTTCTTTTGCTTGTCGAATTCTGACGGGCTCCTGCAGAGGCTGCGATACGAGACGGTTGACCTTTACCTCTACTATTCTATTAATGATTGCTATCTGCTATGTCATTCGCGTCGTTCCCCAGTCGCATGAGACCTTCTGCAGGCAGTCGCTTGATCATCTAAAGCTGGCAGCCGTTTGCTTAAGAGAGGAAGACATCCTGCTGAGGTGATAGCTGTAGCCAGCCTATTATGCGGTATTATTCCGGGGTGCATGAGCTGCCTTCAGGTCAATCCTGAAGCATAGGATGCGCCGACTCTGACCGGCTTCCCAACATATTTAGCAAATGACTCACCGTGGTCCACAACATTTGGTGAAAGCTTTCTGCATAAGTTGAAGCGCACAAGCAATTGTCGACACTAAATCAACACGAATCTTCACTCCAGTGACAAGTAAAATACACTAGGGGATGCAATTAGGGAGCACAATACGACACATAACGAGTACAGAAATACAATCCTGACGTGACAGAGAAAGCGGGTCCGAACAATCTACACCTCCTGTGAGGCGCCCTCCTTCTTGCCCTTGTTGGATTTCGACGGCAGGAGTTCGGGAAGGATGAAGGGTACGACACCACCTTGGCTGATGACGACATCGCCGAGCAACTTGTTAAGCCTGTAATCAATTATGAGACTTGACGAATATCTCCTGCAGCGACCTGTACTCACTCCTCATCGTTACGAATGGCAAGTTGCAGGTGACGGGGAACAATACGCTGCTTCTTGTTATCCCGAGCAGCGTTACCCGCAAGTTCGAGGATCTCAGCAGCAAGGTATTCAAGAACAGCAGCGAGATAAACTATATCACAAAACAATCAGTGGGAATGGCTATGCGTTATGATTGTGGCCAGACGCACCAGGAGCACCTGCTCCCACACGCTGTGCGTAGTTGCCCTTCTTCAAGAGACGGTGGACACGACCGACCGGGAACTGGAGACCAGCCTTTGCCGAACGCGACTGCGACTTGCCCGGTTCACCTCCAGCCTTACCAGAGGAAGACTTGCCACTGGATAGACAGAGATAAGCTCTCATGACCTCCAAAACTGGTTATTAGGCGCGTACGCTTTACCCTTGCCAGACTGGAGTTTGATTTTCAATGATTGTTTCAAACAAAAACTTTGCATAGTTGACGTACCATTTTCAAAAGCTGTAGATGTTACAAGACAAAAAGGACGAGGTGTAGTGGTGGGGGAGGCAAAAGGGCTCGTTAGAGAACATGAAGACGTCCATGGCTTATATACCGCGCCGCAGGATTAAAACTCCGCAGAGCAGTAAACAAGTCGCGCCCACACGTGACGCACGCGTCTCGATCATTGAACGCGTCGGGCGCTCACGCCACTTTCGTGTCGTGAACTATCATTCCCGCTTTTACTTTCCACGATTGAGCCTTGCAGTCGAAGGTGTCTCACCCTGTATCAAATGTTACAGGCACGCAAGGTGACGGTCAACTTTATGAAATTGCGTCCTGTCGGCAGGTGCGCCCGAGTGCACTCTGAATGACCGGGCCACATCCTTATGGGCACACAAGAGTAACTGCTCGATTGTTAACCTCCTACAGCTCTTCTTTTTTCAAGATTACTATAAGCCGTTTGCGAGCTCCTTTCCAAATGAATTCTGGTCATGGTATCTAATCTGCCAAATGCGTGCGCGAAACACGAGGACGGGGAACTCGCACGAGAGAAGCCATTCTAGTCCACACTCCACGAGGCTCTGGGATGGCTGAACACTATTCATTTCCTCCAAGACTCTTTCCACGCAAACTCTGCCTTGCCGCTGCGGACATTTGCCCTACTCATCCACTGCACTTTACTATTCACAACCCACAGGGTGCCACAACCGTGACGATCGCGCCTTCATCGTCGTTCTCTCCGCTGTTATTACGATTTATCTCTTCAAGGTACCTTCATGAGTCCAATTACGCCTACAAGTGAACAGGTAGCGTACTGTCGTCCTCCAAACTCCACTCTGATTCTCGTGTGCTTCCTGTAAATTGACATCGCTCTCTCTAACACCAGGCGCCTACGATCTATGTCGTACGTTGCTATTCGACATTGTCCTGAGACGTAGCGTGCTGAATATATCGAAGATCGTCGTGTATACGGTGGTGATCTTCGCGCTATGGGTCATCCCAGGAGCCCGTGTTCTCATCAACCCATTGAAACTATTCACCATCGGGTGGCACGAATTCTGCCACATCGTCGCCGTACGTCTCGCTAGAAATCCCTCTTTCTCTCGCCTGATGCTGTGCTCTCAGGCTGTGATGACCGGTGGCAGTGTAGTCAAAGTGACGATCGATCCCGACCTCGGAGGCGCAACATACGTAGAGGGTGGCAATGCTCTCGCCATCCTTTCTGCGGGATACATCGGCTCCACATTATTCGGCGGGGTATTCGTCCTCGCCGGATTTGATATCCTCATGGCCAAGATCGTGAGCTTCGTGCTAGGCCTCGGGCTCGTTGCGCCTCTTGCTCTCGTGCGCAACAAGCTGTACGTTTCTGTTCGGAAGTATTGAATACATCTTGCTGATGATGTGGCTCGTAGAATAATATTGCTGACCGTCATCTACGAAGGCATTCTTGTTGGGTTCTGGTTCATTGACCATGGGTTCGTGCAGGGCCCATCCTCTAGGAGACTGTTGCTGAGTAGAGCCATTGTTCAGACAAGCTCTTCGATGGTATTGCCTGTTCGTGGGCGTAATGAAGTGTGTATCCACCATTGTCCGTATGATGTTTGCTCATCGCCTACAGCGTATTTTACGTCGTCTGTACGTCTTGTTTCAAGTCGACGCCACTTGGAAGACGACTCCGATGAAAGACTAACTTGACCCTGCAGGGGACATCGCGGACGACAAGTACTTCCGCAAGACGAATGACTCCGATGCCACCCAATTTGCGAGACTATTTCCCCAAGTCCAAGCGCACGGTGAGTCCCGACTCAAGCTTTATCACGTCTTAGCTTAACGCCGACAAAGCTGATCCGTCACGTATCGCATACGCAGTCTGGGCAGCCTTGTGGATCATCTTCGAAGTCGGCGTCCTGATCGGCTTCGTGCTACTTGGCATTGTGGCTTTTAAGCGCACGAACGCGCAAATGTTCGCTGAAGCAGGTACTTGGGTGGCTAGGCTTATTCAAATGTTCAAATGCTGACATGTTCTGATCAAATGTAGGTCAATTTCTTCCAACATGAGGTTGGGCCGGGGCTCACAAGATGCACTCACGGACATTCCGAATTTGATCTGCTAAACGAAGGCCTGTACACTACGTAGCTCTGTTGTCGAAAGATCTGCAGTGTACCACTATTCTCGATGCATGATGTGCTCCACTTTCTGGGATCTGTAATAATTATTGAGGGTTAGACACGCCGCACAATCTCCTATGACAGCCCTCTTGCAGATGAAATAGAAGACGCGGAAGGCCAGGAACGGTACACGAGGGGAACCCACAGTCGTCAATTGGTAATGGAGATCATGGCGTACATCATTAGCATGCACGCCCCTATGCGTATTTCCGTGTTACTAACATATATACCCTGCTATTCAACGCGAGCGATCCAGTGGCAAGTTCAATCACGCCGAAACGGGAGGGACAATGAGGTCGAGCTGTCAACACCGGTCGGCCACAGTACCGGGGAGGTGGCAGCGTGGAATATCATGCAGGATGAGGTGTACTGAGTGATGGCGGGTCGTAGGGGATAAGACGTTACGGAGAAGAGGCGACGTTAGATAGAGAAGGGACGCAATCATTTACGCGTAGCTCGCCGTATAAGTGATGCAAGGAGGATGGTGCCCAGAGCCGCCGCGCCTCCAGCAATTGCCATGCCGATGTAGCCCTCTGATAAGTGGGAAGAAGCCAACCGTGCCACAAAAAGACACGAGCAATGTCGGAAGTCAAGTTTCCGGGAGGTCAAGATGCGTCAGTAAAGTGCAAGGATAATATTAAGGCGGGGAGCAGAAGACAGTAGTGACGCACCTTTTGTGATTCTCTGGTCTATAAGCGAAGCAAGGCTTTGTGCTTGCAGGTTCGTGGGTTCCTTCTCCATGAGTAATGCTACATATGGTCATGAAGTTGGAACACAATCTAGGTAGAGAGGCGGCGCACAGTTAAATCTCTTCGCTTCGTCGTAATTCCCCATCTTGTAATGGCCTAAGGACAGGTAGTACAGGCATTCGCGACGGCGTGATGGCTCAGCCCGGTAGAGTTCTGACAGTGACGGACCATCGAGCAAACACGAGAGATTGTGTTCAATGATAATAACATACTGCATGGACTGCCGACACACCTTGCAGGAGCCGCACGCCCTCCGCCTGGTGCTCCCGCATAGGGCTCTTGACCAGTCCCCAAGCATAGTTGAACTTTGTTTGCGTCGTTACATGCGATTGAGAAAGCTCTTTCTGGTACTGGAGGCGCAGAACCTGCGAGTAAGAATTGTGAGTGAGATTCGGGCTCCGCCTCACGAAGACACCGAAGCCCGCACCTCGAGCTCGTCGTAAGATAGCGAAACTTCAGCATCCGCGGCGTAGGGCAGTTCTGTGGGCATTGCTCCCCCGTCTACCGTGAGGGTGAGGACGATATGTCGTGGTTAAAGACAGAGTTGGTCTGCAGCCAAGCGCGGCGATCCCGAAAGGTCACGCACGTGGTTTGCGTCACTCGCTGCAGGATCGACTCGGGATGCTCAAAATGGCTTGCGCTTCGATCTTGCGAAGCTGTGCACTGACCACGAAATACACACAGAATCTACTAATAGGTTGATATAACGCAAGTCCCAGGCGTCTCAAAGTTAATCCTGTGCTATTCAACGTAAGTACGGGACATTTTTCTTGGCACACGAGAGCGGCACTTCGCATCGTGTCTGTAGTGGCGCGTCCATCAAAGAATGACTGATATTGAGAAATCATTATAGTTGAATTGCACAGACTTTATTCAGTAGCCGTCCTAGACAGCACTGGCCAATGAAAAATAGAAAGGCAACATGTGTAGCTAGCCGGCGGTCTCATGTCACATAGCGGAAGAACTGTCTTCAACAATTTGATAGCTATTGCGGCCACAGCTTTGACTCTCAAGTACTCTCTGCGTCGAACGTATACCCGCAGCCGCATTCACAGCATCAGGACAGAACTCAGACGGTATTCGCATTCTCGAGGAAACCAATCATGGTGCTTTCGTAATAATCGCTCCTGTGTGTGATGGTGCGGATGTTGCGACAATTGACCTGTGGTGGCCGGCGACATATTACACACTAAATATAGCAGGTTGTAAACGCCGAAGCTGAGAAGACTTTCCTACCACCGGCACAGTCTAGCACACAATGACGCCTCCATGCTAGGAGTGTGCCAGATTCGAGACTGTAAATGTCCATCTCGAACGACCTTCGTGAATTGGCCGCCGTCTTCTGCGCGGATTTGCTCAATTGCTCAATATGTGCAGGCTCCAGGTGAGAAACGTAGTTCATGTAATTCAACCTATTTTTGAACATGGGGACCATAATGCGATCAGATGCTGGAGGCAGGCACCTGAACCTCAGCTCGGAAGTAATTCCCAGACATCTGATAGATCTGAACGATCCACAAATCGTCTAGGGTCAGATGGTCCTCACCGAATCTGTAGTAGTCAGGAGCATTAGGGTCCGGTGTTTCCTTTTCACATTCCTGTCGATACGTCCGTCAGCTAGAAGTTTGGGCAGATAGGAATATAGGTACCTTGATGAACTCACGAAAACTTTCGGCAACCCTTCTGATTAACGTAGAGACATTCATGGTCGCTGGGGCGTTGGCACGATCAGACCGGCAATCATCTAGACCGTCAATCCATACGCTGTCTTTCAGACAGATGTGGCTGCTGAATGCTTCCGACGTCTTTGGATAGGGTGGCCACTTCACCAAAGTCATCAATGAGGAAGCACTAGATGGTCGACTGCAAGCAATGACATACCGAGACGGTGAAAACGATTGATGCGTAGCTTCTGGTACGGCCGTGCATCTCGGCCAGGTCATTGCCGCCAAAGAGGACGGGTGCAATTTCCTCCCAGTAGCTCTCGTGTAGGAGATCCGCGAGGCATGCACCATGAGTACGAAGGTCGGTTCGGTACAATGGGATTCGCTGACCAGCCGGGTGTGAGAGACCGTCGCCTGGCTCGGCACTGAGTGACGTTGAATTCTTCTTATACCACGGATAAGTATCCTTGTTTATCTGCAAAACAGTTTCCATCCTAGGGCTTGTGAGATATGGCAGCGAAGATAGTCCCGGGAGGGGTCCTTTCAGTCCCTGTTTGAACGGACTGATTGAAGCGAGTCTCAAGCTTGAGGGCCCTTTGATGATAAGGTTGCGAAGTTCCACGGGCAGAGTCCGGTCATCTTGAGCCATGGGCAACGTCGAAGCGTGGCCCTCGTTCGCCACAGTAGACCCAATATCAGCGGTGAGAAGACTGGGTGCACGAACATGCAAAGCTAGCAGGTAGCGGTGTATATATATTCTGACACGAGACCCAGGGAAAGGCATCCGTCCGACCCACCTGCATCATACAGTAGATAAAGCTACAAGTGCATGGCAATAAATGCAATGTGGTTGTTCGAAAAGCCCAGCAACGGGCGGTAAAAGCGCCCCTTGCCTTTGTGCTTCCGCAGAAAGCACAGTCCGTTCAATTGTGGTTGTCAACATGCCGAGCCACCCACCTACGTCAGAGCCCGTCTCAGCGCGGGGACCATGAGGCTCAACATGGATTGTTCGCATCGGGTCTTTGTGGCTGCCATGTACAACGCCACACAAATCATGCCTCTGAATAGATGTGGCACTACACCTGTGTAATACGATCATGTCGGAGGGGATTGGAGGGCTGAACAGCTTTTTTGCATTCTTTATGGCAGCAAATAACATTGATACATCTAGGCCACATTGTGATCAAGAGTACATCTTGAGATAGTGACTACAGGGAATCGCCCAAGGCACTGGGAAAAGTGAAATGGCTTGACTTACCTGAAAGGAGTGTAAGTGGCCCTTTAGCATGCCGCGTTTGATTTGAACGTCGCTCGGGATGAGGTTTGCATATTCGAATGTAGTTGCACACATGCAGACGTATGCATCTCGATATACTCGCACAACATTGAGATTGGGCATCCAAACGTCAGTAATGTGACAAGCAATCAATCTACGTCGTATTTGACCTCAAAATTCAATCCGTCATTGCATATCAGTGACCGAATATAAATCTGATCTGCGATTGGTCTGTCAGAATAAGCAATCCTCGGGGTTTCGAAAATTTCCGGCGCAATCCGCTCGCATATCTGAGAATATGAAGTCGCATGAGTGTCGTTCGGGGAAGCAGTGAGTTGCACACACCTCGATGAAATGGAGAGTCAACCCCATGACCCAGTCAAGAAGGTCGGCGATAGTTTGCGACCTTCCTTTGTTATGCACCCAGAACTCCCCTAGTTGTATAGGACTGTGGGGACGTTGCGGCCACTAATAGATGGGTGTATAGCACCACAGGAGTTAGGACAGTATTTTGCATAAACAAGCGAGGGACATACGCGAATGTTCACGACCACGGTACCTATATATCGAAAGAAGTCTGGAGCATAGTCCCGTACAGCTTTGTGCCCGTTGACGACATGTGGAGCAGTCGCCTCCCAGAAGTCCTCGTGTCTCGAGAGACGTATACCGGTTCCTGGCGGACAACCCTCAAGCTCGAAACCAATGCGCAAGTTCATGTCATCGGAAGGCAGGTCCATCTCGACCGACATCGGTGACGACTCCGATTGGTCTTCATATAATTCCTCATCGTCGTCAGTGAGCATGCCGTCTGCGAGATCAGGCTCGGACGAAGGGTCCACAGGCGATTGATATGCGGTCGAATCGATGGTGCCTGTCTGCGCCTCAGCCGTAGGAGGGTACCGCCGAAGAATTAGTTCGCGAGGGTCTATACAGGATGGCTGAGCGTCGTCCTTGTCAACGTTGGCGAACGTGCCGAAGAGCGATAATGGTGTAGGGTCGTACATCACCACTGGTATGAACAGTAAGAGAATGTAAGAGAAGAGGACGGATTTGCAGGGGCCAGGGATGAGTTGTGGCGCAGTTCAAGACGGTACATGTATTAGAAAACTTCTTTATGCGAGGTCCAAGCGTAACAGAGCCACCCGCAGACACAACCACTCACGGGATCGAGGTCGGAGGAAGAATAAAAACAACAAGGACAAGAAGGCCATTGTATCCATCTGCGGCACGAGGACCTGTGGCTGAGGCCGGGATTAGGGAACAAAGCATGCAATGACGTATCACAGCCAGCTGAGCCACTGTACACCGACCCTCACTCAATACGAGACGCAGCCTGAGTCGAAAGTAGTGACATTGATGACAATTTGGTGTGATTATGTCAGGATGATTCACTGTCGTAATTGACATAGAACAAATGGTCACCTCTTTCGGATAGTTCCGCTTGAGGTCGTCCAACGTTCATGGCGTCTATTTTCTAATATGTCGCACGGGATATCCAGCTGTCCGTCTGGTTGCTTACCTGACGCCGTATGGCCGACAGAGAAATGGGATATCGTACGAAGGGTGCAAATTCGCGAGAAAAAAAGTAGTCAACGCGCATCGAGTCGTACTCACCGTCGAAACAACAGGGCAGTCGGGTAATCGCGTATGCACGGTTGTGCCTTTGGTCCAGCATGATACAATCAGAAATTCACGACCAGTAGATTTCATAGTCAAGTGCATTGTAGCATGAATTCTAGGTGAAGTCATGGAGGTGAAGGTAACAAGATCTGCGGCTTTCATCAAGGAACGAAGTCGATGCCAAATACTCGCAAACACCGCCACCGCTCTTACGTCTGATCCACCACGGCCCATTGCGTTGCTTGGTCTGCCTTGCATGGTTTGACTTCCATCATCAGACGGTACCAGAATGGCTGTCGCCGCTACCGATAGCACTCGGGCTCCCCAAACGCCCCTGCCGGACCCTCAGGACAATGTTAAGCCGGATAACTACGTTGATAAATTCAAGGTACGAGCCTTCGCGTGGCGGCCTTACGGTTGACCGCTCTTGGGGACCTGACTGGGCTTTCCGCATAACCCGCTTGCCGCATTGCGCTTCAGGGTCGTAATGTCACATCCAAATTCATTGAGTGAGTGAACATCGCCCACCCGCTACCGCCCGTTCTTACATATCGTCCGAGAGCAGTCCTTGTGAGGGTGCGGCGAAGGCTTCTATGGATTGCTTGAACCGCAACGACTATGACAGAGATCAATGCCTCGACTTTTTTCAAGCATATCGCGATTGCAAAAGGTCATGGGTATGTTTCTTCGTTGTGCCTCGGCGTGGTTAATTCAGTAATCCGTTTTGTCGAAGATTGAGCAGAGAAAAGCGGATAGGCGTGCAGGGCGACCGTCGGCGTGAAGTGTTGTTTGCTGCATATAGTCACTACGAATATACGAGCATCGCCTTCCAGAATGCCTGGGTTTCCGCCTCCTTCAAAGCAAACACTATGGTACCCAAATGCTGATAGACTACGCTGTTTCGCCTGTTATGGCGCTCAGGTGAGTTAGCTGGGCTCAGGTCTTTGTGGGTCCTCGGGGTCGCGTACAGCTGATGCGCACTGCGGCAATTAGTCAGAACTGTATCCGATATTACTTCTCTGCATGCAAGTTCAGGTGTAGGCGGCATAGACGGCATCTCCTGCTCATGTTCGCGTGAGGCACCTCAACGTCGATCGTCAACACTACTGGTCCCGTAGATTTTGTCCAAATACGAGCGCCCGCCTTGGCATATCTGGTCCCCACAACCGCATGCGCACGCCACTTTGAAAAGATCATAAAATGGGATGCCGTTGTCAGGCACCCGATTGTCCCTGCAGCCCTGCGGGGTCACTGACCATGCCAGAAGGCATGACTCCGCATCCACTGATATTGAACACCATGATCTGGTGCTCGTTGCGTGGATACAAGCTTACTTTGCAGGCTATACACTTCTACCAAGAACAGAGCAGATGGCGTGGCCACAGGAGACGTCAACGACCGCATTGGATCTGTGTGGTTTCTTTTGCATTCCTCCGTGTGTATCTTCCTTGCGATCCGCAAGCCTTTCGTACTCTTCTGTCGCCTCGGTAACGTGGCGCTCGCTCCATTGTTGTCACACGTGGAAGCTACCGTGTCCATTGACGGCGGCGTAGGATCGCCCAATGCCAGCCATACCAGGACCGAAATGGCCACAGCGTCTGATATCGTTGCTACGCAGTGTTGGTCACCCCAGTCGTGTGAACGACTGGGGCGATTGACCTTCGACTGGATGACAGTCGAAAGCAATCTCGGCTTCTCCACGGCTTGCGCAGATGGCTCTGCTCACAGGATCGGCATGTGTTCTCGTATGGCAATACCTGCTAGTGCCAAGATCTGTTGTGTTCGCTATTATTTCGCTGCGACTCCCTGTGGCCATTCACGTCACTTCTAGCGCCTGATGTGGCTGAAGGCTCGCCAGCGCAGGAATAGTTGCCGTCGTTTGTAGTTGTTTCGACTGGAGTCGTGTGACTAACCATAATATCGCTGTTGATAATGCATACTGAGCATTGGCCGTTGACAGCTTTCACAATTTTATGATCAATCTTATTTTTGACATAGTTGCGCTCTGAGCGGGTCATTGGGATATAAATAAATTGACAGGTGAGCACAGCACCGGTTTTACAGAGAGTCAAATTCCAATCGATCGTGTATTGACATTGTTTCAGGGAGCCTGGGGGCAGCTCACCAGCCGGTTTACGACCGTACTTCAACGGATGCTCATGTGTTTGGATCGTTCTAGTGCGTCCTCGATGCAACTCTATCAACTATTAAGTTTGCTCAGTCCAGGGGTCGGTCGCCGTCTGGGTGGTCGCGGCGTTGCGCTTTATTTCCTAAACGTTCAGGCTGAAGATTTATCGATTGTGCGGGGTTGACCATCAGAATGGATATCGAGCAGAGATCTTACTACAATTGAAGGGATCCGCCGCTCTGGGCCCAGGCCAGTATTCGCAATGCGCATTGAATCGTCTGAACCACTGTCATGTGTCTGTTTATCTACAGCACTGATCCGTCGTCGGCCATATGGCTGCAAAGTTGACAAGAAAGACTTCTCTGACTACAAGGAAACTCTGGGTGAGATTTGGACTAGCAGATCTGGACAGCGCGAACGCCAGAGATTTAAAACTCCGGGGAGCTTCTCACTAGCCAATCAGGCCTTCCAAAAGCGGTAAGGGGAATAGTCGGCCTCACTGAAACTTACACGCTCGTTGACATCTCGACCTGCGGGACCGAGGAATTCAGAGACGCTGTCGAGGGTAGTTTTCACTTTTCCCTTCCCACATCCCATTCGTCACGATGTCTCACATTCTCATCTTGCAATTCAGGAAAACGCATTGGGCAATGGTTGACAAGCCATGTGCACATGAGAACGCCGGATGCCTCCAAACCATCAAATCCCAGGTGCCGTACGGCACTCCCGTCCCTGATCTGGGTATCGGGGCGGACCATGAGACGCCATGCTAGCATACCATGTACCTATCAGGAAATTGACCTCCGGGTCCCGTTCGTGCCAACCAGCCAATTATAGGAGTATTCCGGGGGCACTCTTGTGCCGTGTTCGTGGGCAAGGAAGTACTAGCATCGCTCGCTCATATAATGAAGGCTGGCTTCGTGCGCCATGCGGCTCTTGGCTAGGCCATCCATATAATACTCCACACGACGACTGCTTAATTTTCAGTGCAACTCACGGTCCGGACACCCCACCATGACACTCACCCTAATCACCGCAAGTCTGGCCACCGTCGCGGTGGAGAGTATGCTCTATGGTGTCTTCCTCGTACTGGCTGCGAGCTCGATGTACTTGCACTTGGGCCGTATCGCGTCGCAGCAGTCAAACTCGTTTGGGTCGGTCTCGGTTTTGGCGTACTTCACTCCGGTCATCTTGGGGTCATTATGCGTTATCCTGACCGTAACGGGTGTGCGTGTCTTGATCTTCTGAACTGTTTCCGTATCATGACCGTTCCTTGTAGCACTGGATACTGACAGTGACTCGTCTGTTTGACGCGTTCGTCAATTTCCTGGATGGCCAGGAACCTCTACTATACTATTCCGACCTCTCTCTCACGACTGAGGTGGTGAAGACGGCCTTCCTTATTGCCACATTGATCATCTCGGACATTTTGTTTGTGAGTATGTCGTCATCAAATTCAGCGCACCAATGTCTCACCTTGGGCCGTGAAGATCTACCGGCTATGGACGGTCTGGGGTCACAACTACTACATCATCATAGTCCCCTGTTGCACCGTTCTTGGGCTCTGCGGTATGTCGGCCAGAACTAGTGTGCGGGACATTTTCTCTGACGCAGGAATTATTTTCAGTGGCGGGACCTGGTGTCGTATATGAGCTGACGCAGCTCGGCACGAGTACTGTGTTCGTTGCACGACTGTCTCGATGGATCTCAGCCGACTACGCGTTCACGTTTGTGTATGTCGCAGTCTTCTCTCCCGTGTGGTCGGACAGAATAAACTGATAAGAATGTTCGACTAGCACAAACGTCTATAGCTCAAGTGAGCCTGACCGATTGAACTAATTTGTGTGCGCACACTGACACGCTCCCTCGACGCAGCTGGTATTGCATGGCGAGTATGGCGCGTCCTTCAGCACACGGGCTCAGCGTACGGCGGTGGCAATCTCATGGTAGGCTTTTGGTAATCGCATGATGATAATCCGCCTGACCGCCCCCACTCACCTCTAGCACGTCCTTGCTACGATCGTGGAGAGTGCCGCGATCTACACGTCAGCCTGCTTGCTTCGTCTCCCGCACGACGAGGCTAACTCCGCGTTTGCAGATCCTACACCATTTTCTTCTTTGCGGCTTACCAGTCCGACAGCCTCATACAGTACCCCGCCATCGACACGCTGTGCCCCATCGCGGGCATCGCGTTCATGATGATCAACGTGCGCGTCGGGCTCGGCTGGGCGCAGCGCGCGCACCCGTCCATCACGTCCTCCGGCATCACGTCCCACCCTGGGGGGCGCACCGCGCAGCAGTCGTACGCGATGCGCCCCGTCGCGGTCGACATATCGCAGGTCGTGCACAAGGAGGACGACTTGGGCCAACCCGTCAAGCGCGCTTCGAGCGACTTCACCGGCCCCGTATGATGCAAGGCTGACCGCCTATCTCTGCACTGCGATCCGTTGCCGCGTACCCCCCACCCCGAGACTTGACCTAGACCACACATGGAACGGGATAGGTGGATCTGGCTGCCTCATACAGGTGCTCGGCGTGCCAGCTGTCGGACACGCGCACGCGCACATGTACGGTACTGTACATCATTCCGCGGCGTCGAGGCTATTCCGACTGCCGCGCGCCAAAAACAGTACCGATGTAACCGTGTCTTTGCACTCTGCATTGCTTCACGTCCGTTCCTTACTCGACCTACTCTACGGCCTATGTGGTAATCCGTCGTTCGTTTGCACATATTACTCTCCTTGTCTCATTGTGCTTGTTTTTCTGACGTCTTATCGTGCGTCGACTCGTGAGGGCCCCCGGGTAGGTCCTCAGCCGACCCTTCTGGCAAGTTATATTCCACGTCCGCTCCCAGTGCCTCTGCAAACATGGCTATTTACCGCAGCATGATTATACACAGTGTCTTCCCATGGTGACCACAGGTACGCAAGCTGCACTAGCATCCCGAGCGGAGGTCGTCTTTTTCAAGATCGTCGTATGTGTCCTCATTTTGACTGATTTTGACGCACCACACATCACTGATTCACAGTGTAACGGAACACAAATATGCAGACATATGTACAAACCACGAAGACGTGGAAGCATCAAGCTGTGTAGTGTCCGATGATCGCATCGTGATGATAGTCTCTATTTTCCAACAGTCGAAGATACCGCTTTTTTGTCGACTTCTGACGCCGCTCCAGAGGGTCTATTCGTTTTTTGGGTCGACCCTGTAGAGCGGCGTCTTCAGAAGTCATCAGGAATGCTGACTGCCGAAGGAAGTGTTGGCCACTTCTTCAACGAAGCGAGACCAAGGATCTGCGTCGATCTCTTTGCATAACGAATGAAGAACTGCTGCTTATGCAGACATGGGGCCAGGTTCTCGGAGTAGTGCTTGGATTGTCCGTTCAATCACGGCACGGTACTCGCGCTACGTGCACGACCACCGCAGACGCGCTCGACGTATTGGCGTAGCGGCTAGAGCGTTGCAACCTCACATAAGATCCGTGCGCGCGCAGGGGAGGCAATAACGCCTGACATGTTTCGAAAGCAACGTAAGTACGGGGGTCTCGAGTGTAAGCTCGCTAGGCAGCAGCACTAGACGCGGTATCAGTTGAAGAGGTTTCAGATTCCCACGACCGTTGGCTGCGCAAATGTTGCAACGTTGAATTTCAGAGAGGCCGCCGTGGTTTGGTAGACGCCATTTGTGCAAAACTGTTGCGTTGCTGTGCGATTGCCGGTAGAGGCCGAATATGGAACGCCGGCGAAAGGAACGGGCATCAATGTTGTTGGGGCCCCGTGAGAAGAGCCCGACGGAGCGTTTGGGTGCGTATTCTTCCCCTCCGGACATTGTGCGCGCTTGCTCAAAGTCCCTCGTAAATCCCTCCAACAGATGTTTCCGGTTGGTATTGATCTGAGCTTGGGGTTTCTGGCCATGCTGTACGGAATCCTCATATTCAGTTATATTGAGCCAAGGTACCGGACGCTGACAATATCTGTGTCCAGGTTGCAATCGGGCAGATGTATATTCCCGGATTCTGTTGCGGCCTCCTGGACCTAGGTCTGCATCGATCATTGCGCACGCGCTATGCAGACTTCTGCGAATTCCCAGCTTGACCAGACCGCCCGGGAGATCTCGCTTACCATCGGGCCCTGTCAAACTGTCAGGGTTACAAGATCAGCAGTTGTTTTGGCACGAATAGTCACGAACCCCATACGAGCTTGGCGCGTCCGCTGCCCCGTATTTATCGGTATACGTTTCCGAACACACTTTCTACCGATCCCTTGAAATACCCCCTCTCCTGCCTCTCTTCTTTGGAGGCTCCTTCACCCCCTCTGCGTGGTTGTTTGTTCACTTAGGCATCCATCATGAAGCAGGTCGATCTCATCAGTGCCAACATGGCCACCGTGCCCATCGAGAGTCTGCTCTACGGCATGTTCCTCTTGCTCAGCGGGATTTTCTTCTACTTGCACGAGGCACGGATCTCTGGCTCCCTTGGTGCTGGCTCCAGCAGACTGCGCGCCCATATGACGCCCGTATTCCTCGGCGCGGTCATCGTCTCCTGCACCACAACAGCGGTAGGTCCAAGTGCATGGTCGCAATAAGTCCCAATGTGTATTCATGTTGTGTGCGTTGTGCAGCACTGGATTCTCACTGTTACTCGCCTCTTTGATGCCTTCATCAATTACATGGGTGGAGCCGCACCCTTGCTCTTCTACGCAAACCTCTCACAGCCAAGTGAGGTGGTGAAGACGGCCGTCTTGATCGCGACGCTCATCACCTCCGATGTCCTGTTTGTAGGTTGATTCTAATCCTGCACTCCCAACACAGATGCTCAATCTACTAACTCAAAGGTGTATCGGCTTTGGATGGTCTGGGGCTACAACTACTACGTGATCATCATCCCTAGCATGGCTGTCTTGGGTCTCTGCGGTATGTCGTGCCTGTCCCGCGGTCTATCAACTGCACGCGCTGACAGCTGCATAGTGTCTGGTGTTGGCATCGTGTACACGCTTTCGCAGCTCAGCGCCGGCAACACTATCTTCGTATCAAAGGCTGCGCAGTGGATCGCTGCGGATTACTCCTTCACCTTTGCGTGCGTGTTGCTCTCGGTCTACGGCGATACGAGTGTATGTACTGATCAATCCTTGATATGAGCAGTACGAACATATACAGCTCCAGTGAGTACATGACATGAGAACATGTGCTATGATGCATCGCCTAACCTGCTTGTTCCTTCTGATCAGCATTGATTGCTTGGCGTGTTTGGCGCGCAAATCGCAGGTCCGGCAACACGTACGGCGGCGGAAACCTGATGGTGAGCGCCCGACTTCTCGCCCGAGGCCGGGAGTATGTCATTGACTTGAGTCCGTAGCGCGTCCTCGCTACGATTGTCGAGAGTGCGGCTATCTACACGTATGTGTCTCGTGCGTTCACGTCGCACTCCCCTGCTTACTCCTGTTTCCGCCGCAACACAGTGCTTGGGTCGTCGCGTTCTTCATCTCGTACGAGGTGACCTCGAACCTGCAGTACACCTTCGTGGACACGCTCTGCCAGGTCGCCGGCGTCGCATACATGATGATCAACGTGCGCGTCAGCCTCGGATGGGCGCAGACGGCGCACCAGTCGCAGGGCACGTCCTCTGCGGGCGGCATCGCATCGCGCCGCGGACCTGTGGACCATTCATACGTGATGCGGCCTGTCGCCGTCGACATCACGCGAGTGGTGCAGAAGGAGGATGACATGGGTCAGCCTGTGAAGCCGCGCGTTTCGAGCGACTACAACGTATGAGCTCGACCCCAGCGCGGAGGCGCTCTTGTTTATTATTATATCATCTGCGGCACTGTGGCTGGCCCGTCGTCCGGCGCGTGTACATGTGTACACTAAGCTCGTCACCCGCTGGCCGCGCGGGACCCGGGACGCGAGCGCGCAGAGGCGCTCGGTTCAGCGGGCACACACGGGGTTGCAGGTCTGTTTGCGCTTTATCCATTCTTTTTCGCTTTCGCTGTGTTGGAGGCCTCCATGATCGCGTGCAAAGTATTGTATGTACATAGCCTCGCTGCTACGGCGGCAGCGCCTTCGGTTGATTGGCTATCGTGATTTGTTTGGCAGGACCGCGTGTGTTTTCCTGTGCGTTCTCATTGTCACTTGGAGATACCCCCTATGGGACGGCGGGAGACGCAATCAAGGCGCGCGTTTGCGGGCGCTGACGAGATCTGCGTGATCCGGCTCGTCAGACGGGGGAAGAGCGCCAATACCATAAAAGATGGATCTGATGAGGTGCGCCGTCCCCTGAATCTTCTCACCGATCGCTACAGCAGGATCATCATCAGCGTCTCTGTCCTGCTTCTGAGCCAGTGTTACTTCCGTCAGCGTTCGCCAACTTTACGGCATAGCCCCCTGATGGATCCAAAAGCCTCCGTGACATGCCCGGAAAAACTCCATGACAATTGGGGACAGAATCGATCCACGGTGGTTGTTGCCACGCTTTGGGCGCACAACCGTCAATCGCACTCGGTAAGTCGATGGAGACCACCTGTACCCGGACAGTCGACAGACGCCCCAAGTCGCCATGCCCTGCCTGATCGGGCCAAACTCGCTGGTCGGCCTGCGTACACCCCGGGTTATCCTGCTCCCTGATTGGCGGCAGGTCACGCCTGCCGACTTGGGGGTTCGGGTAGGCACAGTGTATGGACTGTGAACAGGCGATTCGAGCGCATCAAGGATGTCATTCAATGGCGGACCATGCGCTGCCTCTACGTCTGGGGCATTGGGTCCCACGCTCAAAAATTACCCCAGCAGCATTGCTCTTTTTCGCGCATCAGGACTCATCAGAGATAGAACATGTCTGTCCCATGCATAGATGCTACGAGGTCAGTAACAGAAGCCGAGACGCGAGGATCTGAGCATAATCCCTCCCCGTCTGGCCGCGAGAGACCCACCGATGCTCCCAGGATAATGTCATGTCGAGAGATGACTTACAGGCGTCAATGGTAATACGATAACATTGTCTAATGTTACAGATGCGACAGAAACGGTGTACGGTACATCCTATGATTAATGAGCATCGTAGCTATTATACTCCCTTCTTTGATAGCGCCTCATACTTTCGCACTTGAGAGTGCTGTATAATAGACGTGAGTGCGTGCTACACTCGGGCAATAGCCGCAATTCCTCCGCCGCTAGAGACCTGTTAGTACTTGGTAAGTCGCACGGCAGCGCCCCTCATAAAAAAGCATGGCAAGGAAATGCAAGCCATAATGACTCTGGCGCACAAGTATTATAGTCGATCACCGATCATGATCGTAGAATGCTGTCCAGTGTGCAATGGTTCATGATTGAACGCATTGTGAACGAGGTTTGTTTCCATAAGCTCAATGACGTTCACCGTACTTCAAACACCTCAGATAGACGTGATCTTTACATATCGCGCAGTTGTAATAGCTCGCCGTGGTCTTTTCCCTAGCGCTGCCGCTTCCAGCGTGAAAGCATGTCAAAGTGGGGAGGAACATCGTGGCAGTTTAAGTCCCGTGTAGACCATCCAGTCCGACACTCGCGATGGCGAGTTGCAGAACTGGAGGGTCTGGGTACGAGACTATATGAGACCAGAAGACGGCGTCCGTTCAGCGTTCCTGTACGCATGTGTGCCTTGGAAACTGAGCGAGAAGAAAGGGTCGGATCAGACAGCGCAACTGGCTCTCGATGTCGGCATTGTAAACCCCTCCCGTCACAATGTATAAAAATCTGCGCCTCGAGAAGGTGGCGTCGGTGGCACGTACAGCCGAGGCTGTTGGCAACCGTCAAGGCGATAGTCAACGGGCGCCGGATATCATGGTCACGGTCCACCTACTACTGTGAGGTAAGCTACGGCTAAGCATTGGCGTTCTCGAAGCATTCTGTGAACGCTGCGAACGCGATCTAAAAAATACTCATCTTGTGCTCAGACCCGCAGATAACTTACTGTGACAAGGTGGTTACACCACGTCCATGTCCATGCCGCAAACAAAGTATGGCCGTATACAACAGCATATCATACAGCGAGAGCTAGATACATGAGAGCAAGATTTGCCGAGGAGTGTCATTGTCCAGATGGAAGGCATCAGTCCTGAGGCAACGGCGGAGGCGCCTCGGGCTGTGGGGCGAAGATCAGATTCAGCGGAGGAGTGGTCTGGCTGTCGTCCGACAACAGTGTCGCAATGATACTACGGCCCGCGAAGCTACGACCAGCGAGCGCCTTTAGTGCCTGGGCGGCACTATACGATTCTCGGTACTTGACGTACACCCGTCCTACACCGGACGCCTCGTCGATGCGCTGGGCCGCGATCGCGCTGTCGTGTCCGCTCTCGCCCCACTTGCCCTTGTCGCGCTTGACGGGACGGGGGATGCGGAGGTCTTCAACGACACCATACTTGGAACATTCCTCCTTGATGTCTTCGAAAAGGTCCGCGTAATCCTGGTCGTCTGTAAGATCTTCGGTGACAACCATGTTCAGCATCAGCAGGATCCGCGCGTCGGTGTTGTCCACGTCTGTAGCGGGCAGAATGGGCTTCGGGATTTCCACTTGGTCGTACATGCCAGGGATGGGGGATTGACCAGGTTTTGCACCGACTGAGGCACGCTGGACGACAAGGTACTTGTCTCCGAGCTCCATGCCGCTCAATGATTGGATCGCAACATCTGTCACACCAGTATCGACGTATTCAAAGAAGGCGAAGCCCTGTGAACGAAAGTAACCTTTAAGAACTGGCTTGGCTGACTCGGGACAAAGTTATCTCACCTTCGACGGGCCGTTTCCGTTCTCCCGAACGAGGTTGAATGCCTTCAGCTCCCCAAAGCTCTTGAGTAGTTCCATGACTTGCTCTTCATTGAGATAAGTCGGCAGCCCACCGACGAAGATTTTGTTGATTGAATCTGGCACATTAGTCGAAACCACACCCGGCACGTGCATCATAGGTGCTATAGACTCAGGGCCGCCATAGTCCTTAGGACGACGGATCTTGAGGGGTCCATTGAGGAAGATGATGCCATCGAAGGCCATGGCTGCTGTAGCATCTTCAGCACTGCGAAACTGTCGACAACATTGGTTAGTCAGTCAATTTCATATCGTCCTAACGTCACATTTGGCACTGACCTCAACGAATGCATAGTTCTTCTCATAGTTGCACTGGACCGCGAGGACCGGATTACCGGGAGCACCAGTACCGATACTCATCTCCTTCATTTTAGAATTGAAGAAGTCAGCAAGGTTTTGTTCGTTGATGTCTGGCGTTATACTGCCGATGTACAGCCGACGGGACTGTCTGGACAAATTCGGGTTCCCACCGATGCCCATACCAAAGCTCTGTACAGGCAAAGGAGGAGGAAGACCCGGGATGGCGAGGATGGGCGGAATCTGGGTTCGATTAGCGCCCGGTAGGTTGAACAAACCTTCGTTCGAAACGTCAGCGTTGACGCATGCATGTGAACTGTAACGTACCTGTCTGCTTGGCCTGCATTGCAGTGTATTGCTCGTAGCCAGGTGCATGCACATCCCAACCACTTGCCTTTCTCTTTCTCTGAGACAAAGGCGCAGCATCAGACGGGGTAGGCGACCTCCTCTCCGGCGTCCCTAGGCCATCGCGCTGGCGACCTCGTCCCCTCTTGTCGCCGCCGTCCGTATCGTCTCGGGGAGGCCGTCCGCGGTGGCCGCCTGGCTGTCCCATTCCATGATCCTCATGGCCTCGGTAGTCACGACGGCGGTCTTCGTCGTAACGTGGCCGCCTCTGCCCGTGGTCATCTTGGCCGCGTCCTCCACGGCCTCCGTAGCGGTCCCTCTCCCTGTCGCGGTCTCTGTCACCGCGGTCCCTTTCACCACCGCCACCACCACCACGGTCCCCGTGACGGCGGGACTCGTAGCGCTCCCTGTCCCTATCGCGGTCGCGTTCCTCGCGGTGCCTTCCGTGTTCACGGTCCCGCCCCTCGTGACGTGACGAGTGATAGCGGTCGGCGTACCGGTCTGTAAGAATGAAAGGAACGGCGGAGTAAGTATATGGTGCGCAATGTGCGGTCGAGCTCTGTCAGTACGGATCCGGCACGAGACGGTCTGGACGGGCGGCGGCAACGGGGCGCACTAGCTAGCTAGAGAAAGAAGGAATGCATGGCGCAGGAGGAACGGTGCACCATGAGTCCATCGTCTGTGGTCTGAAAAAACGCAGGATGAGGTGGCTGTGGGGCAGTCACCTGTGAGACCCTTCGACCCGGCTCTGTGCATTCCTGCCTCCGGAGCGACATGAAAGCATGAAGAAATGTAAGAACACCCGAAGCTCACCATTGTTGTCATCAGGTGCAGTGGCCATGGTATAGCCTGCCTTTCAGAGTAGCGTGGACGTGGAAAGCAACCTCGGATAGGGTTATCCCTAAACTTTGTCAGGGATAAGGGTCTTATCTAGAATTAATTTACCAGCTAAAACAGGTAAAGATAATAATTGCGAGCGAAGCGAGCATATATCCAACATATATCGGCTAAAGGGGCTGAGGCCGGGCTTTCAGTTGGAACAAACAAGTACAAAGGATATATGCAAGCGCCCGGGGTGTTACGTTGAAAGGCAAGAGGCGGGCGAGATTGAGATCGGGGATATGCTCCACCTGAGAAGTGGATAGCCCCCCGGTGTCCGGGGGGCCTGATTTCAATCTCTGCGCCGTTTTCGCTGTATCTCTGAATAACGCCTGCAAGAGTTTCTTTCATGTCCTATCACTCTGTAAGATGAATGAGATTGAATATAGTCGTATTTTGACAAAAAGAAACGAATTTTTTACTCCTCTTAGAAGCCACTGTCGGATGTGTTTTTGCTGCGTGCAGAGAGTGTGGCCGCAGGCACGTGACATGTGCTGCCCAAGAGCGCGTCGCGCTACGAGTCAGCCTTCCTCACTCTCGCTCAACGCACTCATGAATACAGTATCCCAAGATAGTGACACAAAATCTGCTTTCATTCAATGCTATCTACTCCTGGCGACTTACGCTATTCGACTTCGTTATCTGCCACTGACTCGGACTCCTTTACATCCCAGTGCCATAAGCAATCACGAGCAGATACGATGCGGGTTGACAATGCAGCGCAGCGGACAAAACGAGGCAGATTTTGGGCTAATATACTTACCAGAGCGACCCCATCATGTACTTGATGACGAATGATATCTAGAATAAGCCTACTCAACTGTGTATGCCTGCTCGAGTGCATCGCTCTTCGTCTACCATGCAAGAAGGGGACTTGAAAAAAGGAAAAAAAGGCCCAGCTGCCTGCCTATTATGGTTAGAACATCTATCACATGACGCGTTCTAACTAAGAAGGAGGTTATCTTACCCTACTTTCGGGGTCCTTTCAATGCGCACGGTGAATGTGGCTCATTGCATTTTTGCCCGCCTCTTGTTGAAAGGACTGTAAGTCACCCCAATATCCTTCAAACTTCGTCATCAAGGTCTCAGAACACTGGCAGGCATGCAGCAAACGAATATATGTATAAATAATGGCATGAAGGTGAGACTGTGTTGAGAAATAAGTGAAACTGCATGAAAAGCAATTAGACGCCAGTCCGCTGATAGTGCGATGTAGTATTCAGCGCTTCGCGAGCCACTTCCCGTGCAGCGGGTGCATATTAATAATATTGCTGTTACAAAGGTATCATTAAACCTTATCATTATCTAATTATCTAACATCGCAATAGGTGACGTCGTCTTCTTGTTCTCAGACTCATATCCAGAGTACTCTGAAGTACTCAAACTTTGGGCTCGGACTATCTTCTGGCCCGCTGCTTTCTAGCTTGCACAAAGTCTTTATAAAGCACTTTAGGTGAACGTGCACCGACGCCAATTACACTGGTTTTGCTAAAATCTATGGCGCTCAGCTCGTCTCGCGATACGTCGCACTTGGGATGTAATCGCCCCCTTGATGTCAGCTCATCACGTCTTGTGCCTTTCAATGTGTTCACAAGAGCCCGCCTGCCGTAATCTTCATGACGACGAGTAACCGCTCTGCTAGTGTTCTGCTTCTGGTATGGCCGCTTTCGCTCGCGGCCTTACGGGGAAAAGCACCTGTACCAAGGAGCTTATGGTCTACGTTTGCCTCTCCTCAGCCTGGTGATGATCCCCAAGTCCGTTTCGTACGGGGCCGTTGTCGACGTTTCTATAGTATCCACTTGAATGTCTGACGTCGGCAGCTCCCAAGATACGCGCAGCCGTCACCTGCCCCAGCACAATTACCTGACGTTACCAAAAACTTCAATCTTGTGAGAACAACACCTTGCGTTCAGGCTCTTATATTCTGCTTTCGACGCGAGCCTGGACACTGACACTGACAGAAGCCGACGCGACGCGACACGTTCTCCACGTGACCTGCATTGAATGCCGCGACCCCGCGACGTTGCCGAGAGTACGCGTCCCCGTACCAGGCACAATAATAGCCATTGCAACATTTGCCTTGTCCTCCGCTGCCGACAGGCCAACTAATACCGGAGCGATGCTGTCTTACGACCACCGTCGGCCTACTTCAAACCCTGCTCCTCTCTGCTCTTGCTGACGCCAGCGCTCGGCCGGCGCATGCAGCACAGCCTATTGTTGCGGATATAAAGGACCGTCAAGCACCCATACCCTCAGTATCACAGCGAATAACCAGCACCGCGATATCCACCCTGCACCCCTACCATCTCGCAAGACCACATCTCATATCAGCCTCTCCCGGACCATGCATCCCTACGCGCACCACCACTGGCACGGTTTCCGCCATCGGCGCGGTGGGCGCATCGTGTGGTTTGCCATCGGCGCCACTGTCGCTACGTTCTGGCACAAGTCGCACGAAGCGCACGAGTGGAGGGAACAGCACTGCTGGCGCAAATGCATCCCGCGCGAGGCGTACGCTCCGCCGCCCGGCCCTGTTCCTGCAAACTTGACGCCTGTCACTTCCGACGACGCTGCGGGCTCCTCGAAGATCGAACTCGACCGGCAGAGGTGGGGCTGGGCCTGGAACTCAGAGAAGGGATGGAAGTCGTGGGGGAACCCGCCGCTGTCGCGTGACGGCGCCTTCCCTCCGCATGTTCCACCGACGCCCATGCCTTCGGATCGTAACGACGAGGACTTGAAGCGGATGCAAGCCCTTGGGAAGCAAGCGACCGACACTGTGAGTTTCAAGTTTCCCTAGCTGTTGCGGGCACTGTGCCGACCGTGCCTCGAGGGACAGATCGCCGAGCTTTCAGAAGCCACACTGGACTCGGTCCTCGCAACCGTGCGGAGTCTCAAGACGGTATGTCTCGTATTTGTGGAGCCTGACAAGCACGGACTTGATGTAGCTACTTCAGAAACTGGCGGAAGCACGTCTTCAGCGTGAGCAACACTTGCAGCAGATCCAGGCCCTCAAGGAAGAGCAATACAAGATGTTCGAGGAGTGGCAGAAGCAGCGAGAGCAGCAAGCCCAGGCAGAACAGGCCAAAGAGCAAGCTACGAAGCCGAGACATATGGTCTGACAGTTTTGTTCAAGCTATCACTATGTACGGCATACTACTACTATTTCCGGATCTCCTGTCGTTTCATGCCTCCTCACACTGCTCATGGACAAACTTCTCTTTGCTGTGGAACATTGTTGTAGCAGTATCCGTATAAATGCGGGGCGTTTCACGTAGATCTGACTAGGGACACTGTTGTCCCACTTGAATAGGTTCTGTTTCGATCTGGTACTGTCAATATCGATGTTTAGCTAGCGGCCTTGAAACCCCTAGAGGCCGAAATATACACGTTCATTGACACAGTCGGGTCCCATCAGTCAAGATCCAGCAAGTCAGCAATCAATCCAACCAAACTTCTAGTATCGCTACATATAAATCATAACACGTTGTCTGTCGTAAGTCGTCCAGGTGATGATTTCACACCTGCCCCGCGACGAAGGGCAAGGGGTCGCACCGCTTAGTGACGTATTCGGGCGCGCGGGGCTCAATTTTGCCCTGAGATTCAGCTGCAGGATATCTAGTCAGATACGAATGAAAGAACGAAACGTTGAGTAAACATACGCGGCGCGCTCCAGAAATAGATCACTAGCCCGACGATGACGACCACGAAGGAAGGGAAGTAAAGCCAATATGGCCGGTAGTGCTGGGCATGCGGAGTCAGCATCTGGGGGCGGACGTAGGAAGAGCGAACGCACGAAGAGGAACAGCCCGAAGAGGAGCCCGTAAAAGTCGCTCGACAGGATGCTCAGGTTGTAGTACGCGGACGATGCCATGCGATACAGCATCGGCGCGACCGTGTAGAGAATGAACATTGACGCGGTGTACGCGACGAGGATCCCGACTGCAGCGAGCAGGGTCAACTCTAAGTATCAAAGGCGACGAGCCTGTGGGTCACGCACTGTTCTTGCCATCCCAGGTCGCCTGGACCATGTCTTTATGCTCGAGGCCGGCAGCCTGAATGCCGTTGATGATCATGCCCCACATGCCCAGCTGGCCGACAACTTCGTAGAGCGGCGATTTCCGCACGAAGAACTCCTCCGTTGCGTTCGCTGTAGATGGACGTCAGGAGCATGTAATCAGCGGCCTTTCCAAAAGCGGGATGGAGAAGGCATAGGCATGGATGCTCACTGAAGCCGTATAATGTCGCGCCGACGATCATGAACACGTCGCCCTTCGCGCGGCTGAGCGCGGGCCAGTCCTTGTCCGTGAGCTCGTCCGACGCGACAAGCATGCCGAGCCCACCGACACAGACAAGCACGCCGAGGAGCTGTGATAGCTTGTAGCGCGGCCGCATCCAAAGCCAGGAGAAGAACAGGCAGGAGGGGATCGCCCACGCGTCAAGCAACTCGCAGGAGAGGAGGGTCGTGTAGTTATACGCCTGCACGCGCGATCAGCCGAGGAGAGACGAGATGTGGATAGTGACATACCTTGACGGCAAGAAAATTTCCTTCCACATCACAAGCTGCGAGAATGATGTCTGGAGCCTATGTGAGCGGACATCGAGGAAACGGGGTGCGACATTTACATCTCCAGCCATCTTTCCAGATCATCTTCAGCCATCCCTTGAACCCATCTGAAGTATTCCGTGAGCATGAACACTATTTCCAAATCGGACGGCACGCTTACATTGGTAAATGGTGTAAGGTGTATACACGATGAAGATGGAGAAGTACCTATTGCCAATGAGTTCTCGTCTCGCACGAAAGGTCCACAAGCGCTCACAGAAACCATGTCTGTGTCGTGGGCAGGGACCAGTTGCGATCCACGAGCTCAGTAGTCGTGACATTCGTGCAGGTGATACACAGCGAGACCAGCTGCCCAGCCAGAAGGGAGAGGACGAAGCGTTTGGTCCATATACTGACGAAACGGACTCGGAGACTTGACACGAACGCCCGAAGCGAGGTATAGTCGAGCGGCGGGCGAGGATCGACGACGACTTCCTGAGAAACGAGTGTGGGCTGAGCATCGATACTATCGTCGATGTAGTCATGTTTGGTGTCCATCCTGGAGAGCGCAGGAGAGAGCTGGTCTGGGGCTGCCATGGTGGTCAAGCTGAGTCGCGCAGACGGTGCACGCCGTGCGAGGGGACCTTTTACGGCCTGGGAGAGAGAGAGGGAGCAGGCTAAGCTGGACGAGGCCAGTGGCGCAGAGCCATATGCCCTGCCCTAAGCGCCTGCCGTAACGCACTGGGAAAAACTCGCCATCATTTTCCATCCCAGGCCCGATCAATCGTAGTGTTTTCAGGCACGCGACTTTGTCACGTGCCACTGCACTGTACGCCCCGACGCGTCTCCCGACGTGTGGCTCTCGACGCGCGCAGCCCCTCATGACAACGCAGACACAGGCAGGAGTTTACTCAGGGATAAAACCTGCGACACATACTAATATGGGGATGCATCAGCTATCAGACGGTATTGACAGCAGGAGGACATACCTCAAAGCGAAGATCCTTCATGATCATCTCCAGCAAGTGGCACACAAGCGCAAGGATAGTGCCGTGCTTGACGGGCTCACCTATGCCTCCGCTATCTCTCTACTGGACGACCCTTGCTCAGACACACCTCAGCATGACACCGAGACGCACCCGGGGAACATTGGCAAACAGCCCCTTGCTCCTGGTGGCCTGTCCGAGATCGACTTTCGAAGGTTCAGCCGAGTATCAGCGCCTGTGAGCAGGAACGTCTTCTATATCATGCTATCGGCCGTGTATCGTTCTTCAGACGCCTCCGCAGTACGAAATTGAGCTGGCTGCGGAGATGAAAAGCACCTTGCTCACCATTCTCGACTTCTATGACACTGAAAATGGTAACGCCCCTTCAAGCAACACTCATGCGCGCCTTCAGACTGACCACCGTGATAGAAGAATCCGACGAGAAGACCCGCATCGAGTCTGCGTTCACGCTTCCCGAGCGAATACGCGCTCGGAAAGAAGAGACATCTCGGCAGCGTTCCGTATTGGCAGAACACCGCAGTCGCGTCCAAACGCTCGTGACACAGATCAACGAGGTACACTGCACTCTCAGCCCCACACCCGTTTCCCCTCCTCACAACTCACAACTCGTCGCGGGACACAGATCCACCCTCGTCTCGAGGAGCAGCTTCTTGCCGCCCTCGCCACGCTTCCCCCCCTTCTCGACGCGGCGCGCACTGCCCACGCCGACGTCCTCGCGCTCACACTCGAGGCTGCCCTGCTCAAGCTCTCCGTCCTCCGCGCCCGCGCGCACATCGCGCTCTACGGACACGCGGCACCGTCCAACCCGCGCGCGACGATGGCCCGCGCGCTCGCCGCGGCGCAGGAGAAGCTCCGTGCGAAGCAGCGTGCGCAAGAGGACGAGGAGCGCGCATTAGACGCGCAGCTCGCCGCGTACGAGGGCGCGCTGGGCTTTGTGGGCGGGCGTGAGGGCGGGTTCGCGCAGCTCGTGGAGGACATGGCAAGGGTAAGGAGGGAGACGGAAGAGTGCAGGAAAGATCTGAGGAGGCTTGGCTGGACGGGCGATTAACCCGGATTTTCTGGTCTAGTATAACTGCACTCTACGCGCACCTACGCTTACGAGCGGCCAGTAGAATTATCTGAAGCCGAGCATAACGCCTTGTCGACTTCGGAGAGAACGAACTACCATGTTACATCAGCATGCTATGACGACTGCTGTTGATGTGCTCCGCGGCGCCGTAAGCGTCCCATTATTCACTGGCTAATCTGCCATTCTTGCACAAATACAGAGGACTCTCGGTCTGTATATACACTCTGCTCATCCCCCTCCCTCGTATATGGGCTCCTCCGGAGGCGAGACATCATTATGCCTCCCCGAGGATGACGGCACTGTCGGGCTGCTGCTTCTTTCGATGCACGTTCTGGTGCCGCGTGAGCTGGTCAGGCCGCGCGAACGACTTGTTGCACCCCGGCTCCGTGCACGAATACGGACGAGCGCCCGTGTGCGTCCGCAACTGCGCGTGTAGCATGTCAAGGCACGATCACCGCGATAGCACGATATAAATAAATACACACATGCTTCGACAGATTTGACGACTCCGCGAACGCCCTGGAGCATTGCCGCGCTATCAGCATGCGGCTGCATTGCGTGGACGCGCAGCCTGCCACGCACCTCTCGCAATACGAACATTTGAACGGCTTGTGGCCGTTGTGCGTGCGCTTGTGTATCGTGAGCGCGCCTGTGATCGCAAAGGCCTTGCCACAGCCAGGGAAATCGCAGACATACGGTTCTGGAGCCAGGCCGCGAGAGTCAGAATCTGAATGAAGGGAGCGGGCCTCGAAACACTTACTTTCTTGTGTGTGGCGGCGCATGTGCTGCGCGAGGGTGGCTGCCTCTGAGAAATTCTGTTTGCATATTTTGCACTGGAATGGGCGATGCCCTGTGTGGCTCTACGATACGAGACTCTGATGAACAAACGATACACGCGCCCAATACGAGCGAGAAAGGCACCTGGAGGTGGCGCAGAATTTTCTGCTTGCTCGAGAAGCCGTTGTCGCCGTGGCGGGCACAGCCTTCCCAGTAGCAATCGTAGTGCGCACGGCCAGAGCCGACGTGCGCAGCAGTGATGTGCGCCGTGAGCGCGTCACAAGACGCAAATGTCTGCGCGCACCCCGTCCATTTACAGTCGTGAGCAGAGGGCGCTGAACAGTCGTGCTCGGGAAGCGGCGTCGGGGGACCGTGCGCCGGGACAGATGCCTCGCTTGTGCCCGAGCCGGGGGAAGGCGAGGGTCGGAAGGACGACAGGACAGGGAAGGGTTGCGCTACTGACGTCGCTTGACCAGTCTCGGCGGAGAGCGCCTCTGTCCCCGCGCACACGTCCTCCTGCTTCGACGCGCGCATGTGCAGCCCGAGGTGGTCTTCGAGCAGATGGCTGGCAAGGATCCCGAGCGCAGTGTCCTCCGCATTGCCGGACGACGGGCCAGGCACCGACTGGGGTGTCGGGTAAATCTGGCAGTCGGCCCACAAGCACGACAGCGGGTTGGCGCCGGCGTGCTGCGTTGATGCGGCGACGGAAACAGGCTGGGATACAGGGATGGCCGGGGACAGCTCCGACGCTGGCGGCAGGCGCAGATGCTGCAGGTTGACATGCCCCACGAGCTCGCCCAGCGACGTGAACGAGACGGGACAGCCCGCCCACTGGCACTTGTACGGCAGCGCCTGGGGCTGTGGCGAGTGCGCTGCTTCCGAATCGGGAAAGAAGTGCGGCATGCCCATCGACTGCATAGCCGACACGGTGTGCGGGCTCAGACCGTGCTGCTGAAACATTGGACTAGGATTGGGCTGAGGCGCTGCAGATGCAGCATGGCCGGTACTCATACTACTGCTGGCCTGCGAATGAGATAGCTGCGGCGTCGATGCTGCCGAGCTTAAGCTATCACTGCTTGCGGTGACCTGGTCTAGATGCTGGGCTTCCGAGCATGCACAAAGGAATGCCGCGAAAGCATTATCGAAGGCAAAGTTATTCTGGGCGGGAATCAAGTCCGATGGAAATGATCTGGACTCTGGCAAGTATCCATGGTAGTCTGAGCAGCATTGGAACTATCAAGGGGCGTGAGAGTCCATGCGAGCACTGGACGCTGTCTACGACGTACGAATTGATCAAGGTCGGGGCACTCTGCGCTGCAGGGCTCGCAAGCCTCGACGGGTGTACCTACGGGGCAGGGGGCTGCGTCGTGATGCGCGTCGTTGCAGGGCACGACGATGCACTGATCGGTGCAGTCGGCACTGAGCTCGAGCTCGACGGGGCAAGGGCTGCCGGGGCACTCTTTTGCGCACTCTGCGCAATTGAGGGGGGCAGTGCCGTGTATTACGGCGCCGCACGGGCACGTCCTGACAGGCCCCTGGAAACACATTGGCCGCGCGGACGCCTCGTTTGTTGAGCGCAAGGCAGAAAAATGGTGGAGGGCTGCGAGGGAGGAGAATGCGCGGGGAGAAGAAAAGCGTGGCTTGTGCGGTAGCGGTGAATGTGCGCCGGTAGAGGGGGAAAAGACAGAAGGGGGATAGCCGGAAGATAGTGGCGAAGAGGGAGACGAGGCAGGATTGGCCATGGTCGCGTTGCGGAGAGAGAGTACCCGTCCGGTCACCGTACAGTACTCCCATTACGTAACACACGGCGACCGTTCCTTCATGCCCTTTCCGGGCCACTGCCCCCGAGCCAATCACACCATCCGGCTGTAGACACCTCTTGCGAACTCACAACAGCCACGGCGAACGACACCTGTCGCATATCGCCTGGGCACTGCTGTCACCCGGCCGCGTCTGTGGTCGCTGGCCCAGCCCAGGATAAGTTTCAAATTGGACACAAGGATTGCCCGAGCGGTCGCCGAGCTATCTGCAAAGGCACTCGACTTTCTGGACTATCTCTCTGGCAGGATTTGCCCCCCTCTAGACACAGGCAGTCTAGTTCCATACAGGCGCAACCATCTCTCTCAGGCCGCTTCTGCTGTTCCTCTGCCCGTTCAAATTCAGACTTCGAAGCCACCGGTTCTCGGTTTTGGCGCATCCGGTGTCTGTTGCTAGACGCCGGACCGGCCGCCCCCGTCTTTCCCCTCTGTACGGGCTCTATAATCCGCCAATATGCCTCGACTTTACATAAGTAAGGAATGGCTTCTCGATATGCTGTGGGAACTGTCTCTCTGCATAATAAACAGTTCACGCGACCAGCGGTAGCAGTATACTCCACCTGGGCCCTCTAATGGCCAGCAGGTTGACATGGTCATGCTTTCGACCCGCGTCCTTGACGAGTCTTGATCAGGTGGGCCAGCCACACGACGCAAATTCCTCCTTTCATCGGCGATATCTGCAGCACGACGCGGAATGTCAAACCAGGTTTTAGCGGTGCAGGATCAGCTATGTAAGTTCTACAACAGTTTATGTACTAAAACCACATTGTGGTCTGCGCACAGTTTTCTCGCCTTTTCCCATGCGGTGGCATCTGGCGCTCCTGAATGAAATACAAGTCGCCTCTGCATTGTCCTCGGACTTTTCAACAGCCCCATGTTCAATGCTGCGTCCAGTCTCCACTTTCCAATCTCCGCTTCCCCTAGAGTGGACGAAGGCATGTGCAGGTTCAGGGTGTGCAAGCTCTCGGGGATGTGCAGGAGAGCGTCCAAGCCACCGGATCCGTCAAGGTCCACCGTCTCCACATTCGGACACGTCTCGATCATCTCTGCCACAAAGTCCATGGGTGCGCCGAAGACCGAGAGACGCCGGATGCTTGGAGTGTCGCCGCCGGCGTACCAGCGGCGGGAGTAGCGGGTGCGCAGTGTGTCTGCCAGCCGCACAAGGGCGGGTTTGGTGAAGGTGAAGGTGATGTGCAGGTCCGTCACCTGGTCAGGGAACGCGAGCAGGCGGCCTTGCTCGGGGATGTCCTCAAAGCCCCAGTTGACGTATTCGATGGAGACGCGCCGGAGGTTGGGGAGGTAGTTGAGCGTGCTGACCATGTACAGGGTGCTCGAGATGGCGTTTGCAGACGGGTTGTCGATGGAGTACAGGAGGACGGACGGCTCGGCGTTCGGTATCGACAGGTGCGTGTCGTGGCCGACGCGGAACGTCAGGGAGCGGCAGAGGGCGTTCGCGGTGGTTGACGCAGACTCGAGCTCGAAGTCGTTGTTTGGGTCGCTTGGTCTCCGCTCCCTGAGCAGGCGGAGGTAGTCCTCGGAGGATAGGGGGCAGCCGATGTGGACGTCCCGCAGAGCGATGTGGATGAAGAGCGACAGCCATGTGCGGTTGATGTGGCAGAAGGTGAGGAACAACGTGCTTCGCTGTTCTCTGGTCATAGGAGAAGACCAAGCTTGCTCGATAATTTGCTCGACGAGCTCGACGGGTAGCGGTGGACAGGGGGCGCAGTCGTGGCTGGTCATGGTGGGATGTAACGGGTAGTATGTACTTCAGGGTATTGTGCAGGTCTTACAGCTTTAAGTGATTGAGGTCGCTGTGTCCCAGCCTTCAGCCTCATGATATAGGACGGTGGATGCAGGAATCGGGACGCATTCCGTCGCACGTCACTTTGATCGAGGCTCTGGAACATCCGCATCGTCGGAACCAAACATACATTATTCCGCCTTCCAAAACAGCCGCTCTTTACAGCCGGAAATTTCCTAGTTGTGATGCCCAGACATGGATCGAATGCGAAAGGGGCGTCGATGTCTGCAACGGCTATGTCCGTTCGGTGATAGTTTGTACTTGATTATGATGCTATGGGCGCCTAGCGGTATGAATTTGACTGCCATATCTCCGACACTGGGAGTCCCTTGTTCGTGTTCTTTGGAAAGCTGAGTCTTTGCTTGGGTGTAAGTGGTACGAACAAAGCATCCTAAGATAGAGTCCATCAGATCAATACACGTCGCAGAGTTACAGATAATGAACATAGCGTAAGTAGGGTATTTGGGCAACTCGATACAACTAATCTGACAACGACTATATTCCATATCCTGTTCCAAATTCATCCGTCCTGGGCTCCTCGAACGGATCCGGGTCCGGCTCGTCGACAGAGAAGCGGGGCCTTGCGCGGGTAGGTATCGCCCCTCGAAGCGTTCCGTTGGCCGACTCCATGAAAACGGATAGGCCGCGGGGCTCAATCGGAGTCAATACCGTCGTTCTCTTGATCGGGATCGCCCTTCCTGTTAAAGAGAATCTCTTGAGAGTGCGCAATGGGCGGAGATACAAGCGGTACATACGGAGGCTCTTCACAAGGTCGTAGCCCCTTAACCGATCGGCATCATAAGCGGGGTTGACGGTTGACCCCTCATCAATGGCGACGTAGTCGATCCGCTTCGCCCGCAGAAACTTGTCATCAAGCATCCAGGGCGCGTCGGGCACTACCTCGTCTACCCAGCGGCAGTGCCGGAGCACCTCACATCTGTCCACGTGCGGCCATATGATCGGTATCTGGTGGGACTCGCAGAGCTCATCCACGAACACCCCGACCATGAGATGCACACAGGGTAACGACAGCTTCGCTTGTCGTAACTGTAGTGCATCTCTGTAGCGCAAACGAACCCATTATTTTCCGTGCAACGCTGTAAGGAGGAGATGTTGTCGCGTGCTTACCTTGCTTGGAACGGATCGAAGATCCCATCGACATATACCCTCACTGTCCCGTCTCCAGACCACCTGCGGCCCGGGATGGAAGGTACCGCTTTACGGACATACTTCTGTATGTCGTCTGCACTCAGTGATACCGTGTCAAAGCGATCTCGTGCAGCCGGTGGCGGTGGGGGCTCATGGATATCCGCGGCTTCAACGTCCACGTGACTGAGGTCTGCGATGCTCGACTCGAGGGAACGGTGTCCGTCCGAGATCACGTCGTAGTCCGACAGGTCATCCCCAGAGAGCATAGAGGCTGCATCGACGGAACGTTTCATAATACGTGCGTCTTGGTGGGCTGCAGGATCAGGCTGCGGGCACGAGGCAGATGCCAAGCTACGTACGGTAAGTACACGCAAACATGCACACACAGCCAGAGCTCCTTTTGTTCTGGGCACCTTGAGGACACCTCCATCATGATCCCACTGCTCGCGGGATGCTGTAAATGGACTCCGGGGTCTGATGAGTGTCTTCGATTCCATATTACAAGAACCTAAACGGTAAAGGGTAATCATGATGCCGGCCCGGGTGACTGCCATACGCTCGACTGGTCGGATTCGGAAGACGTGTTATGATGCAATGCTCCTATCATTACCATATTCGGACTTGTACAATGAATACATTCAACGAGGCTTTCGACAGTTCAAGCTAGCCTCGAAATTGTAGAGTTGTCAAGTGTGTCTATACAAATAACCAGAATCGCCATGCAAGAAGCTGTAGAACTTCATGACGGAGCAGAAAGGCAGTTATGACAACATTCTAACTGATGTACGGTAGGTATGGTTAGATTTTCTTATGTATGCCTATCTCAAATACATTGGTGGCATAATCTTAGTAAGACCCGACCAATGCATGCCTCTGGAAGGTTTTCCTGCCTCAAGAACAAGGAGAAACTTAAGCAAGTAGACCTCATTACATAATATACAGCGTGCAAATATATGTCCGATATTGGAAAGGTGACAACAGCCCCGATGACACCGGGATGCGGGCGCCAATCGAATCCCACTATGGCCTCACTTCCACATCCCGCCTCGATTTCAATATCATTATCTCCGACTCGGTATACGTAAACTTGCACGGTAGCCGTTCCAACGAGCTCAGCCTGCACGATGACTTCTCTGCCTCCAATTGAACATGTACTGTCGAGCACCGCAGACCCCAACAGCCCGCTGGCACAGGCGTTGGCGATTCTGTTCGAGCCGACGCCGACTCTCTTCTCCGAACTCGTTCCCGGTCTCGTCTCGCACATAGCATCGCGTTCCACCCCGATCACCTCCTATTCAGAACTCATAGACGCCTCCCTCGACGTGATCGCGACGTGGGACGATGATCTCAAAGCCCAATTCATCGCGGGCCATCCGCGCATCGGCGAGGTCAAGGGCTTGTCGCATCTGAGCGCGAAGGAGCAGGCTGCGACCGCAACGCCGCCGGAGGTGCTCGCACGCCTCGCACATCTGAACGCGTGCTATGAGCATGTATACCCGGGCCTGCGTTACATCACATTCGTCAACGGGCGATCAAGAGCAGCGATCAAAGACGAGATGGAGGGCGTACTGGGTGTCGAGCCGTCGTTGAGTGCTGGCCAGCCGTCCGCGTCCAGCATAGCAGTTGTGCAGACTGGCACAAAGGAGTGGAAGGACGAGCTAGAAAGAGCAGTGGTCGATATAGGTAAGATAGCACAGAGTAGATTGAAGGCTTTAGGGTCTACGTAGGTGAGTGTTGTCTTGTTATCTTAACGACCATATCGCACATCTAACATGAGCATCATGCCCCGCATTCTCACCTCCAGTCACTCGGAGACATACGGAATGGACGGGATCATAGTGTGGAAATGGGCGACTTGATGTACAAGATACGAGCAGCGAGTGTCAACGACAGCAGGGATCAACATGAGATAGAGCAATGTCCAATAAATACCAGAATAAAGTCTAGCCGACGCGCACGCGCCCGATAGAGGTACACTGCATTTCTACACGTTCATGCGAGCCTTTTCTTCTCTGCTGAGTCTTTCGGCTTGTTTCTGGCGTGCGCGAGGTAAGTTGCCAAGCCTATCAAGAGCGTAATACTCACCCGTAAGACCTCCTGCCTGCGGATTTCCCATTCTGGATTTAATCGTCGCAGCTCGTGCAGCATCTCACCAGCGAGGTCGTATGTCTCACTGATGTTGCCCTCCGCCTGCCGCTCAGCCTCTCGCTTGCGTCGCAGCTCATCCTCCATGGCCTGCATGCGCTCCTGGTATCGCAGCTCTGCCTTTGCCATTGTCTCTTGATATCGCCGCTGGCTAGCGAGCATCTCCTCACGCAACACTTTCATGCGCTCTTGGTGCCGCGTCTCGGCCTGGCGAGCCCACTCAGCCCGCTCGCGAGCCAGCTTGGCTTGCATGTCATTCATGTTCACGTTAACGTTGACACGGGTGCGCATGAAGTTGAGGCCATTGTCGTAAGCCTAGATGCTGAGTGTGATTGTCACGATCGCGTGTAGGACGTGAAGAGCACTTACACGACGCTTAGCCGGATCACTGAGAACATCGAACGCAGTGCGGACCTGAGTGTGGACACTATGCTTCAGCCGGTCCACGATATGATCTGACAACTAATGGGACCGACATCTCTAAAACGCGCTTCTGCAGCCTCGATCTCTGCTTCTCTCGCTCCGCGTGGTAGCTTGTCTGCGCATTGCTTAGATCATTGTTGTCGGGCTTTGCATGGGATCCTACACACCGGGGTGGGTTTCAAGCGCCTTGACTTTGTACGCCTTGCGGACTGGATCTCTCATCAAACCGAAGCAGATTCCCTCAAGGAGACATAATGCGAACCTGTATCGGCTGACGCGCCTTGCGTGATGCCTAGAATATCGTACAGTGTTTTTCCTGCGGCCATTGGGCCTATCACGCATGTATGTCGTGTCCAGGATGAGCACAGAAGATGAAGCAGTCCCCAGACTGGTTATGGAGGGTGTCGCGTCGCGAGATAACAGACCGTACGCGATCAATGTTCGAATTCCAGACACGCCCATGATCACGTGTGTCGCGTCGCGTCTCGTTAGAACTCGCGTCTTATATGCTGCAGCTTGTCCGTTAGTTACACTGTTAGGTTGACCTCGACATGGGTCGGGCATACTGCTTGTACTGGTAACGACAGATATTGATCCCATCGCAAGCTAACGTGTACATCGCTACATTCCAGTCGTCAAACTTGGTGAACTCACAAGCAGGGCCGGTCGCTCCAGCCACGATGGCACGCGCAAATCCCCCTCCCCCCTCACGCAGGTAAATACGAGGCTGCATGACGAACAGCCGTTTCCGATTTTTCAGGACTTCTGCAACCAACGGCGATTACGAGCAGCTCATGACCTCGTTTGCCCAGCGTTGGGCGGTTACCCTCATGATAATGGACAACCGGACACGCGGGTTCCAAAGCGACCGGGAGCCGCATATCGAAGCGCTGTGTTCGCTGCGTCGTTGGTCATATATGCGCGTATATGCATCACTCGAAGACACGGTCAATCTCGTGAATACATGTCCATCGGAGACCCACCAAATCATTGCAATTTGAAAGAGTAGGGCTGCTCAATGCTCGTCGCTCGTTCGTCTGCGGAGCGATGATCACCCCGACAGCCACAGATCAGTCGGGGTTGGAAATACCTCCCAAAATACTGGAAACTCCGCGGACGAACGAGGGAGCGACAAGAATTATAATTGCGCAGCCCAAACAGTAAGGCTCTTGCATTGCAGAGCTGACGCAAGTGGATCGGCCAGCCGTGAGACGTGCCCGGGCATCGGATGTTGTGCAGCTCCCGTCGCGATCAATCTGGATGTGGTAGCAAAGGTCGTTGCTGATAACGTCAATTCTATATTCAGGCGGTATATCTGGCACAACACGCAAAAATCGGCTGCTTCATTTTTGTAGGGCCCCTTGGTGAGCTATCTAAGGCCCAGAGCGCTGGAGTAGGCCAGGAGTGTAGGTACCAATTGGGTGTTTCTGATGGAATGACCTCGGGACAGACTTGGCCACTCATGGCATGTGCCGTCCGGATTCGCAGGACCTGATGAGATCCCAGATCGTCACTACAAGATTTGCTGATTCTCGTCGTTCCCACTGGTGGATCTCATCCCCGGGTATATATGTTTCACTGCAAAGGGGTACCACACAATCAGCCACCTCAACTCCTGACTACGCCCCAAGACATGGCGGTCCTCCTCGACCTCATCCGAACGACTTCCCTAGTGGGAACACTCTGGATACTTTGGCGTATAGCCAAGCGCCTACTGGGCCGTTCACCCCTCGACAATGTCCCGGGGCCAGCATCACAGTCGTTTTTCAAAGGTACGCAAAAGTCTGACTGTCTAGAAGATCCTGTGTGCATTGACGTGGGCATGTGACAGGTAATCTCGGCCAATTGTTCGACAGACATGGCTGGGACTTCCTGTATGGGCTGGGCGTGAAGTACGGTTCGGTCGTCAAGATCAATGGCACTTTCGGCGTCAGTGAGACAGGCTCTAAGTCGATTCATACAGCTAACCTATCCCCTTGCAGAGCAAACAACTCTTCGTATTTGATCCCTTGGCACTCAACAGCGTCGTCGTGAAGGATCAGTACGTTTACGAAGAACCAGAGGAAGTTTTGGCGTAGGTACTCTCCATGCTCGCAGCTGGCGCTACGTATAACCTGATAATTTAATATCAGATCTATGCATTTGATGCTCGGTGATGGACTTCTCGCGACAGTCGGTTGGTCCTGCGCCGTGTTCACCGAGCTGTAATACTGAAACAGGCCTGCTACAGGTGAGCGCCATCGCAGACAGCGGAAGCTCTTGAACCCCGTCTTCTCCGTCGCCCACATGCGGCACATGATACCCATCTTCTACGAGATCACTCACAATGTGCGTGTATCGCCCAACTGTTTTATTTACGTTCGTTGGCCATTCCTGACCGTGACTAATGGAACAGCTCCGAGATGCTATTTCCACGAGGGTCAAGGACGGACCGAAAGAAGTCGACATCCTCGATTGGATGGCTCGTACTGCGCTCGAACTGGTCGGGCAGGCCGGTCTTGGCTACTCCTTCGACCCCCTCATCAGAGACGAGGCGGACTCGTACGGGGAGGCCATCAAAGCCATCGTGTAAGGCATTTTGCGAAATGTGTCTCAGCCAGAACGCAGCCGCTGACGGTATTATCGCAGCCCGACTATGTTCCCGCTCAGGCTTGTGCGTCCTCTTCTGCCGATTTCCATGAAGATGGGACCGCGTGCACTCCGCAGGGCGATTGTCAGCCTCCTCCCGAACCAGCACATCCGCCGCGCGAAAGAGATCTCGGACTCGCTTGACGACCACTCGCGGCGCATCTTCGAAGAGAAGAAGCTTGCGATGGCGAAGGGCGACCAAGCCGTCCTCCATCAAGTCGGCGAAGGCAAGGATATCATGAGCAAACTGAGTAGGTGGACGTGCTGGTCAATTACTAGTCCAGGGGTTTATCGAGTCTTCTGTGTAGTGCAAGCGAACCTGCTAGCCTCTGAAGAGGACAAGTTACCCGAGGACGAGCTGTTGGGCCAGATGACGTACGTTGTCACACTCCGCTCGCGTGTCGGCGATCATGTCTCACACGAGCCTGCAGAACCTTTATTTTTGCCGGCATGGACACTACTTCTGGCGCCCTGGCACGCATCCTCCAGCTGCTCGCTGATCACCCGGACGTTCAAACAAAATTGCGCGCGGAGATTCTTGAAGCACAGGGAGATGGAGAAGATATCTCTTACGATCAGCTCGTCGAGCTCCCTTACTTGGAAGCTGTCTGCCGGGAGACATTGCGACTGTAAGTTTGTCTTTGTATTCGAAGAATAGGTATTAATGGCGGTGAATCCCTCAGCTATGCACCGGTCCCGTTCCTCACTCGAACGTGGGTGCTTTTATTGCGTGGTTGTAATTGTCATTCAGCTGTTGGTATGCTTACTACGCCATACATAACAGTGCGCGGAAGGACATGATTATGCCTCTTTCCTCGCCTATCCGCGGTGTCGACGGCAACATGATGAACGAGATCCACGTTCCGGCGGGCACGGGAATCATTATCGGGATCCTCGCGTCGAACCGCAATCCAGAGATCTGGGGCCCAGATGCGGCCGAATGGAAGCCTGAGCGCTGGCTCACCCCTCTTCCCGATGCCGTTAGCAATGCACGAGTGCCCGGGGTGTATTCGCATCTGTGAGCCGGCATCCCATCGCGTCTGCGCAGTTCCCCCTTTTGACACTATCGCGTGCAGGATGACTTTCCTCGGCGGCAGCAGGGCTTGCATGTAGGTAGACTCAAAATCTAGTCAAGTCACATTCTCACGCATTCGTACAGCGGTTTCAAGTTCTCGCAGCTGGAGATGAGTATGTACCACCTCACTGCACCGGTTGGGTTTTAGAAGCGTTAACATTGTGTACAGAGGTCGTGCTTTCAATTCTCCTCTCGACGTTCACGTTCGCGCCTTCGGAAAAGGAGGTCTTCTGGAACATCGCCGGTATCCAATACCCCACTGTAGGCCGCACAAGTCGCAAGGCGGAAATGCCGCTGAAGGTTGGCCTCGTAAAGGCGTGAGCAAGCGTTCTTGGTTGGGGAATTTGTACGTCCTCTCATTAGTAACTGGCACCTGTGAGCGGACATGCACTGATGCCAAGCATCCGACAGCAGTAGCTACACATTATATTGTCCTCAGGTGAAAAAGAAACTATCGGGTCGAGGTCCGCAGGTCGGGGGCCTAGAGATTCGTAGGATACTTTGGTTCTCATAGTCACTCATTTACAACGTCAGGCCTATCCGGCAACCATTCGCTATTCTAACGTGCGGAAGCATTGTCGCCAATAGCGCCAAATGTGATTCTCACAAATAGACTTTCTGTCAGGGTAATTGTAGGAGACGCACTTCGCCCATTAACTATGTTCCGAAGCCTCGCAACCGTTCTACGAGCAAGTTGATCAACTCTTCAGGATAGCAGTGGGAGTCAAATGTTTTCAATGATAAGAGCTTCTCTTTATGCAATTGAATGAGAAGCTATAAAATCCGGCCCAAGAAAAGAACTACAGTGATGCCCGATTGCTTCCCAAATCATCACGTGAATGCACAGAATTCGTGGGTGCAGAGATAATCGCAGCTAGAACATGGCGTGTTACTTCAGCTCTGGTAGGAACAGCTCCTTGAGAAGCCGCGCCGTGTCTGCGGGGCTCGAAACAGAGTGCCCTATCGTCCGTGGATCGGTGTATATCTCATAGTCGTTCCCTCCCTGTGAACATCGCTCTCAGCATCAGATCATATGCTGCAGCTCGTTCACAAACTGACCTTGTATGTTTTGTCGCCGAAGAAGTGGATTTCCTCAAATTGCTCGTCTTCTACGTGTCGTAGGCAGTACGTCTTGTCCCAGCCGTTCGGGAAGATATCGAATGAAATTTGCCCCCCGATAGAGAACGTCAGACCGTAGTCGGGAAACTTCTCGCGGAGGACCTTGATGAAAGCTACCCGTAGACCGTGTTGCTGAAAACGTGCTTCGTACAATGATATGAGTCACGGGAGAAGAGCCATAGGCGAACCTTGTCATAGGCTTCGAATTCGTTGCGTTCTTGTACCCTGCGCACAAGGTTATATACAGCGACAGACGTGAGGTTGACAGAACTGACGTTGCGTTTCGCCCAATGGGACTGACGTTGATCATGCTGTTACGGAACTCGATGAACGTACCCCTGTATTGACCTGTCAATAATCAGAGAAGAGAAGCCCGCGCGCAGGACAGCACCTCTTGATAGGAATATCCATGTCCGCGATGTAATGGAGGATGAAGTTGGCCAGTTTCTTGTATCGCTCTTCTCCAATAAACTTGATGAAGGACTGGGATGGTAGCGGCTGCGCGTTTTTGTACGCAGTCAAGCCGTTCTCAGCAAACACATAATCGAAGTCCTCGACCACTTTACTTTAAATGAGCGCGGATACTATGACAGACAGGTGTTTGAATGTACCGCTCGACCCGGTGACCGCAAGCTGCCCGGAGATCTTGACGAAATCGGAGCCGCCAACGACGCCGATGACAACCTTCTTGCGCAACGCTCGCAGAATTTGAGTTATCTCGAGCGACACGTTCTGGCGCAAACGTTGAGATCATGCCTCGACTTCAGTCCGCACCAAGTCTGCGCGACGTACTTGTCTCGCCGGAGTTAGCGTGTCGTCGACATCAAAGAGGACCAGTTTCTTGAAGGGCCTCTCGGCGAATGTAGATACCATTGTGGGCTATACAGCAGTCGACTGGGGTACCAGTGAGTAGCGGTTGTGCGGAGGAAGGCGAAGCAGTGCATGGTTGGAGATGCATGTTGCTGTATATCATCGATCAGAGCGCTCTTCGATCATGATCGGCACTTCATTGTACTGTTCCGTGCTAACAGGAGCCACCTCGGATACACTCTACATGTGCCTACGCTGGATAGACATCTGGCGCCAACGTACCGTCTGTAGGACCGACACAAGTGCTTGTCACTATGCATTCCGTATAGATGCAAGAGCTCTTTCGGAACGCCCATCAAGTTGGAAACACTTCAACCGACAACCTCTCGGTAGAGATACACGCGGATCGGTGCATGGATTTGAGGATGCCTGGTGCATTCCACCAGGCGCACGTACTGAATACAGACAGCCAGACATTGATGGCTGGGGCATGAGAGCGACAGGAGCAGGACCAATATCATACAGAAAGAACGAATCCAAGTCGGCGTGCGGACGGAACGTATGCAAGGACAATTACGGAAAATGTCAAGCGAGAGAAGCATAGCAAGGCGTCCGATAAATAAGTATATACTGTAGAAAGCATGCAGAAGGTGCGAAGTGCGCGGTGCGTCTGCGCGAAATTGGTCATCTTGATGTATGCCGAGCCCAAGTGGTTGCATGTGAACGTGAAAGTCGTGAACGAGAAAACGGGAGGAGGCAAACGGTGCCGGCCGTGCCTAGGCGACGGTCGTGGTGCGCGTTTGCATTGGAGGGAATGCCGAGGACATGGGAGAGACCTGGGGCTGCTGGCCTACAGAGGAGTCGCTCCCGTAGCGCGAGTCGCCCTCGGTGTAAGCTGATAGTGTGTTGGGAGCGCCGCTCGTGCTCGGCGTCTGTGGGGCGCCCAACGTTGTCGGGACCTTGCCGATGAACCAGGACTGCGACTTATCAGTGCATGCGTACAATGAACGAGGTCATGCCGACTCACCGGCACCCAACCACGATCACCCGACTCCTCTTTGACGGCCTGCGAGGATGGTCAGCTCATTGCATTTGAATTAGATCGGCGTAACGCACGTAGGACCAATGGTTGTATCGCTTGAACACTCGCAGGTAGTCATCCTTATTGAGGTTAAGCTCCTCGTCGCCCTTCCTCTTGTAGTCCATCAAAGCGATGCCCGGGAAGCTTGTGGACAGGATGCTGAGCGGAAGAATCGGGGTCTTTCCGCCAGGCGATTGTGGTGGGGAGCCACGCGCTGTAGTGGCCTCGGCAATGGCAGTAGCGACAGGCACATTTGTCTCGAGCAGACAGCCAGCAGGGACCCAGCCTTGCTGGCTGGAGTCAGGCTCGACTACTCCGAAGCCTGCCTCATCCCGCTGTACGACCCACCAGCCACGCGCTCTCGAAAGGATGATGAACGTGTCTCCACTGGAAAGAAGTATGAGTACATCCCAACCATCCGGACAAGTCGTGTACGCACACAACCACGTCGAACTCGTCCTCTTGTTCTGCCATGTACGGGTAGATAGCCACCGCGTACGACACTCCCGTCGACGGCGGGATCTCCCGCACCACTGCCGGGGGTGGTAGTCCATCCCCGCCCACTCCCCCGCTTGAGCCTTGCGACTTGAGATGGTCCCCCGAACCACCCAGCTCTTCCGCGCGCTCCTTGTTTTCCACCACCGGAGACATGAGTTCCGGCCAGCCTGACTGCGCATTTGGCACACCCGTCAGGAGACCAGGCGTGGTGGCTACACGACTGTTTACCTGCAGCTTTGGGGGATGTCCATTACCGTTCTCGCCCTGTGCCTGCAGGTTCTGGCCATGGTTGTGCTGTGATGAAGATGTAGGCGGCGACCGCGCTGAGGAAGTCTCCGAGGAAGCTCTGCGGGCAGCCTGCTTCTGCTGCGCAACGGCGATTGGGGAGCGGATATCTTTGATGTGTTTCAGCATGAACACCGGGTTCTTCTTCGCGTCTTTGAGCCTCTGGAATAAAAGTAGTGGTTTCTCGTCGTAACTTAAACACCTCTCGATCCGATTTCCTTATTGGGGATGAGCCGAGATACGGCGGGGGGTACCGCACGAGAGCACGCACCTGGATTGCCATAACAAATAAACATAGCATAGTTTTGCCAATCGTCGTTGTTGATTTTGTACTTCTTGAGGGCCGCGGGGAGAACCTTCCATGCTGGATCATCAAGACTGACCTTGAAGCTCTTCAGGTTGTCGGAGCTATCCTGGCGCATGGGCTTCGGAGGTGGTTGCAGACTACTCGAGGCGCCGTTCGTTTGCGAAGTTGACGCGGACTCGCCATTGGTAGACGTCGGCTGTGACCGTGAACGGTCGGATGAAGTGCCAGTGCGGGATGTATTTGAATTGATCTCGTGTTCGAATCGTTGTGGGGACGGCTGCGGTGACTCCACGACCTCTAGTGCAGCTTTCGTTGGTGAGCGCGAAGGCTTCACAAACGACGCCCATTTGAAAGAATGTTGCCGGACGGGACTTTCGGTCTCGGTCTACCTGTGCATGAGAGATGCCGATGAAGTTAAGTGCGACAAAAAGCGTACCTGTGGGCGTTGAGACACCATGCTATTCCTCACGCTGCTCACATCCTCAAGACAGGATTGAAGATTGTCGCTCAGCCTCCGATTGTCATCCTCCAAATGTCGCAGCCGATCACCTGCAAGACGCGTGAGGAAGAATGCGACGAGACTTGTTGAATGCTCACTCTGTTCCCGGAGTAGGTCATATAGCTTCTCTACGTTCACTTGCTCCTTCCGCTCCTCTGCCTCCGCTAGAAAGACAGGGATTAGGTGCTTCATACGTACGAATTAAGTTGGGATCTTACAAGGCGGAACATAATGATCCGGCTCTATGGGGATTCCCTGGGCGAGCTTGAGGTTGTACACGCCCTTGAGAATCGCTAGCCGCTGTCCAATGGTGGCGATGCCGACGTCTTTCAATGCTTCTGCGTCAAGCACGCAGAGGATCTCCCCGCTTATTCTGTGTTCTATTGGAGCCGTTAGGAACACTGATCCAGGGGGGGACTGGCAGGCCACTCACCTCGAATCTGGCTCTCATACTGCGGGAGGCCGAGCTTGACAAGCCAAGCATGCACATCGCCCTCGTCCCAGCCGAGGATATTTGACTGCTGGTCAGGCGAGGAGTCCATGGGAACAAGACACTACTGAGGAGAAGTGCCAACGTCCGGTCGCGTTACAACCGCTATCGCGGCGCCCAAATTGGTTTGTATGGGGGTGTCCGGGGTCTACTTTGCTGTGAGCTTGAAGCTACGCACCGTCGAGCCCGACGACTTGCAATAGCAATGCGAGCGACAATGGCGACGCGGTCGATGCGGAAGGAGAGTATGGACGCGGTCGAGGCGAGAGACTGCCGCGGTGTGCTTTGGGTGTGAATCGGACGGGAGCGGCTCGAGGTAGCGTACGGTGAAATAGGTACGGTGACCTGCTTAACCGGCTAATTAGCCTGGGCCTGTGCGAGAGGTCAAATTTGCCTATGGTAATTTACGGCTAATTAGCCGCTATAGAACATGGCCTGATGAGCACTTTTACTTAACAGTAAAGTAGCTTTATCGAACAGTTATATCGCCCAGCGACGGAATACCTCGATAGCACGCAGCTGCTACTATTCATCCCAGTCCAAGGGTCCGACGTCACTACGTCTGGCCTTCTATACATGCTCTACTCTAATTTAGTCCTGACGCGGTATGCTCGTCAGCAACAATCCCCTTCACAAACGGTGCATTACTGAGGTTGATGAGGCCGGAGACTACTATTACTGGTCTGCATGCAGGATAACTGCTTCTATTGCGTCTAGATACTATGTGTCCGAACATGTCCAAATTCAGCGCAGGTCACTTGACCCTATTTAACCCTTGTTGTTTTGTGAAGTTTACGGCTAATTAGCAAGGGTCAATCAACCGAAGCTAATTAGCCCGGCCTATTTCACCGTACCCTCCTCCCCACCAATCGACTCTGCAGCTTTACTTCGCCGTCGTTGTGCTGTCTCATGCTACGCCGGACGGCTATATGGACGACCTCTACGCAAACGCATGGAGTGACCCTCCAGATCCTCCTCTTGCTGGCCTGAAACCATCAGCAAGCTCAGGCTCGTCCTGGGTGTCCCCGAGACTCCCGGACTTGGACGAGGAAGCGGACCTTGCAGCACCCTCCTGGTCTACTGGTGCCGATATTCGCTGGAGCGAACCGTCAGACAATACTGGCTTTTCATGGTCTCAGGCAGAGCCCGATTTGGCTTGGAGTACGACGAACAAGTACGAGAGCATCCAAATCGGACAGTCTCCTAGTGTCCAAACCGAACAGGAAACGCCATCCTTCCCGCTCGAGGAAGAGCGAGCTTGTACACCCTCGCCGCCTCCGTCTCCGTGTTCTCCGTCTCCCGGAACGCCTGCTTCCGTCACGGCTTCACCTGAGCGCATAAATATCATCGCAGTCTCTCTCCAGTCACCAGAATTTGACCCACCGCCTACCTCTGCCGATCTCGATGGTGGCTTTGGGACGTTCGAGTCTGCTATAGTCCCGGATGAAGAAACTGCAGTTGCTCTAGAAACTACTGACGTAACCGCAGACGCTTGGGGCACTGCATGGGCAGCTTCGGAAGGGACAGAGACAAATACAGCGGCACAGCAGGCGGACGAGTGGGAGGTTGCAAAGCAGCAGAAGGCTAAGCGTGATCGTAGAGTTGTGAGTCAGTGGTTGAGATGGCCTGCAGCCGATTCGTGTAGTTTACCGGCATGCTTCAATATAGCCCCCGGAGTCGTTGGCGACCATCCTCGGAGAATGCGAGCAGTTTATTCGTGAGGCATGGCCAGCACCGGAGTCCGATCCATCTAAGAAGGATGATTGGCGAAGCAGCACGAATGGCGGCATGGAGGCTGTTGAAGGTCTGTAAGTACGGAGGTGCTTGGTGCCCAGTGCATGCATTGGGATCCTTATGCTAACGTCTGCGATCTACTCTGATTGGTAGCGACTCGTTCATTCAGACATTCCTACCGCCTCTGTCTCTCCAGCCGCCGGTGCAGTTTGGCAAAACCACCGTTGCGAAACGGGTGGCTACGTCCGTGCGTCTGACCAAGAACATGGCCGTGACGAAAGGCAGCCCCATGTCGCATTATCTCGCGGCGAAGGGCTCGACTGCCTGGGAGGCTGCGGTCAAACAGCGTAAGGAGGTGGCTGAAGATGACATCGTACCATCCGGCTGGCGCATCTTAGAGAAGGAGCCTGCGAGCGGCGCGGCAGCGGAGACGGCCAAGGAGAAGAAGCCCGCTGGGAGGCTGTTCTCGTTTTGGGGCAGGAGGGAGTCTGGCATCACGCACTCGCGGACGCCATCAAGCAAGGATGCGGAGGAAAACGCCGCTGTGGGCAGCGCGAAAGGCGCAGGGGACCCCCCGAGCCATTCCAGGCGTCCAAGTCAGGACAGCGTCAGATCGTCCATGAGGAGCAGCGTCGACACGGTCACTTCGCCCGTGCAAACGGCCGCCTCATCCGTCTCATCTCTACCCACAACCGTCGCCAGCACGGCCTCTTTGTCAGGCCCTGCCTCATCGGCGACGGCGTCGCAGATACCGTCCTATGCTGACGCGCCAGAGCCGCACGTAGACCCGTCAGAGGCGCCTCAGCCCGCACCATCAGCTGTATCGCGCTTCTTGAACCGCTTCTCCAGACGGCGGAGCGCCATGGGCTCTGGCAGCCCACGAAACTCACTCGCGCTATCGTCGGAGGATCTTGAGTTCCTCTCGGACATTGTCCCAAGCGCAAGTGACGAGAATGAGAGCGACCACGATGGCGGTGCGAACGCGAAGGCGCTCGCAGCCATTCTTAAGCCTCCGTCGCTGCCACCGATTCTTCCCCCGCCACCAGCACCCTCGCGCAGTGCCACGACATCGTCGAATAGCCCCGCCAGCGCCGGATCGAACATAGAGTCGCCCATAGCGAGCCTGGACTCATTCTTCAACGCGCTCGAGTCTGGTGCTTCTGGCGCTGCTGGTTTGTCTGACTCTCCCCACTCGAGTGCCCTACCCATGCAGCCTACATTGGCCGCCCCTACCTTGAAGCCCTCGAGACCCAGCACACCCAGTGTTCCTGCAATCCCGACTCCGTCCTCGAAGCGCGACACGCGACCATCAAGCCCGTCCCCGCTATCTGTGACGTCCGCAAAGCAGTCGTCGGCGCCCTTCTACCTCCCCTCACCTCCGTCTTCTCGCTCGCAGACGCCTGTTTCTGTACCAACTCCTGCCGGCCCATCTATGAACCAGGATAACAAAAGCAGGAGCGGGTCGTTCCGAGAAAACGCGCCGCCTCCGCTACTCCCGCCGCCCCGTCCCTCGTCGTCAACATACATGCGACAGCGACCAGCTGAGACCGAGAACCAGCCTGACACGCCCACTTCTGGTATGCCTCTTGCCCAGCTATACCCGAATGCGCGCATGGTCAGCTCTCAGACGACTGGCGGCGTAGACGCAGGGCGTCGACCGACACCCACACCAGCTTTCTCTCTACCGCCACCACCTTCTGTCCGCTCCCAGAGCGAAGCACACCTCCCGCCGCCTCTGGCGCCGCCCCCGATGGCATCTGTGCAGTCAGCACCTCCGAAACGACCTGCTTCCTTGCCATTGACCTCATTCGACGACGATGACGACGAGTTCACGGACTTCTTGTCTTCGGCTACGGTGCCTGTGCAGTCTAAGCCGATCATGCCCGCACGGCCCTCTATGTCGCGCAAGGCTACCCCGACGGCCATCCCGAAGGCGTCGAACGCCGCAGGGCCAGCTCTTACGCTGCCCATACCCGGGACGTCACCGCCTGCACGGCGGCCAGCCACTTCAGCCGCACAGACATTTGCAACTGCCTCCGACCCCTTCGGAGACGACGACTTCTCAGACTTCCATTTCTCTTCCGCCACGTCCCTGCACCCCCCGCAGTCCGCGCTGTCCTTCGACTCGCCCTCGTTCTCGGACTTCAGCGCGTCCACGTCCGCGACGCTCCTGCACGCGCAGTCAGAGACATCTCCCGTCTTTGAGTCCCCGGCGCCCGACGACAGCTTCTCGTCGGAGCAGTCGTTCCTCACCCCAGCGCGACCGTCTGGGTTCGACGTCAATGCCATCTCGCCTGTCCTCCGCACGCCTTCGCCGCCCCGGCCGATCTCCAAGATGCCCCCGCCCTTCTCATTGCCCCTTTCGGCGGCGGCCGCGGAGCAGGATTCGCAGCGCCCTCGCGCAGGATCCAACGCGCGTCTGAACAAAGCGGCATCCCACCTGCATGCTCTCAATTTGGTGGAACGCGCGGCACAGCGTCCCGGCCGATGGCCGGCGCCCCCCTCGCCCCTGCCTAAAATTCCAGGACCGATCCCGGGGCCCCCGTCGGCGGCCAGCAGCGCTCATGTTGACCTGCTGGGCGACGACGGTTCTCCGGGGCGACCATCGGCACCGGAGATGTCGATGTCGCTATCTTCGCCTGCCGTCGTTGGGTCGCGTCAGGCGGCAGCTTCGAATGGCGCTATGAGCGGCCTGGGCTTTGGGAACATCTCCATCCGCCCGACGCCGATGTCTCACTCGCAGTCTCTGCAAGGTTCCTTGTTTGGCATCCCCCAGAGCGTATCATCCGCGGGGGCCATGCAGTCAATACCGCTGGCACCTCGGCCTACCACCCTCGCGCCTTCATCCTCTCAATCATCGTCAAAGACGGGCGGGTTATCCGCCCAGGATCTGCTGTTCTTCGAGGGTTTGTAGAATTTGCATAATATCACTGTGAACTCTTGCCCACTTTGTAACCTACCTCTGGGATTTTGTGTAATCGTTATTGTTCTTTCACGTTGCAAATCATTGTGCGCTTCGGCCGCTCACGTTGTACCATGTATGAAGGCCTTAAGATGGACTGTCAGAGATCATGAATTGCGGAAAGGACTATTCTAGCCAAACTTCCGATTCTTCCATTAACAACTGTTACGACAATAAATTCAGTGCTAGAACACAAGTGGAACAAAACCCAGCGAGGTCGAATGGACGAGATGGACGGGAGATTAATGCGAAAGTAGACAGGCAAGTCTCGATGACCACGAATGTAGCATGCCAGTCTTAATGCCCGTGTTGGGGTCTGATCCGATGTTTCAAGAATTCCGCGACGCCGTGGATCCTGCAGAACGATACATATTAGTAGGAGTATCCAGCACATTCGCAACGCGGGCACCACCTGCCTGCGCTGCGGCGTGGCTGCTCACCATCCACCGCGCCGCCCCTTGTCACTGCTATGGTCTCCCTCGCGCACCTGCTCATCCCTCCCGCGGTGTCGCGGCGAGCGCGAGTCTCTGTAGGAGTGCGGGTCGTGCGAGTCCCGGTGAGAGCGTGTGCGCTCTCTGTCGCGCTCCCTGTCCTTATGCTTATCGTACACTATACAATCCGCAGCATAGCGGGTCAGTGTATCCATCCACGATGTACTCACCAGTGATAGTTAAGGGGGTATGGAGTGGAGTACTCACCGTGGTGGGAATGCCCTGAGTGAATGCTACTGTGCCCGTGGCTGCGCTGGTGCTGCACAGGAATTGGCTCAATATGCGGCGGTGGCAGCGTTCGGTATGCATGCGAGTTGGTGTTTGCACTAGAACTGAAGCGAGGCGGGACCGGTGCCGTGGAAGTAGACGCTGAGTACAGCTGAGATTGAGCGTTGAATTGCGGCTCTGGGGAGGGTGTGACTTGATGGCGTTGTTGGGGAGGAGGCCGTGTCTGGTATTGCGGCTGAGGCGGAGGGGCTTGGTACTGTACTTGTGGCGGAGTTTGGTACTGCGCCTGTATCTGAGGAGGCAGGGCATGATAGCTGTTTGGTGGAGGAATGTATGATGACGCAGGCTGAGGCGGCGGCGCCGTGATCGACTGTTGACGGGTTTGCTGAGGCGGCGGCGGGGACTGAATTGCATGGCCGTTAGGCAACGACTGTTCGACACCATTGATTAAGTAGCGTTCGCCCTCTGGAGAGGAGAGTGTGACATGCTCGTTGCCCTGGTGTTTGTTTTCGGTTAGCAGACCGGCTCAAATACACAAAACTCTATGTTCACCTCGGCATCGCGGCGCTTGGTGATGACCTCTGTGCGTCCATTGATTGTCCTTGACATCGTGCTCTGGGAGACCCATTGTCCACTACGTCCAATAGCTTCCGTTGCAGAACTATACATACGCCGAGACCCACTGGGCTCAGCGTCAGCGAGCTGCGCAAACATGGAGCCTGGGCCGCCGAGCATGAGGCTGGAGTGAGGAGCGAGTAGGCTACCGCCGAACATCGAGCGACCCATGCCCATGCGGCCAAACGGCGAGAACGGGTCGCTGAAGAAGGGGTCGGACATGAATGGATCACTGTCGTCCATGTCGAAGAAGGTGCGGTGTATATCACCAAAGAGCGAGTTGAAGAGCACAAAGGGGTCTGTGAAGGTAAACAAGGAAGGCCCGCGAGAGAAGAAAGGGTCTGAGAAAGGGTCTGATGAGAAGAACCTATCGCCCCGAGTACTCGGACGCCGCTGGGGCTCGGGCTGTGCTGGGGGCGGGTAGACACCGTAGCGGTCGTAAACCTGCCGGAGATTAGGGACAGATGATGATATCCGGGGAAAATACGCACTTTGCGCTTTTCTTCGTCGTTGAGTACCTCGTACGCGTTGCCAATCTGAAAGGGCCCTTCAGCGGCTCACTCGTAGACGCTATCAGGACACATCTACTTTTCTGAACTCTTCCGCTGCTGCCGCCTTCTGTTCAACTGTCAGGTTAAGTGGGAGCTTGTCTGGGTGTGTCTTGAGGGCACGACGTTTGTACGCCTTGCGAACTGCACCACACGATTCTCAGCAGCGAGAACTGCATGTACGCAGCGAAGACGCACTCTCTTCCGGGGAAGCATTTCGGTCTAATCCCAAAACTTCGTACAGGTTTGTCGCCATTGCGAGAGAGAGAGAGGCTAAAGATGAAACTTTCAAGACAGATAGCAGACGCGTTTAAAGAAAGTTGGAAAAGGGAAAGGGCAAGGGCAAGGCTTGAAGGTTCTCGACATTTCTCCCAAAACGGATATGATGTCACGCAGTGATCGGAGCACGTGTAAGTATGGGCGTCTGTTTGTCCAAAATGTCGACTGCTAATTTCCGCCTGTGCATATACCTCGGTACTCCAGCAGCACGTTCGCTCCCTCCTGCTTGTTCTACAAAAAGCCTGAAATTCTCAAATATCTTTGAAGCGCGATGCAGTTGCACGAGTGCATCTTCTGCGCGACAGCGCCCTCGCCGTCTACCCCAGGCCCTGGAACGATATCTCTGCATGACATTCAGAACGGGACATCTCTGGCGTCGTTCAAACAAACATCTTCTGGGGCGCACTGTACAGCCGTGGTACAGTCGCGAAATGGACAGGGTGGCTTCATGCTTGCTGCCCAGCCTGAAAAATCCATCATGAACGTCTACAATTTCCAAAAAGTGCGTGCTACAAAGCTTTGCGAAAATTATCCATACCAACTGTTTGTCATTAAAGGACCAATTGGCACTCAAACTCGTGCTGCCAGAAAAGCTGTCTGCCATTGCAGTTGACCCACATGGAAGCTACTGCGCAGGCGGCACGTCCCAAGGGCGAATATATCTCTGGGAGGTTAGTCCCTCCGCCGTATGTCCTTCCCAATCCGTATGAACCATCTCATCCTGCAGTAGATTGCCTCGGGTATCATGTACAATGCTTGGGACGCCCATTACCGCCAAGTGAATGTCCTGCGGTTCACACAAGACGGTGCGGCATTGCTCTCGGGCAGCGAAGACTCGGGTGTAAGCGTCTGGTCTGTGTCAAGGTCAGTTCAGCTTACTGTGCCGAGTTTTCTATTTCTGACCTAGTCTGACCTACTGTGGATAGACTTGTCGATGACGATATGCACAACGAACTCCCGACGCCATATTTCCAAATTTCTGACCACACACTGGCTGTCACAGACGTTGTGTGCGGTGTAGGCCATTTCCCCTCATGTCGAGTTCTTACTTCGTCCGTCGACCACTCCGTCAAGGTACAGTTGTCTCACACTCCCTGCTTCTTGACTGGTTTTTACTCCCATTTGCAGCTTTGGGACTTATACTCAAAATCACTCCTCACCACCTTTTACTTCCCGCAACCAATAACATGTCTCGCATGGGATGTTACTGAGCGTCTGTTCTTTGCTGCATCTATGGACGGATCGGTACACCAGGTCAATCTCTTCCGTCAGCGGGAAGACAAGTTCGGACGTGCGGCAATGGAGGCCGTCGGAGGCGGCGGGATTAGCGACGTGATCAGGATTAATGACCTGGACCCGCAGAGCGCAAAAAAGCGGCTGATCTCCGTTGGGTGAGTCAAATTAGAGAGCACGTTCTAGACGACACTTGGCAAACTTACACTGCTTTTCGCAGTCAACCAGTGACGACACTCGCCATATCACTCACATCGTCTTTGCTCCTAGTCGGAACAGCGGCAGGACTCATCCAAACGTATGACATTGCCTCCCACCAGCTTTTGCGCACGCTCAGCACCCACAAGGGCCTCGCCATCACGCACCTTGCGACGCTGCTCCGTCCACCAGACCTCATCGGCCACGTAAGCCTGACACTCACGACAGGGACGGAGCAAAAGGAGATGCCGGTGCGTCCGGTAGCACCTCTCCAGCGGATGAAGGACGCGAAGGCACGAGAGGCACACGAAGTTGCAATGCTGCTGCCTGTACAGGAGAATGTACGTTTTTCTCTCGGGTTATGCCAGTCGCAACTGATCAGTGTTACACCCGCAGACGAACACGGAGGTGTTTTCTTCATACTCCCGCGGCGAGCTTGTGGAAGACCATGCATTCTTCGTGCAGTCAGAGTCCGACTCAAATGCGGCTTCAAACAGCGCTGCATCGGGTCTGTCGTTGCAGTCGCAGGTGGCGGAGCTGGAAGGTGAGGTGGCGCGTCTACGGGAGCAGCTCGGAAAGGCGAAGGGGGTTAATGACGCTATGTGGGAGACAATGGTCAAGCGACTTGTAGAGGGCAAGGATGAGAAGGACCAGGCAGCGGAGCAAAATGAGCAGGACGCGGAGGATGGCAGCAGACGCAGGAAGCGCGGACGTGTATGACCTACACATGGTTTGGCAGTTTGTATAGATACTACTCTTGTTGAAAGGGATGATGTTGTCTTCCACGATGTTCCTACCGATCAGAGCGACTGTCAAACAAATCCCTTACTGAACATTGGCGAAAGAAGATGAAAGTATGGATTGTAAAGTGAGGACCACAGCGTGGATCACGTCTATGACGAATCAGGCTTGTACTTCTCCGGGTCCGTGCCATGGTGTGGGTGATCAACCAGGTTGAACCTATACATGCAATGAAAGAGTATGAGCGTTAGTCATGGATGATCGCTCTGGTCTCTTACATGGGGAAAGTACCTGTAATCCTCTGTGAGTTCACGGAATCAGAACAATCATAGGGTGTACTCACCGAACTTCAGTTGCGAGAATACAGAGTTCCTGTATGCAGCGGTCTGGACCCACCCTGGCTGGGAGGACTCCCCATACAGCGGCAAGCCTTGCTGGGCACGAGCGGTCAGTTCCTCGTGGTCAAGCGCTTCCTCACGCTTGTTCTCAGTCCAGCCCCAGAAGCGGACTGTTGCAGGAGACGTTAGCCGGGCAACTTCACATGATTACAAGCTGAAGAGCTCACGGCTTGACCGTTGGTACGCCATGAGGAATCCACCTACGAATCCGAGCAGGCCGCCGAGACGGAGATGTGTCCGTAGCTTGAACTTAGTAGGATCTGCCATGTCTGCATAACGACCCCAAGTTCAACCCTGGCCCTGTACCTCCGTAAGCAGGCAATGAGCAAGGTTGCACGCACCCCAGAAGTACAAGGCAGCAGGGAACGCGCCGGTGGCAGCAGCCCAGACCCCGAGGTCGGACGGGCGCATGTAGCGGATTACGCGGGACGCATGAGGGTCAGCGTCGATGAGTGGATAGGGCGTGTCGACGACTTTCTGCGGCATGGTGTCGGCGGGTGCCCCAGATGCGGCGGCAACAGCGGAGACGATGAGTAGCGGCTTCTAGCGGCTTGCCGTCGTTGTGCGAGACAGCGCCGGGAGCGTGATGAGTTTAGGGCAGGTCAAATATGGGCCTTGCAGCCACACCACGCCCAAGGAGCAAGACGCGCTTGTTGTTTCTTGTTCTCTACTTCCCCATCCTCCATCATCCTCGCTCATCCTGCCGCTCGCGAAAATGAGCGTAGCACGCACAAGGTCCGGCGCGACGCGTCGCGCAGCGCGCAACGAACTCTCTTCTCCGTACGCCCGCCCACAACGTCGACAGGTACGCCACGCGCCTCGTTTACCTTGCATTGTGGCCCTGAATCGACCAAAGTCTCATCAGAGCCGCGGCTGGAGCCTACTAAGCTTGTTTTGGCCTCCCAACCCCTTACGCCTGTTTTCGGGGTCATCCGAGGACGACAGCGCATCCGAAGACTCCGATGATGCCGATGCACCGGCACAGAGAGGCCAGGTCAGTGAACAGCCTATGTCTACCTGATCGATTATAACAGAAGTGTGTAAAGGAGATGCAATACGGCAGTGTGTCCCCACCTCCTCCAGCGTCGATATCGTTCACGCTGCCACCTCAACGAGGGCCTCCGCCCCAACTTCGGGCACCTTCCCGACAGCCTTCCCAGTTCCAACAGCCCCCTCAGCCCCAATCATATCAGCCTCCTCCGCCTCCTGCCGTTCAGCCTCAGCCTCAACCTCAGCCTCCTCAGCACCGAACTGAGCCGGAACCACCAACCATGATGGATGTCGGAGTCTCGCAACCTCCTGCTAATATCCTTCTCAATGAGCTAACATCGCAAGGTTCCAACAATCGCGCGGTAGAGGAATTCCTACGCCAAAAGGGTGATCAGCCACTGAGCTTTATAGAGTATGCGGGTGTTGTGGCGTTATTGGGACAGCGGCTTGAAGGTGTGCACAACTCTGCATTCTATTCGTAATCCATCTAAGAAGAATGTACAGAACCAAGGAGCGAACCATTCCGCTTCTCGACCTCCACAAGTCCGGAACCTGTACCTGTACCTGCCGTCGACTTCGCGACCCCAGGAACTTCGTCGAGTATACCGACGCAAAATTCGCGTAAAATGCTTAACAAAAACCCGAATGGCAATTACATCTACCGAGGTGGCGGCAGCTCCCGTGTGGCTACTAATCGATATTACTCTCCTGGGTTTGGGCGTCCTTCACGGAGCTATTCCACCATCAAAATTACCCCAGAGAAAACGAGGACGGACACAAAGAGAAGGCGGACGACCGCAGGCCATGAGACAGTTTCCTCGCAGCCTGCGCAGTCTTCTGGCAGCCGTGGCGCCACAATGACAAATGGTTCTCCGCCTGTGGCCAGCGGAAGCAACAGCACTTCCAGGACGAACGGTGTATCGCCATCCACTCCCCGTCGTTCATCGTACCCTACTCGTGCGACAGCACCAGCCAATCCATCACCTCTTCGGCAAGCATGGGGACAATCAGACTCTCCGCCTCAGCGCACACCTCCTAAACGGGCCTTCGCGGTGGCCACGTTGCAGGATATCATCGACAAAGCAACGCCGAAGCCAGCAAATCCAGACTTGCAGAATCCCTATGACAACTCGATTATGCCCAAGGTCGCGAAGAAGCCCCCTCAGAGGATGACCAGGAGCTCTACACGAACCCAAGCTGCGACGGAGGCATCTCAGCCACTGTCGGCTCCCGAAGCGAAGACAATTGAATTGAGCGAGCAAAAGATCATTGAGAACACGCTGCCTAAGGTCAATCACATATTGATATGTATCGGAGATGATCACTGATGTGTGAAATAGGGAAGTAAACGATCGCGACCCCCGCCTGATTTGCGCACGGGTAGAGTGAATGGCACCTCGTCTTCTGTATCGTCTTCATCACAAGCTGGTCCTTCCCGCATATCCCAGTCCCAGGCCCCGCAGTCACAGCGTGCCCAGCCTGCTGCCAATGGTGTCAATGGCACATCACGCGGCGCACGTGCCCCAGCCGTCAGTGTGGAGGAGGTGAGCGATGATGAAGGCGGTTCGCCTTCAAAAAAGCAGAAGACGACAGCCACACGCTCTCGACCTACGACGAATGGTCACAAACCGCCAGCTGCCAGCGTCAGTGTGGAGGAGGTGGATGATGTGGAAATGAGTTCTTCGCAGCCGGCTGTCACCCTGCCCGCAGAAGTGGTCGAACTGTCCGAGGCTAGTGGAAGAGGTCCCTCGCCAGCGTCCTCGTCCTCGCTCAGTACTGGGCTCGGAGTGCGCCCGACTCTTGGAGGCATGAAGTCTTCTGCGCCCAAGGCCCCCTCCAAACTCCGCTATAGCTTCCAGGCGGATAAAGACGAGAAGGAGAGAGCGCCGACTCCGTCTACTTCATCACAGCCCTCTTCACGCACTGCTGCTGCGCCGTCTTTGGGTCCGGCTTTCGTCCCACGGCCTTCTTCCAGACCCGCCCAACGCCAACCTGCCACCACCAGCGTGCCGCAGGATGCAAGATCCATTGCTTTGGCGAGGGACGTGCACGAGCTGCCTACATTCACTTTCGTGATCCCCGCCTCATCATCCGGGGCTGTTCGCAGTTCCCAGGCGGCGCGTCAGCAAGCACTTGCGAGACCCACAGCGTCGCTCCCTAATTTCGACCTCTCAGTCTCGGTCGGTTTCAACTGGAGTGCGGCAGGCGTGACTCAGCCCAAGAAGTCTGCAAACGGCGGCTGGAATTGCCCAACCTGCATGTTAGACAACACAGGAGCGCAATGCATCGCGTGTGAGACCCCGCGTCCATAGTGCAAAACGTGCTCCCGTGTTGAATTTTGTTCGCGCAAAGGCCTCGTCGTCTTCGGAAAGGTTTGTAAATGCGCATCAATCGCATCCTGTGTATTTGTATTATATCTTGTCTCTTACCATTGCCTTCGTCTGCGGATTTTATTGACTGCGTTGTGCAAGAAATGGCTTCTGTGATCTAGTGTACAAGGGTCCTCTGGTTACTCGTACATATTAGTACACTCTACGAAGCTGGGTATCATGGATCTAAAGCACAAGGGAACAGACGCAGTGTTTCCACCTGCATTTTTGGGGCATACTGCTCCGGTATCAGCATGTCATGACTGCCGATGTTGTGAGAAGTCCAGCTTCCGCGCGATTGACCGTCCACCAAGGTCGTCGGACGACAGTTTGCGTTTGAGTTTGTTTGGTGGGTTCGCCTTGACCCCGGGACCCGAGCCGTTCATCTCAACGTTGCCGTTCATCTCTTCGAGAGGGGCAGTTGGGCTGGCCTTCATGACAGGTTTTGGCAGTTTCGATGGGTGGGAGGGTTTTGGTGATGCGAAGAAATATTGATGATTGAGTGCCTGGCAGCAAGCATGAGTTGATCCATGTGGACTACAAGACAGTAAGTACACCTACCTCCCTCGCACTAATCCGCCGCCGTGGCTCGTAGATCAGACACTTGCTGAGAAGGTTCAGGCAATCGGGAGAGGCGGCCGTGAACAGCTCTCGTAGCGGCGTCCGAGGGAACTGGCCGACTGGAACATAGTCGGGCAGTTTGGTGTGCCCCTTGCGAGGAAGAAGGGCATGAAATGGGTGTTGCGCAGCAACACAGACCACGTACCGGCCAGTCTTCTTCTGTTGGCGTCCCAAGAGCGCGGAATGTCGTCTTGAGCTGGTCCATGTCACTTTCACCCGGTAGATAGGGCGTCCGCAGCATCAGCTCGGCGAAGATGCAGCCGACACTCCATATGTCGACCGCAGTGCTGTAGTACCGGCAACCGAACAGCAGTTCCGGCGGCCGATACCACCTGAAGATCATGTTGAGAGAGGGATTCTCATGACGAGGGTCTTGAACATACCGTGTGATGACCTGACAGGTCATTTTATAGCCGGGATCTGCAAAGTCCCGTGCAAGACCAAAGTCAGCTAGTTTGAGCTGACCATCGGATGCGATCAGCAAGTTGTTCGGCTTGAGATCCTGTGGTCCATTCAGGAATAAGACCCTCTGTTACACGATGCATTAGAGTCCATACCCGGTGCAGAATGAAATTCCGATGGCAGAATTCCAAGCCGCGGAACGTCATTGCCATCCAGCTCTTGATATCTGCCGGGAGAAAGACCAGTGATCGATCCCTGATGACAAGCTCGAGATCCGTGTCAAGGAACTCAAGCACTAGGTTTAGGTTTGTCTTCGAGGAGAAGACGTCCAGAAGCTACAGGAGCTCAGACATTGGGTTGATACAGAGTGAATAGAAGCATGCCTCAATGACGTTCTGGTGTTTGAGCTCACGAAGGTATTTAACTTCGCGTATTGCAGACATGTCCAAGCCATCCTTGAACTGCCCGACCTTGATTTTCTTAATAGCCACTCTTCTTCCCGTGGCGGCTTCCCGCCCTGTAAGGCCTGTGTCAACGTATGGGCACGCACAGATCATCCTCACAGACCTCTGTAGACAACTGCGTACATTCCTTCTCCGATCTTCTGATCCTTCACCCTTGTTAGAGTCAGTCTCGAAGCCTGAGGACGCGCCACATTTATGACATGGAACTTACCACCGCCGCTGACGCTCAGTATTCGCCTTCTCAACAGCATCCATGACAATTCTTGAAGGTGAGAAAGAGTTGTCTCGCGAGATAGTGCTAGGAGTCGACCACGAGGGGCGTCGTATGTAACCTTGAAGCACGAAGCGAAGGCAAGCGCCGTTTCTTTCACAGCACCGGCGCTTCAGTCTGGTATCACTTGAGTAGTACAAGGATCCTCCGATCGGTCATTCATCTCAAGGAAAGACCCTTATCGTTGCTTTGTATTACCACCGTAACCACAGTGCAAGATCGTTTATTAAAAAGCGACGTCCGAATCGGTCAACACCTCTCCTGGAATTGTCAATACAATACAATACCAAAGAAATTCACAATAATTCAAGGTCGCAAGTGTGAACGAGAGATCTCGGAGTCGATCAGCAACGCAGTCTCTCAAATATCACTCTACATCAAACTGTAAATGGCGAGCACAGCCCACGGCGACTACATAGAACAATTCCCTGATAATCCAAAGCGTAGAAATGGTGTATAAATAAAGCAGTCGGATCAAATCTACCACTGATACTTCTCTCGCTCGACAGCGACCATTACATGCTTCCTTTTTCTGTAATGGTCGCCCATCGCGCGGAATTCCTCAACTTTTTCCCCTATGCGATCTCTTGTCCCCTTCCACTGCTCCATGACGGCGCGCGCTTCGCCGAAGTCGTTCTCAGATTGCCATGTATCGTCGTCTGGCCCATATCCTACCCAGCGTACTAGGAGCCGACTTCCTTTCTGCGCGACAATATGAGATATCTCATACACTGGCTCTGGGTCTCGAGGGTCAACCGGTGGCGGGCGGGTAAGCTTGCGAGCTCGTCGATCAGTGCGCATCCAATGCTCCGGAATATCGGTGGTCGGGGGTCTCCTGTCGGGGTTAAAAATGTGCTTGGCAACCTGTAACTTCTTGCCTTTGATATCTGGGTGTCTGGCCCGCGAATACTTGTCGCACTCGCAGAGCGAGTGCTCGAGATCGACCATTGTGACACCCGTACGGCGATTCGCGCACAGTCGCGGCCGTCGGTCCGGGGGAATCCCAAGTCGGGAGAAATGTTCGTGCTGGCTTTCATACAGGTACTTGAAAGCCTCGTACTCCCGTCCGCGCACTGTCGGTCCGAAAATCTTGCGAATGCATGCAATAGCGCCTGGACCGAGCGCAACCCACTCGTCCTCGCTGAACCCGAAAAACGGCAGCATGTTGAGATCCAGCAGCAGCCTTGTAATGATTGGGCACGTTGCAGACTTTGTAATAATTGAGAACTGAAGAGACTCACTGAAGCGCGGTGAAGTCTCCCATACTAGGGAAGAGGCTCAACCAGCCGTGAGCATCTTTGAGGTAACGAAATCTCAGGAGCTGTTCTGGAAGATTCTCTTCCATAAGCAGCTCAATGAGCCGCAAATGGTTCGCTATGTTGGAGGGCGCGCCGAGGGTCGGCGCTGGCAAGATATACGCATGACCGTATATCGCCTGTGAGGCAGCAGATAGTACCTCTTCGTACCTTCCAACGTCATAATCTCGCCATGTCAGCTCTCCGAGGCGTGACCTCAAGAATTTCCAGGTCCCGATCTTGTTGAAAAATCGGAAGAGAATGACGCGGAAACAAGCTTCGTGGAGGTCCTGGCTACCTTCCCGGATGACATGGCGGAGTATATATTGAGTCGTTCGGTCGTAAATGCGAAACACGTTCGTAAACGGATAATTATCCAAGATCTCGTCTTCGGTCCACGGTCTCGGCTCCCCTGCAACGCGACGGTTGAAAATGCGATGTCGCTCGGCCATGAAGCTGAAAAGAGTGTCGAGGACGACCGATACTGGAAGCCTTTGGTCGTGAATTTCGATGTATTTAGGACGGGAGCCAGGTTTATTTCGGGTTAATGTCGCGCGCGACTTATATGACACGGTGCTCGCTTCGTGCGTCCGCGGGTCCGCGGGACGCGTGCGCACCATTGTAGTCCTAGAACAATTGGATCATTTCACGTATAGATTCAAGAGAAGTACTCACGTGGCTTTGAAAGTCTGCAGGAGTAAAGTTCGACAGCTTTCCGACTGAGGGCGCGTTGTCGCGTACCATCACATGACCGTAAAAAAAGACCATCGCGAACGAGCGCGAACGTCACCGAGCCGGGGTGCGTATATTCCAGATGGATAATATCCACTCTAGAATTGGTCACCTCAAGCAGTCATTGGAATGACTCACAATACTGGAGTTTCCAGTATTATGAGACATACCAATGATTTGCTATTTAGGGCACAAGCCCAGAGACTGCATCAAGCAAGTGTTCTGGCAAACACTGGAATCTGTAGTTCAAAGGCCAAGACCAATGTAAGTGCTCATATCTGTTATGACTTAGCTCACCAAAGTCATGCATATTCAGGAGCTTTGATAGTGCTGGTTGATAGCAGAGTCTTCCACCCTTGTCTCGGGCACCACTTGACTCAAGTTCCCGCCTTCTCTTTGTCATCAATATCGACATATCCGATCCATCCTCGCTCACAAGTGAATCAGTTAGTATGCTACAGCTCTATTCAAGGGCAAGGCTTATGAGAAGCTAGCTGCCAAGAGCCTGTCGGCGGAACCAAACCCGAGCTACCATCTGCGTAAGTGCCAACTTTCATTTCTCACACTTGAGTGATGTCACGAACTATATAGACAAGCTGGAAATAGATGTCTATTCTGCATAATAATAGCTACAGGCCCAAACATGCGTGCTACTAGCCTGGACACAAGGTACATCATGAGTTTGAAGGTTCACAAGCGCCAGTCTCGACATTGACTTGCTTTGCGATCATAGAGAGCAACGAATGAGATTCAGGCGGTAACACCTGCCCTGCCATTAGCTCAAGCGTCAGCGACTCCAACTGCAGCCCCTTTCGCGCTCGGTTCACAAGCATTGTCAGAAACTTACACAAGTTCTCTCCCTCATCCTGGAGGCGCATGACGCGGAGATGCTTCAGCTGGGGACAGAATGGCAGCGGAATGGGGTCATCTGAAACAAATGTGCACATCTCGGAGCCAAGAGTCCACAGGCTCGTTTGGTGCACATCAACCTCCAGTGTCTCCAAACCAGACAAGGGACCAAAGAGGACACGCCACGCGTCGCTACGGAGGGCGGGGGTGCTGCGGACAGCGAGTCGACGTAATGACGGGAACGGCAGCGCGTTGAACGCGGTGCGCTGGAGCCTGAAGACGAGGTTGTCCGCATCCTGTTCAGCAACCTCACACGACCATTGCAGCTGGAGGTCGCGATTGATAGTGCGCAAAACTACAGTCCACATCGGATCCTGACTGATCGTCAACGAAGCATCAGATATGCTGCTTGTGATTGCCTCCAGCGAGGGCGGAACATCGGGGAAGGCTGTTATGGTTAATGTCTGCATCTCGCGGAAGTGGAGGTGAACTGCCGCCGCAGGAGGAAAGGCAATGAGTCTGAGCGCGACGAAGAGATCTTCAGGATGCGTGAACGACAGAGTCAGCGAACGGAGATGCGGCATCAGGAGCGGGGGTTTGAATGGCAGAGTGGAAACAGGCGGCCATTCCCGACGACTGTCGCGCGCTTTGTCGATGTGGAGGACCTCTAAGAGCGGCATCTCGTGCAAGTATTTCAACAGTGCCTCGAAGGGGACAGAACGGCATTCCAGGAGAACCAGCTCGCGCAGGTTCGCGGCGTGTGGTAACGTGATCCACAAGCCTGTGATGCGGAAGACGCGTAGCGCGGGGAGCGTGTTGGTGAAGATGGGATAGACAACTGTATGCTGCCCGACGTGGGATTGGATCTCCAAACGTTGTAGGTTCATGGCCGGCGTGCGCAGTTTCCCGCAAAAGACCGCTGTCTCTGTTTCATCCAGCTCGATGATGGACAGCGCCCCCAGATGGCTGCTATTCGAGTCAATAAAGCTGGCGATGGTCATGGGATTGGCGAGCGGGCGCGGTCCACTGCCGCGGTACTCCAGCGACACCAAGCGATTGCCTGCGCGTTGAAGGAATGCTCTGGCCAACTTCTGGTTGAAGAAGGACCAGAACCTCAATCGAGTCCACAGTTCGGCGGTGTCCAGGATGGAGTTGCGCCAATATGTGCACACGTGGGTGACGGCGAGCCAGGTCTTCCCTTTCCGGAGCAGCTTCCGCGTCATGTAGTCCGACTGTTCGACCACGATACGGAATATGTCGAGTAACACATCGTCTGGGATGTTGGCAATAGGTGTGGCTGCATTGCTTGCAGGACGAAGCCTTCCCGGTGAGACTAGTGGCGCGTTCGTGTCCGACATCTACACCAAAGTGTCAGTGAACCCAAAGAGGAGCCGGACACGATACTGCTCACAGAAGGGTGTGATGCTGTTCAGCGGTGATAGCAGTGTATCGGTTGTGATCGTCCTCTATACGACACTCCCATCATACGTCGAAGCGCCGAAGACCTTGATGAAACGCGTAGTACACTGCCCAGCTGGTGTATCCGGCCATCATCAGCGCGGGGAGAGCCCATGGGTTATATCACACTCCAGAGTCTGGACAAGGTCGACAAACGCTGGAGGCGCCTGAGTACTACTCTCTCTCACCCGAATTACTCAGCCTGCGAAGGAGCTCCGTATCGCAAGCCGCACCGGCATATGTGATACTTTGCCATGCTCGCTGCCCCAGGGACCGCACTCATATCTGACCGGCCATGTCACAGACATTGCGTCTCGACCAGCTCTTCAACCTCCACGGCCGTGTGGCTCTCGTCACAGGCGGGGGGACAGGCATCGGATGGATGATTGCCGAGGGGCTCGCGGTGAACGGCGCGAAGGTCTATATTACAGGCCGTCGCAAGCAGGTGCTCGAGCAAGTAGCGGGCAAGTTCGCGCAAGAGAACAAGGGCGATGGCTCGATCGTTCCGTAAGTGTTACAGATCGGCGGAAGCCCAGTCAAGTACTCAACGCTATCACTCGATAGTCTTGTCTTGGATGTTACCGACAAGAAGAGTATTCAAGCTGCCCAAGAGCTTATTGCCGCGAAGGACGGCAGGCTGCATATTCTCGTCAACAAGTACGCATGCTATTGAGCAGTCCTGCCATCCGCACACTCACTCAGTGCTCCAGCGCGGGTCAGACAGGGCCTCTCGTGCCCTTCCTGAATGACCCAAATGCGCCGGAGCACAAGAGCCCCGAAACGCTCGGGCGCGCGCTGTTCGACGCCGCGTCATACGATGACTGGGCGGGTGTGTTCGGCGTAAACACCTTCTCGATATACTTCCTCACCACCGCCTTCCTCGGGCTGCTCGCCACGGGCAGCGCGGACGTCCCCGGCTACACCTCCAGCGTCATCAACATCACCAGCATCAGCGGCTTCAACAAGATCGCCCAGTGCCAGGTCTGCTTCCTGCCCGTGCCCCATGCCTCCCGGGATGCGCTGACGCGCGCCTGCAGGTCGCGTACAACACGACCAAGTCCGCAGCGAACCACCTCACCAAGATGTTCGCGACAGAGCTCGCGCTGAAGAAGATCCCCGTGCGCGTGTGCGCCGTTGCACCCGGTGTGTATGAGTCGGAGATGACGTACCCGCACATCCCCCCGGAGATGGTAGACAAGGTCGGCAAGAACATCGTCCCAGTGCCCGCGCACAGGGCCGGAACGTGAGTCGCGGCTAGCCATGGATATGTCGTTATCGTGCATTTGCTGACATGCGCCTCGCTTGTTCGCTGCTGCAGGGCGCAAGAGATGGCGGGGACTGTGATATATCTTGTGTCCCCCTCCGGGTGTTACACGAACGGCCAAGAGATCATTGTCGACGGCGGGTACACCGCAGTGAACCCAGCTACCCGTTGATGACTGCTCATTTTAGAATGCTGAAAGGCAATGAGCGATGTGCATGGGTCCTGGATAAGGAAATCAGGTGGATATTGTAGAACCGATCCGGCAGCATTGTAACAAATAGCAGCAGATGCTTTGGCGAAGTAGTTGTCACCCTTGTACTGTCATTTCTGAAACAATTCTACACACGCTCGCCTACGAGTACAAATTCATGACCAGCCTTGCATGTCCCATCAAATACCCCCAACATACATGGTAAAGAGAAAGGAACACTGTCGAATTCACCAAGAAATATGCTGGCCCCAAGACATCCTGACACTGATCAGTCGCAGAAGGTGATGGCGAGGTTGACCTGCCAGACGCAGTTCAATATGCACGTCCTTCGCAGGAGCGCAGATGAGAGCGCGACTTACATTGGCGTCAGGGCACCCTACCTGCACCCAAGTCTGGTCGGGGGTGTAGAACGCGTCAGGGCAGCCGCCATACGTGCCTAAACGGACCGGTCGTCAGCCATGCCGTGTCAGTCTCCCGCAGGGGACTTACAGTCAGCACCGGCGCCGTCGCAGCCGTCGTAGTAGCCGAAGCCGCTGGTGACGGAGAACTCGTGGCTGTAGGAGAGCGAGACATTAGGAGAAACGTGGCTGGTCGGGAAAATTGGCTTACGGCGGGATAAGCGAGATGTCCGTGCTGCTGTAGCCGTTCCGGAGCGTCGTCTCGATGAGCGTGCACTCTTCGCCATTGTTTCCGCAAGAGCCTGAATGGTTGGAAAGCCGCAGAGTGCGTGGTCAGCGCGGACATGCTACGACGGTGGTTATAGCGTGGTGGCAGGACTCCTCACCGGTCTGGAGATAACTGTATGTGCATTGGGGTACACTGTAAGTATGGTTACCCAAAAAACAAGATATGGCACATACGCGATGGCACCCACGAGAGCGCCGTTTGACGTGTAGCTACCACCCGTGGATAATACGGCGCCATTCGACGCTCTCAGGTAGGGCTGTGAGGGTTGTTTAACATGGTAGGGGTACTCGGGAATAAGTGACGACAGACCGTGCCATAGCCACACCTGTACCGCTTTCGTCAGCGATAGGTCCATTCGAAGCATCATAATGCTCACCTGTTGTTGAATGTGACGGTGTGGGATTCTGCGTTGACCTGCACAAAGGCCAAGGCGACGGCGAGAGCGAAGGTAGTCAGCTCGGAAAGCATGGTGGCGACCGGGGAGGCGGATATTAGGGAGCTGAAGCTGAGGAGGGTCCTTTGGTGTAATGCGAGTCAAGACACTGAGCCTGAGGGATGCTGATCCCCCAGCACGCCTTTTATACTGTCGAATGTGGGTCTGCACCACGGTGTGGTTTTCTGAAACCAGAGAATCAAATTCCTCAGCATTGTTTTCCAAATTTTCAGTAGTACGGCTGCCACATGAAGGAGCGCATGTTCGTCATAGCCCATGCGGCTTCCGGACAGACCACGGGGCGATTTCAAAGGCATACCAGCATTTGAGAAGTGATGGTCCTGTTGTGCATGTGACGGTCCAAAACATTCGATTAAACAACGGTGTTACCAGACAAGTTTGTAGGATGATGTCCTGGAAATACTTGGTAATTCAGGGTTCAGCTCGAAGGATCTGAATGGGTTACGGACCGAGGAACGTGCTTTCAATGCACTTCAATCATGCGCTGAAGTCCTAGGTTTAGCTCATACTACGGCATTGAATTGTCTAGCACACACATGAACGACTCAGAGCGCGGATTTGGATGACATGTGACATCTTGGATGAGCCATAGCATGATGTAACCCAGCCGTTTGAGTGGCCTTCAGCGCGTCAGACATTGGTATCCGGAGCCGCCGCAGGTTGAAGGAATTGTCTACTCTGCTCTCAGGAGACTAGTCAGCGCCACTCTCCTATTCCAGCTGGGTCGGGAAGACAACACGTTAAGCATGGATGTCCCGCTGAGTACCATTTCCAGTGCAATGTGCTTCCAGTGAGTCGGTAAGGTTACAAGACGTAGAAGTGCCCTACCGAAATAGGGAAGTTATCGAAATGGTCGGAGTAGTGTATGATCAAGATCTTGAAATGACAAGTTGAGTATCCTGGCTCACGATTTTTTCAGAACCACCGCCGAGACATCTCGAGACATGCGACGGTGATCTGCAATTCAATTGCATGACATAGGAGCCAGTCAGATCAGGCTTCAGCCGCCTTGCCAAAGCCGAAGTTGATGATGTAAGCAGAACGATCGTGTTTGAGCCAACGCGGCGAGAGCGGAGCCCGAAAACAATGTCTGCAATGCTGAGGGCGTAATAGGGATCCCTCCTCCAGATGCAAACGTGACAATCCAGAGTTTTTCTTCTGCCAAACGGCACGGTCCGACATAACGGGTCTGTTTCAGAGTCCGGTTTGCATCTGCAAACCGTCTAGATCCCGCGGGAAGGCATCCACTTACGTCGTTAGTTTCTGGCAGATATCGACCAGGCGACGTGATCAGAATTTTTTCATGCCTCCTGAATTGGAGAGGCGGCGAAGGCGGCGACAGAATGTACAACCCCGAATCTTTCCTCATATTGGTGAGCGTCGTACTCCTTGTATACTGCCCATCAAATCAGGTCGCTTCTGTCATATATGACACTTATCGGCATGCTCTTCGTTACATCAATAGGCCGTGCTCAGCGGAGACGAAGTATCAAAATAGGCAAGAGCTCGTCCAAGATACGCCACGTTCGAGTCGACACAAACCGCGAGGCCCCGTTTTGGGCTCCTCTTCTTGCAACAGATTTCTACCGCGGGCGGCCTCGGGCGCACCTACACGTACACATAAGGGTTTCTGAAGCTAATTTGTATCAAGAGGCCGACGGACACGGGCCTGACATATTATAATTGTTGTCACTTGCGATGATACTCATAGACGGCCCATATAGCGAGCCTTCATCTCCGGTACATCGCTCAAAGTGTGTAACCTTCCCGACCAGAGGCAGATTTCTCAAACTGACTACTACATGAGCTATGCGGATGACAGACCCTTCATAGCATGGAAGAATCAACGGCGACTCCAAGGAAGCTTGTTCCTCTCACTTGGTTCATTGTTGGACGCTTTGACAATTCGTGGTGCTGACTGGTCTTGAATACATTAGGCATGTGGAGACACTGCTTTCTCAGCTCAGCAAAGATCTGACCGACAACGAGGTTCGACGTAAATTGGGTCTGGATCGATCAGCATTCCAACACCTGTCTATGTGCATGGATCCGGGATGGATTAATCATTTGGATAATTGTAGAACCGGGTAGGCAACATTGTAACAAATAGCATCACATGCTTGGATGAAGCGGTTGTCACCTTGTATTATCATTTCTAAGACAATTCTACACGTGTTTGCCTACGAGTACAAAATCATGAAGAGCCTTGCATGTATCATCAAATACCTCAACATATTTGGTATAGAGAAAAGAACACTGTCGATTTCATCAAACAACATGCTAGCTCCCGGATATCTTGACATGTTCAGTCGCAGAAGGTGATGGCGAGGTTAACCTGCCAGACACAATTTAATATGCATGTCCTCCGCAGGAGTGAAGGTGAGAGCACGACTCACATTGAGGTCAGTGCACGCTACCTGCAACCAAGTCTGGTTGGAGTAGAGGAGCGCGGTAGGGCAGGTGGAATACGCGCCTGAATGGACCGGTCGTCAGCTATACCATGTCAGTGTCCCGGGGGAGGGGGGAACTTACAGTCAGCACCGGCGCCGTTGCAGCCGTCGAAGTAGCCGAAGCCGCCGGTGACGGAGAACTTGTGGCTGTAGGAGAGCAGGCATCAGGAGAAGCTTGGCCGGGCGGGGCAGATGAGCTTACGGAGGAACAAGCGAGATATCTGTGCTGCTGTAGTCGTTTTGAAGCGTCGTCTCGATGACCGTGCACCCTTCGCCATTGTCGCCGCAAGGGCCTGGATATTTGGAAAGCCGCACAGAGAGTGGGGTCAGCATGGACATGCTACGACGGTGGTTATAGCGCGGTGGCAGGACTCCTCACCGGTCTGGAGATAACTGTATGTGCATTGGGGTACGCGGTTCAGTATGATACCAGGAACAAGATACGACACCTACGCGATGGCACCCACGAGAGCGCCGTCTGACGTGTAGTCACCACCCACAGATAAGATCTCGCCGTCCGACGCCCTCAGGATGGGCTGTGAGCGTCATTAACGTGGTAGGGGTACTCGGGAGTAAGTGACAACAGACCGTGCCAAAGTCACACCTGTACCGCTTTCGTCAGCGACAGCCCCATTTGAGGCATTATTATGCTCACTTGTTGGTGAAAATGACGGTGTGAGATTCTGCGTTGACCTGCGCAAAGGCCAGGGCGACGGCGAGAGTGAAGGTAATCAGCTTGGAAAGCATGGTGGCGACCGGGGGGATGTATATTAGGAAACTGAAGCCGAGAAGAGCGCTCTGGTGTAAGACGAGTCAAGGCACTGAGCCTGAGGGATGCTGATCCCCCAACACGCCCTTTATGCTGTCGGACGCGGGCCCGCAACATGGTGTGGTCCTCTGAAACCAGAGAATCGAGTTCCTCAGTGCTGTCTCTCAGTAGCACGGCTGCCACATGAAGGAGCGCATGTTCGTCATAGCCCATGCGGCTTCCGGACAGACCAGTGGCGGAGCAATTGTGAAGGCATACCAGCATCTTAAGCAGTGATAGTCCCGTTTTGCATACGGTCCAAACCATTCGATTAGACAACGGCTATACCAGACAAGTTTGCAGGATGATGACCTGGAGATACTTAGTAATTCAGGGTTCAGCTTGAAAGATATGAATGGGTTACGGACCGAAGACTTCCGCTTTGCCTTGGAGTCTTAGGTTTAGCTTATACTACAGCATTGAATAGCCCAGCACATGAACAACCAACTCAGAGCGCAGATTTGGATGACACCTTGGATGAGCCATAACATGATGTACCCCAGCCGTTCGAGTTAGCTTACCGTCAGCACCACATTCCTGGTCCAGCTGGGTCGAGGAGAAAATCGGCACACGTTCAGCACAGATGTCCCGCTGAGTACCATTTCCGGGGCATGTGCTCCAATAAGGCTACAAGACGTGAAAGTGCCCTACCGAAACAGGGAATTTGTCGAAATGGTCAGAACAAGATCTTGAAATGACAGATTCATCATCATTAAGCTGTGCATTGAGGCTCACGGTTTTCCGCCCGCCCTCGTTCGTCGATTGTTGGTAACTTATAAGTAACGGCTGGTGACGGCTGGTAAAAATGATCTAAAGCTTTTGCTGTTCTTCTGCCAAACGGCACGGATAACGGGTCTGTTTCAGTTTGCATCTGTAAATCGCACAGATCTTGACAGATAGCGACCAAGCGACGTGATCATTTTTTTCATACCTCCTGAATTGGAGAGGCGGGGATAGAATGTACAACCCCGAATTTATCTCATATTGGTGAGCCTCGCACTCCTTGTGTACTGCCCATCAAATCAGGTCGCCTCTATCATATATGGCACTCATTGGCATGCTCTTTGTTACATCAATAGCAGTTAGACGGCCGTGCTCAGCGGAGACGAAGTCTCAAAATAGGTAAGAGTTCGTCCAAGATATACCATGTTCGAGTCGCAAGGCGCCGCTATCGGCTCCTTTTCTTGTAAAAGATTCTACCGCGGGCGGCCTCGGGCGCATCTATACGTACACATAAGGGTTTCTGAAGCTAATTTGTATCAAGAGGCCGACGGACACGGGCCTGACATATTATGATTGCTGTCACTTGCGATGATACTAATAGACGGCCCATATAGCGAGCCTTCGTCTCATCTCCGGCACAATGGTCAAAGTATGTAACCTTCCCGACCAGAAACATATTTCTCAAACTGACTACCAGATGAGCTATGCGGATGCCAATCCTTCATAACATGGAAGTATGAGTGGCAACTCCAAGGAAGCTTGTTCCTCTCGCTTTGTTCATAATTGGACGCTTTGACAATTCATGGTGCTGACTGTGGTCTTGAATACATTAGGTATGCGGAGACATTGTTTCTCAGCTCAGCAAAGATCTGACCGACAACGAGGTTCGACGTAAATTGGGTCTGGATCGATTAGCATCCCAACACCTGTCTCGATGCACTGCCCCTTGAGCCTCCAATGGAGATGTGTGAATTATTGGGTAGTGTCCACGCCTTGAAGAGGCTTCACGTACCTTCGCTGGCTGATGTGAGATTGAAGCCCACACCTGGCATTGCCGTAACTATTGCGGCATTCCGCGCTATTCCCTGTGAGAGTTTGTAGGTCTTTCTTTACCGTAAATGGTCGACGGCTGATGCATTATACAGAACATTGACCTTGCAAATTGAAGCCGCATGGGGCAGCTGGCCTCATGAAGCAAACGCATATCCCGTTTGTCAGAGACGATGCTTTTTCGACACGACTTATAGCCTTCTACGTCGTGGGGCTCTGTTACAGCCGGTGTTCGATATCTTCATGAGCTGTTGCCTTGACAGATGCGATTCGTGGATTAGAGCCTCCGACAGCAATATGCGTTGGTTAGGAAGCCATCGGGCATTGAAACGCGCGCACCATACCGATCACGATGTCGTATGAATCGTTGGTCTTTGGCACGTCCGCACAGAGGCGAGTTCCTTCGACTTAAGGGCATATGCTCATACCAAGTCGCGAGCTGCTTTGGCCCCATGTGCAGCTGCGTGGCCACACTGTTGTTAAACAACAACATCATGTTAATCTTGACACCCCTTCCGTCGAAGGCACCGCTTGTCTACTCTGATCTCGGCAATTTCTGCGTGTGCCGATGATCAGAGCTGATAGCCACATCAACGATCCCCGGAACGCATATAACGACGGTGTATGGATCGCTCTTGTCCCCTTCGCTATCTGAATTGACTATGCAAGACTCCCTTGCCGTTGTTAGCTTCGCCACTGTCATAGGAGAAAGTTTCCTCTACGGTGTTTTCCTGCTCCTCGCAGCTATAGCCTTATATTTACATGTACGAAGACCTGGTTGCCACAGTCGCTCGTTCATGCTTCGTATCGGGCCTGTTTCGTTGACCCCGGCCCTTGTTACAACAGTATTGCTAACAATACTGGTGACCATGGTGAGTCACGTCTTGTCATCGAATAGTACGGCATATTTATGTTATGTCTAGCACTGGACCCTCACTATCGCGCGCCTCTTCGTTGAACTTGCAAACTTTAAGAAAGGACAAGATCTCCCGCAAATCTATACCAATATGTCACAGCCGACTAGTATGGCGAGGAGTACAGCTCTCATGCTGACAATATTAATATCTGACCTCATGTTTGTGAGCCCCGTTGCCGTTCCACGAATTTGGATTGCAGAGGTCATATCTCGACAGATCTCCAGGCTATGGATCGTGTGGAATTATAATCTATACGTCTTGATCCTACCTATATTTACTACCATTGGCTATCTAGGTGAGTTATCACAGTTTTCACGACACACATTTTACAGACTCTTTGAATGACTGCATCCCAGTGGCCAGTGTGGGGGATCTACGAACACTGAAACATCTCCCGGATGACTCAATACTTACTCATGCCATGGAGAGTTGGTTGACGGCGCAATTCGCCTTCTCATCCATGTATGTTTCTGTGCAACTTATGCATCCGTCCTTCCGGGACTCATTCGACGTCACGGCGGTTTCTTCCAGTGTGAATATATACTGCACAGGTGAGTTATCTAAACACTGCAAATACCCTGTATGCACTCATAAGTTATAGCCGGAATCGCCTGGAAAGTCTGGCAAGCGACACACAGTATCGCTCATGTCACATACAGAGGAAGCAAACTCGTGGTACGTATTTAAATCAACGATTATGTCCTAGGTATTCATCATATCTGTGTTTTATGCAGCGTATTGTACGTATCGTGATCGAAAGTGCAGCAGCCTACACGTAAGTTCACTATTACTCATCAACATCAAGAGCATGCACAGAGTCATTTATGCGTGCGCAGGGCATATAAACTCTTCTACTTCGGGACATACGTGGCACACAGCGACCTTCAGTACTTCGCGTTAGACATGGACTCCCCCGTAGTGGGGATCACGTTCATATTAATTATCGTCCGCGTGGGACTCGGGTGGACGGACCAAGCACAGCCAGCGGCTGATTTGTTGAGACGTAGCACGGCGGAGCAGACCGTTGACATGCCGCCATTCGGGATCAACGTTACGCAGGTGATACGCCACACAAGAGACACAAGCTCTTCGTCGAAGATAGGCCCCGAGCTCGTCTGACATTCGACTCCCCAATATCGTGTCTGGATTTTGTTCTTGCTCGCCCTGTACTCCTATCTTGACAACGATACTATACGAGCTTACTTCGCTGATTTGTTGTATGAACTCTAGTAGATAATGCGTCTCGTTCCAATGCGGGTCATCTGCCGGCGGTCTGACTTGGTGCAGGCTGCTCAACTGTTCTAATGCGCAAAGTAGTCAAGGCCAAACGAAGCAAGGCAAGAGATTGTATTTTCTTAAAATTGTTTTTTAAATCCAGTTTTTTATCCGCTTGAGGAGATTGTGTTTGAACATCCGCCGCTCAGTGTAGCTTCTGGCTCGGATATAATAAGGATGTACGCGCGTGAGGTCAATGGATACTCTGGATGACATCTTTTCCACTATTGTCTTCGAACGTACGCGCCATAGACAGGGATACTCTCAGCTTATTTCGAAGTCCACGCTGGAAAGATGTGTACGAGAATGCACCGTGTATATTGCACTCCGCGTATAATACCATAGGAATCATGCAACCCAGTCCTAGAAAAGAAAACATATATCTGCAGGGGAGATTGGTGCTAAGTGAACGATTGCATGAGGGGTTGGAGGGTGAAAACAAATATCTACAGAGGGCAGTGATGCTAGGCAGACTATTGTGCGAGGGGTTGGAGGATGGATGTTGGGGCATGAAGAGATGTAACGAAGTCTACCCAAAGGAAGATGCAGGATTCGCTCCGCAAGTCACAGCCGGAAGGAGGGTGTGGCGGAGCTCTATAGTCAGAGCGCAAAAGAGCTTGTGACGCGACCATGACGACAGGGTGCGACGACATCGACGAGGGATCGATGAAGAATATTTTCCTCTGAGCAGTTGAAGACGAGCATTGAGATATGTTGAATCAGAGTGCAGAAGCAGATTGAAGTGTCAGAGCTAGAGGAGCCCAGATGCCAGTTACCAGAGCAGGAGAGAGGCGCCGTCGGTAGTCATTTCTAGCAGCGCGTCAAATGTGAAGGAGCCATGCAGAGCCTTAGTACCAGATGGTGTGTCGTGACCCAGGGGCGGAGACAGAGAGAGCGACAGCAGCGAGAACCAAACCCGAGCGAGCGACGAGTAGAATACCCGAGTGGGAGTAAAACTTAACAAGCGACAGAGTGCGGTGAACTCAGAAAGCCTTGCCGGGACTTGCAAGGAGTTGAAGCAGAACGCGCCACACAGACATTGCGAGTCGATGACGGTCGTAAAAGACTCGACGTCGACGACGGGCTGAGCGCCATGTCTCGAGGCTTGCCATAACGCCGAGAGCGTTGCCTGCAGTCACCGAAGGGGTGGCGCGTTGCTTTATAAATGAAGCTGAAGAGTATAAGTAGAACCTGTAAATCTCCCCATATAGAGACCGATCAACATCTGGTCCTCTAGGCGTCAGTGCAGATAGTGAAGGGGGACAACACTGGTGCTTACCGCGTCTCAGCACCACATTCGCTACCATATTCGCTACCATAGAAAAACGAAATCTAGAAGAGCCGGCTGAAGAAATCCTTGATTAAGTCAAGGCGGGTGGCATCCTTCTGGATCCAGCCACGCGAGCTGGCAGAAGAAGGCCGGGAAGGCGAAAAAGAAAATGCACTTGATGTCGCTATATTAGGAGAAAGCTCCGATGAAGACATCGAATGTTCACTCGACATGTCGCTAGAGTCGTCGCTGAAGTACGAGCGCTCCATCATCTCGGAGGCACCGTATGAAATGGGCGTGGGCGAAGGAGGGAAGTCCGCCGTGAGAGACACAATGATGGATGAAGGAGCGTCGGGAGAGCCAACGCTGGTGGTACCGGTGGTTGAGGCTACGTCAGAACTGACGGAAGACGGGGACCGCATTGCCTGGGCCGCAGGAGTGGAAGGGCGCCGGGAAAAGAGACGGTACCAGAGGCGCGGCTGGCTGTCAGCGCTCTTGATGGGCACTGCATCGAGCGGAACGTCTTCAAATTCGGCAGGCGTGATCGCCAACTTGCTGCTAGAATGCTTTCGGGCCAGACCGCGCTCAGGCATAAGGCGCTGAGGGGTGGCTGGCGTCATGCTGCTTGACTGGAATGGCAGTTTAGGCTAGGTCCGCCGAAAGTGGTGGAAACACTTACTTGTATAACTGGCTTCGAGCTCTTTCCCTTGAGCAACGGAGAGCCACGGGCGAACTTGCTGATGACGGGCCTCGGAGAGGGGCGGCTGTGGAAGCCTATCGTCCCATAGAGGGCCGTTCCTCTCGAGTTGCCGAGGATAAACTCCGGCGCACTCTGAAGGTAACAGTCAGCGGCGATTTCAATCCAAAGTGGAAAGAAGACATACCCAAGGCAGATATCCTACGAACGTCTCCTGCGCCGCAGAAACGGTGGTTTCGGTAGTGACATACTCTGACTCAGGCTCTATCTCGGGCTCTATCTCGAGCTCGAAATCATCTTCATAAACAATTGCTCTGAACTTCTCCTTCTCGCTAGCCGTGAATCGGGGAGCAACGTCGTCTGCGATCGTGTAGTCGGCGCCATCGGGAGAAGAAACACCCCAGTATCTATTGGGTCGAGGACTCCCAGGTGCTGCAGCGCTACCGCGACCCTCGAGAGCATGGGTAACTTCGGGGTGCTCGACAACATCCTTCGGGAGCTCCTTGTCAACACCAGCGGTTGGCTCGCTTTCGTGCGTCGTCATGGTGGTCTGCAAGAGCTTGGGCACAGGAGAGGAGCGACCAAATTCTTGTTGTGCCTGCGTGACACGGGAGACGTCTGCCTCGGCGGACATCCTGACGAGCGAAGCGACCGAGTCATCCTCGAAGAGCGAGAAGGCTTCGTCGACCTCCTTCAAAAGCGATGTGAGGCTCTCGGAAGACCTGATGCGCTCGGTAGGATCCTCGTCTGATGCTGGCCCACAATCTTCGTAACTCGAGTAGATGTCGCACGCTTCGGGATCCTCGTCGAGATACTCGGCTAGAATGTCGTCAATGAAGTAGCTGCTGTAGGCGTTTTCGAACACCGGGCTGACAGTGCAGGCTGAGATGAAGACACCGAGTACAAATGAGAAAGCATACCTAAACGTCGCGAATTCTTCGCTCTGCTCGTCAGTGACTTCCACATCGTCCTCGGGGAAGTGATTGGCCTCGTAGACTGGGAAATGCTCCTCCATATGAGTTGTTGCCGTGCCATAAGACCCTGCGTCGGAACTCTCTACACTACTGTTATCCTCATCATCCTGGAACACAGAGGTCACTGCATCCTCAGTAGGATCGGGAGCGACCAGCATCAATATGTCTGCCATGATGAGGGTTCCTTCTGCTACACGAGCGTTGTCATCGATTGGGCCTTCCTTGATCACTGGGCCTTCGTTGACGAGGGTATTGGGGATAGCGGGCTTGGGAGCATCTTGTAGAACGGTCTTCGATTCATCTGACTCCTCTACAGGCTCTTCGATGAGGGCCGCGGTGTGCCTCCTCATGGGACCCGTGCGCAGCGCTTTCTCCCAACCGGGGCTCAGGAACACAGGCCTAATCGCGCCCGCCTCCACCTCGGGATTAGGCTGAGGAGCGCTGGGGGGCACGACATCCTCGACTTCCTCAGTGACAGGAGAGTCATAGCCCCATCCCGGGAGGGTGAGCAGATCCGTGCTAGAGCTGACCGAAAGACTGGGAATAACGATGTCGCTCGGGGCCATGACTTGTTCGTCGTCGTCGTCAGGCACGGTGAGCACGATCTCAGGGACAACGAGCTTCTTGCTCCTGTAGTAGTATTGTGGTCAGAACTGCGAATGGAATGCAGGAGAGAAGTCACTGACTTGTTGCTGTCCACGATCTTCGCCACACCCTTCTTGACACTGGCCAAGGTCCCGATCACCTTTGCGCGCACTCCGCCTGCGACCCCTCGCTTCGGGGACTCGACATTGGGCTTGACAGGCTGGATCTTCTTGACAGGCGGAGGGGTGCGAGGCTGAACCGGCTGGATTGGCTTGAGAGCGCGAGGTGGACTAGCCCGAACGGCGGCATTCTTCGATTGTGCCGGACGCGGGATGCTGCGTCCGTAGACCGTCCCGGGAACCTGAAGGCGATCTGTCTCCTTTGTACGCGTGCCCATGTTGGCAGACTGTGCGAGCCTGTCTGCGGCAGAGACCCTGAACGGCATGATGGGAGCAGGGCGGGTGCGAGCGGCGGATGTCTTCGTCGGGCGTGCGAAGGACGGACGATTCTCCTTCGGCGATGCGTTCTCCTTGCCGGCGGGGGGAGGGCGAGTCGGGCGGGGACCGCGGAAGATCTCGATGTTCGTGCGCACTTGCCGCACGCTGTTGGCGGCGGCGGCCATCAGCTGGGAGTTCTGCGATTGTTGGTCAGCAGCAGAAGACGTTAAAGTGTGATGAAGTATCGTACCACATCGGTGAACGGCCTGTCTAGGATTGGCGACAGGGCGTCGGGCGAGGGGAGGATATCGTCGTACAGGACTGACTGACTGAGCACATCGACACCTTCGCCTGTACCGGGCTTGACCTTGAAGGCGGGTGCGCCGTCGCGGGTGGTGACTGCATCCTTCTTGACGGGAACAGCCGAGAGTGACTGAGGGCGGGCCGCCTTTGTCAAGGATCGCTTCTCGACAGCCTTGGGAGCACCGGAAGTCCTGATCTGCAGTGGATGACGAGCTGGCATGGGGCCCCTTGGCAGCCCCTTCTTGAGCGGGGATCCTGGAGGGGCCTCAGCGAGGGGAGCGGTGGCGAATTTGCGGGTGTGCTGCATTTCGATCGCTTGGTGCTAGCTGTCGTGCGAGTTCAAGTCCTGAGAAGCTGGAGGGTACCTGAGGCCTCCCGTTTTTGCGCTTGCGGAGCTGACATAGAGGGTGACATTGCGGCTGAGCACTACTCAGCCGCAATGTCACCCTCAGTGTCAGCAGCGGATGAAGGCATGCGACTGCCACTGACCAGTTGTTTTTAAAACGGTTTCCTTGCAATGGCATGTGCTGCAATTTAAGCCGCTTGATCTGGTCATCATAAGTATCAGCAATGTCCAAGACAGCAGATTACACAATGCACATACCTCGAGCACGGTGTACAGAAGCTGGTAGACGGACGGCATTCATGACCCTCGCGTACGGGCCATGTTGTTCGCTCACAGACATGGTCATCTTTCACTGCATAACAACGGTCGAACATAGTCACTATCTTGTGAATCGTCCACATACGTATACTCTTAACGAGCGCGCCATTGAATGCGACTGGTGCAAATTGAAGATGGACGACTGCGAATTTGAAGGCGATCGTGCCGGCAGGACGGCAGCGTGCCGCCGGCAGTGACGACGAGGACGGTTTATAAGGTGGGCGCCCGCCCGTGCATAGAGTTTGTCGCCATCGTTGGCGTGCTCGGCGTGCTCGTTTTCCACGTCCTCGCTGCCAATGGCGTCGTCCCTGGCGCGCTGCGCCAACCCAGAAGGCTGGGGCCCAGTCTCGCCCGTCCGCACGTTTGATCTCACCCCCTGCTTCGAAGAAGGCATCGTCCTCTCCACGGTCCTCGTTCTCTTTTTGGTCGCGGCTGCACCAAGATGTTGGGTTCTGAGCAGCGACGCTGTGCGGACCCGCAGTCGCAAAAGCGTTTGGGTGCTGAGAATCAAATTGGTGCGTTCTCACCATCAAATATTTGAATGTGGATCTGATGGCTACCAGATCCTTCTGTCTCTCGCATGTGCCGCGAGCTGCACGAACTTCATTCTCGTGCTTGCCACGCGCAGGCCCGTCGCCGTGATTCAGTCCTATGTGCTTGAAGCATTGGCGCTTCTTGTCACGCCGATTTTGACTTTGTTGAGCCACTACCGCACTCGCTCGTCCTCCAATCTATTGCTCCTCTTCTGGCCGCTATATGCGTTTGGACTGGTCGCCTGGGGTCGCACCGTCCTCTCACTCGCGTACAATGCTTTTGTACCAGTTCTTGCGCTGAGATGTGCCGTTGCAGTACTTGGTCTACTTGCCTTCGGCTTGGAGTGCCTTGGCCCCGAGTTCACGCCCGAGGACCGTCCCGCCAGCCCTGAAAAGGGACAGGTTGAGAATCCACTGCTCACCGCCAATCTTTTCAGCATATGGACGTTCTCCTGGATGTCTGGACTCATGAAGAAGGGTGCGTCGACTTTCATCACCGAAGACGACCTTCCCTCCCTCGTGCCTGAGGATGAGTCTGCAAGCCTTGGGCGACGGCTTCAGAAGGCCTTGAAGAAGCAGTATGTGCTCTATTCACAAATTTCCGTAACACAATCTCACTCGCTTGACAGCAAATCGCTCTCTGTATCACTGTTCGCTGCGTACGGCGGTTCATACGCCTTCGCTGCCCTCCTCAAGATTACCCAGGACTGCCTCTCATTCCTCCAACCGCAGCTCCTTCGCTGGCTGCTCGCATACATCTCCGAGTACCAGACCGCCCGCTCTCATGGCACTGCCACGCCGAGCCCCTTCGAGGGCTTCGCTATTGCCGTCATCATGTTCGCAGCGTCCGTCGCGCAGACGATCATCCTGCACCAGGTATGCCTACATCGTCTTTCAACAGACATTACGCCGCATACGTGCTAACTACTCCGTGCCCAGTACTTCCAACGCTGTTTTGAGACAGGCATGCGCGTGCGTGCTGGCCTAGTCACGGCTATTTACCAAAAGGCACTTGTACTATCGAACGACGGCCGCGGGCGCGCGTCCGGTGACATTGTCAACCTGATGTCTGTCGATGCGACGCGTCTCCAGGATTTATGCACGTACGGCCTCATTGCCATCTCAGGGCCATTCCAGGTGAGTCGGGCGCGCAGCATGGCGTGCATCAGAATGTGCTGACGGCCCCGGGATGAGATCACCCTCGCGTTCGTATCTTTGTACAACATCCTCGGGTGGTCTGCATTTGTCGGTGTGGCGATCATGATCGTCTCGATCCCGTTGAACACGTACATCGCACGCTTTCTCAAGAGACTGCAGGAGCAGCAGATGAAGAATCGGGACAAGCGGACGCGGCTTATGAGCGAACTACTTGCTAACATCAGGAGGCAAGCGTCTCTGACTATGCTGAGGCGGAGTCTGTCTAACACTTTCTCCAGTATCAAGCTATATGCGTGGGAGAACGCGTTTATTCGCTGGATCTTGGCAGTGCGCAATGAACAGGAGTTGAAGATGTTGCGTAAGATCGGTATTGTGACGGTAAGCGCAGTGCTGCACTCACAGATGCATTCCAATTCTAAGACGCATTGGTTCATTTAGTCCCTCAACTCTTCTCTTTGGACGGGCATCCCACGTATGTGTGGCCGCGCTGCATCTAGTAGGGGACTGTCACAACTGACATCACTGTGTTAGTCTTGGTCGCGTTCAGCTCGTTTGCTGTAGCATCCGCGACATCTGAGACGCCGCTCACATCTGATAGGATCTTCCCGTCCATCTCGCTGTTCATGCTACTTAACTTCCCACTGGCCATGGTTAGTGCTTCCACAACGGTCGTCCGTCATCTACGGGTTTTCTGAGATTCGCTGTCTTGCCGTTAGTTCAGTCAAGTAACATCCAACATTATTGAGGCCATGGTGTCTGTCAAGCGGTTGTCGGAGTTCCTCGCTGCGGATGAGCTGCAACCTGACGCGCGCCAGACAATCAAGGGCAACAAGCTGGAGATAGGAGATGAGGTACTGAGCCGCCGTTCTTATGGCTTATAAGATTGTACTCATGCTCTACATTGCAGGTTGTGACTATCCGCGGTGGCGAGTTCTTCTGGAATAAGGATGCGGCGACGCCCACGCTGGAAGACGTCAACTTGACGGTGCGGAAGGGGGAGCTTGTCGGTGTGCTTGGACGTGTTGGGGCTGGCAAGGTAGGGACTGTCCTCCTTCAGTAGTTGCTAGCGGTATTCACGCTAACGACGTATTTATCAGACTAGTCTCCTGTCGGCGATCATTGGAGAGATGCTGCGCACGGAAGGCGAGGTGAAAGTGTCGGGCTGTATGTCGTACGCTCCCCAGAACCCTTGGTGCGTTGGGTCACTACGACATTGTTCTTTACGTCCATGCCGTACTGACAGGACATGTACAGGATCATGAGCGCCACCATTAGAGACAATATCCTGTTCTCGCACGTCTACGAAGAGGAGTTCTACAACCTGGTTATAGACGGTAGGAACATATTTCGCGCCATCTCTCTCTATTGGCTAACGTACACCATGAACAGCATGTGCGCTTCGTCAAGATTTGGCATTGTTGCCAGACGGCGATCTGACCGAGGTTGGAGAGAAAGGTTTGTTACTCGTTCTCTATCCTTCCTTTCTTGCTGACATTCGAACACACACTGTAGGCATCACTGTATGGGTTCAGTATCACTTCAATTATTACGGTCACTAACGACGCGTGCATATAGCTAAGCGGTGGACAGCGCGCTCGAGTGGCGCTCGCGCGCGCAGTGTATGCTAGAGCTGACATGTAGGACGTAGATGATTTTTTGTATTGACCTCTGCTCACCACTCCACAGTGTAATCCTGGATGATGTACTTGCTGCAGTAGATTCTCATGTCGCTCGCCATGTCTTTGGTAGGCCGGCTTTCTACCTTTGTCAATCGGTGTAATTTAACTTTTCATGTCGCAGACCATGTGATCGGCCCCCAAGGCCTCCTTGCAACAAAGGCTCGGATTGTTGTCACAAACAGCATACACTTCTTGAAGCAATTCGATGAAATCGTCTACATACGACGAGGCATCATTCTCGAAAACGGGTCCTACAATGAACTAGAGAACGACCCCGAAAGCGAATTGCACAAGTTGATGTATGTGGGACAGTGTATGCATGCTTCTTCGGATGCTGACGCCGAGCGTTTAGAAAAGGACATGGTACTCTGTCTGCATCTGGTGTGTCAACCCCCTTCATTGGTGACACGACGACACCGTCATCGGCTGGCGAGACTATGGTGGAGTCCTCCCGTGACCTCATCGAAGACAAACTGCAGAGTGTCGATGATAAGCTCAAGCGACGAACGAGCTTCAGAAAGCCCGACCTGGTGGACAACCTGCCCACACGCTCAGTGTCGGATGGGCCTACCAAGGAGCACACCGAACAGGGTCGTGTGAAGATCGATGTCTACCTGCAGTACATCAAGGCGGCTTCGAAGACGGGTTTCATGGTTTTCGTCCTCTCTACCATACTACAACAGCTCACCTCTGTTGCTGGCAACAACACCCTCCGGGCGTGGGGAGAGCACAACTTGAGCGCCGGATCGAACCATGACGCATTCAAGTACCTGCTTGTCTACGGCCTTTTCTCTTTGTCTTCGACTTTGTGCGGCATGTTAGCTGCCATCTTGATATGGGTACTGTGCTCCATTCGTAGCTCGAGGCTTCTCCACGACTCGGTGAGCAAAGCCTGTGTGACTGGTTTGCAGCGGATTCTGAATATGTTTAGATGCTTCATGCCGTGATGCGTGCGCCTCTAAGTTTCTTCGAGCTCACTCCCACCGGACGGTGAGTCGAATCCAACAACCTTCATTGAAGCATCCCATTGACGACGTTCTTGGCCAGTATCTTGAACTTGTTCTCGCGCGATACATACGTCGTCGATCAGATCATTGCTCGAGTACGTATGAACATCTACAAGTGGTTCTCCACCACCTCATTCATCGATATAGGTAATGCAAAACACGATAAGGACGCTGTGCGTGACTGCTATGATCCTATTCGTCATTGGCTACAGCTTCCCGCTCTTCGTAAGTTTGACGGCCCTGTGTTTCACTCGAGAGACTGACTCCATGCTCAGCTTGTCGCTGTCCCTCCGCTGACATGGTTCTATATGCGGGTCATGATGTACGCATGCGCTATATTTGGACACGTCATCTGAATACTCAACCTGTCCTAGCTATTATCTCTCCACGTCCCGCGAACTGAAGCGTCTCGATGCGGTGTCACGTTCGCCGATATTTGCTTGGTTCTCCGAGTCGCTCAATGGACTGTCCACGATCCGGGCCTTCGATCAGCAACACGTTTTCATCGCAAATAATGAAAGGCGTGTGGATCGCAGTCAAATATGTTATCTTCCAAGGTATGCCAGGCTCCAGTTGTTTGAAATGATTACTCAATTCCATGTTCGCGTGCAGCATTTCGGTTAACCGTTGGCTTGCGGTCCGACTTGAATTCGTCGGGGCGACTATCATCTTCCTCGCTGCCACATTAGCCATCGTAGCACTCATCACAAGCGGTGTTGATGCTGGTCTTGTCGGCTTTGTCCTGTCGTATGCGCTGAACACCACTGGATCCTTGGTCAGTTGCCTTGCCCATGCGCCAGCACATATCTGGGATTTTAGGGCTTACTCTATGATCAGAATTGGCTCGTGCGCTCAGCAAGCGAAGTTGAACAAAACATTGTCAGCGTAGAACGGATCCTGCACTATATCCAGTTGCCCCCCGAGGCTCCTGCAGAAATTGCTGATGCTGTTCCTCAGGAATGGCCATCACAGGGGAGCATTGAGTTCAAGTCAGTTTATTTTACAATGCAGCAATGAACAGGCCTTGAACTGGTTCAAGGGAATATTGCGCTCGTTATCGTCCGGAGCTTGACCTTGCGCTACGAGACATCACAATCAAAATTGTAAGTGCTTCTGGTTTGTTACACTTCCACAACTGACAGCATGTGGCCTTGCAGAACCACAGAGAAAAGATTGGTATCTGTGGCCGGACTGGGTCTGGGAAGTCTACGGTATGTCCGATTCGCGATGCGATCCACAATGTACCACAACTGAGGGACTACTATAGCTGCTATTGTCATTATTCCGAATTATCGAACCTGCGTCTGGAACCATCTGTATTGATGGCGTCGATATCACGAAGGTCGGCCTGCATGATTGTACGTCTCTCCTCTTGGACTTGATAGTGACAATACCTCTAATACCTTCATTAGTACGCTCCTCGATCTCCATTGTGCCACAGAGTCCGGACTTGTTTGAAGGTACCATTCGCGAGAACATCGATCCGACAGGCGAACATCAAGATGCAGATATTTGGACAGCCCTCGGCCAAGTCAGCTTAATCATATGTTGCTTAAAATATCTTCTAACTGCCTCGTTACTCTCTATAGGCACACTTGAGGTCGTTCGTCGAGTCGTTCTCTGAGGGTCTCGACGCGCCCGTCAAAGAGGGTGGTTCATCGATGTCGGCTGGCCAGCGACAACTGCTTTGTTTTGCACGAGCACTGCTACGTAAAGTGAGTTGCTTATGATGTCGTCTTCAGCAGGCGCTGATCTCATGTGCCGTAGTCGAAAGTTCTCGTTTTGGACGAAGGTACGGCTTTCTGTTACTTACAGTGAACGAGATCCTGACATATACTTCCGACAAAGCTACATCAGCTGTCGATCTCGACACAGACAAAGCCATTCAGGATATCATTCGTGGTCCTTTATTTGCCGATGTGACCATGCTGACCATTGCGTACGTGCTTTTTCTTTATACAACTCCGGGTGATGTTGCTGATGGCAAATGGTCAACAAGACATCGTATCAACACAATCATGGAGTCCGACCGCGTCTTAGTCCTCAATGCAGGAGAGGTGTGTTTCACGGCGTTTGTTTCGCCTGAACGTGACAGACTTATCAACCGCCCGTCCTCCAGGTCGTCGAGTTCGACACGCCACAAAATCTGCTAACCAACAAGCAGTCTTCATTCTACTCATTGGCCGCTGAAGCAGGTCTCGCTTAACCTGAAAAGTCAAACACATTGAGTCGACTTCTGCAGAGTCCGGGAATGAGAATGGACCACTACCACTGTGTATCGCATGGGCAGCAAAACATGACTTTCGCACGCTGATTGGACGCATGTAGAGTTGTATCCTATAGCATGTTCCTGCGTTTCGCTTCTCTAGGATTCTTACCATAATTATCGCTGCATCGTGTGCATCTGACCTCAACACGATTAGCACGAACTCCGAAACAGCCTTGAGGTGAGTAGGTGCTCTTGCTTAGTCCATCGGCTGCCCAGCGGCGATGTCAAATCTAGGTACATATTTGCCCAAGATATACCTTGACACTGCAGATGCCATGCATTGATGTGCATGTACCAGAGTCTTTCTACATGATGGTGCGCACCGTTGCTCGAATTCTCGATTCTTCTGCCTTCGCTGATGCGCCTCCAGTCGCTTTTCATTAATGGCTTCTGTGTTCGCGTTTCGCTTCCGACCATTCCTGAAGATACGGCATATAATAATATTGACTCGTGGGCACGCGTTAAGCAGCAGGTAGGGGACGCTACGAGCCAAGTCGATTCATCACTTGCTCCATCCATCGCACTGACGGGAGGCATCGAATGGTGCCTCGAAGGAACACGTGGTGGATCCGAATAACGCACATCAGTGAGAGGAACGCCGTCTTCCGACTCGGAGTATGTTGGAGTGAAATCTGCATAAGCAGAGACCCTACGAAGCGAAGTTGGTATTGCTATCCAGCAGGGACTACCACACGAATGAGTTCCAACAACCTTCCTTAGTGAGGCTAGAACACACGTTCAAGGTGTGAGGCGTGACGTCTTCGTCAGCTCCTCGTGCATTATAGGATCATAGGAAGACTGCCTACACATTTGATGATTCACAGTTTAACGCAAGATTCTACTATCCCCGTTTGGGCATTACCGTCCGTTGGCCCGACGGGGGCGTTTCCGACGAAATTCTAGCTCCACGAGGTGCACGGATCCCTTGGCAGAACGTCCAGCTGGCTACTTGCAATTGGTATTTCTATGTGACATCCCATTTGAAGGCAACGTTTTGGAGAAAGCAGATTCACTCCTTCGTTTAGCAGGCCACTTCAGTACATCCTTCCACCACTAGTGTAGCAGCTCTCCATAGGCCCCTCAGAGCATCCGGAACCCAGGAGCACGGATGCATAATAGTCTCTTCTCCGCGCTTTCAATGTTCCAGAGATCGGGTAAGATCCTCCGACTCCATTTCGTCATGCACTTTAGGTACGCATATAGTACTTCACAGCAAAATGTCGAGGATGGCCCTCGAAATCACCGAAGTTTGCCCGCCAGTGGTCGTAGAAGTACTTCCTTCCGTCGCTCAGTATCGCGACTGTCTTCAATATCTGCCTGCGGTACGTCACCAGCATGCCTTCAGTGAATACACTATACTACTAGCAAAGCTGAGGGCGTCTACGCTTTCGAGTACTCATGGTCTCATCTATGCACTGATCTACCCGTTCAGTATACGTCAAGACGACTGATGAGAAGAACCCTCAGGTCACAAGATGTTTTCCATCACCATCGAACGCGGTGCAACTTACGGTGAGACATGAACGATGGTCAGCTGGCGTGCCGGCGGACCGTACGCTGAGCGGCCTCCAACGTTTGCTCGCTGCCCGGGCCAATGTAGTCACCTCGCTTCCCATCTTGTGGTCGTCAGAAGGAAGAACTAATTACGGAGCGTAAGAGCGGCAGCCCTCTCAAGTATAAATTGCCAGGGTATGGTTTCCAATGACTCGGCAGCGGACGGCCTCACTCTTCGGTGGTCTTCACCATGACGGTTCTTCTCGCGCTCTCGTGTCTGGCCTTGGCTGGTCAAGCCTTCGGTGCGTTTCCCGACTGTGCCAATGGCCCACTCACCACCAATACTGTGTGCGACACGTCTGCTACACCGCTTGAGCGCGCGACCGCTTTGATTAGCCTCTTCACATTGGAGGAGAAAATAAACAATACCGGCAACACCGCGCCCGGGGTACCACGCCTGGGATTGCCTGCATACCAGTAAGTTCCTCTGAAACTGATGTAAATTTCGGTGGTGACTTACAGCGCTAAGGTGGTGGCAAGAGGCCTTACACGGCGTTGCGGAGTCTCCAGGAGTCATCTTCGCGCCATCTGGAGAATATAGCTATGCGACATCGTTCCCCCAGCCGATTCTCATGGGAGCTGCCTTCGACGACGCACTCATTAACCACGTTGCAACGATCGTCAGTACGGAAGCACGTGCATTCAATAATGCTAACCGCTCTGGGGTAGGTTCCCGCCTCCTGACAGTGATCGGACATGTATATTGATTACCTTTCATAGATCGACTTCTGGACACCGAACATCAATCCGTTCAAGGACCCGCGATGGGGAAGAGGTACATATCCTCCACCATGATGTTTACACATCGCTGAGGTTCTCGAACAGGCCAGGAGACACCTGGAGAGGATCCCTTCCATCTGCAGTCATATGTTTACAACCTGATCACCGGTCTGCAAGGCGGACTTGACCCTGAATACAAGCGGATCGTTGCCACCTGCAAGCACTTTGCAGCATATGATCTCGAAAATTGGGAGGGCAACGTCCGCTATGGCTTCGATGCGCTCGTCTCATTGCAAGACCTGTCAGAGTTTTACACCCGGTCCTTCAGGACTTGCGCCCGCGATGCCAACGTCGGCTCCTTCATGTGCTCTTACAATGCTGTGAACGGAGTACCGTCGTGCGCAAACTCCTACCTCCTGCAGGACATCCTTCGCGATCACTGGGGCTGGACCAACGAGGACCAATACATCACCTCCGATTGTGACGCCATTCAGAACATCTACGAACCCCACTACTACACAGCCACGCGCGCGGAGACCGTCGCTGATGCCCTGAACGCCGGCACAGACCTCGATTGTGGAGAATATTATCCCGAGAACCTCGGCGCAGCGTACGACCAGGGCTTGTTCACTGAGTCCACTCTCAACCGCGCTCTCATCCGCCAATATGCTGCCCTTGTGAAGCTCGGCTACTTCGACCCCGCGGATATTCAGCCATATCGCCAGATTGGTTGGGCGAACGTCAGCACGCCTGAAGCCGAAGAGCTGGCGTACACCGCCGCTGTGGAGGGCATCACGTTGCTCAAGAACGATGGCACACTCCCCCTGTCGCCGTCCATCAAAACTATTGCGCTCATCGGACCCTGGGCAAACGCGACCACACAGATGCAAGGGAACTATTATGGTGTTGCGCCCTATCTGATCAGTCCGTTGATGGCGGCGGAAGAGTTGGGCTTCACCGTGTACTACTCTGCCGGACCCGGTGTCGATGATCCTACCACCAGTTCGTTCCCCGCCGCCTTCGCTGCAGCCGAGGCCGCGGATGCTATCATCTACGCTGGTGGGATCGACATCACCGTCGAGGCTGAGGCCATGGACCGTTACACCCTCGACTGGCCAGGCGTCCAGCCTGACTTTATCGACCAGCTGTCGCTGTTGGGGAAGCCTCTGATTGTATTGCAGTTCGGCGGTGGTCAGATCGATGACTCGGCCTTGCTCCCGAACCCCGGTGTCAACGCCCTTGTCTGGGGTGGCTACCCAGGACAGAGCGGTGGCAAGGCGATCATGGACATCATCGTGGGGAATGCCGCACCCGCGGGCCGTCTTCCCATCACACAATACCCTCTCGATTACGTTTACCAGGTCGCGATGACAGACATGTCGCTGCGCCCCAGCCCGACGAACCCCGGTCGTACCTACATGTGGTACACCGGCACGCCGATTGTTGAGTTTGGGTTCGGCCTCCACTACACGACGTTCACCGCCTCGCTCTCTCAGCCGTCTGCCCCTTCGTACGACATTGCCACGCTAGTGAGCTTGTGCAGTGGTGTCGCGCATCCTGATCTCTGCCCATTCGCCTCGTATACGGCGAACGTCACGAATACCGGCAGCTCGGTGACCTCGGACTTTGTTTCGTTGCTGTTCTTGGCGGGCGAGCACGGTCCGGCGCCATACCCGAACAAGGTCCTCGTCGCATACGATCGTCTCCACGCCATCGCACCGTTGGCAAGCCAGACGACGACGCTCAACCTGACGCTGGGCTCATTGTCGCGAGTTGACGACTATGGAAACACTATCCTTTACCCAGGAGAATATACCCTCATCTTCGATGTGGATGCAAAGTCGACAGTAAGCTTCATCCTAACCGGACAAGAGGAGATTCTTGACTACTGGCCCCAACCGTAACAATGCCCGCCCCCTTCGAGGTGGAGATAACGGTTGTGTGTGAAAGTAGCGTACATCTAGAATACGAACGTAATGATCAACGAATTCACGAATGACCTTTCCGCGATTTGGGGGGTCTCTGGGAACCGTCTGAGTGTTCATGTGAAGTAAATATCATTCCATGGGTTCTGCAAATGGTGGTTAATATGACTGCGACGTCACGCGTCGCGACTGTTACACTCGACATTCACGATCACGTGTAGCGCTCCATATGCCACCATATCCTGACAATGAGCTGACGCACCATCCGAACTGTAGATGAGGTTATGCGTTTGTCTCCGACATTCATTATCCCCTTTCTTGCCCCTTTGCGCGCTACGCAACACAGCCCACTGAACCGCCTCGCCAGTACCTTGCCTACATCAGTCACCGCCGCCGTCCAAGTCAAACTACGCTACTTTCATTACAGCCGTCCAGCTATGAGTGGTCCCAGCAAGACTAAGAACGATACTGAGTGGAAGGCAATCCTCTCCCCGGAACAGGTCGGTCCACCGCGTCTTGATCAGTATGATCTGCGTCTGACCCGGGCTGTAGTTCCGCATTCTCCGACAGAAGGGCACTGAACCCGCAGGCTCGGGCAAGTATGAGAACTTCAAAGGCGAGGGCATCTTCGCCTGCGCTGGATGCGGCACCCCGCTTTACAAATCTACCACGAAGTTCGACAGCGGGTGCGGATGGCCTGCATTCTTCGACGGTGAGTATATCGAGCCGCTTCTCTCGCCGGCATTTTGCAGCATGCACGCCCCCTCGAGCGGTTGCTCATGCTGTTTTCATTGATCGCTAGCTATTCCCGGCGCGGTGAACCGCCACGAAGATCGTTCCTTTGGGATGACACGCACTGAGATTACGTGCACCGCGTGCGGCGGACATCTGGGGCATGTCTTCAAGGGAGAAGGCTACAAGACTCCTAGTGCGTTGTCCGGATCATAGTTTCGTCATTGTGACAATGTACTTATCGGACCATTATAGCGGATGAACGTCATTGCGTAAACTCCATCTCGCTGAACTTTGTTGACGAACCGAAAGCCTGAGTGTGCGTTGTGCCGATCGGGGGATATTGTATCATCACTGTACGTCTGTATCAACAACATCTGGATGTAGAATATGTCTCCGGTGAACGGCAGGCTGTTTGTAGGCACGCTCAGCCTTGACAATGAGCATAATATTTACCGATAAGTCGATGCATGTCGGAAGTCGTCGTACCTGCAGGATCCACTGTGTTTGTGAAGGATATATTCATGAATATCGTATGGTGATAGCGAAGACGGAAATCCAAACGCGAGTGTAAGGTAAGCAGAAGTATAAGGTTGTTGATGCATCGCCCACGAGAGCCAAGATGCAAGGTATGCGTACTGTACAGATTGACCCAGACAGCGATTAGAGTCCTTCCATATTGGCGACGAGCTCGTCCAGCTCTGCCTTTGACTCGCGATACTTGGTTTGTGCTTCCTATAAACGCAACATTGTAAAGGAGGGCGGCAGCATACAAATTGTTGCTGTCGCATACCTCGTACTTCTTCTCCCATTGATCGCGTTCTTGTTCAAGCCTCTGTACTTGACGCTCGAAGTGTTCAGCCTTGACATCGACCTGCCTCAGTCTGTACGTGGCACAGGCGCGTTAGTGACCGCATATCCGGCTTCAAATCGATACGCACTTCTCCATCGCATCCTTGAGGCTCTTGTCTGCAGCATCAAGCTCCTCCTCAAGAAGCTGGATCTTCCTCTGCAGACCCTCGTTGATCGTCTTGCTCTGATCACCCTCCTCCTGCGCAGCTTTCGCGGCAGTGAGCTTGCCCTCGGCCTTCTCGAGATCGCCATCCATCACAGACAGCTTGTGCTGCAAGGATGTGATCTCTTGGTCCTTCTCCAGAAGCTGCTGCTCGAGTTTCTTGTTCTTCGCTTCCGCCTCCTCGGCGCGAGCAACTGCGGTGTCCGCCTCAGCGCGGAGGGATTGAAGGCGCTGTTACAGCATGAATAAGCGCGTCTGTACGTGCATGAGAAAGCCAGTAGTGCACGCAGACCTCCTTGATTCTCTCCATGGTTGTCTGTTGCTCGCAAGATGAGGAAGGCGGTGTGTCACTGGGGCTGTTCCAGGTGCTCCAGCCTAAGCGGGTCTGTTAAGTGTTGATAAAGTATCAGTCGTGGGAACAATACCGAATTGGGAAACCTCACGTGCGAAGCCCGAGATCTATCCCGCGCTGAGTCCGAGCTTGCCTCTAGCCAGCGTCGCTCCAGTTGCTTTCTGCTTGTCGCCATCTCAAACGCAACTGCCAGGGAACCTATACACGCGGGGATATATACCTTCCAAAGCCGAGGGACGCATACAACCGAGAATGGCGGCGCCCGTAGCTCAGGAAGGTGTGTGCAGAGCATGTTTATGTCTGCTGCTGCTGATCCTTGCGTGTTGTCTGACGGGTAGAGCTACCCATCCTCGAGGCAGTTATCAAGTGAGCTCATCTGCAGATCCCTCGAATAGAACGTGCTGATCCATAATTTCTGAAGCATTCGCAATCGCCTGACGGCACTCAAGAAGGACAGAGGAGAGTATATTAAACCATCAGACGTGAACACGCTGTATCAAGCAATCGTGAAGCAAGGTGAGCATGACCAGAGTGCATTCTATCTTGAACCCAGACAGATTCTTAATGTGCCTTGGGGTTGCAGTGACACGCCTAAATGAAGTCCGCGATGCCCATACAACATACAACAACCGTCTGGACACAACTCTGGCGGATGTATTCAACCTACTATCTCTTTTCTTCCTCACCATTGGGAAAACCAAGGAATGCCCAGCAACCTACAGTCAAATTGCTAGTATGCGGGTGAGTCACTTCAGTGTTCCGTGTTCCGAGCTTGCGCCTCCGTTCCGCGTGATTGCCGTTATATGTCACGTCCTACACTACGGCGTGGATAGCATTACCGGAACTCAAGCTGTGCATTGTGTGTCATTCAGGCATCACATTCCCTCGCAGCAAAGGCGCATTTGAGGGCACTTCCGTGATGCTCATCTCGTTGCTGGTAACGTTCATCCGGAACCTACTTCCCGCTTCACCGATTATGTCATGTCCAGGGGACTTCCACCGAGAGTCTGGGCCTCGACAGGTGAATGTTACCCCTAAAAAGGGATGATCACCGTTGATGTCGCTCCCTGTCTTCAGCCGAATTCATAATAGCCTCCATAGGAGGGAGAATGACAGGGGCGTTCTTCTGATCACTAGCGAGGAAACGGAGACACTGTCACACCTGTGATAGACGGAGGTTGTTTCGGAGCCAGGTGCCGGATTTTCTTCGTCGGGGTCTCATCACTTGGGACACATATAAAGGATGTAGTCGCGATATTGGTCATCACGTTCCCATATGGTGTCTCCCTATACCTGGGCCTTTATACCTTCCCCTGATCCGACAATGCGTATGGTCTCGTCTAACCGCCATTGTTCGCAGCAAATTTTAGAGCATATGGATGAATCAGGCATCTACAACGAGTCAGACCTTGCGCCATTTCATCGACGCCTTGCTGAATTACGGTGCGTAGCCTGCTATTAAGCTTCGACCCTCATCGCGGATTCTCTTCGTTTGCGACTCCCCTTGCGACTCCTTGAGTCTAGACGTTCAACGACTATGGCAGGTAGGGCATGATTGTTGGTATACGCTCATGATGTCATAATGTGATCCCTCCATTCCTCGAATACGGCCACTGACTCAGTTTTTAGAGAGATCGTGCGAAGTGATGCGGAGGGCGGCAAGCATCCCGAAGCGATGACCACGCTTTTGGACAGACAACTGAATGAATGTGGTGAGGCGTCTTTCCATACGACCGTGACACACTTCACTCTACCACCTACTCTATGGCATATCCCTTTTCTGCGCTTGCTCGAATGCACATAGTACGGGCAATATACTCATAACCGGACCTTACAGACTGCGTGATTCGGCGAATGCAAGAATCGCTAGCGGTGCTATCGCCCGAGCTGGTTCCCATACATGAGCGCCTGGTCAATGTCCGCCGGAAGCTCGTTGCCCTCGCTGCGAAGGAGACTGCACGAGAGGCTGCAGCAGCTAGTGCAAGACCCGTTGAACCGTCGCCCCTAGATGTCTCTCAGGATCCCACTCCTTCCTTTGATGGGGCGGAAACCCCAGAACGCCGTAGTTCAACTCCCGGCAGCGATACCGAGCAAAAGACGCCGACCATCGACACGACTCCCAAATTGGAGCCTGTCAAAGAGAAAGAGAGTCACAAAATCAAGTCCGAATTGAAAGTGCTCCAAGAAGAGCTGCGAAAAATTGATTCGTTGAGTGTCCTCTTCGGCCTTGTCTCTGATTCAGCCTGTGTTGACCTCTGTAGCGATCCCGCTGCTGTCCTCCACCCATTCTCTGCTAACCTACCTGTACCTTGTGACATTGTCTCTTGTAACTCCTCTCTACGATTGACCAAATACACAATCTCGTCATTCGCTCTCTCAGGAAGCGTGTGGATGGCAAGTTCTTGGGCCCGGGAGGCATGGTCCCCGCATCTCAAGCCATTTGCTCATCCCTTCTTGAGGAGTGTTTTGAGATTGCGCAAGAAATCCGAGCGCAAGATGACTCAAAATACGTCGCCTCGTCGCTGAAGCCTATCTACGACAGGCTCAGCGAGATTCGACGGGAACTCGAGCAGCTGGTGAGTGAGTCCGTGTTGGGCAGTCCGCAGACGAGTTTGACGGTCCGTCCTTAGGTGTTGACACATCGCTGGAGTCTTCGCGAAACAGATCTGTGGAACTATAGCCTCAGTCTGCAAGAGATCGACAAGATGCGGGTGGATGGGAAGTTCGTGGATTCAGAGGGCACTCGGCCATCAGGGCAATATGTAAGTAGCGTAACACACCAGCAGGAGCTTGCCCCCTGACGCAGACGTTTGACTTGCCTACTCTAGGTCTTGCTGTACCTGCTTCGACGATGTTACGGCCTCATCTACAGACTGCTGTCATCCAGCGAACCAGTATCTGAGGAATTGATGCCCATTGTGAGTGTACTCTAACCAGTTCAAAGACCGGAGGTTCACCACGTCCTATTCTAGGCAAACAAACTGTCAACTGTGAAGAAGTGTCTAAACGAGGTCCTGAAATACGGCGGCCCCTTCTCACCACGAGACCTGTATCCAGTGCGTCATGGCTTGCTATTCTGCTGGTGCCTCACAGGGCTGGCATACCTCCAAGATATCGTCCCCAGCGCAGCGCAAGAGGCTGACAATTTGTTATGATTAGTACCAGCTGGCGCTCTATCAGATCGACTCCATGCGGAAGGAAGGCAAGTTCGTAGGCGTGGACGGGACAATACCCGAGGGCCAGGGCATCGTCATGGCACACCTAAACGAGTGCCACGAGCTCCTAGAGATGGTGCGTTGACACGATACGCTTCTTGCAGGCGATCCTGAACTCTAATTGTTCATTTTCTAGTTGAAAGAGGCGCTGGAAGAGCCCGAGGATACAGAGGACGAGGATTATGTATTTGATGAATTCTCTGAAGAAGGAGAGGAATAACACAGTAGACGTACCCTTGTCAAGCAACAGTCCCTGATACGTGGTGGGATGCCTTGATGCATGGTGGGATGGCATCCGATCACCCCGACCGTGCAATTCGGGAAATCTGAAGTAGTCGTATTGTTGTAAGTCATACTGTTCGAATTGGAATGTACTTGGTGGCAGCTCCGTCCAACTTCTCTTAAGTCACCACGGGCCAAAGTCTCAGCTTTTATTGTAGTAAGCTCCCTGCATATCTATCAAGACACCAGCAACCTGGCAGATAAGTACCATGTACAATTCTCCGGATGTCCGGGAGGTTTTGACAGTGGCACAGGGATCCCTCTCCTACAACGTCATGTCGATTCAGGAGTGAACAGCCACTAGGCACGAAACGTGGCTGCTGTACCGTGCGTAAACGAAGACATACCTTCAAAGACCATAACGAGCACGCCTAAAAGCACGCCAACACCATTACAATTAGTCGACTATATCCACAGTCCACTTTCATTCAATCACACGACGATGCGTGAGGACGGGAATAAAGACAAGCATTTTAGGTTCGCAATCTACCGACGATACTCTACGCCGTGAACGACGCGACGTGCTCCTCAACCACCTTCTTGATCCTCGACTCGAGGTCGGGCGTGATCTGGCCAAGTGCGATCTCCTGGAGGAGAGCGCTCTGTGCCGAGGTGAGATGCGAGCGGAACTCAGCCTCCCACTTCGTGATCTGGTCGACGGGGACGGGGTCGAGCTGGGGCAAATAACATTAGACACTACGAGATAAAACAGGTGAAAATATACGTACGAGACCGTTGACACCAGCGTAGATAATGGGGACCTGAATCTCCATCGACAGGGGCTGGTACTGGCCCTGCTCTGTAATGCAAGTCAGCACATGAATATACAGACAACACGCAACACATACTCAAGAGCTCAGTAAGACGTGCACCACGGGACAGGAGGAAACGAGTGGACGCGTCAAGATCTGAACCGAATTGCGCGAAGGCCGCGACTTCACGGTATTGCGCAAGGTACAACTTGAGCGAACCAGCAAACTTCTTCATGATCTTGCTGTAGAATAAGAGCGCATTCAGAAAATATCACTACTCAAGCGGGCCAGTTGACGTACGTCTGAGCGGCCGAACCGACACGAGACACGGAGAGACCGACGTTGATAGCGGGACGGACACCACGGAAGAAGAGCTCGGCCTCCAAGAAGATCTGGCCGTCAGTGATGGAAATGACCTGGCGAAATCGTGTCTCAGCATGCAAATGCGGTTTTAGAGTGGGGATCATAACACACATTCGTGGGAATGTAAGCAGACACATCACCACCCTGCGTCTCAATGATCGGCAGGGCAGTGAGCGATCCACCACCGAACTTCTCGTTCATCTTGGCGGCACGTTCGAGCAGACGAGAGTGCAAGTAGAAGACATCACCGGGGTAAGCCTCACGACCGGGAGGACGACGGAGCAGCAGCGACATCTGACGGTAGGCAACGGCCTGCTTGGACAAGTCGTCGTAGATGATCAGAGCTACGATATATCCCTAAGTCAACTAGTCGAAGACGTCACTCAAGAAATGTCATACCGTGCTTAGCGTTGTCACGGAACCATTCACCCATGGCACAGCCAGAGAAGGGCGCAAGGTACTGCAAGGGAGCAGCCTCTGAAGCGGTGGCAGCAACGATGATGGTGTACTTCATGGCATCGTTCTCCTCAAGCGTCTTGACGAGCTGGGCAACAGTGGAACGCTTCTGGCCGACAGCGACGTAGACACAATAGAGCTTCTTCTCCTCATCCTGACCGTCGTTCCAACGCTTCTGGTTGAGGATGGTGTCAATGGCGACAGCGGTCTTACCCGTCTGACGATCACCAATAATCAGCTCACGCTGACCACGGCCAATGGGCACCATGGCGTCGATCGGCTTGATACCAGTCATCATGGGCTGGTTGACCGAGCGACGGGGCAGGATACCCGGGGCCTTGAGCGAAGCACGGCGGCGCTCAGAGACGTTGATGGGCCCCTTGCCGTCAATAGGGTTGCCAAGCGCGTCGACCACACGGCCGAGCAGCTCAGGGCCGACGGGGACATCGACAATCTGGCCAGTACGCTTGACGGTGTCGCCCTCCTTGATTGCACGATCGTTACCGAAGATCGAGACACCGACGTTGTCGGCTTCCAAGTTCAGACACATGCCGCGGACACCGGAGGAGAATTCCACCATCTCCTCGGCTGCGCAAAAATGTTGAGCGCAGCAAACGGCGTGAGGGTATCTTTGAACATACCCTGGACGTTCCTCAGACCCCAGACACGTGCAATACCGTCACCGACGCCTATGCAACAGGGCGCCTGTTGAGACACGAAAAGACCGAGTTGTGCCAAGTCCACTCACTCAGAACACGGCCAGTTTCCTCGACATTCGCGCCCACAGAAGAGCCAGCTATGCGGGACTCGAGAATGGACGACACCTCAGACGCAGCTGTACGTGACGTGTCACGACCGACATGGCGAAAGGGAGTCCGTGAATGCGCGCGAATAGGACAGGCAGCGATTAGATTGGCAGAACGCTCATCGCGGTGATGTACGCACCAGGCTTTGCTGTTGCATATGAGCGGGAGACAGCAGGAGCGACGCGGCCAGCGCTCTGGAAATTTGGATGATATCACCGGAAATGAGCCAGAAAAAAAGGCGTAAAAAGGGCGAGCACGCACCCTGGGAGCGGCCAGGGAGGCTGCGCGGATGGAGTTTCTGAGGGCGACTCTGTGCATGGCGGTCGAGGGAGATGAGGGAGAGGAGGAAGGAAGGCAGAGACGTTCGTTGACGTGAACTCGCTAGGGGAGATTCGGAAGCCGGGCCCTCCCTTACATAACACAAAACTTCAGACTCCGCCCCAACTACGTTTTCCCACCCGGCTCCAGCCACTGCTCGTCGTCGCTGCTGCTGCTCGTCAAGTTCAATGAACTCCTTCGCCAGTCTCTTCAGACGTAGGTTTCCCCGCTCATGCACACCGAGCATGCACACTGACCGTCCCCAACAGCGGCGGCGACCCTGCGCGCGGTCGTGCATCGCGCTCTGCACACCGAGGCCGCTCAAACACCGTCCACGACCCCGGGTGCCCTTGCGCTCATCCGCTCCCAGCCCTCGCATTATGTCGTTGCCTCTGTCGCCGGCCGCAAGTACCTCCTTGCGCCCCGCGACCTCCTCACAGTCCCCCGCCTCAAGGACGTCCGCGTAGGCGATGTCCTCGCGCTCTCTCAGATCCACGAGGTCGGCTCGCGTGAATACACCATGCGCGGCGACTCTGTCATTCCGCCAGAAAAAGTCAGGGTCAGCGCGACCGTCATTGAACACACAAAGGGCAAGATGGAGGTCATCTTCAAGAAAAAGCGGAGAAAGGGTTACCAGAAGACCATCACACACAAGCAGACATATACACGCCTCAGGATCGGGCCCATTGACATTGTAGACCAGTAACATAGCATTCACTAATTGTCAGCGTGTCGCTTTTGTGGATATACGCAGGATCGTGAGTGTGTGTCTACGACCTATATCTCGCCTTCCTCTGGGGTCTCCGCGCGAGGGGGAGGCTCCTGCTTCGACGGCTCTTCCGGCACATCCGGTGGTACGCTAATACGTGCCCTCTGTATGATCGCGTTGAGCGTGGACCGCAACTCACTCAACAGAGATGCGTACCTTCTCTGCCCTCTCGTCGAACACTCGGTCTTCATACACTGAACGGTCTCTCTTGTCTCGCGGCGGTTCCTCGCGATAAATTGAGGCACTTCTCTCCCTGGCCGGAGGGCCGTCGTGTACGTCAAACGGCGGTGGGCCCTCCACCCAGTCCCGCGGCGGGAGAAATTCAAAGTCGCCCTTCGAGCTCCGGCGGTCTCGCCGTCTGTCGTCTCGTTCATACTCACGATGCCTTGACGAGCGATACGTGTAATCCCGCTCCTTCTCGCGAGGGTGGTGCGCCTTGTCCCGTGAGTAGTCTCGTTCGCGCGCATAATCCCGCGAGGTGCGACTCGCAGGATGAGCATCATACTCGTCGTGTCCGCGATGTGAGCGAGAAGCGCGGTCATGATGTGCATCCTTCTCAACATCCCTCTCGCGCTCGCGGTGGTCGCGGTCTCGATCTCGCTCGCGCTCGGGTTCGCGTGCATCCTTCGGCACCTCTTTGCGCTTGCGGCTCGTCGTTGAACCGCCATCTTCGGAAGCCTCGCGCTCACGTTCACGTAGTCGCTCCTATAATTGGTTGTAAGTTCACCACGAATTGGCAGAGGGTCGTGGACACTTGCCCTCTGACGCTTTATATACTTGGAGAACGCAGCTTTTCGTCCCTCCTCATCCTCGATGGCTTTATATTCAGGCAAATCTTGCATAAGAGGAACAGCCTAGAGCAAGCATGTTAGTCCTAGTCATCATGATGTCAATTCTGAACCCGCCTCTTCATACGACATGCTCAGGTCGATAGGCTCAGACAGCTTTCTGAGAGCATAGCGCAGATCATCTTGCAAATGGCGCTGTCGCCGCTCCGCACGGCGCCTCTCGTCCGCCTGCTGCTTCATAGCTTGCGAGTGTAACTGTGACGGCAGATCAGCTCTTTATTCCATCTGTGCATGAAGAACACTGGCTTACGGTATGATAGATCTCCTGCAAATCTTGCATACTCAGTTTGCGCACGTCTTCGTCCTCGTTACCCTGAATCACGGCGAGGAACTCCTCTTCCGACGTCTCCGGGCTGACCTTGAACAGGTTCATTTCCTTGCCTTCCGGAACCTGCTTCTCCTGCTGCGCCTCGAGCTTCTTGTTATGGCGCTTGATCGCACCCTCGGCGACGGCAATCTTCGCATCAAGCTGCTGATCAAGGTTGTCGACAAGGTCCCAGAAGAGCTCGAGCGGATTGGAGCCAGGATTGCCCAGCATGTCGAGGTAGCGAATGTCATCCGAGAAGGATGGATACACATCCTTCCACTTTGTGCGGGCCTTCATTTGGCCAGACTTGACGAGGGACTGGAGAAGGTCCTGGGCACGCGTCCTAGGTCAGTACCGTAGGTCAATCTGTAACCTTTCTCATACGCACCCTGAACGCCTCTCGCGCCTTGCGCTCCTTGCGGGTCTTCTCGACCTGTGCACGTCGCATTTGCTCCTCAAACTCTCGCTCCCGCACGCGGCTGTAGTCCTCGAACGCGAGAAGAATGTCAAGAGTGGGTAGCTTCTGCAGCTCCGGGTCGCTCCTCCATTCTTCGGACTCAAGCACAAGCTGATGTGCTTGACGCCAACGTGTAGTGACGTCGACATCGAGGCGTTTGAACAGCGCAACAATTTTGGAGATGCTGCGCGCACGAGCGGCACGGCTTTCTTGCTACATATCGAGATATGTATTAGAAAGATATAGCACTAAGAAATGAACATGATCACCCACCACTTCGCGTTGCCTGAGCTCGGTGACATACTCCTCAAAAATGAGTCGCCTTTCGGACTCAATCCTCGCCTGCGCCCAAATTGGGTGCTGGGCGAAGAGTTTGTCGGCGGTGGCGAAGGTTGTATAGTGGAACACATTCGGATTTCCTTTCAGCATGTTCCTGATGGCAGGGCGCAATTTGGATAAGCGCGCATCACGTTCCTCCTGTTCTTTTGCCCTGAGGTTGTCAGTGTACTATACATGGCGTTAATGATGATCGTCAGTATGAGGTATTATGACTTCGTACCTTTTGCCAGCATGCCTTCTTCTCCGCTAGGGTGTTCAAAGCTTTGTATAACGGGTCAGTAATAATGGCACGCATCGTCTGATCCCACGTCCAGTTTGCGTCCACACCAGCCTTGCGAAGCAAATGTACAAACGCCTTTTCCCCTTCCTCGACAGTAGAAAACCCGTTGTGCGGGATCACCGGATCATCAGGTAAGTTGGGTCGTGCAGGGAGCACGCTGGTCGGCTGGAATGGCAGAGGCCCAGTATGCGCGCCGACGGTAAGGTCTCCAGGATATCCGTTCGTTTGCGTCTGAGAACCGGGGGCGGATAAGGATGGGTCAGTCCCTCCCAGAGCAGCAGGTGCACCTTGCATGGGTGTCCCGCCAGCTTGATTAAAGCCCGGGGCGGCGCGGCTAGCATCGTACCAGTATGAATAACGATTTGACTGTAATTATGAACGTACTCACACTAAAGCATTGTTCGGTTGTTGCGCTGCCTTGCCTTCCTGCTCTACCTTCTCCAGGAGTAGGAGAAGCTCGTCGGGCATGTCCCATTTTGATTCTTTGCTCTCAGTCTGGGTTGGGAGGCGTTACGGTATCCGAAGGGGCTGGATACAATATGACGCACATTGTAATAGTATTTTCGTCCCCCGGAGAAATACTCTTTCCATTTCGTCTGGTTTAGAGCGCGCTACGAGGGAAAAGCGGTAAATGAAGTACATCTCAAAGCAGGGCGCCGACGTACCTCAAACGGTGTTTTCAGATCTACCGAGGAAACATCAGCGAAACACTCCAGGAGAGCGATTAGGATGTACGACACCATCTGGCTTCTCCCAGACACTTTCTCTTGTGCCAGTGTTGAACCAATATGTACGCCCCTCTGGATTGCGATGCTCTGTCTGTAGGTCCATGAGCAAAATACGTTTAGTGACTGCGGCTGTACGTACCCAGACATTCATATTGTGGCGTCGAGTTGAGGACGACTATGAGTGAGTTGACTGTAGGAACGAGGATCCGCCGTCCTTGGACCCACAGGGAAACCGCTGTCGCCCGGTAGTTTGTGACCAATCTGTGACACACAACGTGACCCCATTCAAGATGGAACGCGCCCATGTGATCGCATCATCGACAGACGCGTCGGTGGCTACCCAAAGCCCTTGCGTCCGGCCACACAGTGTTTCAACTGACGCCAGATCTCGTTTGTGAGCAAATACTAGTGTCTTATCTAACCCGCTCAAGCCTCTCCAGCCTATCGGACGCAGAGCTAATCACGCACGGCAGACAGTCGCAGAGACTATGGCAATGCCCCATTGTTGATCAATAGACACCTGGCCTTAGCTTGCTCCATCAGATACTATGCCGTAGTGCGCATGGAAGCGCATATTAAGGATATCCGAACATGACCCATGGAATGTCCAGTGGGATAAGTGTCAACAATCCGAATTGCTTACGATAAGAACCTATGTCGCGGGATATTGGCTACGGTAGCACTGCGATCAACCCGTCACAATCCTGGGAGGGGCACTTTATTCCAAATAAATCTAGTAGTACATCAAGTGTGGCTTTATAGCAGCGTCGCAGCGGACTGCAGGGAGCTCCATGATAGCATGCGAGACTACTTTAAGTGTGCATCTAGATGTCTAACTAGTCGTCGAAGAACATCCTCAGCATTAGCACGCTCCTTAAAATCATGGTCCTCGCGGGGGTAGATCACCAGGAGCGGATCCAAGCTGTCCGGTGCTTCACGTGCAACGCCACGAACGAAGGCAATCGCCTGCGTCAGTGGCACTCGTTTGTCTTCTTTTCCATGTAACAAGAGAAGTGGCGTGCGGACATTCTTGCAATCTTTGATGGGACTGCCGTTTCGGTATACCGGCTCCCTTGGGTCCCATGGTGCCGCGCCGCCTATTGCAGCCTACAGTCAAGCAGCCGTCAATAATTTAGCCCAGCTTAGGGAACACTCGACAGAAACAGACCTCTATGTCAGGCAGGTCCGAAGTTGCCGTCAATATACCCCAATCCGTGACACCTGCGCCAATCACCCCAGCTTTGAAGATGTTGTTGGGTCGGGTGCAACCCCACGCGGCGAGGAAACCACCTTGACTGTAGCCCGCGATAGCGAGCTTCTGCGGATCGACCAGACCGCGACCGACGCCCTCGTCAATCATGGTTTGAATATCATCCCAATCCAGCGTGCCGACGGTACCGTTCGCGGGCTTCACGAACGCATCCCCGCGCCCTATACCTGTTGATGCAATATGTAGACCACGTGCCATCTACCAGCTGGCGTACTTACTACCACGATAGTTTGGAGACAGAACGAGATAGCCATGAGATGCTAGCAGTTGTCGCCAGCTCCAATCCTCTATGCGGTAATCAGATGTGGTGCCACTTAGCACTACAAGCGAACAGACTCACCGAATGATAGGCTTAATGTATCACGGCTGCGACCCCAGAGAAGTACAATCAGAATGTGCAGGCGAGCCCCACAAGGAAACACCTACGCCGTTGGTCCGCCGTGCGGGACAATTACAGTGGGCATGTTCTTAGGTTCAATGCCTCTCGGGTGAGACATCACACCCTGCAGACTGTGCCCGTCGACCCCACTCCAGTAGAAGGGTCCGCTGTACGGCGCCCTATCATGAGATAGCCAGGTATGATGGGAAGATAACTTCTTGGTCAGGAGTCCTCTCCTTCCATGCTCTGTTTTGCCTGACCAGACATCAGGAGGATCGCCCTTCACTCCCGAACTGCGGACAGCAACATATATGTAGCGACCATCCACGTACTTGATGTCCCAGCTTGATATGTCCTCATCTAAAGTCTCGAACGCTGTAAACGACTTGTGATCTGCATCGAATACGTCCAGTTTTGAATCGAGGCCGGTCGCAACTTTCACGGCGTAGCGCGAGTCTGATGCAAGATGGACGATGTTAAGGACGTCATCTTCATCTCCATATGCAAGATAAACAGGGCTCGACGACGACTTTCGTTGCCAGACAGACCGCGAAGATAAGAGACGGGAGGATGTGTTCTGCAGAAAGACGAAATCTCCATTCTCTCTCCAGATAGTCGCACTGCCCGGCAAGTGAGGGTGCTTGAATGTATCGCCTATAATTCCTCCCGTTGCGATGGTCACTATTTCTTCAGTGACCGGAAAAGCGGTGCTTTCCAGATCTGCATGAGTGCGAAGGCGATAGAGGATAGATGAGCTATCCGGACTCCAAGAGAACGAATCCACGTGCGCATCTCCCGACACCAAGGTGCGGATGCTGTCTCCTCGCATCAACAGGCGTAGAGGATGGTGAAACGCTGGATCAGCTTACTGTTTGGTCTGTAAATGGAGAAGACGCAGGCAAGCTAGATCTTTCTTCTCTCTCCAAATAGAGATGAGTTCCTTTGCGCCCGTGTCGCTTGATCGTAACTGGCTAATGAACGCGAGGCTGTTTCCGTCAGGAGAGATGGAAAACGCTGAGACGGCCTCTGCGTCCTCCAAATCGGCTCCACGTTCTGGTGTCGTGTCGGGTGTCGCATCGAGGGGAATGCTATAGATATGAGAAGAGCCACCCAGGTGGTGACGATCGGATAGAAAGTAGATTCGCGAAGAGGTCAGATGAAAACGTGGGGACTGGTCATTGAAGACACCCGACGTGAGTTTTCGCGCGCTGCCTGCGGTTGCCGTGTCTGCAAGCCATAGGGCAGACGTTGAATGATCACCAGACTTATAGTGAGGGTGCACACAGTACACGAGACGAGATGCGTCGTTGTTGAGCTTCAAGTCTGCGATGACGTCCGCTGAGAGCACTTCATCAATAGCGAGTTTCCGTTCCTTAATTGCAGACATCGTTGTCCTGCTTGTCTTGTTAGATGGAGCCAATACATGTCTAAGGAATAGCAAGAGTAGACACCCACTATCTGATCTGCCAGAGGAGGTTCTAGTCAGCGGCAGACGGTAGAGGGTACAATATCGCCAATGTATTCGAGTTTCTTTGGATGAACACTGCAGTACGACGTTGCAAGCAACTTACAAAGTTAGCCCTCGCGGGATGTATTCGAGCTTCACTGGCAGAGAGTACCGTTTTAAGATGTGGGGATCGTCCCATCGATCTCAAGATCCCACATTTACTCCGAGGCGCTCAAGTCCAACACACGGAGATCCCACTCGAAGCGTCCAAGAAGGAATGGATGGATAAGCCTGTCCGACATACAACTGTAGCATCCCGTGCAGTCCCCTAAGCTCTCACCAGCCGAAAATCAGATCCGACACCTGTTCCAGCATTCCCTTGCTCGGAGAAGGCACGACGCCCGGAGAAGGCAATGCATTGAGCATGCTAGCCGGAACGTTCTGTGGCATACCATCCACTGCTATTCCTGATTTGCGGAATGCGGCGGTGGATGGTGCCAAACGGATGGGCTGGCCGACAGTCGGGGTTGGAGTTGATGGTGGCGAGCGCCCGCCAGGCTCGTCAATATCCATGCGAGAACTTGATGGGAATCCACCTGAAGCAGCAGCGGATAAGCTGGTGTCGGGACTAAATGTGCTGAATTCGGGTGACTGCAGCGACCGGATGATGGAGGGTCCCAAAACAGCTTCCGCTTGAGCGATATCCTACGTTTTAACGTTGATGAGCCACCACTATGGAACAAATTATAGAGGGCCACTTACCGCCCACTTCACACCAATCATCCAAGAACCGTTCAAGACATCCCCGTTTTTACGCACAGCGCGCATAGCCTCAGCGGGATTAACATAGCCGATCCGGAAACAATTTGAGATGTCCTGGTTCTGCACTGCCTCCGTCGTTTCGCCAATTGAGCGGAAATACTCCACCGTCACGCTATATTTGTCCGGAGGATAGCCAAACACGACGATATTGAGAGGCGTGGCCGTAGAATGAGCTGTTGGTGCTGGTGCTCTTGGTGTGGAAGGGTGCGCTGAACGATAGAGAGACACCCGGCTCGTCGAGGCGTCCATGACCGAGTCCTAGTACACTTGTTAAATTGCGCTTCGCCAGGACCCGGGTCAATCGCACCTTTGGCGAGTATCGCGAAGGGGTGGAATATACTTCATTGACAATGTCATTGATCGAATTCATCGGAGGAGCGTCTTCGTCTGCCAGCTGCTGTCGTGGCCTCTGCCGACTATACGCCGTCATCAACAGCAAGGACGTCAGCATAAAGCCATGGCGCACCTTGAGCTTTCAAACATAGAGTCCATACCAAAGTCCGACGCCCCGCCAGCGAGGGAATGGCTCAGTTTCGCTTTTGTTTGAACCAACGGTGCTTCCTCATGACGCTGGCTACCATGCTGAAAGCTCTACACTTGAGAAAATAACATGTGAGCAACGACCGCAGCTTACGTTACTTTGTGCGACGGACTACACAATAAGACAGGGCACCGCTGTGAACGCTGTTTGCTGCAAGGAATACGGTGGCGCGCTCACCATTAGGTACCCCGGTTGATAATGGCTCCTTGATTGTGATAAGCTCTCTCCAAGAGGGGAGCCTAAACCAAGCGAGCTGGCACCTGAGATTTTGTCTGTCAGATGAGATACACGCAGCCGCAGAATTGGACATGCCTGCAACGCTGAATGAGCCCTGGTGCGCCGGATGGGAGTGGGAGTGAGGAAACCCATGTCGTGCATCCTGGGATCCGCCGCTGTTGACATTCGACGGATATGAAAAGCTCGAGAACATTGTAATTTGCGTGAGAGCGCGGCTGAACGGTAAACAGGAGATGAGCGACTTGATGAAGACAACAACTTGCGCGCCAAACGCGACCCTGCCAGTTGGCGCCCGTGGCCGCGATGCGCCACACGTGACCCGATCACGATCGACCAGTCAAGAAAGTACTGGCGCAGAGTCCATCTAAATGCCCGCTCTGTATTTCTCCCCTGCGTTCTCGCTCTCGCCGACTCTGCTGCAACGGATCAATAACTTGTGATATTGATCTCATGGCCAGCCAAAATTTATTCCCTACCATTGGGACCATCGCAGATACGACGGACAAGCTGCCGGAGCAGCCTGTACTTGAGACAAGGACCGTTGAGCTTGACGATGATAGGCCGGTGCAGGAGATCGATTCGCTATGCATGAAGTGCGGTGAACAGGTATGTTCCTATTGCCAAAGGGATGGAGTACCTGCTGACCTTTCAGGATAGGGAGTTACCAGACTTCTCTTGACCTCTATCCCGTATTTCCGGGAGGTTGTGGTCATGTCTTTCCGCTGCGAGAGTTGCGGCTGGTCCAACAATGAGATCCAATCCGCGGGAGCGATCCGGCGTGAGTATTCCAATCACAGTCCATACTATCATTTTACCGAAACGACATCCAGCCGACGGCACCGTATATACTGTCCGTGCCCTCCTTCGCGAGGACTTAAACCGCCAGCTCGTCAAATCATCAACGTGCACAATTGAGATCCCTGAGTTCGAACTCACAATTCCCGCTGGAAAAGGTCAGTTAACCACGATCGAGGGGTTGATTCGCGATGTTGTCGCAGATCTTAGCGCGGACCAGCCCCTCCGCCGGATCGAGAACGAGGCTGCATTCACCAAGATCCAAACTATCATTGACGGGTTCAGAGAGATCCTGGCGGATAATGAAGATGAGGAAGTCGAGTCAAAAGAGCCACTGGTACAGAAGGCGTTAGAGAAGGATACGCCCATGAAGCCGTTCACGTTGCGACTAGACGATCCTTCGGGCAACTCATTCATCGAATTTCTTGGGAGTATGGCGGACCCAAAGTGGAATATGCGCATGTATCACCGCACGCGCGAGCAGAATATCGCGCTCGGGCTCGTCAATCCTGACGAGCCAGAAGCTCCAAAGCCTACAAGCGATCAGGAACAGATTGGTGGAGGTCTCGAAGGGGAAAATGAGGAGATCTACAGGTTCCCCGGAACATGCTCCAGCTGTGGCTACCCACTCGATACGTTGGTTAAGAAAGTCAACATTCCTTATTTCAAGGTATGCCGCCCTCCTCTCGCCTATATGAACGAGACTCACGTTGTACCCACAGGATATCTTGATCATGTCGACAAATTGTGACAAGTGCGGCTACCGCGACAACGAAGTAAAATCAGGAGCGGCGATCTCGCTGCAGGGAAAGCGGATCACGTTAAGAGTCGAGGACAGCGAGGACCTCAGCCGTGACATTCTTAAGGTGCATTGATAATCTGCAATAGCCAATGAACTGTGCCTGATTCTGTGCAGAGCGATACCAGTGGCCTATCTATCCCTGAAATTGAACTGGTGCTTGAGCCAGGCACGTTGGGCGGTCGGTTTACAACTCTAGAGGGTATCCTCGACCAGGTTCATGAGGAGCTTTCGGAGAAGGTCTTCCGGGCGAGCGACTCGCATACAGGCGATAACGCGTTCGAGAATTTCTTGAAGAAGCTGAAGGCGGTACGTCGTCTTCTGCCCGTCTCGGGATGCTCAAACTGACTTGATTTTATTACAGCTAAAGAATGTTGAACAGCCATTCACCATCATCCTCGACGATCCTTTGGCAAATTCATACTTGCAGAACCTATACGCTCCTGATCCCGATCCGAATATGACAATCGAGGTTTACGACCGCACCTGGGAACAAAACGAGGAGCTTGGATTGAATGACATGAAGGTCGAGAACTATGAGCAAGATGTAGAGACGCCAGAAAACTCAGTGCCAGAGGCTCAATAGCAGAAGTCTAATTCATAGAGGGCCGGTTCGGATTGTATTAGCGCACGACGGAGAAGCAACATTATGTAGCATACACATCTTCACATCTGTGCAGTGTATTATCACGCGCAGTTACAGTAATGCGCTGACATTGTACCTACTACTCTCATTATTAGTAGTATGCTCAACACTATGGCACGGGCGTCTCTAGAGCGTCGACGTGAGGTCATACCCGCCGCAGCTGCTTCAATTCAACCACATAGTGTCCTCTGCCACTATTTTGCATCTCACAGTTTGCAAAGGTTTTAGTCTCGAGATCCGAAAGTACAAAGATGTGTGCGATGCGGTGGATCCCGCTTGAGAGCAATCCTGACGTCCGTAGCGCCGCATATCCTGTTTCTTGATTTGCACTCACACGGAATGTGATCAAACATTTATTCTTGAACCATGACTCTATAGGTTCTGAATGCGGTGAGCAGATGCGAAGTCTATCTGTCCGTCTACTTGTACTCACTGCATAACGTCCGTTTTGTACACCAGTGGGCTCAAAAGGCTGGGCTTGTAGAATCTCAGGATCAATTCGTTGATGTATACGGTTTGGACCCGGAGGTATGTATGGCAAATTTGTTTTTATCTTGTTGTCAGCGTTGTGGCCGTTTCTAATCCCGATGTTTCTCAGCTTCTCGCAATGGTCCCTCAGCCGGTGAAGGCAGTGATCTTGCTGTTCCCCATCACAGACTCGGTCGACGCGAGGGCGAAGCAGGAGGACGAACGCATTGAGACTGAGGGACAACGTCCCGTTGATCCCACTATCTTTTGGATCAAGCAAACAGTAAGATTAAACAGTTGATCCGATCGCAGTGCCGTAAGCATTACTGGCACGACGCTAGATTGGCAATGCTTGCGGAACCATAGGTCTTTTGCACGCGCTGGCCAACGTAAGTCTCTTGTCTGACCACTCGCGAAAAAGCGAGAATTTAACCACTTCAAATCCTTTATGTTACAGACCAATGTCACACTTGCTCCAGACAGCCCTTTGGCCTTGTTCATCGAGGAATGCAAAGGTATACACTGCGCATGTTTGCGTGCGGTATATGTACTTCCAAGCATAATCTACAGATAAAACCCCAGAGGAGCGTGCTAGAATTCTTGAAACGACCCCGTTGTTCGCGAGCATTCACTCTGAAGTAGCTTCTGCAGGGCAGACAGCCACTCCTTCAGCAGATGAGCGTGTCAACCTGCACTTCACTTGCTTCGTCCACGCACCGAACCCACCGCGCTCGGACATCGTTTCTCAGGACCTTCCCCGACTCTTGGAGCTCGATGGGCGCAGGATTGGACCTATTGACAGAGGAGAATCCGCGCACTTGCTGGAGGTATGCGTATGCGCGAGACCCTTGGCCAGATGTTAATCCGCCGATTTGTAGGACGTAGCCAAGTATGTGCAGGAAGTTTACCTCGCGCAGACCACAAGTATGCACTTCAGCATGATGGCTCTTGCGCCTGCGGAATGAAAGAAGAGTGAAATCGAAGGACTTGTAAATTGTGTATCTTCGCGTGTACCTCGAAGTCCCTGGTAGCCCTCAATGGCAGTCCGCATTACACTCTTAAGGCAAAGGTCACATTAAATTGTAGATGTAGTTCAAGATGATGCTCTCAAGGTGGTACATTTACCTCTCGCAATCTACATCAGTCTCTTGCGTAAGTTGGTCAACCTTAACCTCGCGCAGATCGAGACCAAGATCTGGACCACGTGCCGCATGAATTTGACAAGCGCTCACTGGCAATGGCTGCCAGTGAGATCAGACTCTGAGTGTCGCCGAGGACCGTTTCGCCGCTGTGCTCGACGTTCTCCTCCATCTCGACGATACCCGGCCCACCATGCTGCCCCGCCATCTTCGAAGTGCCGTAGTTACCTCTGCTGCGCCGGCGCAAATCCGTGCATTGCTCTGCACTCGCAATGCACTACGCCCGCACTCCCTCCGGGCCCGTCCTGCTGTCTCACGTCCTCTTGCTGCATCCTTCCACTCGTCATCGCGGCGGCAAAATGAGATGCCAAAGTCACCGTTCCAGACTTTTGTTGAGGTTCTCAGGGAAGAGCTGAGAAAAAACCGGGAGCTGCAAGACAATGTTAAGCAGCTTCAGGGCGACGTGGACAAGCTGCAGGACTCAGAAGCCATGCGGAAGGCTCGGGCAGCTTATGAGCGAGCGAGAGTGCGTTGAGTCCTACGAAGTATCCCTCAGGCGCATTTGCTGAATGTCCTCTCCTGATAGTTGACATCGAGCATCAAAGAGAACCCGCGACTTCGAGCGGCAGCAGAGGAGCTCCGCAAAACGGGTGTCAAGGTCGGCGACGCCGTCTCAGAAGCTCTCAAGACTATGGAGGAGAGCGAGCTTGCCCGTGCGGTATGTAGTCCAGCCTTTACTCCCGTGTCGCCCAGTCTCACATCTTGTTAGATATCTCGTGCCTCGGCCGCCGTGTCATCTACTATCGCTTCCACGACAGAGCCAATACGGAATACGGCAGCGTATAAAGTTCTCTCCGAGACCGTCGTAGATGCCCTGGATGACAGTGGAAGTGCAAAGCATGCAGGCTTTGAGGAGAAGGAGGCGCGGCGGAAGCGGAGGCAAACGCGCTTGGCCAAGCTCGGGAAGGACAGCATAACAGGTACTTCTCGCGCTGTGAAGGCCGACCCAGAGTACGTATGCCGACATCCTCCTGCGGTCTGCGTGACCTGAGACATGCACATAGAGCGGGTCAAGCGATGGTCCTGCACAAGGACTCGCCGCGGCGCGAGAAGTGGGAGCGGCTGAAGGAGACGAACCCGCTCCTCCGTTCGTTCGTGAACTTGCGACAAGCATATGACGAGTCGGAGAACCCCGTTGTCTCATCGATGCGGTCGGTCACGCAGACGATCGGGGGCTGGTTCGACGAGACGGAGCACGCGCAGGTCATCCGCTTCATGAAATTGATGGATCCAACGTTCTCCATGGAGGGTTTCGAGCGCGAGCTCCGGGAGTACATCGTGCCAGAAGTCGTTGACGCATACCTTAGTGCTGATCAGGAGGCTTTAAAGGCGTGGTGTGGGGAGGCGGTCCGTATATTTCTTTGATTACACATACGTTTACCCTGACGCATGGTCTCAGACTTACAATGTTCTATGGGCCACGATGGAGCAATACCTACGCCAAGGCCTGATCAGTGACAGCAAAATCTTGGATATTCGGCAGGTTGATGTACGTCGACTTTCTTCCTCTTGTGACACGATGTGGTAGTTTACGGATGTGACACAGATTTCTGCCGGCAAGATCTTGGAAAACGATGTACCTGTCTTCGTCGTGACGTTCGCAACCCAGGAGATGCTACTCTTCCGCAATGTCAAGACGCGGGAGATCATCGTGGGCGCGGAAAACAGGGTTGAGCAGTGTCACTATGCTGCTGTGGTCACTCGGGTGGAGGAGGAACTGGACAACGAGGTCACAGGAGGCTGGAAGATTGTCGAGGTATGTCTAGACTCCACCTCCGAGATCTCTCTATTGATCTACTTACCTAGATGGCACGCCGATCTGCTCGTGCATACCTCTAGTCCTATCTACGCTAGGCGTGATATATTAAAACGTTGCGCATATTGCTTTGCTCCTGAGACTGCCTGCGAGTGCGGACCTCTAGACATAATTCACACCACTCATACACATAACAATCCAAAGTACTAGTATATTTGTCATTCATGATCATAGCGTCGTGGATGGTATGTAATGACATTACAGGATGCTGAAGACCTATCTAAGACATCCATGCTATAAGATAGTTTTTGTCGAGGCGATCTCTATAGTTGCGGCCGTGGAAGTGAATCACAGGCTGAGGGGGGGTGATGCGAAGCAGGTGCGCCCGGCGGAGCACGGCGACATCATGCACTTCTGGTAACGCCGGCCGGGCTATCGTCCTTAAAGGATGACCACACATCCTCCGTAGCAGCAGCAATCCTCTGCTTCACGCTGCCGACGCTGTCCAGTGCGGGACGGACGTCTAGTGAAAATACCGGAGAGCCGTCTGGCTCTGGAGGGGCGGAGTAGTAGTCGATCACATAACGTACTTCCTCGCCCGTTTTTCTCCGACGGACAATCCAGTCATGTCGGTCAAAAGGTGGCTCCGTGCTGTCACAGAACGCGATGAGACACAGTGAAAAGCGAATAAACACGAAGCCGCACTTGAATCTCGATGGTAGGAGCCATCCTGCGAATAGCCAGAAGCGAGCCTTCGGCGAGAGTTCGCCTGGCCGGCCCTTGAACTTTGCAAGTTGTGGGTCCTCACCTCTTGATTCGTCCGTGGTCAGTAAGCACAGCTAACCAGAGAAATGATGGGACGCGCACGGGTTCTCCTTCCTTTCCCACCTCAGGATCTCATTCCATGCCTGCTCGTTCAGGAAGTTGTGGATTTGCACCATCGTCTCGACGTGCTCCTCGGGGGTCTCCCAACCTTTCCGCACGAGCGCATTGTAGAACTGCTGCGGCGAAGGATACTCCCATTTCACTTCGTCGTCGCGAGGGATAGAGGACACCGAGCGTGCAGTGGGCAGCGCAACTTGCTGATGCGCAGCGGGTGCCTGTGAGAGCGTAGGCATCTGATTCAGCGGATTGAGGCCGTCGTTCTCATGGCTGATCGGGCATTGTGTGGGTGCGGGGTCGTGGCTTATTGGGCACTGCGCGGGTGCGGACGAGGTGGATGCGCGTGTCTCGTGCTGGATGGGGCATGCTGCAGGCTGCGATGCGTGTGGCACGGGACATGATGTGGGTGTGGATGTTGAGGAGGCTGCCTGACCCATGGCGAGGAGCTGAATGTGTACGGCAAGAGACTCGAGGGAGGAGGTAAGAAGACGATGAAATGAAACAAACTGTATTGGTTGGTGCCGACCTCGGGCGGATTCGGAGTAAACACCTCGATCCACGAAAGGAAACTGTTCAAGTTCAGCCCTCCTGGCTCAGCGGCGTGCGCGAATTCGTCCGAATGGAACAACCTGCATACAGAGTCCGCACACCCAAGCTCTGATCAGATCAAAGAGTAGCTGTATGAGTAGCACATTCGAAGGGGCAGAAGTCATTCGAGGCTCTTCCGATTATACACATATACATTTAATACAGCATCGTCCTGCAGACTTGATAGGGTATCCTCTACGTCAGAGAAGTGCTTCTCCTCAACCATGACCTCCAACATCTTCAAACGCGGCGCTTCAAGCGATACGCGCAACGACAGGGCAACTTTGAGCGCCATCCACACAGGATTCGAGGCACTTCCAGCGCGTAGGATGACAAGGTGCTCGAGCTTCGGACACACAGTTTCCTCGTCGTTAGGACATCTGGAGAGGGAATGAAAGAAAGCCACAATCGTGGCGGCAGTGACCAGACGGAAGTCGAGCTCCAGGTAGGTGATCTCGGGAAGTCGACACAGAATGCCGTACCACTCCTCACGACGCGCGTCGAAGTTGTACACCTGGAGAATCAGGGATTTGATCGCAGGGAACGGAATTGCCGCGAGCGCAACGCTGTCCAGACGCCCATCGTCGTCCTCATCCTCCCTCCATTGCCATTCGAGCGCCATATGGCCGTCATCTGACTTCAGTACCGCGCTCCGTGACTGGTGAGTATTGAGGAACTGTACGAAGCATTGCGTCACCCTGTGCGCGATATGTTGTAGCGATGGGCAGAATTGTCCGAGGTCGAGAGGAGATCGATACCGGCCGTGAAATCGCAGGTTGACTTCCGTAGTGACAGTGAACGCGATATGTGATAACAAAGTGAGTGTGTCACTGATGGAGTGCAGCGACCCCAACGAGAGCCGTTGTAGATTTGGCAATATGACTACGGATGTTTCATCCACTTCAACTGCGCTGCGAGGGACGAGCGCCCCGGACAGGAACACTGACAGGACCTTGAGTGACGGCGAGTGCCGTAGAGTCCATAGGAGGTCTTCAAGTAGCGGTGCACGCTGGTCCGAGAGTTCCAGCTCGACCATGTCCTTGTAGGGGAGCCACGGCATCGCCATCTGCGTGGCCGAGACATGCCTCACCATAGGCATCCACCCGAGAAATGGAGCCGGCAGCCAGACAAATGAGCCCGGGTGTATGCTTAGGCTCTTCAGATGCGGGGCAGGACAGCTGAATTGGGAGATGACGTCCCTCATAGGCTCAGGGAGGAACGAGGTTGCGTAGAACTCGACGAATCGGTGCGAGTGTACGGCCAGGATCCGCGCCATCTGGACAAGGCCCTCCGCAGACTCCCATACCGACCGGGGACCCTGCATTCTCACGAGGAGGGGCGCATCGCCTGAGCGGCCAAGTAGCTCGCGGACCGTTGAAATGCGGGAAAGCGCCGGAGTGAGCTGGATGTACGACCATAGAAGCGGGGAGGCGAGAGCGAGTTCGCGCCAATACCGGCAAACGTGCGATATGGCGACACATGCGATACTTCCGAGACGACTCGGTCTGTCGCTCGTGAAGAACGCTTCGGCAGCGACCAAGTGAAAGACCTCGTGCAAAAGATCGTCTGGTATTCGGGATATCGGGGAAGGAGTCGGCGAGGTCTGCACTGGGCTTAGGAGTGGGGGGCTTGCAGCAGTCATAGCGCGAGACGTAGTGCGATCAACCTGCTGGTACTGAACGCGTCTCTCAGATGCAGCTGGAGGGGTGGCAGCGGAGATCCAGGAGCCAACTGTTTTCCAGTACGTATAGATCATCGGGAACGCCGGTAACTTACTCATCCGTTCACGCTCCTGCCGGCTGGCTGACAATTTACACTTGTCTCAGCACTCGTAACTACACGATGCGAAAAAAATCCCCCGGATTGATGAATTGGAGCCATAGACATACTTGACAAGACTACAGTTTGAGGAATGCCTGAATATCTCCCAGCGAAGGAGGGCACAAGCTGTTTATAAGCTCAGCCACCGACGCTGAACTTTTTCCAATGAAGCATATGTTCAATATGGTGCCACCATAGGAGACAACAGCTACTGTATGATCCATGAATCATCCTCATGTAAATAGTACCAATCTCAGGAGCTGGTAATGAGCCGTGTCAGATCTCAGATCTGCTACTTGACACCACAACTCATGTGATCGCTTCGCGTTTACAGAGTGAAGCTGAGCAAAGAACATCTGTCTGGGTGACTACGGTCTATATCCTCATAAATTCATGTCAGGCGTACTTAAGGACTCTTCTTCTCGACGTTGAATGCCATAGCAACACTGCGGATGTCAGCGTCACATATCTATCCGTATCATCTTCCCTCGTGGATTACGAACTTTGTGGGTCTCCAAGAATCATGTGCTTTTATATATGTTGAAGCTGTACTAAAAGGCCCCCATTCTAGCGTTTGTCGTCGGGCAAGCCATTACTCCTAGACAGGCAACAAAGGCAATGATGAAGACGCACTCGAGGACCAACATTCATTAGCTGAACTCGTCCTCGACTACCCACGTAACAGACCGCTCCCTGGGGCCGCACTGCCTATGCCGCTGCATGAGTGATGATACTCACGGCGAGCATGCTCTACCAGAGACATGCGTGGAGAGTCTACAAGCCTGTCATCGGCTTGTGATTCCAGCATCCACATCGGATGGATTGACTCGCGTAAGGAAGATGTACAAGTGCTCGTAAGAGCCTCGTGTGGCTTCATGGCCGCACAATAATGGACTAGCTGATCCAATCTACTTTACCGCGGCGATTGCACGGCTGTTGGTGCTATGTCTAGACAAGCAGATGACGGCTGTTCATGACAACATATATTCAAGCCACGAAGCTCTCACCGATTAGTTCCGTTGGCGCGACATCAGGCGATGGAGGGTACCTTTGCATAACGCACCCAATATGTAAACAGGAGTATTCTTGAATCGTCCATTTATGCAGCCATCACAGCGGGACTCTTGATCGTCCATCAGAAGGAAAGCTCATCCGACGCTCGCGCGGTCGTCAGAATACAATTATGATATAGTATAGTCACATCGGGTGGTGTAGTATGCTGGTCGACTTGGAAGAGCTCAAACTCGTTTGACCGCATGCGCAGGGACACGGCAATCACTCTGAGACAACCTCTACTGAACATCCTCAATGCAAATAGTACTCAATGATGACAGATACATAAATGCATGAGATGGTGTGCTTCCGCTGCTAGCCACGCGTGGTACATGTGTACTCAATTCCGAATTGTGGTCGGGGTGATTCGGGACTGCACTTCTCGCATTCACACCTGTTGAATGGGTCTCTGCAGCACCGTCCATTTCCGATCCAGGTGACCTTTTTAACAGCGCACGTCTTTCCCAGACATCGGACTGACCCCACGACCACACGCATCTTGCCACGACTTTTCTACGATGTCTGCATTCGTGGAGAATACAGGGAGCACTGCGCGAGACTTCCAGATGCTCGAGCGGAACCTGCTCTCGCATGTCAAGCTTGCCATGCTCCTTTCGCTCTTGTCCTCGTCCATCCTGCTGAAGACGCGCCTATCCGGAGGTTCGAGCACCTCGTCCGGCGATCCGAGCAGGATCCAACTGCCAATCGCCTCACTCGAATTCGCTGCGGCGCTCTGCACGATCTTCGCAGGGATGTACCAGTACTTCAGAACGTGGAAGGACTACCAGACCCTGCGCGGGTTTCTCACGGCGACAAAGTCCGTTGTTCCTCGTTGGATCATGGTTGCTGCCGCATCTCATCTCCGTCCTTCGCAACAGAGTGCACTTTAGCATCATGGTGGCTGTGGCAGCAGTGGTGTTTACGACATGTATCGTGCTACTGGTCGAGGAGTCCTTCTGACCATGAACTATTGCCGGATGACCTACAGAGTGTGAGAAGATGCTTTGTCGTGCTCAGGTCCGCCGGTCGAGTGGGCTGTAGCACTGGTAATCCCGCCTGCATGATATCTGCGCTGTTGATCACATCCAACTGCCAACATGCCAAACCTTGACTATCTGACCGTCTCACGGCCTCGCGCGCATAGCCCACAGCCCACCTCGTCTGGTGTGCCAGCCCGCCCTCGCCCCTTCTCCATGTACTGTCATGGTGTCCGTCCACGCTCCTTCGTATATCCCGCCGCTGACCTTCGAGCCCTTCGTCCTCGGCGACGGCTCCAAGTCACTGACCACCACTCTTTCTATTCCCAGCGCTGCAGATGACATCCCGTGCGCCTATTCCAGACTACGCGGGCCGCGCATTCGCCGCAAGCATTGGAACAGCCCTCCTCATCTGCAACACCTACCCGTGCCCTTCGATGCTGACCCTCCCGCAGAACCGCAACGCCCGGCTCTGAAGGCGACGTCTGGTTTTGCTCTGGGAGACTCACCGCCTCTGCAGGTATCAGGCGTCACATCGGATGATGTGCGAACACAATCGGAAGCCGATGGCGCGCCTCAATGGGTACCCCCTCGGCCTAGAGATCGGGCAGCTGAAGATCTCGCTGTTCTACGAAGAACAGGACGATTAGCCAGCGAACGACGTAGGGGTGGGAGAGCTCAGAACCACGTCGCACCGTCGGACGAGGAGTTCCCCGCCACTGTCACAGGCGCAGAGTTCCCGAGTATCATAAAGCGGAGCGATTCTGGCGCCGTACCGCGTTCATCACCACGGCGGCCATCTACCGCCCCGAATAGAGCACAAGACGGTATGGGGACCACTCGTCCGCGTCTTCTGTCCGCGACTACTCCGTTAGTTGCGTATAACGTCCCCGACAGATCCGTCTCTCCTCTTTATGCTAGTGAGGCCTCATCGCGACCCGCGTCACACCTTCCGCCACAGACCGTCGACCAGCTGCAGTACCTTGCAGACCAGCTCCGAGCCCTGCATCCTATGTTGGCCGCGGAGATGCACCGTCCTCGCGTTCCTGGCCCTCGCCACGGCCCGCGCCCGTGTACGCCGCAGAGCGGGTCGTCCAGTGGCCTGACCACACCGCGCGGACAGTCGACCTTTACCATCCCCAGACGGTCGTCGCACGACATGCAAAGCATTGATAGTCACGTTCAAGAGGTAACTTTCCCCGAAGGAACGGGCCGGTGTGCCTCGGTGTCAGAGGACGTTAGCACGCCGGGGTGCGTGTCTTGGTCTGCCCCCGCAAAGGGGAAATGGAAGATACCTTGGGTTGAAGAGGCAGAAGGCTCCGAGGAGCTGCGAGTAAGCATGCTGTGTACTCTGCGCCAGCGTCGAGAGCCCTTACGATCCTTGCGCCGTAGACGGATGACAACATACGCGAGAATACAGGCCCTCTTTCGCTCAATGGCATGGAAATAGACGAGTCATGCTACACTTACGATCCTCATGTGGGTATAGTTGCATTTCCTCTTGCGACCTGCTTGTCTAATGTGATGTATTTCTTTGCCATAGAATGCTCCGGAGTTTCTTGTAGGCACGTCCACTTCCGTCATGCTCCAGGCCACGCCTGGTTTCCATAGCCGACATCATCCACGCAAGCGTCCAGTTAGGAAACCCCGCAATCGCTTTCATCGGCCCACCGCCCTAGTTCTCGCACCTGGGTCTCAGCTCGACCACCAGGCGTCAGAAGGGTTCACCGAACCTACAGGCGCATCTACTACTACAGCCCCTACACCGTCTACAGTACACTCACTCCCTCCTCCCGCGTTCGATCTAGGCAGCCTAGAACTCCTCGTGGGTCCCATTGAGCCGCGTAAAAGACGCCGGCCAAAGCCAGATTCCTCTCAAGCGCGTTTTCTGCAGAGCAGCCATGCGGGAGATGCGACGGCTACTCCATCCTGGAGACATTCCCGAAGTGAGATTCAGCTGAGGCAAGTCACTTCCCGATCATCAACAGGTCAGGGCGGGCCCCGCTCGCCCACATCTCGTCCCAATCGCAAACGCAGTACGTTCGGATTCCTGAGACGTTGGTTCAGGCGATGGATGCGCTGAAGATTCTCTCATAATTCATTTCTTGATTCGATACCCTGGGACACAGCAGTCCCTGCGTACCCGCTAGCACCATAATGTAATTAAGTCAATCAGCGGTCCACGACGAACACATGCACATTACAATTGTATATTCTCTAAGTTACTCTCAAGATACGTGAATACAACACGGTGGAATACGCACACAACGATATAGTACTCGCAGTACATTAGCTGATGCTAGCTAGAGACTACATGCGACAGCCTAACGACAACGTCCCGACAGCAGTGCGACACGAGACGTGGCCCGCGAGCGGCGGATACAGAGTTCTTATAATGAATCTACTTGCACCGCAGAATCCAGAGCGTCCGTCGACGGGGGCACTACCGATGACGGCCTCTGCATGAAGCCTACAGCAGCGGGAGGCTCTTCAAGGGACATTGAACCCAACTTCTCCGGGATCCCGCTGTCAGCCGCATCACCCGTGGGGCGAACTTTGTCTTTTGGCCCGTCCTTCAATTCCGCCTGTCCCGCTGTACTTGTCCCATTCCCGTTGATAGATACGGCTGTGCGCGAATTACCCTTAGGGTTGAATAACTCGGTATTGCCCTTGGGAGGCGGTCGCTCGAAGCTGGCGTCCGAGTCGTCTAAACGTGCCGTAACGCTCGAGTTCGCTGCTGTGGTTTGCGGTATATTAGGGTAATGCACGAGCACGGAGCCGTTGGGGTTACCCTGCGGACCGGGCATTATGATGGACCGCGTTGACGAGGGGTTCTGCCACGCGCCGCTTACGACTGGAAGTCGCTTCTCTGGCGCAGAGGAGGAGGACAATGGTGGAAAGTCGGTTGACTGCAAGACAGGCTGGGACTGATGTGGGGTTGTAAGGTGCAGTGGGCCGCCCGGCCGAGCGGGTGACAAGGTTCGGGAATTCGTGTTGTTGTGGTCATGATGTCGGGGCGGGTGCAATCCGGGTTGCGCCTTCAGGCCAACTGCCCAGTCTGGTCGAGGCGGAAGTGGATGCTTTGATGACGTGGATGTATAAGTTTGACGAGATGAAGAGGATGTGGATGACTGCAAGATGATCGTACCAACGCACGAGGAGAAACCGGCATTACATACGGATTATGCTCGTCAACATTGTTCGGGAGACGGGAATAGCAGAAAAGATTGAGAAAGGCAAAGAAACTCACCGCAGTCGAAGACGCTTCGTCGCCTGGTGTTCTCGCTCCAGCGCTTCCACTTCCGCTGGATGTTCTCCTGAATGTTGAACTCAGCCGCGGACCGACTTCAGCTCCCCCTGCCCCGTGTCCATTCATATTGAAGGAATAGCCGTTGTTACCCGCGCCAGGCCCGTAGCTCCAGGAACCCCGTGCGCGAGGAGCACCACGCCTATGCCCGTTGCTGCTCCTGGATGAAGCACGGCTATGGTTGCTACTATCTGCACCATTGCCATTCATGTACCCAGATGCATGCGTTGGATCAGGCACGTATATCTGCTGTCCCGGTAACGGGCCTGTAGGTGGGCCGTAAGGATTCGGATAAACCGGTGGAGGGGGGTGGTACCCCTGCATCGAGTACGGATTAAATTGTGGGGGATACGTGTAGTATTGTGCCTGGACGATATTTTGAGGTTGGGAAGAAGCTGACTGCGATGGGTGATGTGGAAGACTGACGCCTGTGCCTCCGGGACTTCGAGGCTGGGTGGAAGATGGCGGGGGCATTGACTGATTGGGCGGCGACTGAGACCAAGCGTATGAACTCATGTATGATCCTTGCGGAGGCGTCGTATGGGTGGCAGGGTACATAGATTCAGGAGGTACTGGGGCAGCGGGGTCGGCAGGAGGAGGTGGAGTATACCCGTATGGCATGTAGTACGGGTACCCATACGTGGCAGGAGGAATAGGACCTGGCGTTGCTCCGTACGCGTAATAGTAGTGGGCCATGTAATTGGGTTGGGGTGCTTGTGAGCCGTATGGCTGGCAATCCATGGGCGGGGGTGGTTCATAAAGAGACGCATACGTGAAGGAAGGTGAGGTAGCCCTGGAATTTCTGGAGCTTCCAGAGCCGTTATTGAAGGATGCACCAGATGAGCGCATTGACGATCGATTGGAAGAGGCATTTGAGCCACCCCGTCGACTATCCCGCCGGTCTCGAGTAACCGGGCCCGACCACTCGCTCTCAGTTGCGGCGGAGCTCGCAGAATCGTCGAGATCACCGATGCTGCTGCCGCGCGTTCCACTTGTAGAACCGGAGCCCGAGACAAGACTGAACGTCGAGGAATTAGCGCTCATGTCTTTCTCCTTCTCCTTCTCCTTTTCCTCGAAACCCATGAATATCCTCGAGCGCGCTTCGTTGTAGGCTGCCTCGCGCTCCTCCAGGGTGAGGTGCCGTTTCGTGCTGCTTCCAGTAGCAGCGCTGCGTCCACCGACGCTCCCCGACTCGTCATCAGACAGGTCAGCGTCTTCTCCGATCACAGAGCCCGTTTGCGAATTCTGCCGGCTCTTCGAGCCATCCTGAGCGCCTCTCCGCATGATTTTGAAGGCAGGTTGGGCGGACTCCTCCGCGGGAACAAGCTCACTGATCCGACGCGCAGGACTGTATAGAAAGAACACTGAGGCTATGATATATCTGACGGAATATCTGAGGAACGTACATTCTGCTCTCGGAGCGGTAGAAGACAGTGATGCTCTTCGTAGCCGCATCGCTTTCTGGTGACAGCTTGTAATAGGCAGAACATCTGTGAACCAGCATTCGCTGGTATGATGTCGCCGGGGTGAGGTCGATTTTCACTCTGCAGGAGAGAACAAGGTGTCGGTCAATACGTAACGCACAACCAAGTCACAAACGCATGACAGCGCATTTTCGGACGACGAGTCCGCCGTTAACGCAGGAAAGCCGCGCGACATGGGCTACTGAAGAAAATGCGGAGCAAGACATACCTGCGCTCGTTAATCAAGCTCTCCATCAGTTCCCCTAGTTTCAAAACGTAGAGTCGGTCCTTGCTGCGAAGGGCCTCAGTTATTTGGGCGTCAGGCTCCGGTGGATTGTCGTTGCTGCCAGGCGCAAGGTCCCCGGAGCTAGGCGAGCTTGTCGACCCAGACAAGTCAGGAGATGTGTCTCGAGGCGAGGTGACCAAAAGGCCATCGAGAGATGGGGATGGGCCTATCGTGCTTGCTGCAAGCGTGTGGCCCGGATGGATCTCGGGTGCACTGGAACTCGATATTGCAGCGGGTGTAGGGCTCATAGTGGCGGTCGCCATGGTTGTGGACGACGAGTGAGACAAAATAATCAGAGTCGGTGCAGCCGTCCGTTTCGAAGGTCCTGTGCGCAGCGAAGATCCTGATTTATTGAATGCAAAGTAGGGTTGCGCAGCCTCAGCGTGCAGTTACGACCAGGAGGGCAGAAGTTGCTGAGCGCTTGCAATACACCCTCCAGAGATGCCAGCAGCTCGGTCACGCACCAGATAACATCCAATGCAAACTATGCCAGCACTTGAGGAACGATTGCAGTGATAATGAAGGGCAAATGGACGCGGGATGGCGGGGGGAGCATGAGGTCTCAGGGTAAGCGGGTCCAAGTTAACAGACGCCCAATACTCTTGTTTGGGCGTCTGCTGGTCACGAGCATGTAACGCTCCTCAATTACAAACGGGTCCATACCCTCGGTATTCGTGCATGCAAGCGGGCGCATCGTAGCTATGTCTACGCTAATGTACAGATGGGGTTGGAGATGGACGGACAACTTGGTATATATTGAAGCTCAAGCTGAAGCAACCGTCAGCATGGTCATCGCTTCATCCGACGATGAAGTACATACCAAAAGACGAAGACAAACATGCCATATATTGCCAGACCGAGCGCTGCGGTCGACAGTCTCCCGTTTGCATTCGGGTCGCGGTGTGTGAGCTGACGACGTGGGGCATCAGCACCAGCACCAGGCAGCGAGAAGGGTAATCCGCTCACCTTCCAATAGAATAGCCCCGGCAGAATGAACGAGATCGTGGTAGACCCGGTGGAGCCAACGAACGATAGCACTGACACACACCGACATCATCTCAGTCTGAGTTCCAGGGCAATGCATACGAAACACGTACCCATCTGCAGGTCATCCACAAAGTAGGCAATAGTGAATCCGCTGACGACGATCGCGATCGTGAGCAGAACATGTTTCAGGGGACTCATATCGGGACTTCTGCCGTGCTCGCCTTCAACTTCCCCTTCCTCCCCTTCTGTGACCGCCTTCACCACGTGTCCCATGTGGAACACCTTGTCCAGGCAATTCCGGCACGGATGAACTTGCAGCGGGTAGGAGAACATCACCAGTATGGCGATCGCCAACTGGCCGACTGCAATGAACAGTGAAGTTGACGGGTACATTGCGATAATGTTCGGTCCAACCTGAAGCGGACATGAGCGACTGGCCATTACTGTATCCAATAAGACCTGCCTTGGAGCCGAAAGTCAGGTATCCGAATATAGCGATGATCTCGTATATCATTGCAGCCCCGCCGATTGAGCTACCAATAACTATGTTCATCCTCGCTTGAGTATTAGAAGAGATCTCGTTAAATATAGGGAATATCTAGCTGGGAGTTCAGGCACGTTAATGGGCGAGGCGAGGCGACACATACGTTTTGTGCACATGTGAATGCAAAGACTTGCACAGGGAATGTTGACACGAAATCTGGTGTGAAACGGATCAGATGAATTTCGCCTGGTGCCTGCGTGCCCTCAATGGGAATGAAGTAGCAGACCACAACAACCACGACGAGGTAAGCTTTGCAGAAGGTATTGTTAGATATTGTAGACCAAATGCAGACTTTTCATTTCAGCGTACTGACCCACAGAAAAGAGTGCGATATAGCTCGTGTGTCTGAGGCTGTCTATCTTCCTCATGAAGGACAGAGGGAACAAAAACGCCATCAGGATGACAATCCAGACACGTCCTGACTGGGCCCATGTTGGAGGCTCGCGCGTGCTCAAATCGTGATAGAAAGCCGCCACAACATTGGGCATCAGAGACTTGATGATGATGAGATAGCTGTTTGGCAATTAGACATACATTAACAGTGACGATTGACGACATACCTGATGGAAACGCCGAAACATTTTGTAGCAATAGCAGCGTCAAAGAAGACAGCGGCTCTAGGGAAGGTAATCTCTGCGATGGCAAAGAAGGAGGCCCCACGATGGGGTGCTTTTACGGCGCATAATGACAAGAGGTACAAGCCAAACGCTGCGACTCCGCCGGAGAAGAGACATGTAATCATGCCAGGAATCATGCCCGCAGACGCCATCGCCTATAGCTACATTAACTTTACTTACACTTTTAGGAAGACTCGCGACTCACCAGGGGAAAGGTAAGCATTCCTTCCCCATGACTAGATCAGCGAAGCACGTCGTGTGAGTAATCATGATACTCACCACTCCCAATAATTGTGTTCGCCAAATTCCCTACTGAGCTCGACAATGTGGCATGGCCCTCTCGTTTTGGCTTCCTTGCACTCGCATCTGCACCAAGCAAGGCATCGCTTTCGCCAACGCCGTCAACGGGACGCTGCGCGTCCTCATGGTCGTCTGCCGGAGCTACGCCGTATGTCTGTGCCATCTCGAATATATCGTCCTCGTCGATCGCCGAATGCGCTGTCCTTAATGGACTTGCCGGCCTCTGAGTAGGCCGTATTCGGAGGAGCGTGGTGGCGGATGACAAGTGCCGCGCGAGGGAGCGCGACAGCCACGGATCTGGCAGTCGGTGTACACAGCCACGTGGTCGCGCGGCTTCTGATCGACGTTGCTTGTAATTGTTAGGATCCAAAGCCTTTGCACAACATGCGCAAACAACCGCCTTCTCTTTGCCACAACCATGACCCCACGCCTTCGCCATAGACCGCAGGTTGAAGAGGAGGATGCCTCCGTCCTCAAGCTTGGACCCGGTAGGCCCACAAAATCTAAACAGTCCCTCCTTACCACTTACTATCCACCAGAGTTCAACAATGCCGGTTGTCTACTGATTTCGGAAGTGAAGTACTTGTTGGAGAACAGAGACAAGGACGCACCAGACACTGCGTGCGTCATGCATATGTGATATCGTCCGAGCAAGAACACTAATGCTGCAAGTATCTCTAAGTGTCTACAACAAGACGCTTGAGTATGTCAAGACATTTGCGAAATTCAATACCACGGATTCTGCCAGTGCAGTCCGAGAGTGAGCATATCTACCGCATCCGCAGTCTTCAGGCCGTCTTACACTATAACGCAGGACTTTGAGAAGAGAACCAGCACTTACGCAATTTGAAACTGCGCAAATTGCCAACCTATGTCCCGTCGATGCCGAAGAAGCAAAGAGTGTTGTACCGAGGTAAGCAAATGCGACATCCGATTACTGGACCTAAAGTGCTTCTCCCCTCCCCATATCCCCCTAGTCTCGTCAAGATAGACGACGACAGACTCAATGCCTTGCTTGTCGAGATCCAGACAATGAGAAAGTTTCAAACATAACACGTCACGATCATGTGTCTGTGCACATACATTGTGTCCATGCTCACGGTTTATATCCCTCTCTTCATCCGCCATGTGTTTGAAGCCACACAATTTGCCTCCGTCTCCGGAGGGTCTACGTGCTCAGCACGCATATCGTCTTCTTCACGAATCGCGGGGATTGTTGGCTCGCAGCACACGGACGTATGGCACCTCCTTCCTGTCCGAAAGAAAGGGTCGTCGGCAACTAGGCCAGAGAAAAAGAACCCTGCATCGTGTAGCTGTGTAGGTCAGGGGATAGCCATGACCCAACCCTCAATCACATTTGTTCATTCATTGGCAGCCCAACTGCTGGATGAAGCTGTGACTTCACTGACAACAGTTCTATCACACTGCATCTCGATTCGCTTCGATGCACGTTTCCACGTTGTTGGCACGAGGGTAGCACGGCACTCTGTTTGTCGCATTGAAAACTGTTCTCCATGCGGTTTGATATTGAGTACCAGTATGTCTGTTGGGAAGTTTGGTAAGTATTCATGCAAAGTCGGTACAATAACTCTTTGCATCGGATGGCAACAACCGCTGCGGACGCACCACCTGATGATTACATTGATTGCGCAATGCCTCGTGTGTTATTGCGTGTTAGAAGAGCTTGCTTCAAGGAACCCATCTCGGTGCGTCGTGTCTGACTTCCGTCATCTCATGTCGCGAGTAATCCGGCGGAGGCAGTTGACGGGCGAAAGGTGAGGCGACGAATTCTGCTCACCCACGGAATTGTTCATCCGCCGTATGCTGATCGCCTTCAGCGTAAATTTTATAGAGGCTGGGATGCTATTCGTCAGCTGGTTATGCTGCCGTGGCGCAGTAGCATTGAATTGTCTGCTCGCAGGTGGGATGTCGAACGACCTAGTTGGGTGTGCACCTAAGGCCATCAAGCTCTCCAACAAGCTCTGCGTTCTGTTCCAAGCAAACGCATGGCCTTCATATCCGCCACTTTCGCCCAATGGAATACCTTGCTGCACTGCACATGGTATGTCATCTTTCATTCATACTGATGCAGTCGACGGCCTCACTCGGTATAAGTACGGACAACCATACATGGCTCCTTCTTCGTCTACACTCTCGTCTCCTAGTGCTCTTTTCGCTGACGTCCTGCTATCATGTGCTACGGGGAGAATTGCGCCCCTCAGGCCGAGCTCTATATCAATGCTCAGCTCAATGCTCTCTATCAGAATGCGGTGGCGTGTATCGCTCAACACGGAAATGCCAAACATGCTGAGGACCACTTCAGTTCGTCGTGTGCCTTCCCTAACCTTGTCACATGCCATTGACCTCTGCGCATGCTCAGGGTATTCTCATGCTCTCGCGGATTTTTTCTTCGGTCCGGTCGAAGACGAGACAAATTCCGAACTTGGTGCTATGTTCCAGGCTTCCTTTGACAGCCCCAGCCTTGAATTCGTATGTAACCATAACGCTATCTTGCGGATCAACATCAAGGAGGGGCATTACTACTCGGATCTCACTGACAATAGACCTTCCGTCTTGAATAAGTACGTACGCTAACTCTTGTTCTGGCGCCATGAATTCAAAAATATGTAGGGAATGCGCCCAACATATAAACAAAACGGAGGTGGCATTTCGAGTCGATTTCGATGTACGCGAAATAGACCTTGCCGGGGTGAAGCATGGAAATGGCAAGGCTCTCATCCGACTGGTTATCCTCGATCTCACGAGTGAGCGCAGTAGCATTGTGATGGTAAGATGTACATGAACTAATGAATATCTAGCGGCGCGCTTCGTGTCATCCACACCCGCGCTACCGGACAGTCCAGACGTTGTTGCGTTCTATCTGACACAGTATCTGGAATTCCTGCAGCGCGCTGGCATCAACATGCTGTTCTCTCTACCCGACTTCGACGACTCCGACTTCCGGCTCACTATTGACCATCTATTCAAAGGTCACGCTCTCGTCGATGCAGGAGTGCTTCATGGCACCTCTGTTGAGGCGATCAATGCCCAGCTCTCGTCTTCCTGGCTGAAGGCAGCGATGCTTGTTGACGGCGACTCAGAGCAAGAGACAATCGCAGACGGGGCTGCTGTCGCCCTTGCACAGTGCGAAGGTTCTTGGACGGTGGACGAGACAGATATCCAGTACAACCTGAAATTCGATGCGCCTCGTGTTGAGGCGATTTGCTCGCAGGAGGCTGTACTCTACTTCAAACTCGATGAGGTATCCTTCCATGCACAGTCGGACCACGTGGAGTGCGTCTCATCTATCTAGTCTGCAGTGTACAATATTGACATGAATCCGTAGGCGGATAGAACAACACACCGATCGCGGATGGGAAATAGCTATAGCTGCAGATGTCGTGCGACGCGAAGAAAGCGACGGAGGTTCTACGCTTCTTGAAATCGATGCTCAGAGTAAGTTGCGCAGTGTTCCTTGTCTGACATGCCTAACACGTAGTTATAGAATCACGTGTCTGCGAAGACCTGTGTACGCTCCCTGAACGGGAGGATGCTGGCGAATTCGCTCAAATTTGCGTTAAGAGTACTATCGAGTTCTTCAAAGAAGAATATCTTGCACTCCTCGACAGTGGCGGCAGTCTTACGCTATATGACTCGCGACTGACAACTTCGAACGCTCACGAAGACATCATCAACGCAGATAGCGTGTCCGAGGATGTCGTCGACGAAAACGAAGAGGTAAATGATGAAGGGTTGCACAATGTGCAGCCTAACTCTCCGTCAGTTGGGTCCTCTAGCGACATCAGCAGTGTTCGACTCGCATCATGGAAAGCAGTACTGGGCTCTGATATGCATGGCTTTGATGAGGTCATCGCTATGTCTCAGGCTACCATCAATGTTCACTTCAAGCGTCTTTGGAACGCCGCTGTAACGGCACAAGCCTCAGAGAAAACTGCATGTCTGGCGCGTTGGACATACGAACAGTTCTTCTCAGCAACATTCAAGCCGCCCGCCGTGCGATTGCTCAGTAATGGTCGAGCCATCCTTTGGGTACACCTCGACGAAGGCCAGCTGAAGGTCCTCAAGAATAAGACTCCTTGGGATGAGTACGTGGATTAGATTCCATCGTGCAATTAAAAACCTGACGTCTTCGCGTCGGTCAGGAGTGATTGGTATCATTTTGCGGATTGGCAACTTGCTTTCGAGCTGGACGTCAAGATGGACTCCGGGCTTGAAGAAGCTCGACTCGCCTCATTATCGCTGACATCAGAGTCGAGTTTTGACTCTGACAACTGCGATTGGCAACATGTTTACTTCGACTTCACTAGTACGTCTGTTGATTTCACCAAGCCTTGACAAAGGTGGCTGACATGATCCTGCGGTAGATATCCAATTTCTTCACGAATACTCGCGTTTAGAAGGCCTCTTGCAAACACAAGACGACATACGACCTATCGACAAAGTTCATGCCACACTGTACTATATCCGATATCACTACTTCTTGGAACTGCGACGTAGTGGCCTGAATGCTTTGCTCAGCATTCCGATTTTGAAGTCTTCTAGTTCATTGCCGTCGCTCGCTTTAACTAGCGCGTCCTTGCGTATCCACTCAGACCAAGTCGTCACGCGTAAGAACTGGGCACAAATGGCATCCTCCTTTGAACCCGTGCTTTTGGTTCTCGGTATGACAGCCTTCCGCTCACCACCCTCGGCCTCTCTCGAAGGCACTACCGATTGGATTGTAAACTGGCGGAGAAGCTCTTCTGAGGCGATTATCTGTCTTTCGCGGGATATCGTCACTGATAGGACTCTGCTCCTCCCCCTTGCTCGTATAAGCACCATGACGACGATAGTCCCCATCATCTCCCCCGTCGACACCATCGGTGAATGGACACCTCAATTCACAGCACTGGTGCGTGACCAGAGCAGGAAAAACCGCTCTTGCTCCTGGACAACCCAGGAATCCGACAAAGAAGGGTCTCTAAAGTGGAAGTGGGAGCAGCGCGTTGCTTTCCACTACGAGCAAGAGGGCGACGGCATCGCTAGCGGGGCTTGCTCTGCATCATGTGAGTTTGCGTGATCCTGATTGTTAGTGTCAGGCTTCTGACGGCGAACAATAGGCAAGACGTGCAACTACGTAGAGCTATCATCCACCCCTGCAAGGGACGCTATGCAGATCAAAATGTGGGGCGACGTCAAAATCGAATCATCTGTCACATTGGAGACTGCTCAGAATCTGTATGTGACCATTCATTCGGGAGACTTGCTCAGCCAATCTCAAGTGTGTCATAGCGCCAAATCATCTGCAAAGTGGAACATATCGTTAGCGCTTCAATCTACTATCGGTGGCATCGAGGCCCGCGTCCTTGAGGTAGTCAACCCCACCTTGGAAGATGATGAACACGAAGGGGGTCTACCTACCGTCAAGCTATTCGATATCCGGTCTATGCTTGCTGCCGAACTTCCCAATGTGATTGACGCAGATGACCTTTTGCAAGAGCTACGTCAGTTCGAGGGTCCATGGCAATTCTGCTACCCAGGGACAGAGGTATGCACGCTCTCAAACCCGATGGCGACTGCCAAGGGGGACTTAGTCTTCGAGTTACGAACAAGTTCTCAACAAGAAGTATCTGCACCTGTGACGCCGACAGGGCTTGGGATTGTCTCTTCCTATGACACACAAACCTCAGAATTCGCAGTAGACATCACGATGACTGATGTCCAGCGATCGCATCTCATCGCTACCGCTTGACGTTCTGTAGTCAACACTGTCGTATGTATCCTATTGCCCTTCTCGTTGCATAATAGCTTCGCGCGTCCCAACTCTTACGCTGTCTCGATAACTATGTCTCCAATGACTTCAGACCGCTGTAGTTGTCCGCCCTTTACCATTAGGTGAGCGTGACGTAGGCCAAAAATTGTGCCCATTATGCGACTGGAATGAGACCGCATTGCAAGTTAGATATCGTTTTCGAAGCTGGTTCGTGCGACATACCTATTTGATCACGACAGGTGAGTATGTTTGACTTCCTAACCTTCCATATCAATCAACTTCGACTTGTCTACCTCGTCTACCTCATCTTCCTCGTCCTCGTCCAATTTCACCTCGTCAGTTGCGTTATGTGAGAACGATGTGGCATCGAAGCGACGCTTTTCTCTGAAAGGGTTATCCCTTCGTTCGCCCTTCTTGATGACTGCTGCGGCGGGGATGACGCCTTTGGGATTGAGGTACAATAGGTCATTGCCAGAGTATGAATCGATAAAGCGGACCCATGCGTCGAATCTAGCCTCTAGCAATGAGCGTACAAAGCCAACGAGATGTTCGCCTTGAGGAGCTACTTACACGCCCTCTGTGTCCTCGATAGAGCGCATCCTGGAATATATATGCTCTTGCTTAAATCGGTCAATGGCCTCGCGATGCACCTCAAAATCAATCGGTTGCCTGTATTCTGGATCGGAAGGCTGCAGATTCTCGTTCACGGAAGCGATTCTTCGTGTGTACGTATCGAAGATGGGGTATTCGAGTAAGAGTCCAAGAGCCGGCATCTTGGGGATGAAAATCGTTCTAGGGCCATACATCTAGACCGGACGGGGTTAGCTCGAGAATCAAAGTATAATAGGGAAGAATACTTCTTCTATTGTCTGTGGTGGCGAACCTGTACGGCAAGCTAGGACCAGCGCAGACATCATTTTACGCTATGCACAATGGCCATCAGCAAACCGCCTACGATCAAATCGCCACCGTACCCACAATCTGAACGCAAATGGTTGAGCTCGAGTACACATTCGAATAGAATATGTCAATCTACCTGATGGAGCATGAAGCTTTGTCCGTGAAAGAGCACGCTAACCCATTCCGTGCCTCCGTAGACGACAGGGTCCGCGATCTGACTGGCGGTTAGTGATTCGCTTGGAATGGTTCGTCTTCCCACAAACCTCAACGCTTTTGATGTGTCGCATACAACTACGATCTCCGAAGTCGCGCCCCACAGTGAAGTTATGGAAATTGTGACTGCCTTCAAATTTGCGGGATGCAGCACGTAGCGCTTCTACCTGCTCAGGAGGCATTCGGTACTGTCGTTTTCTCCGCAAGTCGTCCTGCCAAGTCGCTTCGGGAGCGGGGTTATTCCAGAATGTATGCTTCAACTCATTGCCATCGCTCTGTTGTGCGGTTTGAAATAGTCCACTGCCAGGCTTGGGCGGGATCATTAAGTAAGACGGGAAGAAATAGGTGTACTTCCTGCTGTCGCACGTTCTACATCAAAGTTGAGACTGCTCAGTGAGTGTCATACAAGCTCAACACGCACGTTCTTGCGTTGAACGAGTTTTGTACGCGAAGCTAGGCCGCATCAGATTCGAAGGAATAGCAGACTGAAGGCAACATGGCACTATACTTACGACATTCCACAAACGTATCTCTGGCGGCAATTCTTCGTTGACTCTTGAAATCAGGTCGGCGACTCCAGGTATTGCAGTGATGAGTTTCATGGAAACGACGTTTCCTGCGGCATGCACTCCAGCATCGGTACGTGCAGCTCGGCCCAGATTGACCTGACCAATGTAAGAAACAATACCAAAAAGAAGCCAACATAACACTCACTTTAATTGGGTCATCAGCGTTGTCTTGTGACACAGCACCTACTTTAACCAGAGCATTGAAGAGGACCCCTTCGATGGTTCGTAATTTCGGATCTGGTTGGCTGAAAAGAAGGGAGAGACTTTGAAGGATAAATAAGCGTGAAGGTATTGTTTACATACATTTGCATGCCGTTGTACCCAGCACCACAAAACCCAATCAAGAGAGCGCATTGCCTCTTGGGTAAACGAGGGGCCTTGGGCTTGTCGGCGGGCTTGTCGCCTTCTCGCCGCTCCTGAGTTCCACGCCTGCGATCGCGGGCCCTCTCCTTACCCTTTTCTCTCGCTGATTTTGTGCGCTGATCTTGCTGGGCTACTTGAATGGCGGGATCCACCTGCAGCAGTTCTTCAGCTAACGAGGCCTCAGCGAGGCCTCCATTGTAATTGTTTTTGGAGTGTTTGATCCGGGTAGGTGATCTGTCGGCAGAACCTGAATCGTCCACAGCATGTAAAGGTCGTTTGAGGCTTGCTCCGTCTGTGAGAGATGTAAACTCCATGTGATGTCGGTGGTGTGTAGGTCGAGAATGCAAGTGTCGTGTAAAGGCGAAGCCGTGGAAAAGAACGCGGTTTCGTAGAGCCCCTTTCAGTGCAATCGCATAGTTCAGCAGACACATTCACATCTAGGTATTCAATGGTGTCGTTTGAACCGACTTCTCGCTGCTTTTAGGCGCCCAAAAGTGGCAAGGCCATTGTTGAGCTAGTCGTCTGCCGGTTGCCCCAGTCTTTTTTATTTTATATTATATTTTCAATTCCACGGCTTTATACTTCATACAGCGTAGGTACATGTAGAATGCATTGAGCCGGAGGCGGCTCTTAGAAGTGGGCTCCGCGCCCTCGTACGGAACCGCCCTGGGGAGGGCGGAACACTCGATGTCTTTGTCACGAGTTGGCACGGCGTCTAGCCGTTTTTTAATATTTTCCTTTTCGCGGGCTCGAACCCGCGACCTCTGTACTACTTGCCTGATACAGACGCATCATATCTACTGTACGATTAGATTAGATAGGACGGCAGTGCACGGCACAGCTCGGGCTCTGCTGACACAGCCTCTCTGACTCACCGGCCCCCGGGGCCGCGTCGGCATGCTGCGCACGGACCAGCTGCGCATGGACCAACGTGCACAGCCTGCCCTTATCTCCCCATGTATATAAGCCGGCCTCTGCTGCCCTAGGGACCTCAATTTTGACCTCTTGTCCCTAGGTCAGTAAGCTCCCATGTATCTGCTTACTTACTTATACTAACTAATACATTTCTTGTCCCTAGCCTTAGGTTTGAGCTTCGCTCACCATCGCTTCGGTGAGAATCAGTCGAACGCCCCCAGCTCTTTTTAGATTTTCCCCTGTCGCTAGACCTCAAGTCGCGACATTAGGTCGAAACTCCACAAAGCTGCCGGCGTTCCTCGGAACCCCACAAACTCACTCTCCTTTCCTATAGGTTGGGTGGTGCGCACCCCTACTGTACCCTACGATATGTAGATAGCATACGATACATTGCCACCACTTAAGGGACGAACTCTTCAGTATCTGCACTTCAGTGGGCGATACTTGTCCTCACGGACGCGTGGCTTAGGTTCCTGTTGCATACTAGCCAAAAGCAGTACTGGGCCCCACGTGAACTGTGAACCTTAGTGTTATCTTGGGCGCCGTAGGTGTAAGCTAGTTTAGCACGGCCTTTCGTAGTACGCGCACCTCCCCTTCCTCCCCCCACCCAACGTGGCTGCCTGCCAAGGCCAGGTCCACGCATTCGACTCTCAGGACCTCATCGACGTCTACATCCCAGACGGCCCTGAGACTATCATCTACCGTTGCGAGCAGCAACCGTGCCCAAACCGAACACCCCGATCGATCGCAGAAGATTACCCGCGCTACAAGGCGATCCGATGAGCGCAACACCCACTCGGTCCCCGCAGCACCCTCGCGTCTCGATCCGCTTCGCGGCATTCTCACTCTGTCTCCCCCAGCTCCCGACTCCCTCAAACTGTTGTCACTGATCCAAATCAAGTGCGAGGAGATCTCCCTCCAGACCCTGCGCCAGAGCCTGAGCCTGAGGAGGGTGTGGGTGAAGAAGGAATCTCGGAGTCCGAGTCCAAGGATTCTGTTGGGTCCATCTCGCTGACAGCGCTTGCCCCCGCGTCAGCAGTCCCTGACGTACGTGAACCCCCCGCCGAACTTCCTTCGGCGCCTTCACCGCCGACTCCGCCGAGAGGCCACGCGAGCACTCGCTTCTGTCGCGACTTGAGGTCAAGCGACAGGGAAATGTCTAGAAGCGAGGGGCGTCCGACTGGTTCTCACCGAAGCGATGGTGAGCGAGGCTCAAACCTAAGGCTAGGGACAAGAAAGTATATTAGTTAGTATAAGTAAGTAAGCAGATACATGGGAGCTTACTGACCTAGGGACAAGAGGTCGAAACTGAGGTCTCTAGGGCAGCAGAGGCCGGCTTATATACAGGGGAAGATAAGGGCAGGCTGTGCACGTTGGTCCGTGCGCAGCTGGTCCGTGCGCAGCATGCCGACGCGGCCCCGGGGGCCGGTGAGTCAGAGCGGCTGTGTCAGCGGAGCCCGAGCTGTGCCGTGCACTGCCATCCTATCTAATCTAATCGTACAGTAGATATGATGCGTCTGTATCAGGCAAGTAGTACAGAGGTCGCGGGTTCGAGCCCGCGAAAAGGAAAAATTAAAAAACGGCTAGATGCCGTACCAACTCGTGACATTACCCCCCCCTCAATGGCGCATGACCTCATGCGAGGCGCCCTTGCCCATCTCCCACCCGGAGTGGCAGCGTGCTTCAGTCAGCGGCAAAGGCATTGGCTGAAAGTTGAGACCACCAAAGGTAGCAGCGTTGAGTCGTCGAGGGGCGTTTGGATTCTTCCGGTGGAAGTCGGCTATGAGGGCCGGCGCATTGGCAACGTTGCGCGCCGGTTCCCATGACGTATGCGAGTCGTCATAACCCTTCCACTTGATGAGGTACTGCAGCTGACGTCGGAAGATCCGCGAATCTTTGATCCGCTCAACCTCGTACCCCTCGTCGCCCTCAACCTCGATCGCAGGTGGCTCCTCCGGCTCCCGGCCTGGGATATCGCTATGCGTGTACTTGCTGAGCAAGGAGACATGGAATACCGGGTGCACCGGCACCGACTTTGGCAGGACTAATTCATAATCTAAGTCTCCGAGCTTTTGCCGCACGGCATATGGTCCAAGGCGCTTGGGACTGAGCTTCTTGCTCGGCTGTTTCAGCTTAAGGTTCCGAGCGTCAAGCCAAACCTTGTCCCCCGGTGCGAAGACCGGTGCCTGTTGCACGTGCTTATCGTAGTACACTTTCATACGCTCGGCTGACAGCTCGAGCGCAGAGCGCGTACCGTCACGAATCTCCTTTAGGATCTTGAGCCAATCAGCGGCCGCAGGCATCGCAGACATCGGATTGATCCGCACTTGGATCTCAGGATTGTACCCTTGATGCAGGAAGAAAGGGGAGTGCTCGGTCGCGGAGTGAACTCGGTTGTTCAGTGCAAATTCCGCGAGCGGCAGCTGCTTTGCCCAATCATCCTGCCTGTGGCTCGTGAAAGCACACAGGTACTGCTCGATCTCCTAATTCCAGCGCTCAGTCTGGCCGTCCGTCTGAGGGTGGAATGCTGTAAACAGTGCCGGCTCGATCCCTAGTCCCTTGTACACCGCATGCAGGTATTTCGAAGCAAACTGGGGACCTCGGTCTGATATGACCTTGGCCGGGGCCCCATGATGCATGAACACATCGCGGATGTACAGGTCTGCTGCCTTTTCTGCCGTCAGGGTCTCATGACAGGCTGAAAAGTGGACCTGCTTGATAAAGCGGTCGGCGGTGACCAGGATTGAGTTGAATCCATCAGACTTTGGCAAGCCAATGATCATATCGGTCGTGATGATCTGCCACAGGCGCTCGGGGATCTCGTTCGGCTTCAGCGGACCCTGGGGCTTGGCTGGGAATGTCTTGGTACGATTGCACACGTCGCAGGTGCTTACGTACTCATTGACGAATTTAGACATTCCTGGCCACCAGTAGTTCCGCGATACGAGCTCCAGGGTTTTGGCATGACCGCCATGACCGGCGATCGGCGAGTCGTGGTGGATCTTGACTATGTCCCGCCGGAGCTCCGCATTCTTTGGGACGTACACGCACCCACGGAACAGCAGGAGCCCTTGTTCGGCATTCCACTCCTCAAAACCCCTTTGCAGCCGGGGCGGCCCGAGGTCCTGCACCTTTTCAAGGGCCTCGGCCACCTCCCGATCCTTCTCCGAACATTCCCTGATGTGCTTCAGAAGGGACTGATCGGCTGTCACCGAGGCGTGACCGCGCCTAGCGGAGGCGATGCGGAAGCGCTCTGGCTTGAGAACCACCTGATCGGTGTTATCGTCCTCATTGCCGATCTGATGGTCTGATCGACGTGACAGGGCATCAGCCTTTCCATTGGACGTCCCGGCCTTGTGCGTGATGCGGAAGTCGAAGCGAGCTAGGAACAGCGACCATCGCGCTTGACGGCGCGTGAGGTGCTGGGATGTACGCCAGTACTTGAGGTTCTTATGATCGGTTACGATCTCGAACTGATTGGATAACCCCTCGAGGTAGTGGCGCCAATCATCCAATGCTTCAATGATCGCGAGCATCTCCTTATCGTAGATCTCGTAGTTCTGCTGTGCCGGATCCATTGCATGAGATCTGAAGGCAATGGGATGCCATTTGCCGTCGTCCTGCTTCTGCATCAACACGCCGCCAGTGGCGTAGCCTGAGGCGTCAACCTCAATGCGCGTCTCTCGATTAGGATCATACAGTGCTAGGACTGGAGTCGTCGCGAAGAGCCATTTGAGCTCATCGAAGGCATGCTGCTCTTCCTCACCCCAGTGCCATGGGTTATTTCCTGTGAGTCGGTCGAGTGGTCGCGAGATCTTAGCGAAGTCTTTGATGAAGCGGCGGTAGAAGTTGGAGAACCCCCGGAACTTCTGAACGTCTTTTTTGTTCCGGGGTACCGGCCACTCATTGATTCCTTTCAGCTTCGCGGGATCCATCGCCACCTCATCGCCACCGAACACATAGCTGACGTAGTCGACCTTGGGAACGTCCCACTCACACTTCTCAGGCTTCAGGAACAGATCGTTGTCCTGAAGGCGACGCAGAACCTCGCGTGTGACCTTTTCATGCTCCTCCTTGTTGGTGGAGAAGATGAGTATGTCATCTAGGTACACAAGGATCTTGCCGCCGACGATGAGATTGTGGAAGATCTCGTTCATCATGGCCTGGAAGGTCGCGGGGGAATTAGTGAGGCCAAAGAACATCACCAGGGGTTCGTACAGTCCCCGGTTAGTTACGAAGGCCGCCTTCCACTCGTCACCGGCTTTGATCCGGACGTTGTTGTATCCCCATCGGACATCGAACTTCGTAAAGAGCGTAGCGCCACGGAGCTTGTCCACCATTTCGGCGATCAACGGCAAGGGATAACGATTTTTTACCGTGATCGCGTTCAATCGGCGGTAGTCCTGTACGGGTCGAAGTGTCCCTTCCTTCTTTTTGATGAAGAAGAAGGGGGACGAAATGGGTGACTTCGACTCCCGTATGTAGCCCTTCGCTAGTTGCTCCTTGAGGAACTTGTCAAGCTCCTCCTGCTCGTTGTTCGACAGGGGGTACACCTTCAAATGGAATGTCGAATAGCCGGGCACGAGTTCAATTGCGTGATCATATGGCTTCCTTTCGGGTAACCGTTCTGATGCTTCCTTGGAGAAGACATTCAGGAACTCGTGGTACTGTCTAGGTACCGACTCTTCGGCGGTCTTAACGACCTTCTTTTTGATCTCCTCCTCAGCAAATAGCTGGGAGTACATATGTCCTGCTGCGACGAACAGCTGAGGAGCACCGGGAAGCGTGATGCCTTGCTCCCAGGCTTCGATCAAATCGGCCTCATCCCACTCTACCTCCACCGGATCTTCTTCGGGTTCGAAGTCCGGGAGTACCTTACTCCAGCAGGCACCTATAACCGACCGTTTGGATTTCGGCGAACGCCTGCGCACCGTGGGCCTGTCCCCCGTATCACGCGCAGTCGCTGCTTGCTCCATTCGGCCAGTCCTCCTGGCACTGCACGTTTCAGGGCATCGCGACAATTTGAGGGAGCCCTTCTCCCAATCTATTTCAGGGTTGTGCTCGCGTAGCCAATCCAACCTGACAATCACATCTTCCGGACCGATGTCCGTGACCGTGAACACCGTCTTTTCGACGTGCTCTCCTATATGCATCTGTAGTACTGCTACCTCCGAGATGCTTCCGTCCTTGTTCAGGGTGCCGTCAATGTTGTATAGCGGAATTGGTTCCTTCAACTTCCGCGTCTGCACCTTATTCTCTGTAATGAATCGCTTGTTGATAAACTTTGTGGTGGCTCCGCTGTCCACCATAGCGATTATGTCTTTGTGCCGTCTTTTCCCTTGGAGTCGAACTGGAATGTGAAAATGCTGGGACCCCTGGTCCAGCTCGTACACCATTGCAGTCGACAATACGTTATATCTATTACATGATGATACTCGCGGCCCGACGCGTGCGGCACGAAGCGCGGACCGGATCAAAAACCCTCCTCCTTCATCGCCTGATAGTGCTCGAGCTCTTCGCGCATTGACTTCACCTGTGCCATTAAGTCCGCCAGCTCCGATTGCTCGGATTTCGCTGAAGCGGCACTTATACTTGCCGAGGGTGTTGTCGTGACGGGGGCGCTTGTCGCAGCCTGGGTGGAGCCCGAGGCAACCGTAGCCCGCGCGTCGGCGCGTTTTGTGTAAGGCTTGTCCTTACAATTGGGGCACTCGAAGCGTTGGTACCCTTGCTTCCCACAGCCGAAGCATGTGCCGGGGAAGTTGCCTTTTCCGACGGCCGCATTGATGCTGGCCGAAGCTACGTGCGTCGAGGGTGCACCACCACGTGCCCCACCGCGTCCTCGACCTTGGGCCGAGAAGAAGTTATTTAGCTCGGGCCGACGGGCCCGGCTAATGTCGAGGATCTGCTCGACCTCAGTGGCGCGCTTGTCAGCGTCTTGCCACGTGGTGAAAGTCTCGAGCTCGATCTTTCGGTATACGCGGGAGGGGATGCCGCTCAGGTACTTGTCGCGTAGCTCCAGGTCCCCATACCCAGAGCGGTCCGCCGGACCCTTGAACAGCGCGGAGAATTCCGCAGCAGTGCGTTTTTCACGGACCGTCTTGTCCGCGCAGAGCTTCGCCAGCTCCACTTGTGCTGCCGCCTCGTCGTCGAGATTTCCGAAGCAGGCCTTGAAGGCGGCGGCAAAGGCCGCTTCGTTTGCGAATGGGGTCGTAGCCCCTTGCACACCTATCTGCACCAATACGAGCTGGGCGAAGTAGGGGGTGGCCCAGGCGCGGGCATCACCGTCGAGCAGGCTCAGCGCAACCTGTACCTTGAGCTCGATGGTGGTCAACGACGTGTTGACCATCCAGTAGATGCGCAGCTGCGACAAGAACCTGTCGCAATCGATGATGGTTTTGCCATCGTATCGGAGGGGGAGGAGGAGTTTTAACGTCTCCTTGTCGAGGGCGGCTGCGGGGGACGACATTATCGGCGTCGGGGGGGACGGAGGACACTGCGGGGGCGGAGGCGGCTGTGGTGGCCTTCCGCTGGTCGAACTTCGGGAGGAGCGAGTGCTCGAGCGGCCTCTCGGCGAAGTCAGCGGTGAAGGCGCCAGAGGAAGTTCGGCGGAGGGGTTACGTACGTCAGGGATTGCTGACGCGGAGGCGAGCGCTGTCGGCGAGGCGGGCCGAGCAGGATCCGCGGACTCGGACTCCGAGACTCCTTCTTCACTGTCACCCTCCTCAGGCTCAAGCTCTGGCGCAGGGTCTGGAGGGAGATCTCCTCGCGCTTGATCGGCGACAGTTTGAGGGAGGCGGGAGGTAGGGGAGACAGGGCGAGAGTGCCGCGAGGCCGATCGAGATGCGAGGGTGCTTCGGGGTCCGAGCGGGTGTTGTGCTCGTCAGATTGCCTTGTAACGAGGGTAATCTTCCTCGATCGATCGGGGTGTCCGATTTGGGCACGGCTGCTGCTCGCAACGGTAGAGGACAGTCTCAGGGCCGTCTGGGATGTAGACGTCGATGAGGTCCTGGGAGTCAAATGCGTGGATCTGGCCTTGGCAGGCAGCCACGATGGATGGGGGGAGGACGGGAAGGTGCGCGTACTACAAAAGGCCGTGGTAGACTAGCTTACACCTACGGCGCCCGAGATGACACTAGGGTTCGCGATTCACGTGGGGCCCAGTACTGCTTTGGGCTAGTATGCAGCAGGAACCTAGTCCACGCGTCCGGTTAAGGACAAGCACCGCCCACTGAAGTGCAGGTGCTGAAAGGTTCGTTCCCTGAGTGTTGGCGATGTAATGTAGGCTATCTACGTATTGTATGGTATCGTAGGGGTGCGCACCACCCGACCTATGGGAAAGGAAAGTGTGAGTGTATGAGTTCCGAGAGAACGCCGGTCGCTTGGGGGAGTTTCGACCTAATGTCACGACTTGAGGTCAAGCGACAGGGAAATGTCTAGAAGCGAGGGGCGTCCGACTGGTTCTCACCGAAGCGATGGTGAGCGAGGCTCAAACCTAAGGCTAGGGACAAGAAAGTATATTAGTTAGTATAAGTAAGTAAGCAGATACATGGGAGCTTACTGACCTAGGGACAAGAGGTCGAAACTGAGGTCTCTAGGGCAGCAGAGGCCGGCTTATATACAGGGGAAGATAAGGGCAGGCTGTGCACGTTGGTCCGTGCGCAGCTGGTCCGTGCGCAGCATGCCGACGCGGCCCCGGGGGCCGGTGAGTCAGAGCGGCTGTGTCAGCGGAGCCCGAGCTGTGCCGTGCACTGCCGTCCTATCTAATCTAATCATACAGTAGATATGATGTGTCCGTATCAGGCAGGTAGTACAGAGGTCGCGGGTTCGAGCCCGCGAAAAGGAAAAAATTAAAAAACGGCTAGACGCCGTGCCAACTCGTGACAGGCAGAGGGCCACCACAGCCGCCTCCACCCCCGCAGCGTCCTCTGTCCCCCCCGACGCCAATAATGTCCTCTCCTGCAGCCGCCCCCGACAAGGAGACCCTAAAGCTCCTTCTTCCACTTCGATACGATGGCAAGACAGTCATCAAATGCGACAGGTTCTTGTCGCAACTTCATATCTCCTGGTTGATCAACACATCGTTGATGACCATTGAGCTCAAGGTACAAGTTGCGCTGAGCCTGCTCGATGGCGACGCCCGCGCCTGGGCCACGCCTTACTTTGCCCAACTCGCGTCAGTGTAAATGGGAGTACAAGGGGTCACGACCCCCTTTAGGAACGAGGCGGCCTTCACTGCTGCCTTTAAGATCCACTTCGGAAATCTCGACGATGAGGCAGCAGCACAAGTGGAGCTGGCGAAGCTCTGCGCGGACAAGACGGTCTGTGAAAAACGCACTGCTGCGGAATTCTCCGCGCTGTTCAAGGGTCCGGCGGACCGCTCTGGGTATGGGGACCTGGAGCTATGCGACAAGTACCTGAGTGGCATCCCCTCCCGCGTATACCGGAAGATCGAGCTCGAGACCTTCACCACGTGGCGAGCCGCTGACAAGCGCGCCACTGAGGTCGAGCAGATCCTCGACATCAGCCGGGCCCGTCGGCCCGAGTTAAATAACTTCTTCTCGGCCCGAGGTCGAGGGCGCGGTGGGGCACGTGGTGGTGCGCCCACGACACATGCAGCTTCGGCCAGCATCAATGCGGCCGTCGGAAAAGGAGACTTCCCCGGCACCTGCTTTGGCTGCGGGAAGCAAGGGTACCGCCGTTTTGAGTGCCCCAATTGTAAGGACAAGCCTTACACAAAACGCGCCGACGCACGGGCTACGGTTGCCTCGGGATCCACCCAGGCGGTGACAAGCACCCCCGTCGCTTCATCCTCGGCGAGTACAAGCGCCGCTTCAGCGAAATCGGAAGGTTCCGAGCTGGCAGACTTAATAGCACAGATGAAGTCGATGCGCGAGGAGCTCGAGCACTATCGGGCCATGAAGGAGGAGTCTTTTTGATCCGGTCCGCGCTTCGTGCCGCATGCGTCGGGCCGCGTAGTAACAATCTGTACAATGTATTGGCGACTGCGAATGTGTATGAATTGGACCATGGGTCCCAGCATTTTCACATTCCAGTGCACCTCAAAGGAGAAAGATGGCACAAAGACATAATTGCAATGGTGGACAGCGGAGCCACTACGAAGTTCATCAACAAGCGTTTCATCACGGAGAATCGAGTACGAACACGGAAATTGAAAGAGCCGATTCCGCTATACAATATCGACGGCACCCTGAACAAAGACGGAAGCATCTCGGAAGTAGCAGTGCTACAGATGCACATAGGAGAACACGTTGAGAAGACGGTGTTTACGGTCACGGACATCGGTCTGGAAGATGTGATTGTCAGGTTGGATTGGCTACGCGAGCACAACCCTGAAATAGATTGGGAGAAGGGCTCCCTCAAATTGTCGCGATGCCCTGAAACGTGCAGTGCCAGGAGGACTGGCCGAATGGAGCAAGCAGCGACTGCGCGTGATACGGGGGACAGGCCCACGGTGCGCAGGCGTTCGCCGAAATCCAAACGGTCGGTTATAGGTGCCTGCTGGAGTAAGGTACTCCCGGACTTTGAACCCGAAGAAGATCCAGTGGAAGTAGAGTGGGATGAGGTCGATTTGATCGAAGCCTGGGAGCAAGGTATTACGCTTCCTGGTGCCCCTCAGCTGTTCGTCGCAGCAGGGCATACGTACTCCTAGCTGTTCGCTGAGGAGGAGATCAAAAAGAAAGTCGTTAAGACCACCGAGGAGTCAGTACCTAAAAAGTACCACGAGTTCCTGAATGTCTTCTCCAAGGAAGCATCAGAACGGCTACCTGAAAGGAAGCCTTACGATCACGCGATCAAACTCGTGCCCGGTTACTCGACATTCCATTTGAAGGTGTATCCCCTGTCGAACAACGAACAAGAGGAACTGGACAAGTTCCTAAAAGAGCAGTTGGCGAAAGGCTATATACGGGAATCAAAGTCGCCCATTTCATCTCCCTTCTTCTTCATCAAAAAGAAGGAAGGGACACTTCGACCCGTACAGGACTACCGCTGATTGAACGCGATCACGGTCAAAAATCGTTATCCATTGCTGTTGATCGCCGAGATGGTGGATAAGCTCCGCGGCGCTACGCTCTTCACAAAGTTCGATGTCCGATGGGGATACAATAACGTCCGGATCAAGGCCGGTGACGAATGGAAGGCGGTCTTTGTGACTAACCGAGGGTTGTACGAGCCTTTGGTGATGTTCTTTGGTCTTACCAACTCCCCTACGACCTTCCAGGCGATGATGAACGAGATCTTCCACAATCTCATCATCGGCGGTAAGATCCTCGTATACCTAGATGATATACTCATCTTCTCCACCAAGTAAAGAGGAGCATGAGAAGGTCACACGCGAGGTTCTACG